CTGCCAGTTCGGCGGACAACAAGAGTGACTCTCCTTCTGCACAGTCGCTCTCCCTGATGACTCCCGGCCAGAGTACGCAGGCCTCGACCCTTGCGGGTGGGATGTCACTGGGAGACCATTCCACGTGGAATCCCTCGCGTTTATTTGAGTGAGTACCTATTACTTGAAAAACTATTTTTGACGATTTATATTTTTGTTGCTAACGACTGTGCAGTCAGTGGAACACGACTTTCGGTACGCAGCAAATCCAATCTCAGCCCACTTCAGTGGCTCCACATTCCAGTTCTCTAAGTGTTGGTTCATCTTCAGGTGCCCCCGAAATCTCGCCTTCTCAGGATATTCAACTCGGCAGCGGTTCATTGCCGGCCGTAACGCAAGCTATGCCGCATCAACAATATACAGCTCCTCCTATGCAAGCATTTGTCACCCCAGCTATGTGGCAAGAATCGGTTGCTAGCGTTTACGAGGGTGGCCTCAAGCGACGTTGGGATTACGACAGCGGTACTTCGATCTCTGAGCCAGTCAAGCGCCGCTAGGCTAGCTGTGCGAACTGACGAACATCCACCTAGATACCACCTTCTTTCTTAGTAACGATTATGATCGAAGGATCTCAGAACAACTTGCGATCAGGTGAAAAGAAGGTTTGACGACAATCTACGGCAAAACGTTGACTATCCCCACGCATTTCTTACTCATCTGCAATCTACTATATATAGATTTTATCTATTTTAACTATGGCATATACAATAGGGGTTTATGAACTGAATTGGCAAACTCGGATACGACGGAGACGATAAGGGTAGCAGAAAAACGTATCATTTACCAGGGGAGAGATCTAGCCATGACGTGTGAAGAGCCTGGTGAACTGTTTATACAAAACGTCTTGGTACGCGTACGATTGGGGTTCTAGGTCAGGGGTAAGATCGGGCAGTGGTCGATCTATGGCAAATTAGTTTCCTGTCGGGAAGAGAAAAACGGCAGTTCTCCAAAAACTTGGCAGGCGTTTCGAGGTAGCATTTGGGACGCACGCGACTCACGAGGCAAAAGATAAGGCTTATTGTTGTTTTGCTTTTGGGAGTTGCCTCTTTGTACAATATGATCTGCATGGCGATGGGTGTGGGTGGTTTCGGAATTTTACTAATATCTGTACATGATACCACGGGACTTCATGTCGGGAGAAGGGCTGACTTTTAAAGGGGGGAGGTGGGACGAATACACAGTATACCTTTAGGTTAGGTACATAGCGGGATGGATTCACAATAGGATACAAAATGGGGGAGCCCTTACTTATCTGCCTGTGACAGACACGATGATATCTACGCATTTACGTGTTTGGGAAGCTGTAATTTACGTCTACGTAAAAGTGCGTGGTGTTGATATCGTGGGTTCGAAGAGTTCATGGTTCTTTTATGATACCCCGGGTACCTCGATACGGCTCGCCATCGACTCGGCCGGTATACGACATTGGATTACCGGTCTTTGTTACTTGATATATGAGATATCTACCGATACGACATGACCCTCGTTGTTACGCGGCATTTCCATTTTCTTCTAACTGGCAATCTTCAGCACTCAACACAAAACCTGCTGAAGACACATGATGTAGCTTTAGTCATCTTAGGTAAACTCAGTGTTTGATATTACAAACCAGATATACACCGTCGCCATCTATCAGCAATACCTGTATAGATGTCACATATAAGACCATATTATATAGTATATCATGGGATGATATAATACTATCAGATTTGGATTTAGTAATATGATAATACTTACCTGCTAGGCTCACCTATCCATAAGCTGATTCCGGATTATATATACCGGATCTTCTAAACCCAGCCAAACCGTCTCGGGCAGGTAGTGTGGCGTAAGATAGATGAAGTAGGATGTAGTCGCCTTTCTTTCACCCTCATTGCCTGCCGAGGACTTAGCCAATGTTACGGTGTCAGAGCTATGCTGAAGACGGGTTAGAAGATAGGTTTAAGAGTTTCTAGCGCGAACAAGTTTAGGAAGTAGGTACATCCGTACATACATAGCCGGTGAGGCGGGTATCTATCTAGATAGTGGTGTGTAAGGGATAGGCTAGATTGTGCGAGTGCGTGACGTGCATACCCATCGTCTTCCCTTCCATCAACCTTCGACATACCCGGTGCAGCCACCTCTACCATGTCTACCACTCTACGATGGCTTCTAGAAGCAGTCGCGAGCTTCCAAACTCGCACGTGTTGCCAGCCCATGCTGTTCACCCACCACCCTACCTACCTGTCTTACCCTAGGTTGGTACTTGTATGTATGTATGCTGTCTTCACAGAAGGGAGAGTAAATCTACTGATCTTTTGGCGCAAGTCGTGCTACATACCCTACCTAGTACTTTACTATACTCTACGTACGTAACGGCGACCCAACCGCCACAGAGCCGACACTTGGCGGTGTTTTCCAGCACATCGCGATTACCGTCGGCGCCGCCACCATCTTACATATATATCAAATACGCCAAAATAACGTCGTATATCAACCTATGCCAACCTACCTACCTACGCTTACATATTTTGACACATGCAAAACACGCATGCCTCGGCATCTAACCCAGGTATAATTGCGATTTGATTACATTACACAAACCGTCAAAAATGGCATGTCAATGGCGCGGCTACTCGCATTACCTGGGCCTGTTATGTATGTATGTATGTAATATGTATTACACAACCCCTAACGTTCTAACATATTGCCATATTCACATACATACATACCTACATGACATGCGGCGAGCGGTCATGTACTTGGGTAGGTAGGCAGGCAAATGTAGTGTAACATCCCCATCCTTCCCATCTGGACCAAAGGACTATGCATAATCTCCAGGCCTTGGGTTGGCGAGTGATTGGTGGGGTTCTGTTCCCCCGGCGGTCGTCGATTGGCTCGTTACAAGGTTCGGGTTAACAGTTTTTTGTTGGTTACAAAAGAAATCCTAGGGATTATTGTTCTCTCTATTTTTCTTGGTATAGGATGAGGATCGATGAAATGGGATTTGTACATAAACTAACTACCTGGTAGACTATCTGGGGTATACTGCCCAGACTGCCTAAGATACCCGGGGCCAGGTAGAATCTGAACCACTGTCGGGGCTAACACTTAGCATGTATACGAAGGAAGGCCATCCATTGGTTGGCTGGGGTGTATATAGGTGACGGGCTAGAAGCTTACTTCCCTACGGGATCGAGCGGCCATTGGTCGGTTCAGCTGATCTAAAAAGATCCAATCGTTAAAAAGAGGAAAGAAAAAAAATAAAGTGTTTCGATGGAAGGATTGGTCACGATTGAAACTACTGCGTTTGTAGAGAGAGAGAGAGAAGAAAAAAAAAAAAAGAAGGGGAAAAGAGCCAAGACGAAGAAAACGCCTGATTCGGATCCCGAAGCCGACCGAATCTCATCTCACCTCCCCATGCAGCGACCTATCGTCCGCCCTCCAGCCAGCTCTCTTCCAGCCCTTCGTACAACACGCACACGTACGCAAACGCACAAATATTACATACCAAGATCCCGAGAAAGGAGGAAGAAAAAAAAGGGGGAACCCGCCGAAAAATTGAAAACCTCTACGTACGGAAAACCCCATAGCTGTCGCCATATCGGCATTCTCAGCAAAGAAATGCTAGCAGGTTAAAATTTTTCAATATTCGTCGCCACAAGTAGCTTTTCCAGTTTTACCATGTAACAGACAAGTATCGTATCCATCTTAGCCCTATTACATCCATACCAGCGCCCAGTTAGAAGTGTACGTAGGTAGGTAGGTATCCGTCGTATCCGTCGTAACCGCTGCAGCTGGGCCCAGCCGCCGGACCGATTACAGGTCAGTTTACCTAAAGGTACCCACGGGCAACGGGCAACCGGGGGGGAATAAGAACGACTAATCAAATAATCAGATAATCTGTTTACTCAACGTATAACGTATGTGGAATTAAGGTAAACTAACGGTGTGTGGGATATTAGTGACAGATTGGATGTGATATCGAACGTAGCTTAATTATTCACCGGTCCGAACGTTGCAACCCTTAAAAACGCTAGCGTCTAGGTACGGATGAATGGCAGCCAGCCATGGACTGGTACGGGACTACGATTTTGGGGGGGATGGGATCCATGGTTTAGGTAATTGTCGCGAGCCTCTAACCACCTATGTACCTACTGTACCCTATGTACCTCCCAGCCTACCAGCCTACCAGCCTACGCACATACATCCCCTCCTAAACTGCTAGACAGATTGATGTACAGCAGGCACCGTAAGTAGTCTATCCCGCAGGTTGGGATGGACATGACCGGGCCGTTCCTGGCGGGGGGGACAAGGGGAAACCGGATTCCGGTGTTGGAAAAGACGGTACTTTGGTAACCCGTCACATCACGAATACCGGTACTTCCAACAAATTGCCTTGATTTCGCGAGGCGCTAGGGCAGCTTAGTTAGGATGAACACCTATGTAGATGTTTTACCTAGGTAAAGACTTACATGCCGGACTTATTTCAACGTCATGTGAAGGCTACGAGGATCTTGTCGTCGACCTAGGGCACCTAAGTATGTATCTAAGAAGTAAGCCGTTTGGCGTCTATCACTTCACTTCATTCCACTCATCAGCCCCGTTCATAGAAATCATTTTCATAGGAATCTCTTTTCATTTCCACTATGGAATCAGTCCCAGGCACACATGCACAAAGCAGTAGCCAAGCCATAACGGCGGACTTTCAACAGACTCTCGACACTGACTGATACGCAACAAACCGCGCACAGCAAAACAACACGCCCACACACACACAAACGCCGGTCGGACTCTCCCGAGTCCCATGATGTAGTAGGGGCAAATGTCCATCAATCCCTTAACGATCCCGAGTTTGATAAAACGAACGACAACCTCCGGCACCATAGGAGTTTTTGTTTTGCAATTAACCCTTGACCGGAAAACCACCCCTCCCCTAGAAAACGCCTCTCAATGTGAATCCGTGATGATGAATCTTGACCAACACAACACCGAAAATATGCATGCTAGCCTCCTTTTTTTTTTTTTGGTTCATTTCCATTCTTCCCCTGCTCGATTTTTACTCATTTGAATCATCCTAGTTCCATGCCTTCGAAAGGGGACTCGCGACCTTGGGCGCGAACTGGAGGCTCTTGCGACGAGCGGCCATGAGGCGCATCAGGATGCCCTGGTCCTTCTCGCGCTTCAGCACGCCCTCGCCGAGATCGGCGTAGCTCTTCGGGGGGCAGGTACGCATCAGCAGTTCCTTCTCCGGGGAGAAGTCGCCGCAACTGCTCTCTACGTAAGAGGAGTCGGGAGTGACGTCCATCGCGAACTGTCTGACGGCTTCCGGCGCAGGCGTCTTGGGCACTGGGGTGAGCATACTAATCTCCTTGTCCCAGTCGTGCTCGCAAGGCGCGTCCTCGTCCTCGTCGTGGTCCGAGGGCGTGCGCATCCAGGCTGTGCTGTCCCTACGACTGATGTGGTTGTTCGGCACCGTCTGGCACTCGCGGGCCGAGCCACCTGTTTGCTTCATCGGAGTGACCAACGTGCCGTTGAAGTTGGCAAGGGCCTTGGGCTCCATGCTCTTGCGACGGTTGTGTCCTCCACGGGGGACCAGTGACGTGTCAACGTAGTATGGCGACTCGTCGAGCCACTGATTCTCGCGCTCGCAGCTAGATGAAATGTTAGTACCGTTATTGTAGTATTGCAAGTAATGATCGACTTACTCTAAGACCCAGCCAACGCCAACACATTGCACAAGACCACCAGTCTCTCGCACCTTCTCCAATGTTCGCTTGCCTCCATCCTTGTAGACGACATGTGTAATTCCCACCTTGGACTGTGATCCCTCGGCACCAGTAGGGCTGGTGGGATTCCAAGGCCAGCTCTTGACGCAGCGAGCGCCCATCTGTTGGAGAAGTTCAACAAAAACAGTGCTGGCATCTGCACCGTCACTCGTGTGCACGTCGACAAAAACGACCGCTCCTCGAAGTAGTGTCATGTTAAGATCACGACGATAAATGCGGCCTGGGGTGCCCATCGAAGACCAAATATCAGACTTTGTAGGAGTGACCGGGGGGTATTGGATCGTATCATCTTCACCATCGATCTCCATCTTATGAGAATCTTTGGTAGGAGAGTACGAAATGACGGTCGCACTTCTAAAGTGACCGCCAGGGCGGTCGGTAGGAGGAAGCTTCGACACACTCGCACTGCGCTTCTTTACGATTCTAGGAGTAGAATCATCAGCTGGCTTCAGCGGCACCTTGGTTGTAGTGTTGAAGGGCTTAGGCGCAGATGGCCGACTTGGAGTCACCGGATCGAGACGGCGTCCATTCGATCCCAGAAGAGCTGGATCAATGGGAACGGCATTTTCGTCTCCATACTCCTGGCTAGCTTCCGAGACAGCGTCTTCCTCAATAAGAGACATCTCGTTTGCCTCATTGGCGAGTTGGACATCCTCCTCAGTAATAGGAATGTCATCAAACTCAGGTTCTGTATCTCCGTACATCGCCTCAATCTCCGCTTCGAGGGCCGCCTCAATGGCGGCTTGATCCTCCATCTCAGCGCGGATTCGCATCTCCTCGTCGAAGAATCCCTTTGACGGCGTAGAACGAGTCGTCTCGGTATCGCTGTCCTTAATCAACGAATACCCGTCTTCCTTAGCCTCGGGTGGAGCCGTCAGTTGAGAACCAGCCTGCTTTGATGGGCTAGAGAGAGGGTAGCCAAATTTAGATCCCTTAGAAACAGATCGAATAGCACGGCTTGCCGCCTTAATTGCGCTAGACGGCATTCCAATTCGGTTGGCCTTGAAAGTGCTAGGCGTAGGGGTCGCCGGCACAGCACTCAGCGTAGAAGTCGTGTCGTCTTGGAACTTGGTAATCGCCTTTTCGCTAGGCGCAAGTTCATCCTCGGAGTCGGACACGTCATGATCTACCAGGTCTTTAGCTCGTAGGCCGAAAGCCGAGTTGGGGCCCGATTTCGTAGCTAGATTGGCGGCCTGCTTAGACGGCAACGGAGGTGTGGTTGGTGCTTGGGCAGACGCCTCCTCTTGCTTCGCCTCCACTTCGTCAATCTCCATCGGGTCGTCCTCAGACTCCTTGACGGTAGCTTCGACTGCAGGCTCCTCCTGGGTTTCGACTGGCTTGATGGGAGCAGGTTCTGATTGAGTCATCACCACTTCCTTCGCGGGAAGCGGGTTCTTTTTGAGAGCCGGGTCCGCGTGTCGCGGGAGAACGGCTGATAGGCGGCCTGGGAAAGCGAGCATTGATGGAGATTCAGGCTGAATCTGCTCCTCTTCAGATTCTTCGTTCTCTTCATTGACTGCGAACTCATCTTCGATATCCATTGCCTCTGGCTGCTCAGCAGGCTGTTGTACCTCCTCGGTCGGCACCTTATCCTGAACGGGAGACTCTTGGACGGGAGACATCGTTGGCGCAAATAATTTGTCAGGACTGTTGTCGAACATAGGCGCGGGATGTCCCTGTAGCTTAAACGGAGACATGGGACGCTTCGCCGGTGATTGCAAGAGTGACATTTTAATTGGAGAGTGATTAATGTTACCGGACTCCTGCGACGGAGGTTGAAGTGATTTAATAGGCAACTGAGGTCGTTTGGCAGGAGATTGTAGAATTGAAGGCTTAGAGGGAGCCTGCGCATCCTGTTGCTCGGTGTTTGCGGAAAATAGTAATGACGGAATCGCCTCTACCTTTCTGGCGGGTGACTTCATCGTATCCTTGAAAGGGGACGAAGGTGGTCTGCGAGCTGGGCTGCCAAATGCCGATGAAGTAGTCGGCTCTGAAGCCTCCTTAGCATCGTCCTCCCCATCCTTAGTAGGAGGTTGAAGGTCAGGTTTCTTAGCCATACTAGGTGGCTTTACAGGGCTCTTCATCATGGGCTTGAGGGGAGTCTTTTCCAACGTTGCAAGCTCGTCATCTGAATCTGCGTCTCGTGACAATGAGAGATTCTCCGCATCCTTCTTAGGGCTTAAAGGAGATTTGTCTCGCTTCTCACTGTTTGTTGCTGTTCTTGCACTGGCTCTGGTAGCTCTTGTGCTGGCGGCCGGCTTGCGAACAGGCTTTGCACGCATGCCTGTGGCAGGCTCGGTAGCCTTGCTTCTAGTCTTAGGAGCTGCAGGAGGCACCATGTTCTCCTTCTCTGGTTCTTGGAATGTCACCGTTTTCTTAGTGGCTCCTCCCGTTCGAGACGCAGGTCTGGAGACGGCAGACTTCAAACCCGGAGTGGGTTCAGTGGATACGGTATTCGTGATCGTACCAGCCGTTGATTTGGCCGTTGATGACTTGGTGCTTGATGTAGCACGAGTGCGCGTCGTCTTTCTGGCTGGCTTAGTTGACTTAGTTGGCGACGACTTGGCCACCGGCTCTTCATCACTCTCATCTTCAGTGGTGGCAGTAGTGGCCTTTCGTACTCGCGAGCTTGCGCGCGTCTTTGCTGGTTCTGGCTTAGAAGCATTTGTGGTGGTAGCTGTGGCAGCCCTCTTCGCTCTGCTACGCGAAGCTTTGGTAGAAGCGGTGGAGGTGTTCTCAATTGAAGCTTCTGGCTGAGGTGCAGACTCGGGTTCAGATTGAGACTCGACCATCTTCTTCGGTCGGCCTCGTGTCCGAGCAGGCTTGTTCATGGTGTTTTGCTGTTCGGCATCTGTCTGTTGGTTGTCTTCGTCTTCGCTATCGTCGGCTCGTGTCTTTCGCTTAGTAGCGGTGCGCGTTGTAGTTGTGGGTCTCGTAGTGGTGGTAGATGTAGCTTTTGCAGACTTGGTCGAGGTCGCGGCCGCAGTGTCCTTTCCTGCACTGGTATTGGCTTTCGCGGCATCCTTCGCGGCTGCTCTGGCACGCGTCATACGCTTCGGAGGACTTGCGACTTCCATCGTGCAGCAGTCGGGGAAAATCGTGCAATTCGTTCAATGCGTGCAAATATGCAAATAATGCAAATCGTAAAAGAGTAATTGAGAATAAAGAAATGACCTACTCGGATACTTGAATTAATTCTTCAATAACCAAATTGGTCGCGCGTTGACCGAACTTGTTTATGTGAAGTTTCGTTCAAGTGGTTGTGACGTTTCGATGATTAACATGTGCGTTAAGGTCAAGGCAAGGCAGTTGTCAAGGTCACCGCGATTTAGTTTTCCTTGTTTATATTTATCCTGGTCCTAGCTCTTTCCGCACTTGTGGCTTGACGACCCACCCGTTGGCCCACCGACGGATTAATTGGACATTATGTCACCATACAGCAATTAACAATTGAATTTTCGGCCAATCACTTGTGTTAAAACAAAACTTTATTTCCCCGGTTTTTCTACAAGGTACGTACCACACGATTACTGTACCCAAACATCGTCGACAATGAACAACGAGTTTCTCAATTCCTTTCATTTTTGATCCTTACTCCTTATACAAAAATTATGAATGTAAATTGATTATATGGAAGACTCTGAAAATTGCTGCAAATGTCAAAATGGCCTTGAAATATGAACATGTTCCCTTCGCCTCCATAATCCTACCTTTGTTTCCTGCGTTAAGACCTCGGGACACGACATGAATGCTTCGACGTTCTCCTGCCTTAGGTTTGATTTGACAAATTCTCTAAGTCCGGCCCAATCCCCTCGGCATATTTGTGTTGTCATCGTGGAAGTGGCCTTTGGGATAATATTGCATTATATACTATGATGTGCAGGATTGCTTTTGGATCTTATAGAGTTATATGCCCCTATTACCCTGTACCCCTATCTTTCCCTATCTGCCTTTATATTCCCTCATCTTCATCCTACGAACATGATACAAGTTTGCTGCGATATGTATTAACCAAATATCCACGTCTATATTTGATCGTGTTACCCCATTCTCCATCTAGTCCGCTAGCTTTAAGTACCTGCATATTCTCTAGATTTTCCACATACTATCCCTACACTATGCTCAATTCTTGCAAGTCTTGCATGATGTGGTGTTACGTGCGTGATAGCCATAGCCGCTGGCTAGCTATTATATCTCGAGATCCCTTGCTTCGAGGGCTGCTGGTCATCAGAGGTCTAGTGTATTAGGGTAGCAAACTTTTGCCAAAAAAATGCCTAGGGAAAAATGGATTTCGGTGAAGGGCTTGTCCGTCATATTTATGGCATGGCGGCACTGAAGCTGCGAGGTTGCTCATCGGTTATGGTTTCTTCATATCGAAAGAGATAGAAGAAAACTCCCAGAATAGAAGAAAAGCGTCGCGAACTCGGCAATGGACTCTTATTGTTACGTCCCCTTCGGTATCGAGCCCGAGTGCAATCAATTTCGGATCCTTACTTTATTACCCGGTTCGAGAGAGCAGCCGCTGGAATGCGTCCTGGAGCACGGAGATATAGGCAACTCGCCTCCCTACGAAGCTATCTCGTATGTTTGGGGTGATACCCGTAACAAAGTCAACATCAGATGCAACGACAAGCCATTAGCGATAAGCGTCAATCTCGATGGCGTTTTGCGTCATTTCCGTTCCCCTTCTGACAAGAGAACGCTATGGGTAGATGCCGTGTGCATTAACCAGGACGACGACGAAGAGCGGGGAAGACAGGTTAGTCGTATGAAGGACATCTATTCGAAAGCTAGAGAGGTTCTCATATGGCTCGGTGAAGAAGGAGAAAACAGCGATGCGGGCATTACTGTAGCCTCAGATATCGCCCAAGCTTGCCGTCGATACATCTCTGACGGCGGTTCGCTTGATGCAATAAGCTTCAATGAGGAGCCCGTGGAAAGGCTCTTCGGGAAATTCAAAGATAGATCTGAGTTTCCGCGACTAGAAGCGTTTGCCAAAATCATCAAAAGATTGTGGTTTACTCGAGTCTGGGTCGTCCAGGAGCTCGCATTGGCGACAAAGGCGACCGTATTCTGTGGTAATTTATCTATCAGCTGGACTGATCTTATGAATGCCATCACAGCTCAGGATTATCTCAACCTATGGCTCGCCGACCATGAAAAAAATGCCTACGTATTTATCCTTGAAAGAGCTCGCAAAGAATGGAATGATGGTGTGAGACGTAGTCTTCTCAGCGTTTTGTTCCGATACCGAATACTTGACGCTACGGATCCTCGAGACAAGATTTTCGGGTTGAATGCGCTGATCAAGAATGAGCTCTCGGGGGGCCAGGCTCTACAGCCAAACTATACTGTCGACACCACGGAATTGTACATTGCCGTAGCAAAGGAGATCTTGAAACAATCCTCAGATCTCAACTTGCTATCTGTTCCCCGACGGCTTGTAGGTACCGGTCCCAGGAATCTGCCATCGTGGGTTCCTGACTGGACGAACACTCGACTTACCGCTCCGCTGGGTCTAGCAAACTATTCCGACATCAACGAACTTGCTTTTTCCGCTAGCGGATCTTCAGCGCCCCAAGTCGAGTTTGGTGGCGTCGACTCAAGTTCCCTCGGCGTTCAAGGCTGCTGCGTAGACCGCATTGCTGCCGTCGGTACAGTCCTGAGATTGGAACATCTTCCACGGACTGACTACCACGGAACTCGTATTCCAAAGTGCGCCTTCGTTCTCGACGATTGGTCTCGTGTGGCTAAGTTGCGTGGCCCAAATTCTTATTTCACCGGTCCAGAGCCATATCTTACCGGTGAGCCGATGCGTGATGCATTCGTCCAGACGCTAGTGACCGAATCGACGAATGAAAACATCGGAACACTACGCCAACAGCTAGATATCTTGGGGAGAAACGCCGCGATCGCTAGGTGGCTTAACTTCCTACCCAAGCGTCTCCCGGACTGGTTGACAGACAAAGCTGTCTACCTGGCCCATGCCATACTCTTCTACCGTCGAAATGACCAGATGACATTGGACTTCAGGATACACCTTTCATCCTTAGCGGATCGCCGAGGGTTCAGGACCGATAAGGGATATATCGGCCTAGGATCTGCTCTGGCGGAAGCCGGTGACCAAATCGTGGTAGTAAAGGGGGCAAAGGTGCCTCTAATATTGAGAGCAGCGGGGTCGCAATGGACGTTGCAAGGCGACTGCTTCGTGAAAGGGATCATGAAAGGTGAGGCCTATCGCGAAAATGAAACTTCCCGGATGTGGATTGTTTAAAGCGTTTGACTATATGCGACCCGGCACATTGGAACGGCACAACCAATTGAATCTAGCTACCCAACAGGTAGCTGGATCTTTGGATTTCCCGTGGCAAATTCTGGAAAAACTTGACAATTATCTGTCTGTCTGTTCATATATATTGGTTAGAAAGGGCTATCGCTAGCATGTAAAATCTCATTATTTAGGTACCTACTCTCTTAAGACATTTTGGTTACTTTTTGGAGAAAACAGATCTTCCAATCATGCACGAATTATAGGTCTCCACCATCGTCAAGTTCCGGATCTTCGCTGCTTAGCCTGCTTTAACAGATCTTGGTAACTTAAACAGCTACCACACCTTTCGAGTTACCCATGACGTTGAATCTCGATTCATCGAGCATTTCCTGTCTCATCGTCACCATCATCTACAGGCCTTGCGCGGTTGACGATACTGGGGTTAAATCGTTAAATGAAGGCAGATTGGCATGATCGTACTTTTGAAACGGGTGCCAAGATTAAACCCCAACGAAGCGTCTTTGCGTAACTGACCACGATAATAGCGGCGTAGCGGTGTTCGTTCGCCCTGTTTCCCCCTCAAACTCCATTTCACTTATCTTTATTGATCGATGCACCTGAAATACGGGAATGGCATTCTGGATAAATGTCTGAGATGTTCCTTCGGCCATATTACCTCAGATAAATCCTATTACGACGTGAATTACGACATCTCCACGAAACCGGCAATTGTTCTTACAGAGGATGAATCGAAACTCTCTTTTTCTCATGTGCCGAAAATCACCATCAAGCAGCTATGTAATTATCAAGTCTCCTGTTCGTCAGGGGAACGCCTGGAACCCCTACCCAGGTAGCCTCAAACACCCCCTTTGTCAGGGCGCCGTCTCAACCCCTGCCGCCATTCGGACCCCGGCCCCGGCCACCCTTCCCGAGCGGGTTGTTTGAGCCTCTTCATTGCAACGTAAAAAAACTAAACTTGCTTCTAAGCTTCTCCAGCATCCCTGCAACATCTTACCGTCGCTACTATCGCCAACCTCGAGAATGGGCTAGCTACATAGGTACTGTAGCCGTCGTTGTCAAGCTTCAGCCTGCATCCGCCTGCATAAAATTTGCCGGGACGCCTCAAGTGCTACTGCATACGTGCTATGTAAGAGAGAATTGCCTGGGACTGGACTAAAAGTCGACAATCCCGGTCGAAACAAGCTTCAGATATTCCTTTTCGTTAGCCCAGATGAAGTATCCTCGATCTAGGTACCGCGTGGCATGGCACGACGTCTAGTCCCGTTGTGGTGTAAGTAGCGTACCGCTTTATCCTCTACTACCCCCTTCCCGCCCAATTTTCGTCCCTTCCCCCTCGACCTGGTGTTGTGTTTCCCCCTTCTCGATGGCCTCAACTCCTTCTAAGCGCCACCTGACGTTCCCGTGATGCGTGTTTTCATGTTTCGAGACTTCGTCGTCGACATTCCCTCTTTTCGTTCTCTCTGAAAGTGTGTGCATGCGCGCCCTAATCATATCATCATTATCTTGATGTTTATTCGTGGTCCCGGCCCGATATAATTCCCTCTCCTTAACTTTCATAATATCTTCAAGCTTAAGCTTAAGCAAGCGGCGGAATATTCTTTATTCTTTCGCCACGCTCTCTTTCGATTCTCGAGGGTTGATCCCGCGTAATAAGAAACGGCTGGTCTGTTCCTATCGCTCTTTACATCGTTCGCAGTAGGTATCATTCTACCAAGCAAACACCTTCGACGAGTGCGTCGCGAAAAAGGAGTGAGAGTTCGTGTATAATTCTCACGTCCTAAGGATGAGGGCACCACACCCGGCGTTCTTGTTGTGCGTGCTGAGCTCGTTGTCGCTCGTTCAGGTATGCACTGCCCACCTACCTATCTATACCCACTACTATAAAATGATGGTAGCGAGACGATCTATGGATACTTACCCACGCATAGGCCGACACGTATCACTACTATGACCAACCTGTAAAGAGAGGGTTGTTGGACCAGCTGCTCGGCAGTCTAGGTGTTGGCGGTGGCAACGATAACAACGCAGACGGACAAGCTCACAAGAAAGGTGGCAAAGGACAAGATGGCGCCGTCACCGTCACCGAGACGGTAAAGCAGACGATCACGGTGGGAGCCGGGGCAGTCGCTGGACTTAACGGCACGGCGGCAGCAGCCACCAAGACCGTAACCGTTACCAAAACCGAGAATGCCGCTGCCGGCGGCGCAAACGCAGCGTACGTAACCTATCCTCGAGCAATTTCCTATTCCCCATATCGGGAACTTTGGAGAAAAAAAAAGACTAACCAAACCCCCAGAGCCCAACTATCCTTCGTAACCACCACCGTCCAAGGCACCGGCGCGCCCGTGACCGTGACCATGACGCCGATCGCCTCGACCGTCACCCAGGTCTCCACGATGATGCAGGTGTCGACCGTGACCATGATCCAGATGATCGCCTGCGGCACGACCGGCGCCGCGGTCCCGGCCTCGCAAGCGTCCATCGTCGCGTCGAGCGCCGCCGCCGCCGCCTCCTCTGACGCGGCCGCTGCAGCGGCAGCATCAGCAGCGGCGGCGTCGTCGTCGGCAGCCGCAGCCGCAGCCGCAGCCGCAGCCGCGACTTCCGCCGCGCAGGCAGCGACTTCGGCTGCTGCTGCCACGAGCGCTGCTGCCGTGGCTACAAGTTCGACTGCCGCGGCGGCAGTAGCTTCGACTTCGTCCGCCGCCGCCGTAGCATCGAGCGCCGCTACGTCCGCCGTCGCAGCTGTTTCCAGCGCCACCACTACTTCCGCTGCCACCTCCGCCGCCACGACGTCTACTTCTGCCGCCGCGGCCGTCGCGTCCTCGTCAACGAGCACCACCAGCACCGCGGCGGCCGTCGCCGCCACCACGCCCCTCGCGGCGCAGTCCTCGCTCTCGCTGCCGGTGGAGACGCCGCCCGTCGCTAACAACGCGGGAGGCGCGCCGGCGGTTACGGCCGCGAGTGCGAACGCGGCGGCGCCTTCGATTAATTTGAGCGGGATCCCGTTGACGAATGCTCTGACGCTTGGGTTCCTCGGTTAGGGCTTGTAACTGGAGTCGAGAGGCCGGGAGTGTGTGTGCGAGTATAGGCCCGGCGAAGCAGTGTGATATAGACAGGAGACGGGGGACGGGAGATGGGGAAGAGAGGAAATACCCCGTGTTGATCGCTGGTTGAAAGTTACTGGTCTTCCGGTTTCCAGATCCATCGGTTTTCGAGCCGTATAATTAATCATTCAACCCCCCAACCTACCTACACCACATCGCCACGCGATAATCTGTAGTATTCCTTTCTTCCCTCATTTCCCCTATTGCTGTTTTTTTTTCTCTTTCGGAAACTCATATACATATATACATACGTTTGTAGTAGGTATCGTGATTCTAGTAGCCCGGTTCTTGGTCGTTTATTTAGCTGGAGGAGGGGACGAGGATACCGAACCGCGGATTTACGCTTAACACGGAACGCTGCCAGGAGCATTGCAATATAAACCCAGACAACATGTACATAGCCTTCTTTTCGCTTCTTGAAAAACCTCGATGGAAAATAAACCGAGTAAAAAAAATTGGTTGAGGCTGGTCTTGATTAAGTAACTTGTGCTGTTCCTGTGTTGCTGCTGTCTTCGTTTAAGTGGGTTAGTGGATGATAAATGGGACCGACGACGAATCCGGGGGTAAGCGAAAGCGAGAAATATTGTATTCATGAGGGTATCTTCAGATGACCAGCCTTTTTGAACCGAACGCCATCACCGAATGCAAGTCTCGCCTAAGGAGATCATTATCCCCTTTTCTATCATTAGGACTAGGCCCCCTTCCCCTCTACCTCTTTCTTCCTTAACGCAGCTTTGAGCTTCTTAGCCTGCCTTTTACTCATAGGTTGATCCCCTCCCTCACCAACATTCTCACCCTCACCATTCTTCCTCTTATTATCCTTCACCATCGCCTCTTTCCCCTTCCCCTTCTCTTTCTCCTTCTCCCTCTCCCTCTCCGCCTCACTCTTCTCCGCCACACTCACAATATCCACCACGCCCCTAAACCCACTCCTCTTAATCCCCTCATTCACCACAACCCCCCTCGGATTCACCCCCAACGCCTCCATCCCCCTCTCCGCCGGCAATCCCCAAACCGCCAGCAAATTCACCACATCAGCAGGCGCCCTTAATCCCAACACATCCACCGCCTCACTACTAACAACCAACCCCCTCCCCCTCGTAGCACGCACAAGCTGCGCCACATTCCCGATAAAATTCGCCCTCGCCCGCGCATCCGCCCCATCGCCTAGCGCGCGCCCGTAACAGATCTCGAACCGCAGCCCCCGGTTCACGGCGGCCATGCACGGCTTCGGGCGCAGGTAGAACGGCAGCCGCGTCGCGAGGTCCAGAGATATGATCCCGATGTCCGTCGCGCTGACCGTCAGGCACGCCGCTTGGAACGCTTTTTCGGTTTGCGGCCGCACCGCGAGGATGTCGTAGAGCTGTGCTGCGCGCGCGAGTTGGGGGTTCTGCGCTGGGTCGCTGAGGTTGATTGTTAGGCGGCGGAGGACGGTGGGGAGGCGCTGGTTCGGCTGTTTGGCGGGATGCGTCGTGGAGGGGGAGGAGGAAGGGTTTGCGGGCGCGAATTTGGGGAGCGGATTGGTGAGTTGTGAAGGTAGGGGCGCGTCGAGGGTGTGGTTCAGCGCGACGACGTTGTACCCGAGTTGCGAGCTGAAGCGCAGGGTGCGCTCGAGATCGGCGGCGCTGGTTGAGGGCGACCAAGCGATGTTGAGGTCGTAGAGCATTTTTATTTGCGGTCAGGGTGATTGGGGCTCTTACGAGCTTAATTGGTATTTCAGCTGACAATCATGCTCCGTGATGGGAGGACCTTGGGTTGGTTGGTGTTTGCCAACTGAGGATTGTAAGACTGTAAATTTTATGTCATTGTAAGTTTTGTCACTTTTTTAGAAATCGCCCTGATAAGATTGTGTAGGTGTAACCTAGATGTCGTATGTAGTGGAGCATGTAAGTACCGGTACACTAAGCGTCAGCCGATGAGCCGCTATCGATAGTGCTGAGGCGCTGTAACTGCAGCTTCTTCAGTACGTCATTGGCTAGAATTGTGCGCCGAGCTGTGAGAGCTGTAATAATTGTCTTAGCTGTCTTGGCCACGTTCAGCACAGCCCCGGGGTGACGCGCATCTCGGACGAAGTGAAACTCGGTACTTTAACTAACGACAGCATGGACAAAGATTTAAACCAATTCACAAACGTTTCTCTCACATTTTGCGACTCGGTTTTTGTTTCTGCCTAACACTACCTACACATCCACGATTATTTCGTAAATACCCATCGTTCCATCACTGATTGTCTCGAGCGCATAGATCGCATAGACGTTATTATTTGACTGCCTCTATTTGCGCAAGCAACGACAAGAATCACCGCCGCATAGCTTGAATCGGCCACAATGTGTCTAATATTCACTTGTGGTGAACACACCTTCCGCAAGGAAGTCGAAGGTTACGAGGGCATCACATGCCAATGCCACAACTGCGGAAACTGGGCTGGACATGTCATCAAGAGCAACCCTTGGTTTACCTTCTGTTTTGTCGTAAGTCAAAGGCTACAGGTTGGGGAATTCCAAGTTTAGATGCTAACGCGACCACAGCCCATCCTCCCCCTTTCCATCCACGGCTACCACGATGTCATGTGCAATATCTGCAACTTTGCGCAACCGTTAGAGAACCGACCGGATGTCCAGGCCATGAAACGTGGAGAAGGAGGAGGCAATATACCGATGCAGAACCAACCTCCTCCTCCGCAACCACAAGGCGGACCGCCACCAGGATGGGGACAAGGGCCACCGCAAAACCAGGCGCCCATGAGATATGGCTAGGCGAAGGAAGTGCCTGAAGGCTGTGACCCACAACTTAAAACGACGGAATTTCGTGTTTGGTGCTTGATAGGGATGGGCTACAAGAAGAAGACGGGTTTATTGCATTCACGACGTGGCATGAGAATTGGAGTTCAAGGGATTTTGTGCTATTAAGATATCCTGCTCAAGGCGTTTTGAGATGATTGGCGGATGAGATGACGAATTGGCTTTCGGATATCAGAGCTTGTTTTATGAGAGTGCAACGTATAACATACGTTGATCTACTTTACTTGGACGGTTCTATTGAAATTGCTGACAAGCAATATTATAATTCTTCAACCATCTTCGATTCCCGTTTTATTAAGTGATACTAGCCATCACTCTAAGGCTATAGGTTATTAACGGCATTTTCTACGTAATTCGTAACTATATTATATCCGCGCCTAAAAAACGGTGCCGGATCGGGGGACTCGGGACCTCAGCATTTTGATGAATATTAAGCAGTTAATTAAGTAAGCACATTATATAAGCATTCCTGTCGTGAAACCACTTACCCGTACCACAACGCCGAGGTTCATCCCCTACTTTGTAAACTCAAGGTAGGAAAATAACTATCGCTTTGTCAACTCAGGGTCCTATATCAGTTGGAATGGCGGGCTGGCGGATCTCATATCGTTCTCTACACCGTTGTAGGGGACATGGGTTTAGCTCTACCAACATCAAAACACCAACCCAGCTCACTTTTTACACAGCAACATATTCATACACCATTCTCCTCCCAGAGTGAGATCATATGCCACGTCGTATAAAGCTTATATGAATCACGTTACCCACAGACTTATAGCTGCTCAAGGTCCAAGCAACCTTATCGGCCGCCTGAAGCTACTCTAGTATCCAAAACTCTAATCTCGCCACCATGACATCCAGCGCGTTGTCGCTTTCTGGTTCAACAGCAATTAATGGAATGGATATTTGCTCCTGATGGAAGGCCTGCGCATAAGTCCTGCAATTGGTACATGTGTGGTACGCATCACGTATAAGGACATCTTTTACGGCGACTGGCGTATCTCTGCGGGGACTTCAGTCGGAATGACTACTTTACTGATGCACACCGATGAGAAACTACACCCCGATTCGACGCGCTCCAATCCGGACCGGTGGATGGATCCCGCAGTCCGGAAAGCGGCCGGAAAGAGATTGCTCCCTCCTCGTGGGGAACGAGGATATGCCTCGGCATGTAGTAAGTCGCATCTTGCCCCTATCCGTGACAACGCTGTCACGCTTCCCGTCTTATTTTGTTAACGTGAGGTACCGTAAATTAATCTGACCTGGGCTGAGATGTATATATTTCTGTCAGCGTTGTTTCAAGGCTTTAATTTCACAATCGAGGATGCCATGGCGGGTGACTTCGAATTTGAAAGGGACAATCTTCGGATTGGTACCAAAGCCGAATGCAAACTTACTGGTTCACGTACTCCTTACGAGAGCTGACATGATCCATCTCGCGATCAATTGGATTTCTTCATAGCGTTTACACCTCTAATAAATGTCTTCACTAACAGGGTGAATCTGAAGAGAGTACTGGCTGCATCTCACAATCGTGATCAGTATGATGACCGGTATTATTCACTAGATACCTAGGTGCTTGGTATGCAATCATATCGAATCATCGCGGATACTTCACTCCAAAACTCTACAGACAAACATAACTGATTCGGATTCAGATTGTATTGGTCGATTCCATCAATAGCCTCGTTGTCTGAAATGAATCACTGTCGTTTAACTGAGAGGATAGTCAGTGATCGGAACAGAGATTCCCAAGGGGTAAATTTTATATATAAACTACCCAACTTACCCCTTGAAGTTCCTTTCCATTTCAGCACCAGCCCACGGTGAACAATCCAGCTCTTCCCTCACCAGAAATCATCACAGAGCAAATAACCTCAACATCTTCAGAAACCCCAGAGAACGCCAAGAAGGCCAATCAAAGGCCAACCAAGGCCATCCTCAACCTCCCTAACTCTAGTCTAGGTATCCTAGCAGGATACCTGCTACCTACCTAGCTAGCACCAACCACCTCGTGAACACCACACAATGCGTTCCCGCAGACAGTCCTTCAGCACCATCGGCCGCGAAGCCGGGCCCTCGCGCGGCCCCGTCGACATACGCGGCTGGGTAAACAGCACCGACAGCAGCGTCTCCGCCTCCGCCACACGCAGCACCGCGTCCTCGCGCGCCCCTACAAACGCCTCGAGCGTGCACCCGCACTCCTCCGTATCCGGCTCGCACCGCGGATCCGTGGCCTCCGGGCCCGCGCGCGGGCGGGACCTGCCCCCGCTATCCGCCTCTTAGACGAGCCGCAGCTCCTCGGCGACGCGCCCCCAGGCTGTACCTTGGATGGCGCACCGCGCACAGTCGCGCCCACCCGCTATTTCGATGCTGCAGTACCCGCCTACCGTGCCGGTGTCAGACTACTCCGGGCTCACGTCCTCGGCTAGTCGCGCGCGGACCCTGGCTTCCGCGCCTAGTTCGGCCCGTTCGTCGTCGACTGTTCGCGCGCCAACTAGGCCGCCTTCCGTGTCGGGCTCGGGCCGCTCGTCGTCCGTGGCGAGCCCCGTGCAGCATTCGGCTGCTAGTAGCAATGCGGCTCACCTTGCATTAGTCCGGCGGTCGCTTGCCACGTCGGGCCCGCAGGATCCGGCTACTAGCAATGCGGTTCATCGTGATATGGTTCGGCGGTCGCAGTACCCGCCGCTTTCCGCGTCGAGCGCGTACACCCATTCTTCCGCGTCCCGAACCGCGGTCCCGGCTTCGAGGCCTGGATCGGCGCAGCGATCGCACGTGTCGGGTTCGCATCACCCTTCGTCTGCGTCGTCGCACTCGCAGCGACGGGCTTCGGTTTCTGGGACTTCGGCTGCTTCTGGCGCGTCTCGTGCATCTGGCTCGCGTACCAGCCACACACCGGGACAACGTGTGGGCTGGGCCCACGGGACGGGTACCGCCGATGACCCTTACTATCTCCCCCGGGGCCAGGCGACTGCTGGAAACGGCACTGTCAGCAGTCCCTGGCGGGTAGTCTCGAGCCGTGGCCCCGTCCCGGGGCCTAATGGTCAGCCCGTTCACATGGACGCTGAGATATACATGCGGGAGAGCGTGACCTGGCGATACTGATTGCGTCCGGGGCCAGGATGCCGATATTCACACCCAACTGAATCATTTATGCACGGCAGTCTGGTAAAGAATGGAGGATGTTGGGACTCACCCTTACGTTGATAAGGAGGGGAAATTGGATATTGGGGATTGGACTAGGGACTTACGATTTACTTATGATTTATGATCTTTGATATGAGATTGTGTCTGAATCACTTAGGGGGTTAATTGATACCTGTTTGGTAATGATTTCATAGGTCTGAATGAAATTGATAATTAACACATTCTTTGCTGGAATTTGGTGAGGGTAACCCCCTTTCTCCATTTGATTTCATAAGCGTATTTGGCCAGTGGTGAATGGGCCCCTATTTTCCTATTTAGCTCGGCGTCAATTCCATCCTTTCCAGATTTGGTCAGAAGTCAAAGTCTTTTATCTTTATATTTTGTTCATTGGTTTTGAATCTGGGGTCATAGATGTTGTATTGATTTTGTTTTATCTGAAGAATACGTAGTTGACTTGCTGGTGACATAAAAGGTAGGTGTATGGTAGACGGACCCTTGATAAAAAAGGCGTCTAATTGAGATCTTAACTCACACATCCGCCCATAAAACTCCCGCAAAGAGGAATATTTTACTACCCGAAGACTGAGGCACTTCAAACCAAATTGAAGATCTGCAAAGGATAGCCAGCTTTCACCAAGATATCAAAAGCTCCCCTTTTCTCGAGCTCTTCCATCGAAGGATCGGATAGCAGTCCCTTCTCCACTAATCCCGCCAGGAAAGGCTCGATTCTCGGGTCCTCTCGAGAAATATCGTTTGTTCGAGTGTCAATGAAGCCCGAGTTCTCTGGCTTTAATAAGGCGTCCGGGTTTAGAAGCCTCGAGAGGTGTCTTGGCAACTCGCCAAGAAGCGCCTCGCCAAGCATGTTACGATCTAGGTAGCACTCGCCCACTACCTTGTACTTCGCACCTCCGCTGCCATCTCGCGCATCGGAGAACGGGCGTAATGCGACTGGCTTGGAGCAGCTGAAAATAAGGCTTAGTTCATCACCGGCAGCGATGGAAGCTGGTCCGTGTCCGATATGGCCGTCCTCGGTAATGAAGAGGGCGCGGTTGTTACAAGTATCGTTCGCGCGGTTGAGACACAGCTTCGAGTCTTCTTGTGGCAAGAACGATTGTTCTTGTGAGTCTGAATTGACGAGAGCACGTACTAAGGAAAGACAATCGTTGTATAATGGTTCATGAGGCACAGGTGGATACCATCGGTCGCCAAAATTGCCAACCCAGAGAGCGTGGGCATAGGCTTCCAGGATGTGTTCCCGGGACCCGCGATTTTCGTGTAGTGCTACTTTTCTTTCGGTTTCAGAGAGCAGCTTTTGCAGTGCCTGAGCAATCTCGGCAGGGGTTGCATCTTGTTGCAACTCATACACGCAGAAGACATCAGAAACAGTGCCACAGCGAATCCCGTGAGCTCGGAGGAGACGATCATCAATACTGGCAACGGCGGGTAGGAGATCGAAAATCGCTGGCAGCACCGCGTGGACTTGTGACGAAGACAAGAAACTGGACCAATCGGGAACCCAGCTTGGCAGTCCAGGAAAAGGACTAGGCGTACGTAACTCGCACTGATTCAGAACTTCAAGCTTGTTGAAGTGCTCGATGTACTTCCTGGTCACTTCCGTGTATACCTCGGCGACACTCTTGGAGTAATCCGGCATAAAAACGATTTGATCCGTCTCCCGAAGCTGGCCCATGATGCCGTAAATCCTATCTCGCGGGTCAGAGCACTTCGATGTTCTGATCTGCCGCCTGAGGTTTGAGAATCGGAATCTCCTTTTCGAATAGAGCGCGACAGTGTCTGCTTGGCCGAGGTACTTGCGGAACATTTGCTCTTCCGCCGCGTCGAACTCGTCGGCTACTAGGGGCTTTCGAAAGATGACGTATATCGCCTTGCAGAATACTCGCCACCGGGTTTGCTTGCGACCACATTGCAATACTCCTTCAGCTTCACCAAGACCGATCTCCTGCCGTATCCAAAGCCTCTCGAACCATTCGTGGCTTATGAGATTATATATGGACATAGCTTCCTTCTTGCTAAGGCGTAGTTCTTGCTTCATATCAGCCCACCCAGGCTCAACAGAACTAGACGAAGGTGTCACGATGCCAGACCCAAAGTCTACATCAACCTTGCTGCCAATCCGCTCGAGAACTTCGAACGCGACATCGCCGTCGTCCTGTTCTGGGCCAAGGAAAGCGACGACTTTCTGAGCGAGGTGATAGATTTCACGCATCATCAGAACTTGCTTTGCCCGCTCGTCGTAGTCGTTCTGGTTTATGCAGATCGCGTCTGCCCAGATAGTTCTTGGCATATCAGCATAACGTAGGTGCTGTAGGGCCGTTGCCAGGTTCTGGCCAACGAGAAACTCATCGTTGCGAAGCGTAGAATCTGGCAAAACGATTTCTACGACTGTCTTGACAGGGTCGGTCGACGATCCCCAGACGTATGACAAGGCTTCGTAAGGGGGAGAGGTAGCCTCGCCCAGAATGGCATGGTATAACCGGAGGTGAAGGGCGTCAGAGGACTCTCCAGGCTGGATATCTATCAGTCGGATTTCGCGGTCTCGGAGAGGAGAATAGTGGCTGGCGATAGCCATCTGCAGAGATTGAAGCGTCTGATCGACATGATGGTCTTGTCGGGTGAGCAGATCCATTGTGTAACCTCAATTATATATGTAAAACTTCTAGTCCTATTCTTCGCCCTGGTTACTAGGGTGTGTATATTGGTATGTTATGATTTGTCGCCTTGTAGGGCACCAACAAGGTTCGTGAACATGTGTTCTGGTGGTTTGCTAGGATTTGTGCTGACTGGCATTTCGACTTGCCCCGAATTGGATGCTTGGTATCAGCTCCTGCAAGGTCGTACAAGGACGCAGAGGTGATCTTCATCATAATTGGCAACAGTGTCGGTAAGGCTCTGCGAAACAGGGCTTACACAGCAATAGTTATGCTTTGCCTGCTTACTTAGCACCCTATGCTGCCTAGACAGGTTCATCTCTGCCTGCTTCAACCAGCCCTAGTACGTAGATGCGGGGCACATTACTATGGCAATAAATAAGCGAATTGAAGTTTTTGTGGGATAGCGCGGCTCGTCACCAAAATCGAATCATCTTCAAAAAAAAAAAGTTTCAAGACACGTAAAATGTAAAACGTAAAAAAAAGCAAAATGATAACCAGTTAACTGGTTATAATCAATGATTTATGATTGCGGTGGGACTCGAACCCACGAGGATTGCTCCACTGCGATATTACTGGAGAGTAAATTCAAGTTGAAACCTGAACGCAGCGCCATAACCACTCGGCCACACAACCCGTGCTAGACGTAGGATGACAAAATTTTGCTAATGACATCCTATAGAGTCTAATTGGCTCACTTGTTAACCGGCTGCGGGAATTATTCCAAATGTGGCAAGTCCAAAGCTCTGTTTTTCTATCCCTAATCTCTCCGCATTGGTAGCTAGTAGTACGATTTCTTTTTTGATCCCCGTATAATAAAGTTACGTGGGATAATCGGGATTCTCTCGAAGACAAGATTGATGACGTAAGTGTGGCTTACATAATGAACCGGTGGGGTATCAAAATTAAACTGATGACAAACGTAAACTCGCAACGACGAGTCTCTAACTGAACTCTTTACTAAGCGAACAAATCGAGAGGGAAGTATCCGGGCTCAGTTGTTTGATATCTAAACTATGAGTTATTGTATAAGTTAACGATGTAAACTAGAGGTTGATCATCAAGCCTAGCTGTTGACGATCTCTGGTTGTTAGTATCATTACCTATATCCTACTGCCAACCAAATCATTCACCTGCCCCTAACTCAATTACCAGCCGCCCTGTTGATATTGCATTGAATAAAACCTGGCGGAAATTATACAGCAATTATGTGGATGCTAAGACTTTAGCCTAACTAGATACTGTTTATAACTCGTCTTAATGGAATGGCGGGAAAGAGGCGGCCAAGTCCACAGCTAGTCGGTAACCCGTTCATCAAGAAGAGGAATCTGGAATGGTCCCTGGATCTTGTCGGTTCTACGCAAGACAATAACGAAAGCAGTAGTTCCGAAGAGTCACATGATCGGGTACCTGGTCTAGATAGCGAGGGTCCAGACACGTCGGCAATTGAGGCTGGGAAGGTGAAGATTAAAGATCATGTAACTTACTTCAGCACACTTTTGGCGAAGGCGACCATCTCTCCTTTCCCCTCAAGTACGCCAAGGCTATCGATCGACGTTTATAAGCAGCTGTATGAGACAAACTCGGGCAATCCGAAAGGCGCACATTTTGTCGTGCATCAGCATGATCATCCCATCGCGGGAACGCATTACGATCTCCGATTACAGATAAATGAGACTAGCAGTGTGTCATGGGCCATCATGTACGGGCTTCCAGGTGATCCGAATAGCCGGCGCCCAAACAGGAACGCCACTGAGACGAGGATCCACACTCTCTGGGTAAGTTCTGCTAATCTGTTCTAGACGCCCAGAAACCTTACCAACGCTAATCCACGCACAGAATCATCTCATAGAGACAGCCTCAGCCTCGACAGGCTCGCTCATAATCTGGGATACGGGAACGTACACCGTTCTCCCGTCGCGAAGGAACAAGAGACGCGCTAATTCCAACTCACAATCGGAGGAGGAAGGTCCTTCGTCCGAACTCACGGAACAGGAGAAACTCCACAGGGCGTTTCAAGCGCGGAAAATCCGTCTGCAACTCAACGGCACACGACTTCCGCGTAACTACGTGTTGAATCTGCGTCTCACCAAGGAAGAAGACACCGCCGGCCGCGCTAGAAGCACGCGCGCGCCTACGAGGCGGCGGAGGCGAGGTCTCTCATCATCATCATCATCACGGGGAAGAACCACAGGAGAAAGGAAAGGTAACGCGGCAGAACCCGGCACGAGCTCTGGTCCTGACTTCGACTCTGACTACGAGGAGTCCGAAATCGTGAACGCGCCGAATGAACAAGTAGTAGATGCAGGCGAGGAAGAAGTCTCGCCCATGGAGCGCGAGATCCGCGAGCTCGAGGACGAGGAGGTGCGACGTACAAACGCGTACCCCGGCGCGACGAACTCGATTGGGAGTGTCCATCAGAGGCACTGGTACCTCTCGCTCGATAGGGAGGCGTGCGGATTTGTGAGTCGACGGATATATGGGCGTATGGTTTGGGAGTTGGAGGGGGGCGGTAATGCTACTAAGGGGGAGGAAAATAAAAGTGGAGATGAAGATGGAGAGGGAAAGGGGGATAGTGGTAGGCTCGCGTTCCCGTTCTACGTTCGTGGTGTCGATGTCGAGAGGAGCGTCATAACTAGGCGGACGGGCGCTGCTGTGCTGAGGCATGAGGGCGTCGAGGGGTATGTGGGCCGAAAGGGCTGGCGGCCTGTGTTGAATTAAACTCAATCTGGAGCCGGTATGTAGGAGAGGTAGTGAGATGATCATGCGTGCTTATTTCGCCATCCGGTGTTATTTGAGGGCAATGGAGCAATATGATCTCAGGTCAAATCCTCTGGGAATGAGGGGGATACTGCCATTCGAATGACAAAGAGTATGAAATACGCATTCTGTCACACATGAACACCAACGTAGGAGTAGGTTTGTGAACACAATCTGTCCAAGGACTTCTTCATTGAAGGAAAATTTGCTCAAATTACCACTTCATAATTGTTTTATATAAACGATCAGTTACGCTTATCAGACTCTTCTAGCTTGTTATTTAAACCAAAAAGAAGTTGGTCAAGACAGTATGTAGTTAACTATGAGAGGAGTTGTATTTAGGACTTCACATGACCATTCAAAGGCATTTCCTAAGAACCCGACGGTATTGTCTTCGAGGCCTTTATTTACCAGACCTTATATAGGTACATACAAGTTCTTAGATCAGGTACCGACATATGTGGTAGATATTCAATATCAAGCATATGAATATGTACTAAGTCTGACTTGATAGAACAGGTCCCGATCTAATGCTACCTGACCATGCGGTGCCATCTAATGTCCAACCTTAGCAACTGTAGTCATAACATCAGGGCTCCCATTTTCCCAACTCAAGACCATAGCATGCTTAGCGACCCTCCAAGGATTCTCCCCTTTTTGCTCTAGCTCAGGCAAACGCACAAGGTCTAGGATATATCGGCCCTGATTTTCGATTCAAGGTTAGCCTTCCCCCTGAATCATACCATGCGACACTTAGACGCCAAGGTAAGGAAGACTCACCCCATTATGCATCATAGGCCCTCCCCGGGCAGCTCGGCGGAATAGATGACCGTTGACGTTAGCAATGGCTCTGCACTTGTCCGGCCTAGCGACCCCTTGAACGGGTTGCGGGAGCTCGATGAGTACGTTCCTGAATACGAATATCAGTTTTCCTCCCCTAAGCTTGGTAGATAGCATATGACCTACCCAACTACATGCTGTTTTCCGTCAAACGAGCTCATCATGGGACCGAGTTCCTCCGCCCATTTCTCGTTCGTCGTCTCAATCGGGCTCCCGCCGAACATAGATGTGTAGTCGATGACGACTTGCGGAGCGTAAACGTCTTTGATGAGACCTTCCCGCGACTCTAGGTCGAGGTATAAGCCCTGGTTAGGTAATTTATCATTAGTCACCCGTGTGATGTAGATAGCCTTAAAGAACGGTAGGACCATCACCTAAATACGTACAAGGCGGGTTACAGTGTCGTGGACATTGGCCCTGTCAAGCAGGTACGCCAGGGTGTCGTACGGCGCGGCCATCTTCGCAGATCTTGCTAGGTGTGATGTTTAAAATAGCTGAGTATGTTGGTCTAGATAAAGTATGCTTTTCATCCAGTTGGCAGTTTGTCTTGATCACTACGCAAATCATTGCTAAGGGTGCGTATAGCTTCATTATATAATTGGTGTAACATGCTATACCCACTAGCCACCAGCGTTACATTATAAGACTCCGCCGCCAACACGCATGCAAACCTACCTAGATACCTTGCTAGACACCTCCTCCACTCGGATTTTATGGTATGTTCTAAACCCCCTTCTAGCCGTAACGCCGTAACTGCTCTTACCTATTCTGTATATAAGTTCACCGTTCGCCTATTCGCGTAGATCCGCAAAACCCGACTTAAGGCCGAGAGTCGGCAACGGGTCAATTATGCTTGCTGAATTACGGAATCGAGACAGGTGCCTTCGCCTGATTGGTCCATTCCGATGGAGTATTAACTAATCCCAAAATCGATTATAGTTGACCAAATTGGCCGTCGCCGAAAGAGGTACCTAACTATCCTTTACATGCGCATTGTCTATAAAAAAGCACCAGGGAGATAGCGTTGGTATTGTTACGGCGCCATCGAGTAAATCCGATGTAATTAACATACATACAAACCTAATTTTTACATACCAACTCTCCATTCAGAATTCCGAATTAAAGCCCCCCCCCCCCCCAAAAAAAAAAAAAGTCATGTCTTCACCAACCGGCACAGTCCTCCTCCTAGGCGGCACCGGCAAAGTAGGCGGGCGCATCGCGCCGCTCCTGAAAGCCGCCAACGTGCCCACGCTCGTGGCCTCGCGGTCCGGAAATTCGCCCACGGGCTTGCCGGGCGTCAAGTTCGACTGGTTCGACGAGTCGACGTGGGAGCCCGTGTTCGCGAGCGCGTCGTCGCCGCCGATCGGCGCCGTGTTCCTCGTCGCGCCGCTGATGTCGCACCCGGGCGCCATCATGCGCAAGTTCATCGACCTCGCCGTCGCCAAGGGCGCCAAGCGCTTCGTGCTCCTCGGCGCAAGCCCCATAACCGAGGGAGGGCCCTGGATGGGCGACGCGCAAAAGTACCTGCGCGAGCTGGGCGAGCAGGGAAAGCTCAGCTGGTCCGTCCTGAGGCCGACTTGGTTTCAGCGTAAGTGATGCTTCATTGAACTCGCATATACGTCAACGATATGAAATTTCGAGAAAGAGGGCGAAGCTATGGTAGTTAGGGGAGTGAGCGTATTTGTGTAGCCGATTGATGTTACACAACCCCCTTTACCCCTTACCGCCCTTACCCCTATTTTCAGCAAGAGCCATAACTGACCAACGTTTTCACACATTAGAAAACTTCACGGAAAACGCTCACGGCACCTTTTTAAAGTCAGAGAGCAAGCTGTTCTCAGGCACGGGCAACGGCAAAGTCCCGTTCGTCAACGCAGAGGACATAGCTGCCGTGGGTTTCCACGCCCTGACGTCGCCTCAACCTCCCAACACCGATTACGTGATTTTGGGCCCGGAGCTACTCTCGTACCCTGATGTAAGTCCCCATCCCATTTCTGTAATCATATCTTTACCTACCGCTCATCACCCATCACCCCTCTTACGCCCCACTTCCTCAAGTCTTACTCTTTTCGTTACTGCACCTACTCACCCTCCATCCCCGCAAACAGGTCGCAGCGATCATCTCCGCCGCCGTCGGCCGCACGATCGAATACGTCGAGCTTAGCGAGGCGGACCTGGCAGCGCGGTTCGCGCAGTGGATTGACCCCGAGTACGCCGCAACCCTGGCGGCCATGGACACGGACATCAAGAACGGCGCCGAGAACCGGACCAACGACGTCGTGCGGACCGTCACCGGCAAGGAGCCGCGGAGTTTTAGGGACTTCGTCGAGGAGAACAAGGCTGCTTGGATTTGAACTATGTACTTAAAACGATGTAGGTTAAGTTACGTCAAGCTAGGTAAGGGGGGGAAGGGTTAATGTTGAGTATAGGCGGCCCTCGATGCGGAAATCGGTCCTCTTCAATACGGCCCTGCCTATATCAGCGTAACATGCGTAATGTTGAATCGTTCATTGCTGCCAATCAAGAAGTTCCGCAGCGTTTGCATCGTTACGTTCTTTCACGTGGCGTCACATAAACGAAGTATAGATTGCACGCACTCAATGTATAAATACCAGACATCCCGTGTACAAGCCCATTATCATTCCGTATTCTCATCAGCTCATCCATTCCCCCTTTTATTCGTTTAGTATACATATAATGAAATGCATCGCAAACTTTGACAGGCATACGATGAGCGTTCCACCCGTCTCTGGCTCCGAGAGGATATCATTCGTTTTTGGAGTTAAGAAGAATACGAAGACCATCAAATTCTTTTTCTGCAGCCTCACCCCGAAGCCGAACTCAACTAATGCAACACAGCGCAGCATACAGTGCCTCAGACGAGCACAATGCTTAAGCTTAAGAAATATGCGACGTATATGCATGTGGAAACAGATTGGGTGGTACAAAGGAAAAAAATGCGTAGAAAAAAAAAGGCTCGCTCCCTAAACCAGTGGAATGAGCGACATGAGCCTAATCCTTTTGTGGTAGTTCCTAACTCAAGCATGGACCTTCTCAAGGTTCTAAACAGGTATCTTACTCACTTATTTTCCATGGAGCTTTTCCTTCAGGTAAACCACAGCAGCGTAGCCCGAGCAACATTGAGTCGTCATACCGTGGGCACACCACGGACACTTGACCATGGTGGTAATAGTAGCCGAAACGCCGAGCAATTTATCCTCCACGAGCGAGTCAGGCTTGGCCATACATTCATATACTCTTGAAGGCATATCATGGAAGAATTTGCAGTTGCAACACTCTACCAGCATTTTCGCTAAGGGATCTGACCGACCCTCCGGAGTTCCAGCGCCCTTGATATTGGTGGATGAGTTTTTATGCGCATAATGCGGCCGCAAGGCTCGGGACGTTGGGACAGGAGGAATCGGGACGCTCTTCCGGGCTTCTTGGAGATACGCCGCCCCTGGAGAAATTACGGTAGAAGATTCTTCGCTGTTGGAACTATTCTTGCGAGATCTTAGTGCGGATTTTCGAGGGGCTCCATCGACTAAATCTGCCGGCGGCGAGTTAGGAAGACTAATTGATGAAACCCCGGCTTTTGCTTTCTTTGAATATAGCGCCTGTTGCTTCGTGTCGGGCGAGAAGTTTGCTGAATGGATGTCGAGAGCGGATTGGGCCCTGGGTGGCATAGACTGCTGATACGGATGCCTATTAATACGCTCTTCCTCCGAGCTATCTTTGATGTCCTCCGCGAAGGTGACCGATGATGGCGTAGCAACAAGTTGCGGGCTCGAGCTTAGGCCACTCTGTTTGTCTCCAGATGAATTGGCGAGATTATCATTATCAAGATCCATTGGCAGTGCTGTCCGGCTCCAGTTATCGTCTTGAGCAAGTGCATCTCTGCTGGCAGATCGTGAGCTATGTTTTGATGGCAAGTCTACAGCTGGTGGTTTGTAGGTCATCTGTGGAGTCCTTTCATCGTCTTTGCTACTTGGTCGCGCCGTGGTATTGCTCGTGGTATCCGCATGGCTTCGTGTATGTCCTTTATACGCTTGTGGACGCAAACTATCTGGCGTTGACGCTGTGGATGGCGATGGAAGAGGATCATCGCACGTTGAAGACGAAGATCTCTCTGAGCTAGTCCGACTAGGATCAGTATTTGACTGAGACGTGGACACGCTGGATAGATCTGTTCCTGCGAGGATTCTGGCAGCTTTTGGCGACAAACCCAAGCGCTCGAAGGCGGGAACGTCGCTATCCGAATAATGAGATGACAGTGATGGTGAGTTTTTGGCTGGCTTTTGTTTTAAGATCCTGCTAGTAGCATTTAAGTGCGATCCAACATCATGATTCATGCTTTCAGGCGGTGTGGGTAATTCCTCGACTTGTCTCCTGACTGGGATGTGTCTTAAAATATGTTCCAAAGCGTCGTCTTCTTCGGGCTCTTCCTCAATCCGTGGTGACGGGAATTTACCCTCCATAGGCGACCGCAGATCCAGAGCTGGAGGAGCATATGATTGACTGATGAAAGAGAAATAATCGGCCGATTTATCTAATCGCGCTGGTTTTTTGGTGGGCGAATGTACGATCTCCTCTGCTTCAACTGGCTTCTCTCTTTTCGGCGGTTTTGTCATTTCTACTGGAATTTCATAAGCTTCATCGGCCGGGTCAGATGTAACAGCTCTCCCTATCGTGTTTGGACTAGATGGGAAAGTGACATGTTTTCTCCCATCTGAACCTGATGGAGAACTACGACCTTGCTTCCGAGACCCTGGTCGGATGGTCGATGCATGGGTGCCAACGGACCCCTGATCGTCCTCGTCGTCGGTACGTAAATTCGCCTCGGCCTGGGCGGGCTTTTCGCTGTCAAAGTTGGCAAATCTCCGTCGACTAGAAGATGGTGGATCCATTTCATGCGAGGATTCCTCCCAGGATTCTACTTGCGGCTGTACATAACCGTTTGCCCGTCGATTCGTCCGATGCTGGTGCTCAAGTTCCCGGTTCGAATGTCTAGCCTGCCTAGCATGTGGTGGCCGATCTTCACCATCATTTGAGAACTCAGCTCTCTGTTTCGAAGCCCGGGAAACACGGTCCTCTCGTGGTTGTCTCTCCTTTTCCACAGCCTGTTCTCGATTTTGCAGGCGCGCATTTGGTGCTTGACTTCGGCGGTTTCGAAATGAAGTGGGTTCCTGCGATTCTTGGTCGCCACTCATATCTTTTGGCTCTTCAAAATCAATATGGTTTCGAACACCACGAGCAGCCATATCGGGCGTAAGTTGAGTAGTGACTCGTTTGGCTTTTGGTGGGAACGTAAATTCGGGGAGCTGTTGGTTACGTTCATCGGAAGCAGTCGGCCGTTCCTTGGGACGCGCTGGCTGTCGGTCTGCGGGGCGTTCCACGGGCCGTCCTGCCGGATGTTCTTTCAACCAACTAGACTCCATGTCCTGTTCTTGAGCACTGCTAGGGCGTTGGAATCGAGTGCTATCGGCATTTTCAGAAGGACGAAAGTAAAGATATGATGGTCCCTTCAACTTATTCAAGGTGGATGTAAGTAATGATTGAGACCGTCCATGACTTGAGCTAGAGTTTCGAGCACTTGGCGGTAGCTGATCTAGGGAGGAAATAGATCGAGTAGAATTCGAAACAGCTGACTGAATCGAAGGTGGCTTTCGAGGGTTGACGAAGTTAGGATCGACTCCCGAGGAAGATTTATGGGCTCTATTGCCGTTTGGTGGCTGATTGTCAATGATGTTTTGAACGGCGGCAACGTTTCCATGTTGTAGCCTGAAGCCGGATAAGAAGCCTTTGCTTTTAGGCTTGCTTTCAAGCCTTGGATTGGTCATTGCGCCTGGCCGAGCGGAATCTTGGATATCTAGGTTCGCAGTCTTAGACTTGGGATAAACATCTAACTCAGGGGCAGATTGTGCGCGGCTCGCCGTCAGTGGTTCAACCCCTTGAACGTGCGGCGGCGGAACCTTGCTCAGTCTGTTCCCCTTTTTCTTCAGAGTGTTCGCGGGTTTGTCTTCCTTACTTTTCTTGTTTTCCTCCGCTTCTCGCTTCTTGGGCTTCTTGGCTTTCTTGCGTCCGTATTGCTCCCAACTAGGCGATTGGCATATGGAAGACTGGTCGGAAGAATCACCTTCGTCCTCCTCTTCTTCGGGGCCCGTGAATGTCACCGTCTTGGTGCGCTCCTCCTTCGCTGGCAATTCCCCGGAGATTCCATCCGTGCCCACGGCAGGGTTTTCGGTTGGCTCTGGTGGTATAGATATCGAAAGCGAAGGTAGGGCAGAGCTTCGCCGCACGGCTTTCATTATCTGGGTTTGGTGTGAAAGCGGAGGATGTCCGCTCGCACGCCGAGCCTTAAAGGGATTGTTTGGCTGGGCGGAGGGAGGAGTTGTACTTGGCGATGCGATCGTCGGGGGGGCATGACCATGGATGCGTTGCATCTATAAGATTTAAGATGTGAGTAGGCGGCGTATTAATGGTGGATCGGAGAGCGGAGGGGCAGAAGGGGGAAAGGGGAGAAAATAGTGTGTCTGAAAATGGACCGAAAGGAGGGTTGCATGCCGAGAATTGCATACCTTGTACATCTTCTCCAGCTCCAGCATCCGTAAGAAGCTATCAGTCCTTGATGGACGGTCTGGGTCTGACTTCTGGACCTTTGGCATATTGAGGATTACGCGTCAACTGGTATGCTCGTATGTAGCAGAGGTAAATCCCAATAATTATTTCGGGTTAGCAACTCGGCTGCCAGGTATATTGATTGGGAGGACTGGCAGACGCAGACGCGGACGCAGACGCAGATGCGCACTGGCAAAAAGGGCCGGGTCGCCGGGGTAGAGATACACCACGTCTAGTAAGACAACAAGCCAACCGGTTAGTGCGATTTCTAGCTAGTCTCTCTAAATGATGGAAGGCCCGGCGACGGTATAGAGTGCCCGCTCAAGTAGGGGTGGGACGTACAAGACTGAATATGTCCCACTCGTCTTGGCTTCTAGATGCGTATGTCCGTATAGCCGGGTTCCTATCTAGGGTCCGGGACTTGATGGCCTGACGGCGGCGAAATTAGTCAGGGTCAGTTCGACTGCTTGTCTCATTTGATTTTACTTACTAAGAGCCTAGAAGTGCAGTAAGTAGGCACTTGGTATGGAGTTGGCAACGAATGACATTAGGTAGGCGATTTTGGGTATCACGATGGTAAAGTCTGGTGGTTTTCGTGACTAACAAGCGAGCACAGTGTTTTCGTAATTGTCGTGGGGTTAGGTAAAGATGATGGATTATATCAGATTGAATTAGATTAGGTAAATACAATGTTGTCCCGTATTAGACAATGAAAAGATATGCAGCAAACATTCTAGTAACGAACGACTGGAATAGTGATCAAGCGGACTGTTGATGAAGAAATAGGTAAGAATTATGTAGAAAGAGAAAAGGGAGAAAGATAGATTTCAGAGTGGTGGTGGTGACAGGAACGTGGAGGTGTTTGTTTTCTATCTTTGGTGGCTTTCCATGTATGTACTTACAGGTCCAGAGACATTGTATGCAAGCTGCCAACCGAAGACAAGTACTAGGTAAAGAAACAGGTAAAAGTAACAGGGAACATCGTGGACCTATGATCGACACGAGATACACGAGATGGGAAAGAGAAACGGTCTGTCGGAGTTGACAAGTCAACTACGTAAACTCTAGTTCCCTAGTAGTTCCCAATTGACTAAATCGACATTTCCTAATGATTGGACCTTAAGTGAACAGCTGTTGCTGCCAAAAACAGAAAAACTGTCGGCTTAGGGCTGTTAGGTTGCGGGCCGGGTGACAGGGGTTGCACTGCCTTACGGGTCTCCGTCCGCTAAACTTAACTATATGCTCTACTGCATCTGTACCTACCTTCAATCCGCTTAGCGTTGGTTTCTTGTTTGAGCTCTACCTATAATCCATCATGTTTAGACTTAAGCCATCGTTCGCTGCACGCTACGTTACCAAGGAATCGGATCGTGCTCGCCTTTTGGTTAGGTACGTTATACCAATGATGATGTTTTTGCGTGTAAATACGCAGGTGGCAAATGTAGTGCCCAATGAGCCTCTAAGAAAAACTACTACTAGTTATGTATGTAGGTACTCGTCCTACGTCCGGCAAACTACCTACATCCTCAAGCCCCCCGCTACTACCGTATAGGTATATAAAACTAGCAGCACAGAAGATACCTACCTTCAGGTTGGTTGATGGATATCCGAACAACTCGAAGTTCTAAGCCCGTGTTAGTTTCACAACTCGAGGGGAGAGCAACGCATAGACCTAGGTGGCTTATGTGAAGGCGTCACCAACCGTATGATAATGTTCGACCAGATGCTTAAGCTACCTGATGCGAATGCCTGGGTTAATTGGAACGACTGTGCGATTAGAGATAGCGACATGATGTTGTCTTTTTAAGGTAGGTACTTGGGATGTAGGTACATCAATATTGGATAGGTATCTGCATATAAGTGACATTAGCGCTCCATAGTGTTAGCGTATAGTTCGTTGTTAGCGGCTACTTCCAGGAGTATAATTTGCATTTAATTGGACGGCAGCTACGTGCTATGCTATCCTTAGCAATACCTTACATCGATATGTCCAGCTGAAAACTCAATATGGGCTTTCCAAGTTTCTGGTAACTTTGCAATCTTCTCACAAGTTTTTTTTTTTATCAAATTCTTTATACGACCTTCTCAACATCTCGTACTTGCGCTGTGACGCTTCCGCAGTCCGATCATGGTTGAGCCTTGTAACACCGCTGCTCACGTTGAGTTATTTAATTCCACTGTCTCGCATGTCCACTGCTCTAGGAAGCAAGGCAGTCATTCATTACCCATCTACTTATCACCTGTTCGTCTACGAGAAGCATTGCCGTTAAACCCCCAGGTTCAGCCTGGTTTGGAATGAGGGGCCCCATTTACCACTATTCGGAATTTAGGCCACGATCGACAAGTTTTTTAATGGACAAAATAATAAATTTCATCCGGAGATGCCAAGATATTTCCCCATTTCGGGCACGTTACCGAAAAAAAAATCCATCCCTCACAATGCGACATACGCGATTCCATCTCTTCGGATCGGTGTTATCCTCTTTAACCGGCCGGAATAGCCGTTTGATCCCCCTATTCTTGCTCTGATTTACTGTTATTTTCTTTGATTGATTTTTGCTTCGGCCTCTCGGCTACCCTCCAACTCCGCAATTCGCCAAGCTTGTCAATTTTGGCCTACATGTACTTGCACGCAATGCAACCACGAGGTGGCAACAGACCCGGAACATCGAATATTGGGCATGGCTAGAAGCCGACAGTGCCATGCGTGAACCGTCAGCCTCTCCCAGCCAACAACGCGCAAGCAATCCACATGAGCTGCTACTCTATTTATTTACAGGAACTCAAAAGGCCTCACATTTAGATTGCTATGCGATATTTGTAGTCAATATTTTTCTAGAGCGCCATATTGGTTGTGCTTCGCGATGTCGTGATCTTCTGCAAGAGCGCTTGCATCACGTTGACCGCTTCAACGCCTAGCTCTAGCGAGATCTGACGACATCGGAAATATTTTAACTGTATGCGACCTACATACATACAGTATTACCTAGGGGTAACTCATAATTGAGCTAACGCTCGACTGTCAATGAGCTGGTTGAGTCGAATGATGGAGCGACTTCAGCAATTCCTGCATTGCTGCACTTGGCGGCAGCTGCATTTGCGGCGTCGGAAATCGTCTTCGCTACTGTGAGCCTCATCTCGTATTTCTATTTCTGGGTCCTTGGCCTCTCAGCCACAGGCGGCATTATCCCTGTCCACGACTAAAGGGAGAGCGGCTATTTGACGCCATATATGCACGTTTATGTACTGTGTTTCGTTAGCAGTCGTGTGAACATTGTATATCGATCACGCCAGGTTCTGGTCCGATCTGCACGCATATCGAGATTCGGTGCCATTGCTGCAAACGTTAATATCAAGACAGCCAAGGACTTTGATCTCAATGTAGATTTTATTTACAAACTACAACCTGCAGGAAGTCATTTGTCAACAGGTATTTCCCAAGTATCCGGCAATGCGCTTCCTACTCCAAGTACCGAACACCGCAGGACAGCCACTACATACCATGCAAGGCGAATGGCACAGGATTACCCCTTAACTCCACCAAATCGCAAGTTACGGTTCTTCCCGGGTCGGACTAAGATGCATCCAAACCTCACTCCCAGGCGCATAGTTCGCCAATCCTGTCAATGGCTTCCCCTTGAGGTCCGTAGCTACCGTTGATGCCTGATATTTTCGTCGGACCCAGTGGGTGGTTCGAAGCCATAACTCATTGGGTATCCTAAGACGCGAAGCTGTCCACTTATCGTTGGGTCGGTGCCCGAGTGGTAGCTCGTCCTCAGTGAGTAATTTGGTTTCAAGAATCCCTTCATTAACCCAAGCATTCCCTATAATAGACTCAGGAGGCAGTGCTCGACTTAGAAATTCTAAGGAGGAATTCACAGTCAGGTATACTGCTCGTCTCGGATTGACCATTGTTTTCATGAATATCGACATCCACTGCGGATACAGTACAGCGAAATCAGTCTGGGATAAATGCGTGGAACCCTTGATAGTCAACATCCAGCAGAAAGCACCCCCGTCTTTTGCTTCTCTGGCAATATCGCTTAATTTCTTGAAATTCTTTGGCCAATGCATGAATGCTTCGGAGTTGATGATTAGGAGAGGTTTATGCAACGATTGGTGAGAGATGTCTCCCGGTTTTGGTGTTGCTTGTCCCCACGCATCTAGCAGAATACCTTGACCAATATAGGAAAAGCGATCACTTTCACGAACGATTTCAACTGCTGTTGATCCACCAAAAGAATGCCCCATCGCTGTCACGTTTCCTAGCAGGAGCCTTCCTTCCCAGTCGGACCAATCGACACCTTCTAGCCCCTTTGAGCTTGATCCAACATTGCCTTTCTTTCTTAGATTATTCTCATAAATCCAAACCCCTTGCCCATTGTGAAGAAGCTCTAGAACATGATAGGCCTCTTCGATCTCAGACATCCGCATTTCGATTTGAGCGTATCTCAGTTCAGTGTCTACGCCTCCAGCATTATGTGGGGATGTGTCTTGGGCATTTTCTTGAGGGAAGATGTAATCGACCTTATAATATCCTTTTAGATTCGGGTCGTCAACTTTTAGATCAGAGGCCAACTTCCCACTCGGCGGAATATTGACATAGGAACGCGCACCGCTACCATCTCGGTGTTCTAAAGCAACGACAACGAAACCGTTACTAGCCAATTCTCCGCATATCGTACTATAACACGTCCGAGAACCTCCTAATCCATGGCTAAATAGGATAACTGGAAAATTGGGTATTTTCTCATTCCTTTCGGCCAGTGTACTTTGACTGCGAGCACTAGAAGATGAGCTAGGCGATGCGTCGGCGTAACGACGAGCAAGCTTGGCATTCCGGAAAGCCGGAAGCTTGGTAAACATGGTTGTAGCCGCAATATATGCGGTGACGGGCAAGTGTGGTACGCTGAAGAATTTCGCATACCCCTTACTGGTCAAGGCGCGCGGTCTTGGTAACCACGTGGCCTTAGATGGCTTCTTCCCCTTGTTGGATGTGTAGGACGAAGCGTCACAGGGATAGAAAATGGAGAAGAGGACTGTGTCCATCCGCAGCGCATGCATATGATTACGCTTGATGTGTGAAAACGTCCGCGGCTCGCGTACCGGCACCTCTATCTCCATCATACCCACGCTGTACGGGCCGGCATAATCTGGCAGCATGTGGAACAGGCGTTCCTTGAACATGCGTGGTGGACTCTGCCCTGGATTTTTCCGTCTATCGCCCTCATCTTGGGACTTCTCGGTCTCCATTCTAGCGTGTAAGTGAGTGTTGATTGGTACGCCGACGGCAACATACCCTCTGCAGTTTGATGGGAAGAGTGTCGTGTCAAATTTCAATTTATTGGCCTCAATATTAAGATTCTAACAAGGAAAACACCAGATACGAAATTTAATCGCAAAATCTACCAAAATTGAGAAGGAATCATGCCAACACAGAATAACTTTATACGATGAACGATGTACTCCGGACAGCGCGGACAATTAGCTCCGCCACGGCGGCACTGACGTCATATATTCGGACAAGACCAGTAACCTTACGTGAAAATTCAGGAAGCCGCGTCTTGTCTCATGATTTTAATTCTGACGAACTGTAAAGAGACAACGATTCGATATCCATCCTGCTTTTTTCTTGGAAAGAGGACAGCACTCATCTCACAACTCTTGCAATTCGCGGGTAGTTTGGGCCCAGTCTACAAGATATCATTGGTCGGAACTTCCAAGTTTTTCCTTCTACCGTATCGTACTCATGCATTGCTGGTGCATGGAGTATCGTGAACTACCTACCCAATTCGACTGGTGCAACGATCGTTCCTGCGTCTATGTATTTGATGTGCCTGGCTAGCCAAACGCTAGTTACTACCTATTATTACGTCCTCTTTAAGTTTAAGTTTACAGGAAGCAACGTCGACGTCGTGCTCTAAAACCCGGCTTCGTGTTCGTCCAATTCAATTAGGAGAGCATGTGATGAACTAATTCTTTTATTCAGCTCATATCAAAATATAATATGATCTTAAATCTTGACTTATTCACTATCTCAATCGACTATTTGGCAAATACTCATTAATACTAGGGATTATGAATACCCAATCCAAACCTGAAAAGGGGTTAAAACAATCTATTTCACATGAAAAACCAAGGGCGAAAGCTTCTTTCAGTCTGTCTGGCGCCTCTCGCTTAGCAAAACCACCTTGCGGCTGGATAAATCCTCCTCGATGCAACGCCATTCGCTCCCGCATTCCTTTCCCCAGATCCTCATACCAGGTAGCCTGGTAAAGAGAAGCCTTGGAGAAAAGAAAAAGTACCGTACCAAGGTATACCATACTCCGGATCTGCATTTTAACCTGCAACCACACCTATCAATCTGTAGGTATATGAAAAAGAGAGAGAGAGAGAGAAAATTAGACGAGTCGTTTCGTCAATCGGCAGGCTGATGTCGCCAATCATCGTGTAACCAATCGCAGAAACCAATATGCGGCTCTTCTACCTCCAGCTCCTCTCCCTCTCACGTGGGATTCGTGAACGAATCACCCGACGCCAAGAGCCAGATCTCCCATATCGACTTGTATTCAACTCTGACTAGGTACCTACCTAGATAGTTATGTGAACAGGCATGCGCTAGTGTTAGCTGGCCATATGTGTATATGGAATCGCGGGATCCGACTCCAGGCACTCGTCGGTCACACGTCGGCATGTAGCCCGGGTGTCGGTTTTAGCCGGCGTGGCTAGCTAGGTGTTTACTTGGATTTTGAGATACTTATTAGCTAACAAGCAAGCAGGTATCTAATTGCTGCTGCAAGGATGGCGTGCAGTCGCGCAAGGTCCGCGTGTGTGACAATGGGAAAGCAGATTCATTTTTCTGACTCAGAAACCCCGTCTTATTATGAGATCTCTTAGCAAGCAGACAAGCGAGCTCACTAGAAAGGAGCCTTTTTCTCACACTCTCTCCGGAAGAAGCGCCTCGTTCCACGGCATATATTGCATTTTGCCCGTGTTTCCTGCGAAGGGCCCGAAGCCCGGAGCGCGCAGCCAGCTGAGCCGGAATCTCGCGATTTTGGGAGAATGAACCCAAAGACGTCTTTAGGGCTGGACAAATTACGAGGTATCTCGTTTACTGGTACGCTTAAGGGCTATTAGGTGCTATGATCGCGTTCATCGATGCTAAGAAAAGAGACCCGGAAATTGTCGATGGCGCGCCGCCATTGCGCGTGCGTAAGCAGTAAGCATAAACCTCTGCCGCTTAGAGGTACCTAGCAGTGAGGACAATGAGGGGGCTGGGCAGCTCGCCTCGTGTCCGAAAGCTCCCGCCTTGGCCTACGATGGTTCTAGACCGAGCGCTCTGTCGGAGATGTTTATCGATGGCTTGCGTCCGTGTCCTGTTCCATCGAGTACGTAAAAGCAATGCTTTGCACTTAAGGATTCCTTATTCTCCTATCCTTTCGCATCGTCTACTGTGCTGGTGCTGCGAGGACGTCTGTCCGCGGCCCAGGAAGCGAGATTACGCTGACGCGTGCTGTCGACCTTAGATTGCTGTGTCGGCTGGATGGTTCTACGCACGAAGTCTGGAAGTATGCTGTGCTCTAACGCCACACGTGCTTAAGTATAGTGACGAGTCGTGGATATGCGAGTAAGACAGCCATGCGTTGCTAGTCCTGCTATCATGACGACTTTGTGTTCCCAAGTGTGCTTTCGCAAAGAGCATCGCGAATTGCGTACTTGCTTTTGATGAGGCCGAGAATGTTCTCTGTCAACTTCGGTGTAGAGGGGTGGGGGGAAGGGGCGCCAGCGTGGCCAAATTCAATCTACACGGATCAAGGGTGCCGAGGAATTTGAGATGATGTCCTCGCATGAAGACATGACAATGGCGCCGCTTTTGTCACCACACTCAAAGACGCCAGTGAAATAATTTGTCACTCGGGGATAGATCATTATAGTAGGTTAGTGAGTGGTATCGCAAGGAAAGAGGGCATACCTCAAACCTTGACGAACGCCGAGACCATAGCAACTTGGATCACCAACTGCACAGAACGAAAAACAAATGTCATGAACTTATTCCCGCGCTTAATCCAGTATCATGTTAACTAGAGTACGCTCGGGTGGACTACCCAGATATTCGCATTTGCTCGCAAACAGGCCCAGTCCATCTCTTCCACAGTAGAATTCGTCTATCGGTCTAGGCAACTCGCAGTAGCAAGAACAAAGCTGACGCCTTCGTCTTCGCCTCCGCTTTCGCGCCAACATGAACATCAGTTAGTCTATAACCGCACGCCCGCTCGCCAAACGCTTAAAACTTGTAAACTTGATCTTTCGAGTAGCCCAGCTCCTTAAGGACACCAGACAGCTCACCCTGGTCCGTCGGGCTGACCTTGGTGCCGGAAATAGCCTTGTACAGGCCCGGGGGACCGCAGACGAAGACCTTGATATTCCCGCTGTTAGGTTCGGGCAGGACGGTCTTGAGCAGGTCCTTGGTAATGTAGCCCTTGGCGCCGGTCCACTCCTTAGGCGGGTTGTCGAGCACGTAGAAGGCGCGGAAGCGCTGCGGGTACGTGTTCTCGAGGCGCTCGAACTCCTTCTTCAGCAGGATGTCCTCCTCGGACACGTTGCCGAAGACGAGCGTCACCTTGGTCTTGTCCTCCGGGTTCTTGAAGATGGCGCGCGCGAGCTGGTACATGGGCGTGATGCCCGTGCCGCCGGCGACCAGCGCGATGTGCTCGTGCTTGTTGGGCGACCACGGGTACTTGGGCAGCGGCCCCTTGAAGTCGAGGCGCTGGCCCGGCACCATGTCGTGCAGGTGCGTCGACATAGGACCGTTGGGGTACTTCTTGACGACGAGCTCGATGTGGCCCTTGGTGTCTGTAGAACCCCGCATTAGCCACAGAATCTTCGCAATTGTTGAAGAGACAACATACCCTCGTCGCTCGTAGGAGTGTATGGCCGTACGACTGGCTTTTGCCCTTCATATTGGTATTTCGTTAGAAGCGCGCTGGCCACGGCCATACCCGAAACCTGGTCCTCCTCTGGCAGTTGGAAGATGAACTTCTTCGTGTTGTGGTTGACGACCTCGACATCTTTCAGTAGTAGGGAGATGAAACCCTGGTCGCCGCCTGTGAATGCCTTTTTCGGTGGGCCGCTCACGGCTTCCTTGGCCTTAGCCGCAGCCGAATCTACCTTGGGTGACCCCGCGAGGAAGTAGTAGCCAGCACCCGCAACGCCGACAGCGCCCAGGCCATAGAGGAGGGTGTTGGAGGAGCCGCCTTTCGCAGGCTCGGTAGCGTAGGAGCGCGATAGGAGATTCTAGAGTTCAAAAGGTATCTGTTAGCTTCCAATTGGACACAATTGAGAGATTTGTGTGATTTCTAAGCTCCAACCGAAGCTCAAGCTCGGAGGTCCGAAAACTGTTGTGCGATGAAACTTACTCGCTTTAGCGGGTGGGCCGCGCGAATTGCTGATCTGGCGAACATGTTGTGTATAGGGCTGAGGGAGAATGAGCGACAGCGATGTCTCAGGGGTTCAATTGGGCGGAAAACGAAAGACTTCGAGATCCGAAAGTTTGATAAATAAAGAAATAGTCTAAAAGATGCTAAGGTCGGACGAGCTTCTAAAGACCGATGGCACGATCCTGGAGGATGACGTCATCACGTGATATGGTGTGAGATTCGGCATGGGAACGCAAACGAGATCAGAGTTGCTTACCAATATGGCTTTGCGTTGCATAAACAGATTCGTTTTCGGTGCCGAACAAAAAAGTGATACCCCTTACTTCAACTCAACAACATATAATTCGAATTGGTGGACGTGATTTTGATCGTAGACACGGATATATCAATACGGCAAATTACACAACACATACTTCACATTGTACGAGCTGTACCTGCTGATATTTCTCTTTCGAAGGCTTGTAAAATTGCTTCTTAGGCCCACCCCTGAAAATCCATATATTACCCCTCTACGCTGAGATGTTTCTTCCACACATTTTACACGTGAGATATTCCTTCTATTTCTTATATTGATCTATAGTCTTCGTATTAAGAATATGATACTCCTATATCGAAGAGCCTTATCTTTTTATCATCATTCTCATTGGAATTTTCACGCAACTTCCCGATATGGAATACGGTAAATCTCAAGACCAAGTTCCACCAGTCATGGATCCTCTCGGTACGAGTCTTGACAGTGAATCCCCGCCTGATACGGGTATGGTAGTCCGGGAAAATGCTACATACATAGCCAGATGATTCCGAACGGCATTCTCCAATGTTGTTTATTCACGAATTGGAGTTCGAGCTGAGAATTCGCTGTTGCCTTTTATAGTAACGTACTTGTGTATCTTTACAACTGCAATGACAACGATAGGGTATTCTATACAAGGCCGACGGTGGACTTTATTCCTTGTCGGGGTTGTGAGTTGGCTATCGACGGTAGTGCGTAGTCAGGCTCCGCCTACAGCATATTTACAAACACCATCTACCAACCAACTTGAATGGCACGCGCTGGAATACTACGCGTTCGTACACTTTGGCCCTAATACGTTCACGGATGAAGAATGGGGGACCAGTCAGAGTACGCCTGACGTATTTGCGCCGACGGCATTGGACACAGATCAATGGGCTAAGTCGTTCGCGGACGCCGGTATGGCCGGAATGATCCTGACGGCTAAACATCACGACGGCATGGCGCTATGGGATACAAATACCACAACGTACAAGGTCGGCAACGGGAAGTGGGCAAAAGATCGTGTTGCTCAAGGCCTCAGCGCCGATGTGGTACAAATGGCAGCCGCTTCCGCAAAGAAGTACGGTATTAAATTCGGCATCTACTTATCGCCGTGGGATATTCATCGTGACCCCGCCATGCCGAAACCAAACTTAACCGGCACAATATATGACGAACCGCAGATTTTTGGAGATGATACTCCGGGAGACTATAATGAGTTTTATGCTCAGCAGTTAACAGAGTTGGTGACGATGAAGCTCAGTGACGGCTCGTCCATTGAGGTATCGGAGTTATGGCTTGATGGGAACAGCGGGTCTGATACTGTGCAAACGTTTAACTGGACGGATTTCCGCAACATCATCCGCGAGTACCAGCCAGGCGCGATCATGTGGGGACACCAGGGTGTTGACGCGCGATGGGTAGGCAACGAGGATGGCGTGACCGTGATGACGAATTGGCATACCATCAGTCGGACACAAGATGAACCGCACTACTCAGGAGATGAGCTTGAGACCGGGGTTCGTGACGGGACTTACTGGACGCCGGCGGAAGCAGATGCGCGCTTACGAGACGGCTGGTTTTATCATTCTAACGAGAGCCCCAAGTCGGCTGACACGTTGATGAATATGTACACGCAGTCAGTGGGTCGAAGCGTCAACCTTTTGCTCGACGTCCCTCCGGATACGACTGGGCAAATCGTCGAAGGTGATGCGGATATATTGCTGCAATTCAAGTCTCGACGTGACGCGTTTCTGAACCGCACAATACTCACTCCCGGGCTTTCGGTAAACGCAAGCAGCGTCCGCGACGGGAATTTTGCGCTTTACGGTCCGGCCAACGTGCTCGACGGCAATAAGGATACGTACTGGGCTATAAACGACAATGAGACGATCAGCTCGCTTGAAGTGGACTTGGACGGTACCTACAATGTCGATGCGTTCCTTACGCAGGAGTATATCGCCTTGGGACAGAGGATAGGGGGATACACAATTGATGCTATTGTAAACGGCACGTACCAAACTCTTCTCACGGGAACATCGTTAGGATATAAGCGTATTGATGGTTTAAGCGCCTCCGTTGAGACAAACAGGATACGTTTCCGCATCACGCAAGCGAATGCTACACCCCTGGTTAACAGCTTTCAGGTACTCGGGGAGCGAAGTATATAGTCCAATCCAATCACGGTAAAGCTGGAAGTATTATGCTAGAGTGAGGATTGGTTATCGAATATTCTTCCCTGCTGATACTGCTGTATCGTGGCTGAGTTACAAGTGAAACCGAGGGGGTTATGTCAGATATGTACAGCCACAGACGCTGATCATGTGACTGACAGCTGATTACATAACTAACGTTCTTCGCTCGAAAGAATGGAAGCTGAATCTTCTGAATTGATAATGAACTCGCTCTGATAAGTTACCTAGGTGGATGTCTACGGCTATGTGCTCCAGATACTTAATTGGATAGACTTACACCCATGAGCCATGGCGTTAATCTAGTAATTTCAGCGTTTGGCTGGTACTCACGTGCCCACAGCCTCGTTGCTACAACTTTCAAATTAAGATATTTCTGCCTAACGGCGAAGTTCTCATCCCCTAACGAACTTGAATACTAATCGGTATTGGAAACTGCATATCGTGTCGTTATGTACTTCTGGCCTACGTATTAACCTTGCTTTATCCATCCCCACCCGACCTACCCAGGTACCTAATCATTTCGCAATGCGTCTTCTAAATGTTAACGACCTACAACTCGTCGATTTCCAAGGCCAAGATATACCTCGGTATGCCATTCTATCCCACACTTGGGGAGAAGATGAGGTTACTTTTGAGGACTTGTCAAAGAATAATTACCGGCACAAACATGGTTTCTCGAAGATCGAGGGATGCAGGAAATTGACGAAGCATGACAGACTTGAATGGTTCTGGGTTGATACATGCTGCATTGATAAATCCAGTAGCGCTGAGCTTTCGGAGGCCATTAATTCGATGTACGCCTGGTATCAGCGGGCTGAATATTGTTATGTCTACCTCGTCGATGTTCCCACCGTCCCCTACCCAGGTCCTTTTGATAGCTTGGCTTTTCAAAATAGTCGCTGGTTCACGAGGGGCTGGACCTTGCAAGAGCTTCTAGCGCCGACATTCCTCATATTTTACGATGCTTCGTGGGGACTCATTTCGTACCGATGTAGTTCGGTTGATTTGATTAGCGAAATCACAGGCATTGACGCTAATATTCTTGAGTCCCCTTATCGTATAAAAGAGGCGAGCATAGCTTTAAAGCTTTCCTGGGCTTCACAACGACAGACTTCAAGGGAGGAAGATATGGCGTATTGTTTGATGGGGCTGCTAGATGTGAATATGCCACTTCTATATGGAGAAGGCGGTGCCAGGGCATTCCATAGGCTTCAGAAAGAGCTCATGAATGATCAATATGATCATACCATCCTAGCCTGGGGATTGTGCTCTAAAAAGTCTCTACTATACCGACTCGATGACATACATCTTCTAGCTCCCTCGCCTGCTTTCTTTGGCAAGTGGAATGTACACATGCGACATATCTCGCCAGAAAGTACGCATTATTTTTTGACAAATCTAGGCTTGCACATCTCACTTCCAATCATATTCTTAGGGGAGAAATATGCGTTAGGGTTATTGGAATGCAAAGATGAAACAGATAGCTATCGAGTCGCCTTGCCATTGTACATAAACCATCACGAAGGCGCTTTGCCAATCGGGAAAAAGGTTCGGAACATCTCACCACTTATGGTTCCACCATCAGCGAGGCAACACGCACACCTCACCACTATTTACCTACAAGGTTGTCAAAAAGAATGGTTTGGTGTTTTATCCACCAATGTTGTTTGGAGCACTCTATTAATCAACGGCTACAAGCTTGCCGATTACTTCCCGCCCTCTGAAAAAGACCGAGTTTCTTCCTCCAGCGGAGAATTCCGTGGTGTTTATGGTAGTTTCCTGCTGCGATTCCGTCATAAATACCTCGACGATATACTTATCATGGGCCGTCAACGTCCCAACGACATAGGCTCACTGATTAAAAATGGTATACGAATATTCGAAGGGTATGCTGCCATTGCTACCTTTCCAAACCCTGGCAAGCAGGAAGGGAAGCAGCAATCACGTCCGCTTACGTCCTGGGAGCTACTATCACAACCCGATTTCGACAAGATCGATTTTGAACGCATTGAAAAATCATTCCAGTGGAGCTCATCAGTGACTATTGTTTTGAATCACCTTGAGGATCTTGGTACTGGCTGTAACAGGAAGGCTCGATTCATATTGAGTAGGTCAGGTGGAGATCAGCCACATCAACACACCTTGTCTGTGGAGCCTGCCCCAATTCTGGAGACAAACTCAAGAGATTCTTCATCGAAACCAAGCCATTAGCTATCCCTTTGACTGGCGTAAGACTTCAGTTTCCACAAAATCGGTAACTAGACATTGGAGATAGCGTAGGCCTATTGAACCTATGGACGATGAGGCTCTTACAGTGATATTCAGAAGGGCCTATCCAACCAGAAGCAAAATTTGCAAGTGCCAGTGGAACTCGGGGCCTTCTGGCAGTACAGTTACTAATTGCGGTGGAGCTGTAGTCTTATGCTAGTCAAAGGGATAAAATGCCATGACACGTGTTTTATGAAGCGTTGGATAAGGTGATACTTAAGTTAGGTATGATGTTATTCGTGCCAACATGTCTTTCTTTCGAGTTGATACGGGGGTGTCAAGGGGAGAGTGTTACAGTTATTTCTTTTTTTAATAGTGTATATCGCATGACTTCATCCAAAATAAACTCCACGACTGTGATACAGGAAGGTTGGTACCTAATAAATGAGGCAAGGAAGTAAATGTTTGAAAGGGCCTGTAGCTGTGCGTATACCAGGTGTTGACGAATACAAGTGAATTGATCTAATGGTTCTGGATGATGACCTTGGGAAGAATGAGTCATCAATATAACCCCCCTACTGTAGATAGCGTCTCAGTCTACATGGGGCGGATATTTCAATTCCCAGATCGCATATCCAAGTTGAAACTTGGCCTTTTCTTTGGGAAGTTCTGATTTGGTCTTGCTAGATACAACTAGGCACTTTCCGGGATGGAAATAGGGGGTTACTACGAGACAAGTAGGTATCTAGGTATCTTAGGGCAAGTGGCAAATTTGACTAGTATGTGGGAAAACCCCCTATAACCCGGTATTGGGAATCCTTACATCTCAGAAGACAAACCTTTAATTACGGTGGGACAACCAATTCTACAATGATGAAATCCAGATGAAATCAGCCAATGCATCTTAGAAAAGTAGTCATACCGAATCTCCCTGCAGATGTGACACGTCTAAGACTCGAAGACGGGAACTTGATCATAGTCTGGCCTATCATATCAACGAAACGAACGTAATGTGGAAACAGAGGAGAGTAGAGTCAAGCGGACGGGCTCATCCCTTCCCAATTAAAAGACCTTTTTGCAACAGTCCGTTGACTCGCACACTAGTTCGTAGGATACTGCCAAATTCAAGTTAAAGGGAAGCGAGACGGGATATTTGGGAGGTCGAGAGTTGGGTTAACGGAGCCACCACCAACCCTAACGAGAGCGGGATTGATACCAAGCAAAAAACAGTGCGAACGCCAGTTTTCCAGCAAGTGAGCTGGGGTCCCCGCCACGGGAGCATACTCAGGTTCACCAACATGAACTCTATCACTCCTCCTTCTCCCCTCATCACTATATACTGGCCACAGACCCACCTCGATCTCCTTCTCCCTATGGTCGACATCCTCCTCTAACAACTCGGACCCAAGTGCCCATGTCTCCTTTCGAGAAAACAAGTCACTTCGCCAGGTTTCCCCAAACAAGCGGAGGTAACAAGCACCATCGGTCCCATCCGGTGGCATGAACTTTGTTTTCAATTGACCATCATGACTGGAGCTAGATGGCATGATCACTGGTGGTGCCTCGGACTCCAATGACTCTTGTCTTGGCCACTGGGTTTCAGTTATTGTTGTGGTAGGCGTGTCAAGCGCGTCCGAAGTGTAAATAGAAGAAGTAGACTCTTCGTCGTCTTTTGGGGGGACAATCGGAGGGGAGCCCCAGGGGTTGTAGGTTAGAGCTTCTTGGTCCGTGGAATCAGACGGACCATTTGCTAATGTCAGACGGATCTCCATTGTATCAGACCTAATACACTTAAGGACCTTGGATTCACATTTACGAACGGGTATTGTGTCGGCATGGCATTAATGAGTTGGTCCAGAGCGGAGTAAAGTTCCCTTGCACGGACCAGTTGAATGGCAGTATTGACTTACGTAATATTGCTGATTACCTAAGGTAGGCACATTAGGTAGCAGTAACCGTAACCACACCTCAAAAATTCCGTAGAGACACCTCAAAATCCCATTCGGGTTTAGTGCCACCCCACTACCTACACTAATTTAACAGTGCTTTTGTCCCATAAATAAGTAAATCCATTTTTAGACTAGCTTCAAAGCTATGACACTAACTCATTGGCTATCCTTTAGCTCCACCTCATTAACTCACCATTCATTGGCTGAAAAACGCAAACCTCGAATTACTTAAGCAACATTACATAAGCCAAACAGCAGCCCCGCGCTTAAGTCACTGACACTTCGTAAAATCTGAATAGGCCTTATTCAAAAGGTCTTGAAGAACTTATGCATATATTAATTTGAAGTGCTCGGTTCAAGGAATAGAATGATATACATCTCATCCAGATGCATCAGCTCTGCCTTGTGTTATCAGTGTTTAAAGTAAATAAGTAGTACCTCCCAGTGGCACGTGACACCCCTCAACCCCAATGCACTTGCTTACTCATCCATATGGATTTTTCATGATATCTCATCCATCACACGTTTAATACAGGTGCAACCTGGATTAATCGATTCCTCTCGTTAATATCTACCTAATGGTATATACTTTATTTTTTTTTAAATAAAAAGCTTTTGACGTTGCAAGAAAGCTGTTTGCAGTTTGGTCCAAAGTGGTGTTGAGCTAATTTAAAGTCAATAAGCCGCTAAACCTAAATGAGATTTTGAGGTGTCTCTACGGAATTTTTGAGGTGTGGTTACGGTTACTGATTAGGTAGGTAATCGTTACTACTGTCCTAGCAATTGGGATTTTGGCCGGGGGTTCTCAAAATTCCAAGACCCACCCTCTCGCGAACGAACCATCTTGAGAACTGCTTCCACTTAATTAAACCTTTTTTATTTCATCTTCTATGAATTTCCAATGCGAAGAAATCTTCGAAAAGCGTCAATGTTGAGTACGACTGACTTATCAGCTCTGTCTGAAGTCTTATTCGTTCGGGGAGCTATACAGAAAGACCTCAAGGAAGCAACGGAATACAGAAACAGCACAATAGGTCCATATATTCCATCAAACTGATATTCAAGTGTCCAAGCCGAAAGTGGCACGTTAAAGTCACATTTGAGGGCGCGTTCCAGCCATCAGAGATTAACGCCGAACGGTCGCAACGAAGGAAAGACTTCGAAGACCTTTGCTGCTATGTCAATTTCAGTGACATTTCATTATTAGATGATACGGTTACCGAGCTTCTCCTCTCAAACGAACCATACTATACAGACTCACTCCTTTTGCCACTAAACGAGCAATTAAACACGAATATTATATACAATCGCATCCTTCAAGGCCTACGATTTCTCATGCAAGAAGATCCCGAGCGCATACAATTTCCCCTATACAAAAACGACAATGACATGCTAACGATTAACTGGGCAACCATCCAGAAAGAGCAAGAACTGGCGGCAGGCGTTTATAAGATTCTTATAAGAGGAAAGACGCAACACTACGTCTTTAAGGAAGTAGATAGGCCCCTTTATGAGCCTCATGATACCGAAGTCCTCCAACAAGAGTTCCGGAACCTGGTATTATTACGCAACACGAAAGGAATTGTGCAAGTATTTGCTGCAGTCATATCCTTTAATCCATACCAAACAGACGAAGGCAGAGGCCTTCCGGTCCTACGGGGCTTTATCCTCGAGTACCACCAGCATGGTTCATTACGAGACATACTCTGTTCCAAGTCAAAAATGAGCTACCCATGGCAACGTTGGGCAGTTCAGATCGCGATTGCGCTTGACTCGCTTCATTGCCGCAAGTTACCGCACCTAGATTTGAAGCCAGCAAACGTTGTTATTAGCACAGAGTGGGATGCTGTTTTAATCGATATTAGTGGACTGGCTATAACCCAAGAATGGTTATCGCCAGAGATGCGTGACGTGTTTGCTCCTTGGGAACAGGATGTTGAGTCACGGATTCAAAATGATATATGGGCATTCGGAAAGCTTTTGTCGAGAATGGCTGATAATATTGCTCACAATGAACAATAAACACGGCTACTAAAGCATGTTGCTTCCCTTGCTACTGCGGAAATTCCTCCACGTATCTCTCTAAGAGATGCAATCTCCATGCTCCAGCACTAGACGAAACTCAATCATTGAATTTATTGTCTTATAACCAAAGACTACCTAGTAGGTATCACCTCAACTAGGTCCGCATCATTAACTTAATCAAAGACTTTTCGACTCATACGCCTCAGGCGTCCATGTTCAATGATTTCATCTCCCGGTGGCGTTCTATATGATATCCATTGACCAACCGACTCATGCAACCAAACCAAATAAAAATCTAAGAATCCATTCATTCCTCTTCATATAATCGCTGAAGAAACCGTCTTCCCCCTATTTATGCTTCCCACCTCTAGGAAGCGAAATGAGGCGCGTTAAGGAACAGCCCCATAAGGATACCGCCAAGGGTGCCGGCAATAGGAATCGTCGCGATCCACGAAAGCAGCAGCAACCCTACTCTCTGGAAGTTAACCGCCTTCAACGTACCATTGCACAAGCCCACGCCGACCGTCGCGCCCGTGATACACATCGAAGTCGAGACCGGTAGCGAGAACTGGGAGAACACGAGGACCGTGATAGCGGCGCCCATCTCCATCGAGCAGCCGCGGCTCGGCGAGTGGTACGTGATCTTGTTGCCCATGACCTTCATGATGTTATACCCGTACGTGATCAAGCCCAGGGAGATCGTGGCCGACAGCACGGCGAGCTGCCACACGGGGACCGGCGCCTTGGCCGCGGCGGCGCTGCCCGTCGACCACGCGGAGTAGATGACGGCCCAGGGCCCGACGCTGTTGCCGATGTCGTTTGCGCCGTGCGCGAACGACGCCGTGCACGCCGTCAGGATCTGCACGAAGCTGTACGTGTGCTCGACCTCGTTCGGGTACTTCTCCGCGTGCGCGTACACGCGCTCCATCCGCTTCCCCTCCGGCGTCCCCGCCACGCCGCTCTGCGCCGCGTGGATGTCGTAGTGCAGGCCGTAAAGCGCGCCGCAGACGATCATGGCGGGAATGCGTTTGGCGAGGATCCGGATATTGTGGAGCTCGTAGATCTCGCCGGCTCCCATCGGGTTGTCGCGGAGGGTGCGCATGGCCCAGCCCATTGGCCCGCGGCGTTTGAGCAGTTTGGCGTGTAGCTTGGATTCGCCGTGGGCGGCGATTTCTTTGGACGTCATTTGGCGCGATTCGACATCCACGGGCTTCTTCTCGACGTCGGAGGTGGAGTTTTCTTTGGAGACGGGCTGGATTTCGGATAGGGATTCGGGGGAGCGAGTCGAAGAGGAAGAATGCTCGGCCTCGTCGTCCTGGACGACGGCGTAGTTGGGAACATCCGCGCGGTCGGCGCTCTCAAGTATAGGGCGCTTGAAAAGCAGGGGTCCGTAGACAAACATCCACCACTTGACGCCGTGGTCCTTTCGGATGACCTTGGCGTGCACGTAGGGCACGAAGAAAATAGCAGCTAGCAGAGCGACACCACCGCCAGTTCCCATGGTAACAGCGGCGACGTACCATGAGGGCTTCTTGTTTAGGCCGAGGTTAGGCGAGCCCTTGTAGACGATGGATAGAGTACAAATAGTTCCGGCGATAAGGAAGAAGAACGGCGACGTGTACACGGCCCAGGGAACGGGGTTCTTGCGGATATGCACGACGAGCTTGATCAGCATGAAGATGACGGCGCCAAAGCCTCCCGAAATCACGGGGGCCATGCCCAAACCCGCGAAGATAGCGCCGAGACCCTTTCCGTCGTTCCAGCCCCACTGCACTTTCGAGGCGCCGACGGTGGCGACGCCGACGCCGGCTACGGCGGAGATCAGGGAGTAAGTCGACGAGACGTGGGCCGAGTGCCGCGTGCACCACATCACCCAAGACGAGGCGGCGGCCAAAGCGCATGTGAAGGCGAGCATCTGAACGCCGGCGTCGCCGCGGAATGCGTCGATGGGGATGATGCCGTTCTTGATGGTTTCGGCTGTGCGGGCTCCGACCGTGATGGCGCCCAGCATCTCGAAAACGGTGCCGAAGATCATGGCTTGCCTGTACGAGATAGATCGCGACGAGACGCTCGTCGCCCAGGCGTTTGCTACATCGTCTAGGGGATGGTTAGGCACTGATTGAATAAATGCTTATGTGGAGGTACAGGATATTGATAGAAAGCATGGCGTGATTTGGTTGCGATGAAAGATAAGCTGGGAAAGATAGGGAAGATCGTTGGACTTACTGGCTCCATTGTTGAAGGCATCGAGCATGGCAAATAAAGTGCCGATGACGAAAATGTAGGTGTACTCGTCGAGAGCCATTTTGACTTGACACGTGAAAGTGTTAAGAGAATGGTCTTCGATATCGTGAATCTATGGCTCGATGGCTCGTTGATATCCGCTGGTTATCAAGACGCAACAAACAAGGGGAGCGAAGAATGGCAGGAAGTGAGATAGGCAGATTTTATATGTCCTGCGTCTTATCTAACTCGGTTGACACCCAAGGCTTTCTCTTCTACTTTACTTTACCTCGCGTGGCCCTCACCGAGGCGTCAAGCTCACTAACGGCTGCAACGTTTACCCATCGCAAAGCATGATTTGTAGCGCGCAGCGCCGAGCAAGCCACTTTACTCTACGCTCACAAGCGTCACCCCGTCTAGCTCGGCCGGGCTCGAACCCAGAAACAGGCCCTCCTTCCGCCTGATGGCAACGTCTTGGGAAGCTTGTATCGTGCTTTCTCTTTTCCATCGTGCGAAGGGCAGATACGCTGTCGCACTTGGCGCAGCCTTGGCGGGTTGCGAAAAAGGGGATTGCCAATATCCGCGAACGATACGATGATGGGTTTGTTCGAAAGCGGACGAGCCTGGTATTTCGCCCGCGAAAGCTAGCCCTGGCTGGCTGAGGCTCTTGGCGGAAAGGTTAGCACCCCAGCGGACCCTAGGACTCGCGCCGACCAATGGAAGCGCGCGAGACACCCCACGTGGGTTGATCGACGGTCGTGAGCGGCTAACGGTGGAGTACGGGGTCCCTTGCACGCCCAGACGCCCGGGTACAGGCTGGCCAGGGGTTTTGCGATGACGCTAGCGAGACGTCGGACCACCCTGCCCATCTCAGGGTCTGTTCGCCTTTTCTGCAAAAGAAGGATTCTAGAACGAAGGGAAAGAAACGGTGCGCTTCGTGGTATGTCCCAATAGAGGTTCGACTAGACAATCGTAGCGCAGCCCTACGCCTGGAACGGACGTGAGGAGGACGGTGTACCATGATTTGCATAATAGTACTAATTTATCTGCAATACCTAGGTAAGACCTCGGGGGAGATGGGGTTTGATACAGATCAGTTCGTTCCACATGTGATACGCCAGCATATGCCATCGCAAGATTTCCGCCGTGTAGAAGTCGGAAAATTTCGACTTCCTACCGCTTGGCTCATGGGCAAGATACCTAAGTAGGGATTAGCGCCCGTCAAGCTGGAAACTATCTAGCAATTTGCTATGTAAATGGTATCTCGGTAGTTTGATCACTCATGCGATTGCAGTTTATGCGATAGTGTAGTGGCGAACATGTCAAAGGATTTCATAATCTGGAGTACCTATCCAATTTTTATTTGATCCAAGCGAAAGCCGGGATATTTAAGGCAAGGCAAGAATACCTTCTAGTCACCGAGATATGGCTTTTGGTGATTGTATCTCATTGTGCATCACCTCGATTCTACGTTAGAAATTGCCTTCCTATCACCTGACGAAAGAAAGGAGGCAAAATTATTCCCTAATTAGGAATCTCCACCACCAGAAAAGTTCAAAGACTTGGGGTTCGGCGTACGCGATGATTTGACGCCAATGTATAAAAATCCGATTCTTGGAGGTCCTGATATTTTCAACCACCGTTGTCGAAATGTCGAAACATTGTACGTTGTACCGCCACGTGCTCGTCTGAGGCGCGATTGCCAAGTGACAAGGCGATCCCGTTGTTTTATGGTTAACTTGGCAAAGGCGACAAGCTCGGATTTGTGGATATCGCGATGGCATGACCTAGAGCCTCGAGAATTTATAGACACTTCGCCCGAAGCTAATGGAATATACGTACATATGTATTCTTGAATTAGCCTTTTTAGTGAAAGTATGTTTAAAAATACCTACCTAGATTGTGCACGAATTTTACCTAAATCTCCAATAAACTTGAACTTAAACGCCTCCTACAATAGTTTCAAGTTCAAAGTTGTCCTATGTATGGAACCTAGTGACACTCTTAACATCGAAGAGATCGAGTATATGGTATTCCGTTTAGATGTTAATCGGGGTAAAAAAATAACAGTTAAAATACTTAAAGATAGGTACGCAAGTGAAAGATACCAAGCTTGAGTCCAACTAAGAGTCACATGTCATATGACCCAAAGTAGGTAGATATCATGTATGCTATTAAGAGTAGATCTGTGTTCTGATTATCATGATATCGTGATAATTCCATGTTGCCCTTGACCAGTATAACGAAATCTTTGGTAGAGAGTACAATGTCTTTTCAATGTGTATAACATAAGAATATGTATATCGAAGTTCAACTTTAGGGACTGTCACGAGGCAAACCCAAAGGGCTAGGGAATAACGACGATGTTGCGAGGAGAGCTCTAATTGCTCCCTTCCAGGGGGTGCGGTATACATACATCGACCTTGCTTTGTCTGCAGCTAAGAGTCAACTGCCAACAAGGCGGCCTCGTAAAGCCGACTACCGATCCTTCTGTGCTACTAGCTAACCCTGACGAGGCCTCTGGCTATCAGTCCTCGCAGAGGAGGCTCTGACAGGGACTTTCAATTGACCTGACAAATATAAAGTGACCGCGTCTTCGGTTGCAGGCTTATTAAATGGCAGTCTAGAATGAGATGCAGAAGATCAGCAACGACACATAGGACTAGCAATGACAATGATGAACATGTGTTTGGTAACTTTGAGGTTCCTACAACGTTTCTGCTGCAGCATCTCGATAAATATGCTGATCTTACCTAAACTGACATTCATTATTCCACACCAGTAGCACGATATGATCTAAGATGTCAAGATGATTTTTTTAAATCAATACACGAGTTAATCTCAAAATCCCTTTAGAGAAAGATTCCATGTAACCAGTTATCATATAGCACAAACCGAGCTTCTCATGCTTCCATATCGTGGCTTGGTCTAGGTAGGTTACTAAGAAAATCCCGCACAATAAGTCTAAATAAAGAGTTGAGAACCAGAAAAAGCCAAACTCAGGCAAGATTATTCAATGCAAGATAGGTAATACATGATTGTTAATAATAATACTACCGGTGCCGGGAGAAATTACTCTTCAAATTAGAAGTTCATCTCACATCAGCATAATGAAAGCGACGTAGTCGGCTTCAGTCGAGTTTAGAAATTATTTTACAATCAGTATGACGATATCGAATTGTGGTTTCTGATTACATAGTGTGCTTCGTCTCAGAATGGTAAAGTCATTGTTTCGAGTAAATGGAACTACATGAGTTGGTGAACATTAATATGTAAGTCATCTTATAATTAGTGATTATGTAGGTACTTATGTGCAAGACCATGGTTATACATAAATAAATAGGTTAATAAGCCAGACGTAGGAGTAATACGGTAGGGAGACTCGGCAAACCGTCAAATCAAGAGATGTCGGGATAACATAAGCTGTAATGGTAGGCAGCTCATGAAGCTTATATGATTCGACTCAGATGCCGAAATATTTCCTCTGAGCTTATCATGTAAAAACCAACCGTGTTTTCAAACGGTATGAAACATACCTAGGTACCTATAATAAATCGACTTTTCTATGATCATTATCTAAAATCACATCCAAGTTAAGTAACTACCTAGCCAATACCTATCTCATACACCAACTAGAGTAAGTTATGGATGTTTTTGAGCAATATTGACTAACCTAGGAATAATTTTTAAGAGTATTCCTATAATTTCGGATAAAATATCGACTTTTCGTGTTTATTTGATTCCGTGGAATCTTAGGGAAAAAGACTCCACGAAGACATGCAGTTTGAGGTGTGATCACCCCTTGGAACTTGTTTTGATCGCAGGAAGACCATAAACATTTGCCAATTACGAGAAAGATTCATTGAAAATCGCTGTACTAGCATACTATTGCATTGCGTTTCACTTGAATTTCTGATAAAGATTAGACTTGCAAATTTCGACACATCACAACAGCTAGCAATGTTAACTCCATATTCTAGAGATTGGCAGTCCTCAGGTAAATCATACACATGACCCTCACTTACTATAACTCGCAAGTTCCCACAATTCAAAGATCCATTGCATGCAGAAGTTCGCCTTGTCAATACTTGAATGTTGAAGCAGATGAGTAGTATTCCCAAAGTTCGCATGAGCTTATTCGGGCCTCTAGCTCGCTTAAGCGAAAGCGAATTGTACAACTCTCGCCGCATTCACAAGGCGGTTACATTGGAGGCTGAAGCTGAGTCCAACTGTCAGCGCATGACATAAATCCTGCATGAACTGTGGATTCACTCGGCCCAGTTGCGCGACTAGGAATTACGAGATGAGATGGTGAGTGAGTAGAATCCTTCAGCAAGTAATGGGACCAACCTTTCACGACAGAAAATATAGTAGTGTACAAGAGAAATTCGGAGTTTTGTAACACCTTTTTTATCTTTAACAGATCCAGGTGATTTTCTGGCCCGGCTGTGTCTTGGCCTGTTGATAGGATTCCTGAACTGTATAGGCCGATTAGCTGCGCCCCCCACAAGAGGACGATATGTTTCATCCGTTCCGATCGGCTAAGCTGATACCCATCGAAACTTTAATGTAACCAACGTTCTGCAAGTTACGATTCTTGATGCGCTTGCGAATTCACCACTCTTAAAGGGGAGATCGACAGGGGTATATTCCCCTCTCTCATGCAATTAAATCATCACGCTAAGCAGTTATGCTGTATTATGTAACTACTGGGGTAGGTGGATTTCCTGATTGGGAAGGTGGGCATTCCGATCCCGAGTATAGGTGGGTTTAAGTGCTTTAAGGGGTAACTAACGGCAGAGCCGGGATGCAACTGGGGTAGAGCTGTCCAGACTCGTTATGGCGAACTACTCGAATCAACCGGTTTACCTTCGACCGAGAGAATTCGTGGCATGGAGACTTGGCTGAGAGAAAGGTAGGATATGAATGTCGTGCTTTTGTCATTTGGCAAGGACAAAGAAATAGGTAAAATAAAATGAATGCATTACATTCCTACACATGAATGGCTTTATCCAAAACGGGCCCCGAGTAAGCTTGGCAAAGATATGGGTTACGGTGGTTCCCTCTTTCGTCATTGCCGACGTGGGCTTAGCTAATTGGGTTCCAACAGGTTCCAAATAAGCACAAAGGAATCCTAAAGTAAGACAAAAACCCCATTTACTTCTTCGAAAAAAGAAAAACTAGAAATATTGTGATGACGACGGCAATATAGAATTACCCCACGTTCATCATTTACATAGGTACCTAAATCAAACCACCATGCGGCCACTGAAGATTGCGGAAGGGGTCGACAATCCTAACTCGAAGTACCGTCGTGACACTCTGCGGGAGATCTTTTTGCTGCTTCTAGGAACGGTAAGTCCCACCTCCAAGGTAGCATTCCCATACCTATCGTTATATTAACTCGACAGATCACATTCTTGGGTAGCTCTTTTGCCATCTACCGTTTCTACTTCCACCCCTTAGGAGGCTCCCTCGGCGAAAAGTTAGCCGCTCCCGCGAACCTGAGGGATTCTATTCGACGTTGGATGCTCGTCTGATATCGAGCTTAGCTGCAACCCCCATTCAGCTGCGCATGTCTAAGGACACGGCTACCTTGGCATGTGTTGCGGCTGCAAGAACGGTACATTCGATGTTCGCTCGACATGGTTGGTCGACGGGGCACGGTGTGTACGGGACTCACCGGCTAGATATTGGACATCTTGACTTTTGATAAGCGCACCATTGGTCAAATACCTTGTGATATAGGTGAGCAAGCTTCTTTCACATCAAACCTGGTGTGAAGTCGCAAAGCTGATTCTTGGATAAGATTTCCATATGTTTGGGACTGGGATGACGTTGTTTTATGGGAAATGATGAGCGGCTTTTGTATATCGAAGTCGACCGCTATCGCTTAGACAAGAAGGGCGTATTTGGATAATAGATTATGCACGAATATCGTGTGTTGCTATCTCCGGCTATGGACTATTTAGCTGGCTGCCTAATTTGACATGCTTTATCTCGAGATCTGTACGCTCTCTGCCCATACAGTGGGAGTATCTTGCGCATAGAATCTAGACCAATATGGCGAGGTATTGATTACCCGCGTGTAGGAGCGAACTTCACTTTATTGGAGCGGACACTTTGTCTTACAGCCTGTGATACATCGATAGCAAAGTCCCTGTCACCTTGATGTTACTCTCGCATGTATGTTTATACGCTGCAGGTATGTTGCATGCTAGGTTATCCAAACCACAATCAGCCTAACATTAGATCAAGATGATCCTGCAGTCGAGACCCTTTGTGCTTCTGTTTTAATATCGATCGATCTGCTGTGATATTTTGATACAATCTAGGTAGATATGCTAAAAGTCAGTTTACCTTGGGTGCCGTTCCTAGCATCACACCATGTTTGGTATCTGGAGACACGACCCAGATAGTCGAGGAGGTGGAAATATTCGGCAATCGTTCGTCCCGGCCAACGTCCGAGTTAGTCCCCACCAGTCTTGCAAAAACTGTCGAGCAAAGAAGGTAAGACAAAACGTACGCCGAGGCATTGGCTTCACGCGCAGTATCAATTCGTTTACTCATGCTAAACTACAGTTGAAGACGGGCTGCAGTCGGTGTAAGACCCTCAACTCTATTATCCGATACGCCAAACCTGGTGACAACGGCAAATGTCGCCGGAAGCCACAAAACTCGAAGAAGTCGAGCAGTGACCAAGACTGGATGTTAGACGGGATCAATGCGGATGCCGGGCCAGAATCATATGAGTGTCCACCCGAGACACCGGCCGTGGAGAATTGGACGATACCTATGGGAATGGACTTCGAAGATCATCAGGATAAGATAATACAACAGCCCCTTCCACAATATAACACACCGGATCACACACCTCGAACTAATACAATATCCACGGATACGGATTTTGACTCATCACGGAAAACTCCCCCGTTGCAAATCACAAATCCTCTTTCGACAGTTCTCTCGGATGAAATAGACATAAGTAGCTGGATTAGATCACCCGTGAGCCTTGGGGATACAGGGCCCGACTTGACAGGGTTACCGGACGCCGAGACAAGGGACGACCCGGAGGCCGCTACAACTTCTTCTTTGCCTACATCACATATCACCACTCCAGGAAGCAGCAGAAACCTAAGCAATGATTTTATCCAAACAGAAACATCTTCCAACACAGGTAATCCGCGAGAACTAAACCTATCTATTGACAGCACGAATAATACCCCTAGCCTACAATGTAGCTGTCTAGCTCGTGTGGTTTTATTGCTAGACGAACTCGAATCACCTAGTGATAACCCGGAGAGCATAACAAGTTTACACTCGCTAGACTCAATCTTAGCATCGATCAAAGAGACGCTAAGCCACGCGGGCGCTATGCTTCTGTGCTCCTTATGCACATCAAAGATGGAGAACATGACCATCCTCGCGTTTCTCTTCTCCAACCTAGCGAGCACATGTCAGATAATCGCGGAAAAATACCCGCACGATAGCAACCTAACACAATTCCACCACCGTTCATTTTCTGCATACGGACGATACGACTGGCCGCCTCTCCCACGCTCCGCGCCGAGTCACGTATCTGATCCCGGGCCACAGGAAGGTTCCGACAACTATTTCCACACATACGGGTTTGGAGGGAACAGGGAAAGCGATGTTCGAGAGACGTGCGTGGGCGAGTACGAAGTCGACTCTCCGCAAGAGTGGCGGGCGCTGATGCGGGCGCTGGCTAGCTTGCAGCTCCAGCAGCTGGACTCCATGATGCAGGTCATGAAGACGGTGCCGATCGTCGCCGGTTGCAAGTCCCTTCTCCGGCGGCTGACCACCGCCGAGGGTAAGCTTACGGGCGTGAAGCTGCGCATACAGAAACGGAATGCTGAGCTGTAGCGGGGGCCAAATATTCTAGATATTGGCATATACTGGGCGTTGGATGGCATGCATAGATATCTATATAATGCAGAGTTCCCGCACGGATTATATGAAAGGGGGAACTGGAGTTAGGTGGTTGGGGATAATGAGTAATCACGCATAGGGACTGTCGATTAATGAGATCCCTTCAACTTGGAAGAAACATGCCTATAGTATCGTCGTGGATAATGAAGTGTCGTTGACCGTGGCTCCATGGATATAAATTGGATGTCACACTATGCACATGAAACAGTACTTAGGAGTAACATAGGAAATAACACTATGAAGAGAATGGGAAATTTTATATCAGGCACAACATCACGTAGCACTACAGGCAGGTCAACGTGGCTTAGGGTAGCTATAATGCCGGCAAATCTAGCAGTTGATCTACGAGGTGCATAACCGTATTATCCATCTTAATAGATATTATCGACCACATCCACAATTCCCTGTTACTTCCGCAGAAGGGGGGTAAGGTTTCATTATATCGTGAGGTGATAAGCTCACTGCCGGTCACAAGCCGGTTCCTGAAGCGGGAGCCCGTGAATTAACAATTATAATACATCTATGCGCATAGAGGTATATAAGTAGGGATAACTTAGTGCCGGTGGTGAACCCCCCTGGAGTGCTTCTAGCTGTTTACTTACTTACCTAATAAAGGCGTCAGTTTTAGGGGTTTGGTGCCCTGAATAGTCTTCCACGACATATTTCTGGCGAGTTTTAGATGATATTACATTTTAATCTACATTATTACCACAACTAGGAGGCCTTCTTCCATAAAACAACTAGCCCCTGATGAGCCCAACTCCAATCCAGGCCAACCTTTAAAGCCGACACTCAAAGGAGACATCCTTTTTTTATATGCGACACCGTCTGAAAAAGATGATCATGCTTTGCCATTGATTCGCTGCAAGTAGTCACAACTTCATTCATGTTTCAAAGTCAAAGTTTCAGTGTGACTACAACCCCTATATACCTGCCTTGGTAGATATGGGTTGTGGTCACACGTCTCAACAACATCTTATTCCTCAGCTATCTACATACAGTCATGAGACAAAAGAATTCTCAACTAAATTTCGAACCTCCAGCTACCTCGTATATCATGTCTCAAAAATTTGCCAACCTCGAGGGCTTAGGTCGGGATATTCCCCTTTATTGGGTAATTAGGTTCGCTCCGCCCCTGTCTAAGCCACGCCAGCTGTCTAAAAGGGGCAAAGCCGCGACAGCCCCAAATCGTGTCAGCTGAAATCGATCTAACGAATGAATGGGGCCCAAAAAAAAAAAAAATACTCCAAGTGAGGGAGCTCATGTTGGCGATGTTCGTCCACATTTCAATTCCTAATAAACGCGAGCCATTGTTTTTAAGCCCGCCTGTATCTCGGTTTGTCAAATCTATAGATTTCAATTTGTACTATACTTTTTCCCTTCAAATGTGTATATGGCCTTTTTTTACGCCAGCATGAGCGATAAACGTGATCGTGTAACATTCCTCTTTAAGGATTTCGTTGAAGGGGGTAGGTAATAAGGACAATATCCGCGTCGAACACCTGCTCCGTGCACACACACCAGACGGGGGTTGTTGGATAGAGCCTCATTGGTGTAGTACCATGTTAGCATCGGCAGTAAGCATATTTCAATGTCAAAAGCTGTTTAAGTAGGTACTCAAGCAAACATAAAGCATTGGGATAGGATTAAATTATCATTAAAATTATTTACTTTTGGGCCATTAACACTAGTATTATTAACGAGAGTTATTAATTTATCTTCAAGAAAAAAGGAGTGTCCAGTCCTCCTTTACCAAGTCTCTCCTGTTGGCCAAAACTTTTTTTTATATATACAACATTAACGGTTGGTGATAGCCTCTTTACTTTTGCCAAAATTGTAGTTGTGTGCGTGAGTGTGTGGCCTTCTATACTAACGCTTTCAAATGGACGTTTTTGTTCGGAGAAGATGTTGTGTACCTCATGTATAAGCCATGAATATCCGTAGCCCCCAATTGCGCCCTAGATAGACCTAGCGCCGCTCAATCCAGCGCTACCGTTCATATATCCTGATCCCAAAGATGTATTTGTAGATGTCGAACGAGAAGATGGTCGTCGAGCTCCGGAAACGAAGGTTGGGAGTCGATATTGGTCCAGTTTATTGGCACTCTTAAGGGTAAAAGGCCAGACAAATCTTGATCCACTTGACGAATGTGAAGATCCTGAAGATGCTGAACCAGGCATTTTTCTGTTTTTTTTATATGTACGGTATTCTTTTTCTTGTACCAAGTTCGTTGTTAACGATCAAACGCTGGGCACTGGAAATATGTATAAGTGAAATGAAGTCGTTTTTTAGCGGATTGTTAACTTTGTCGGTAGAAGAGGGGAGGAGGTGCTTGGGGGGTCCAGAAGCCCGAAATTGACGGAGGCCGAGGTGCTATCATATATAAATGGATCATGTCATATTCAACAAGGGGGGCGGAGAGTCAGGTGCCAATGAACCTGGCGAAGCGCCAATCTTACTCTATTTCGCTGATTATCGCAGCAAAGACGATATCATTCGACCATATATAGATCAGAACACCGATAGGAGGGGGAAAGCCATTTCATGATATACTATTGGCTGAACAAATTTTTAAGAGAGATTATTTCGTAGTCGCAGCAACGCCACTAGAAGCATGCAGTCCCGGGCTTAGCCCCCGAATCGAGCCAATTGCTATATGACACATTAATTCTGCTCTCTAGAATAATGTATGCTCGCATATGCGGTGCGGCCCGCTGTAACATTATATGCGGAAGAGAAAGAGCGGAGAAGGGAGTAAAAAAGGAAAATGAAGATATCTCACCATAGAGCCTACCTATAGCCTGCCGATGCTATACAGAGAGGCATGTAAGTATGCTATGTAAGATGCAAGGCATAATAGGGGGGGTATGGATGCTGACACTGAGGCTCTGAAGTCTGGAAGGGGATCGTCCCCCGACACAGGTTGGAAATTGCTATAATGATTGGGTTTTCAAGTGATTCTCTGGCCCTTCACCCAGGTTTGTTCCCACGGTAGGCTTTCCAACTCGACAGTCCCAATCGACATCATGGTGCCCTTCCAGGCGGGGTTCTACACCATCATCATCCTAGCCGCGTGTAAAATCATTCTTATTGCACTCGAAATACTTTTCAATACAAGAAAGCCCAAAGCACAATTTCTGGTTCTTTCTGGTTGTGCTTCCGCATTCTTAGCCATCCTTCTTGGATGTGTGTCGTTCGTAGGACTGCGAGCAAAACTAGCGGAAGAGCCTGGGCAGTGTGAAAATGCAGATGCTGATATTGTGGGCGATGGGGTCCGGGCAGCTGCATGGACACAAGTCGGTATATTGTTTTTCATAACTTTTACAGGAATCTTTCACTTTTATAAGACAGCAGTGAAAGAGATCGGTGGTGGCTTGATTGTCACCCACGTGTCCTTGGCCATTGCCCTCCTAGTTCCGTTGGCTCGCTATGAGCTATCTCCTATCGACGCAATTTTGGGATCTTTGATTCTAGATGCCCAAGGAAACTCTCTTTCTATTCAACTGGTAACGAAGGAGACGCTGGCTGCTCGATGGCAGGTGGCAGTGGCTTTAATTTCTCAACTCCTCGGGTTACTTATACAGGGCGTCCTCGTCGGCTTCTTCGTCACGAATCGACTCCCAACTAAAAGTTGCCATTGCTTTTCCGTCTTTTGGTGGACCTGGTTCAGCAATTGCTCATCTGTCTCTCCAAATCACGTCCAGCCTTATTGGATATATTTTGCATATCGGTTCATCAATATCATTCATGGGTCTTACTTTGCCGTTACCCGAACCACAATCTACAATGATGCGGAGAAGTGGGATAGGGAGAACCCTTGTGACCCTTGCGATAGCTGCCGCGAAGGAAGCCCGAATACTCTCTGCAGGTGCCATCCTTGCGAAAACTGTCAATTTTGCAAAGTTTGCAAGAGGCAGGCTCGCTGCCATCCGCATCAACCAATACCCCCGAGCCAGAATGCTTCTCAGGGTGCTATAATTCTATTTCACATGGACACTTGCACAAGGTGTTATAGGTGCAAGAAATGCGGACACAGCAAACTCGATTCAGACACCGCAGTGCTTCTATCCGGCGAGCGGTTTTCCGAAGCCACGATGACTGTCAGCTCGAACTTCCTGGAAAACAGTGTTTTAGCACTGATAAGTATGATTTCGTTGGAAGTTACAATGAGTATGAACATGGTACAGAAGACGTCTCCGCTGTATGCGGTTGGACAAGTCACGTCCTTGGTTATCGCCGTTGGGACGACAGCTAGAGCACTTTGGGTGTTTCTATATATGTTTGATTCAAAATCTCGTGAGTGACCACGACGCCATGCCTATTCAGGGGTTGGGTTGCTAACAAAATTCGAACCAGACTCCGCATATGTCACATAAAACAGCATCATTATCATGTATCTGTAAATATGCATCTGCCGATAAAAGGGGTAACAGTACAATAAGGTGGCGGGGGATTCTTTCTGAAGAGGTAAACATACTGGTTGAAACTTACCTGGACTGCGCAGAGCAGAAGAATAAATATCAAAAGTGTTAGCTTTTCATTATTACATCGAGCATCGGCGATACCTAGAGTTATGAGGTTTTTATACAACACTTGCGTATATATTGATACCAGTAGGTACGGGTCGGATTTACTCACAATTCTGCGTTACAAAGTGAAGTAAAGCAGCAAAATGCCTGTCATGAACTGGCTGTTTGCTATGAATATTTGAATATTAATATCTGGATTTAAGGACCTACAGCTTACATACAAGGCGCCGTGGTCCCGGTGGGGAGCCCCGAAGAAGAATTATAAACCCCCAACAAATAGCCCCCCAAAACCCATAATCTGAGCGGACTAAAAAGACTTGACGAATCAAATATTCCTCACATTCCCATCCGCCACAGCCTCGATCCCCTTGACCACTAACCAACTCGCCATGAGCGTATGTAGCCACCTGCCCACACTCCCCTCCAAAAGCGTAGGTTTCTCGCCCACCCTTCTCCATAGCACAGTCTCGTTCACGAATTTCACTTCATCTCCCCCCGCCGTGAGATCAAATCCAACGTTTAGCGCCCCAGCCACGACAGGGCCTCTCCATCCTGGCGGCGGCGACACTAGAGTTACACGAGGGTTAGCGATCGCCGCACTGGCAAAAATGTAGATTGGTTGGGAAAATCAAGAACATTCGAGAAGGGGTGGTGTAACAGAAAAGTGTAGCGGTAATAGGTAAAAATGATATAATAAAAAGGGGGCAACACTCACAGCCCAGCACAGCCCTGCCCCCTCTCCTGCCCCTGACGACATACACCCCGCACACCCTATCCCCGATCTCAAACGCGCACTCGCCCAGATACCGCGCCTCGAAAGTCCGTCTATACGCCTCCGGATCGGCCAGCGCAGACCCCATGCGCGCCATGACCAGGGCCTGCGGCGTCCACGCGAACGCGCGCATCGTCGCGCTTAGGTACGCCTTTAGCAAACCCCCGAGCTCCGCGAGCTCAGGCCGGAGATCAGCGACGGGGATAGGGACAGAAGTCACCCGCTCCCGCGCGATGACGAATTCTTCCGCGTTAGCTACAACGTCTTGCGGTATCACATCGCCATCGTCATCCTCCGATTTCTCATCCAGCAGCAAACTCCCTAACGGCGAGATCTGCGCCTCAGAAACAACCGTCTTCTTCGCCAGACTGCGCTTCACGTACAACAAATAAGCAGCGGGCAAAGCGACCGGGGCCAGCGCCACCAGCACGCGGATGATGGAAGCCCCTGCTGGGCTTGGGGTGACACGGAACGCCATTGTCTGCTTACGTTCTACCCGAGTTTACCGAGCCCCCCAGATTGAACGAATGAGAGCAGATGCCCTCGGGGGAAGTCTAGATATGGATGATTATCCGAATCTGACGTAATATAGTAAGATCTTGGTACAACCTAAGATCGGGATGATCCGAAGTCCGATCGCACTTACGTAGTAAATATTTGAATTGTGATTGAAGTTGGAAGTCCTTTGGGATGCAGTTATCATGAGTCTTTTTAGCTGGGGCACATTCCTTTACTATGATACTCTCGATAAGCTAGAACGTCGTATCCGTGTCTAACTTAGCTTAGCCCAAGTCTGGTAATTCATGGTTTCTATAACCCGCCACTAATTTGTACAACTCGGTAGTCAGCCTTAAGAAACTAACAGAGACCGGCAGTCAATACTAACACATATCAAGTCTAGCTAGCTCAAGTTACGAACTTTGCACCATTTCAAATCACTAATTTAGTGTATTCACTGCAAAGACAGATTATAAACAAGGGGAATATCGAGCACAGCACAGTGCAGTAGTCAGCCAGTAAACCTCCAAAACTCCCATACGCGATGCACCTTATGCCCTTTTCAATAGCAACAAAGCAATCCAAAATCCTGGCAAACACGTGCGGTTATCACCGCAGCAGACACCTTGGCCACTAGACCTCAGCGTGATCCAGCGTTTGTAAGGGGACATATCCTTCGTCCTTGCGCGTTCTTCTGCCAAGTACGGCACCCGCGATGTCTTGTGCACGGGTAACAACGCTGTCGAAGCCCCAACCCCGGCCACGCCTCTTTAGTCCGCCTTTATCGGCGAGCAGGGCTTCTTCCATCCACTGTGGCCGCTTCCAGAATTTGAGGAGTAAGGAGCTGACTACGACACTGACACTGCTGCAAGCCATAGCAGCACCAGCAGCCATAGGATGAAGATGCCAGCCCAGGGGAAGGAACATTCCCATGGCGAAGGGCAGACCGATAATATTGTAAAGGCATGCCCAGGCAAGGTTGAGTTTGATACGTAGGAAAATGGTTCGGGCTAAGTTAAGAGCGGCGGGAATGTCCATGAGATCGTTAGGCCGCATAAGGACGATATCAGCAGCTTCCATGGCGACATCCGTACCGCTAGACATAGCGATGCCAACGTCGGCAGTGGCTAGTGCAGGAGAGTCGTTGATACCATCGCCGACCATGGCAACACATTCACCCCGTTCCTGTATCTCTCGAACGATGTTCTGCTTCTGGTCTGGAGACACACCAGCGTAGACATTGTCATGCGAGATACCAACGGATGTGGCGACGGCCAACGCAGTAGACAGTTGGTCGCCAGTGACAATGGCGGTCTTAATTCCCATACGGTGTAGTACCGCAATCGTGGCTGTTGCTCCTTCTTTGATTGTATCGGACAAACATAGGTGGCCGGCGTACTTGCCGTCGATAGCGACGAAGACGTTTGTTGTTCCAGCGGAAGCAGCCTTCGACTTGTTCGCTTTAGAATTTATTTCCTCGGAAGCCTCTACTGCATGTTCAGGAACTTCGACTTTGCTTTCTCGTAAGAAGCGAACGCTACCCACGAGCACTTCGTAACGGGTACGTTCGGCACTGGTAGACGGCTCGACACGTGCACTGATACCTCGGCCTACAACAGCATTGAAATCGCCAACGCTACCATCGACAGCTGCTTCGGCGTCCAAACCAAGATCATTACGCGCTGCTGCCAAAATGGCTTTACCCACTGGATGCTCACTTCCCATTTCGGCAAGTCCGACAATCGACCACCAGAGGCGTCGTCGCCACTCGTTATCTTTCCAGACCGATGGCATCTCGATACTTGCAACGCTCATCTTGCCGTATGTGAGAGTTCCTGTCTTGTCAAGGACGACTTGGGTAATTTTAGTTGTAGTTTCCAGAGCTGCACCGCCTTTTACTAGAATGCCGTTCTCCGCACCTACTCCCGTACCAACCATTACGGCGGTAGGAGTTGCAAGGCCGAGGGCGCACGGACAGGCGAACACGATTACGGAAATGCAGAGTTTGACGCAGACCATCAGCTTGCCACCACTCTCCTCTGACAAGAAAATCTTGGGCGGGTTTTTGAGAGCATGGCTCAATACCATCCATGTGATGAATGTTAGGAAACCAAGGACCAAGATCGTGGGGACGAAGTAGCCAGCAAGCGTGTCAGCTAAACGCTGGATAGGAGCTCGTGTAGTTTGAGCGTCTTGCACGAGCTTGACAATCTGACTGAGTTGGGTATCCCGGCCTGCTCTAGTTACGCGGAAATCAACTCGGCCATGTCCATTGACGGTTCCACCGATCACATTGCTTCCCTTCTTCTTCTGTACTGGAATGGCTTCTCCTGTAACCATGCTCTCATCTATGTACGTTTCACCTCGCACTATGGTTCCGTCGGCAGGTATCTTATCTCCGGGGCGGATGATCACAATGTCGCCAACCGAAATGAGTTCGGTGGGAATGATCTTTTCTTCAGCGGCATTGCCCTCCTGAGCTTGGTTCTCTGGCTTGTCGGCATTTGCGGCCGCGTCCCACTTTTCTGCCGATTTTTCTGCTGCGATCGGATCGGCATAAATGGTAGCCATAGATGGGGCCAGAGACATAAGTCGCGAAAGAGCCTTCGAAGTTTGGCCCTTAGCACGATTCTCTAGGAAACGGCCAAATGTGATAAAGGTAATCAGCATAGTGCTGGTATCAAAGATAGTATTTGGTCGGGTGTGCGGAGGAAATAAAAAGGAAACGGCCATCGCGAAAACGCTGAAGAAAAACGCAGCAGAAGTCCCTAGGACGACGAGCACGTCCATGGTTGGGGACTTATGTTTGATCGACTTATAAGCTGAAATGTAAAAGCGTTTGCCTATGCCGAACTGGATGGGTATCGTAAGAATTAAGCAAATGACATCGCCTAAGAAAAGACCGGGAAGCAATTCCAAGCGGCCGAAATCCAAGAAAGGAATTGCCATGGGGAAGACCATGCCGATGAAGAATACTGGAATCGCAAAAGACAATGAGAGCTGAAAGGCTTTTCTCCATTCCTGGATCTCCCTCGTCTTCGCTAGCGATTCTAACTGCGCATTGTTGTCGTCGTTATCGGCAACTAGGGCATTGAACTTCATCTTTTCAACCTCTTCCACGAGCCCTCGTAAGCCTGTTACTCCAGGCTGATGAGAAACTGTTAGTCTAGATGTGGCCATGTTCAACTTCGCAGAGTTAACACCGGGAAGGGCGAGCAACGCTTCCTCGATAGCTTTGGCTGCAGCAGCGTCAGGATTTCCGTATATCTTGAGCTGCGAGGTAGTAGACGATCCAGAATGATCAGCCGTATCGGCAATTGACGATATGACTTCAGCACCAAACCCACTATCCTCGATTGTCTCTGATATCTTCTCCGCAGTAACTTTGGTAGTGTCATGGGTAATGACAGCTCGCTCCGCCAACAAACTGATATTAAACCGCAGAATACCATCGAGACCGGTTACAGCACTTTCAACGGCCGAGGTGCATGCGCCACACGTCATACCCTCAATAGCAATGGTAGTTGTGGCCGTAGTAGGTTTCGTTTCCGTGCTCTCTGTCCCCTTTTTAATAGGCTTTGATTCCTCGCTGGAAAGTAAGGTCGCACCAAATCCTCGATCCTCAATAATCTCTATTATCTGATCGGCTGGTAATAAGGTCACATCATGTTCTACGACGGCTCGTTCGGAAAGTAGCGATATGCTGAAATGCTTGACACCGGTCACGTCTTTGAAACCACCTTCGATAGCCGATGTACATGCTCCACAAGTCATGCCCTCGACAGCGATTGTTGTGACGGTAGTTGATGGGCTGTCGTCGTGTTCACCCGAAGTCTCTTGTCTTGGCGTGGGTAAAGGAGAGGGTATATCAGTTGCCAGAACCTCTGCTTCGAATCCGCGATCCTCGATGATTTCTTGTACTTTCTCGGCGGGCATTCGTTGGGGATCGTGCATTACCACAGCTCGTTCCATCACCAGGCTTACAGACACACTACCGACTCCGTCGACACCCTTGAAGCCTGCTTCAATGGATGAAGTACAAGCACCACATCTACGTCCATGTTAGCGAAGCAGTCCACAGCTACAGTATATGATCTTAGAAATCGTACGTCATGCCACCAACTCTCAAAGTGGTGGTAGCCCATCGTGCAGGTGTCGGACTTTGGAGGGAAGACCCGGGAGGCCCTCGGGGAGGAACTGTAATATTTCTTGGCGGCATATCTCACGAAGATGAGCGCAATCGCGCAATGTTTCGTCTAGGAGTTTACGAAAAGGCGCAACCGATGTCGCTGAACCGTTCTCTAGTGTGAACCGGTAGGATTTTTATATAACGGCCAGCATGATCTAATTATTGTTGATGAGATGTTAAAAGACAAAAGATGACTTGACGTGTAGAAGTGACGTGTAGTAAGAAAAAAGAACACGTCGAAAAAATGACCGAACTCCAGCTCCAGGCGGGTAGCAGGCAAGATATATTAAAACTGGCTTAAAACTGTACGTGTGGTGTGTAATGCGTGGATTTGAATAGGGAATGATTAGACAAGTTGACGCAAGTTGCCGAGGAAGGAATTCAAGAACAAAAGGGTCGAACGATGCGATTCTGTTCTAGGTTTGGAAGGGGTTTGTAAGCTACCGGGGTTAGGGAACCGCCGCTAAGTAATTATCAGGTGTAGGGTAGAGCACTAGTGGAACGGCCTAGGACCAATCGGGAGTTTTGGGTGCTTTTAGTCACATATTACGACTGTGCAAACGTCACGGGCCAACTGTACGCCACACAACTTCCAAGCGCTAACCTGGACACTATTTGTGCTTTGACCGAGCTGACGTTGCACTAGCCAATACAGTGCGGCGCATAATTGCAGGGCTCTAGAAGACTGTAGTTTCAAGCTTGGCATTGATTGTTAAAAGACGAAACATACCACAACTAATCGGAACCTTCTAAACTCGGTAACTAAAGCGATCTTCGCCAACCTTGCATCTCGTACTTAGATCTTGGCTAGAAGACGAATAGATCGACTTGTACGCATCTTTACATACTACATACATTTTGAATGATATACACCTGGCTGTTCAATGCATGAATAGAAATAATGTAAATCAAGGAGTCAAGGCATTAAATAGAAAAGTGAGTACCTACATAGGTAGTCAGCACTCCGTAAGACATTGGATATGCCGAGCAACCTTTGACCGTTACGGCAAGTTCGGACCGCACGGAATATACAACTTGATTAGTTGTACCTCCGATATATTGGCTACTTTATCTTGATTCAATATATTCGGCAAATGTCTAAAAGTAGATTTGCTCCGTATGGGGTGGAGGATTCATACGTATGCCATTATATCCGATTTTTTACTCCTTTCTATATTAACGTCACTTGCTCCAATACCAATGGCAAACAATACCATTAGTAAACACGTGTAGATGTCGGATTGTTATGCTGCTGTTGGTTCTTTGTCAACTCTGGAAAGGAATGGGCAGTACAAGCTGACTGCAGGTATTATTGCTTCATCAGTATCCACGATCACCAAGATCACCAATCCATCTGCCTTGCTTGTTCACCGCATTAAGTTTGATCTTGTATACATTCCTATACCATCCCTATACCATCGTATGATGAGGATTTTAGAGAATTCCATCCTATCCGTTGAATTCTTTGTTCGTCTAAAGGCAAGATATGCAAGACTTGTTAAGGTTGTAAATTCGGTTCATGCAATGCCTAGGTATATGGGTTAAGCGAGAAGGGACGGCTGACAGAGCAGTGAGCGATAAGATAAGAAATTACTGTGCAAATTGCCCCGCTATAGCCTAGATGTCACTAGCAGCGTCTGGGGTAGGGGCCTAGCTCAAACAGTGATGATACAGGCACCACTTCAAAAGTTCAAGCTTTGGTAACCACCGTAACCTCAACCAAGTCAACATCAAACACCAGCAAATCCACTTCTGGAATACCACGTCTCCTAACCGACGTGATTCTAGCCTCTCATTCAAACAAGCTTTGGGCGTTTCCACTTACCCTTACTCATTTCTATTGAAACGAATTAGAGTAGCAACCCCACAACCAACCTGCTAATCCGTCATTCTCTCATCGTTTCATTCCACCAGAGCAAGGCGAGCCGATCTAGAAGCTTAGCCAGTTAGCTTAGCTGTCTGGCCCTGGTCTTCTATCTCTCAGCCTTGCGTGAGCCTCACATCGTCCATACGCACGTTCTCACCGTCATTAGGACGAGGCTATCTTCACGATGGAGCAGACCAAGGCACTAAACGCTCTCGAGGTGAGTATCCCATATCAAGCACATCCCATATGCATACTTCCCATTACCTAGATCTGGACCTTACTACAAGATATTACCTCACGATACATATCGATAAACACACAGCTAACAACTCCAGCCTTACCTAGCCCTCACCAAATCGGCCACATCTCCCCGCGCAGCAGCCGACCTAGTCACCCAAGCGACCTCGAACCCGAACACCTACGTCTTCGCCGAGCTCCTCCAGGCGCCGCAAATCCAATCTCTATCCCAGACCCCCGAATACGCGCCCTACCTGCAACTCCTCGAGATCTTCTCCCACGGCACCTACCAGACCTACGCCGCCGCCCAAACCAGCACCCCCTCCCTCCCCGCCCTCAACGACGCGCAGGCCCTAAAGCTGCGGCAGCTCTCCCTCCTAACCCTCGCCCGCAACCCGCGCAACCTGAGCTACGCCAATCTCCAAACGAGCCTAGGCCTTCCCACCCCCCGCGCGGTCGAAGAGCTCGTCATCAGCGCGATCTACGCGGGCCTCGTCGAAGCGCAGCTCGACCCACGCAACCAGACCGTCCACGTGTCCGGCGTCGCGCCCCTGCGCGACCCAGAGCCGAACTCCATCCCCTCGGCCCTCGCCGCCCTGCGGGCCTTCTCCGCCCGCTGCGAGACCACGCTCCAGGACCTCGAGGCCCAGGTGACCAGCGTGCGCGAAGCAGCGGTCTCGCGCGCGGCCGAGACCCAGGCCGCGGCCCAGACGCAGGCCAAGCTCCTCGACGAGCAGCGCCGCGCCGAACTCAGCGCTAACGCCGCGAGGACCCTAGGCGCTCACGACCGCGACTCGGGCCGGCTCGTCGACGCCGCTATAGCGCGGCTCCGCGGCGGCGGCGGCGGCGGTGGCCGAGCCGCTGGTGCCGGCGCCGCTGGCCTGCAGAACCGCACTGGTAAGCGGGGAAGCGGTAGCTTGGAAGCCGGCCCAGACTACGTGGACGAGGCGATGGATCTAGATGAGGAGGACCCCGACGAGGGCGATGTCGGCCAGGGTAAGAAGCAGCGGCAGAGCCGGAGAAAGCTTTAGGGAAACAAGAAAGCTCGCGTCTAGCGCTTTGGGATTTCTTGGTCGAGAAGATCGTGTGGTCATGGATGGGTTGAGAAATGAATGGGCTGGGGTTTTTTTTTTCATGAATGCAACGCGTATGTATTTCATTCTCGAGCTTCTGCAAGATAACAAGGCTCGGGTAAGAAAAAAAAGAGAGCTCATCGTGTGGGAAGTTTGTGGAAGATAAGAGGAAGTCTAGAGAAGGGGAGCTAGAGCTATGGGGCTAAGATTAACCACCAGCTTACCACTCTAGCTTCGTCGTCATTGGTGTAATGGGACGTGGTGGCAGACCTAGACCATTAGCATGCAAAGACATTAAGATCACAATAAACGAAACATTTCTACGAATCACGGGTTAGGAGGCAGTGTAATAATAAAACGTAGAATTCATCGCAAGATTGGTTACAATCTGCAGCATCCAGCCTTGAAGCCGAGCTGATGAAGGTACGTTTCTCTGTGCTAGTGTACACGAGCCAGTGTAAAACCAGGCAAGTGGGTGAAGCGGCCACCAGGCTCGGTCCTTCACCAAAAAAGGGGGAATGGGGAACGAAGATGAATCCATCTAAGGATAAATGGGAGAAGTGAAAGGGTCCTCAGACGAACTGCCGGTGAAAACAGATTATCTGGGGACCAAATGTGTGAATCCGTAAGCCGTATGCCTGATTGCTTTTCCCCTTCACACCAGTGAAAGGATACACCCCTGTTGAGAGAAAAAAAAGGCAAGACAGAAAAAAAATCAACGATGAATGCGCGTGCGTGCTTGCTCGTACTTGATGGTATCACATTATCCTCCCCAACACAAGCCGCAGAGTATTATTCAAGGCCCGCAAGTATGTCTTGGTAGGCCAATTCTCGAAACTCCTGAAAGAAATGGTCATGACGTCGTGAAGTGTAATAAGATAGGCAACACTGGATCTAAGTAACTCCATGATGTAAGTTACCTGGGTAGGATATCCAGTTGGTTGCTTAGAGTCTATGTCCGGGTACAAGGATGAACAGCACGCACAGCGCCGCATCGAACAGTGCTGTCACAGCAAGAACGACGAGAGAACGCTGGAACAGTAGCTTGCGGACGTAAGGCTCTCGGATGCTAGTAAACTCGAATGGGGTCAACTCGGTATAACCAAGGAGCGCCATGATCGGATCCAGAGAGTACTGGTACGAGGCTAGAAGGTATACGCCGATAGTGAAGGGAAGAATTTCCTGCATTCTAAGTTAGATGATGATCCATGAGTAGTGAAGTCGAATAAATAACATACCCAACATCGAGTCAAGCGGGGATAGTCAAGGAAGATAAGATTGAATCCTGTCCAGAAGCCTCCAAAGAGAGCAACAAGACCAACGATCAATCGTACGATAAGAGTAGGAGGTATCAGGTTTCCGAAGGCTCTAACTCGCAGAAATCCTGGGAACGCATCTCGCTCCATGGCCTGAAACACGTAATCCTTAGCCACGTCGAAAAGTTCAGGGTCATCGCGATTGTTCTCCTCGATCTCTCTGGTTACATCGGCTGCGATGGTGCCATCCAAAGTGATCTCACGTTCGGCACCGGGTAGCAGGAAGGTGTAGAGGATTCTCTCCGCCGATCTTTGAATATCAATTCGGCTGAAGGCATGAGCCGGAGAATTCGAGTCGGTGATCTGCTGAGGTGTGCTAGAGCTAAGCTGAGTGCTGGCGCGAGCTCGTCGCTCCTGGCTGCTAGCAGGTGAGTCCTCGGCCTGCTGTTCTCGCAAGTAATTGGAGATCTTCGCATCTTGGTCTCGCTCCTTCTCGTTTCCAAATCGCGCGGGGCCATCGTGGCTATAGCTCAAGTCACCCATCGCATCTAACACTCGCGATGATCGCTTAGATTCCTCCGTCTCCAAGTCCGGTGTGCCCACCAGGACAGATCGTCGAAGTTCTCGAACGTAATGGCGGCAAAGTGACATGTGCTGTGCAACATCGAGCCTACATATCTTGTAAGAAAAGATGGTATCCAATTCCAAGCAAGGAGGACCACATACCAGAAGTCAAGATAGTCAACAGATCGCTGCTGATCTCGCATGTAGATGTAAAACGAGAAGAGATCGACGGGAGGTTGTGTACGACGGCAGAGAACCTCAAAGAGGGTAGGCAATCGGTTTCGTACCATGTTGTCGGGAAGAGGCGAGGTATTCGCCTCTTCCAAATTACTGCCAGCATACGCCATCTTGGTGAGTGTAGGTTGTTGTTACTAATTACTATGAAAAGCTGCAGTAGATAGCTTCGATCGGGAATTGGAAGATCCGGAGCTCAAATGGGAGGCGAGAGATAATGTGCGTATAGTTAGGTGGATTGGATTGCGAGGGAGTAGATGTCTGATTTAATTGCAAAGTAACCGCCAAGTTAGCTCTCCCCTTGGGAGCAGCTAAGTTTTTGTGCCGGTGCGCAGGGTCGCGTTGAACGTTACAAAGGGGTGATGTGAGTAACGTGATCGGGTTATCGCGAATGTTGTTGTCGGCGCACAAAATTCATCAATTGCACAAAACGAACTTAATCGTTTCAATATTCTCTTTGCGGAAAAAACACAAATAGAAAGCGAGTGAAATTGCGCTCGGCGCAAGGTTGGGAGTGTTGATGTTGATGAAGGAAAGACGACGTTGGGCCAGAATCAAAAACTGGGCAAGTTGTAAGATCATTTGATTTGCGACGTCTGTCGTGGCTGCCGGTTGTTGTTGGAGCCTAGGCCACCCGTTCCTAGATGACTGGCAGGCGACTGCCAGGTACCTATCCAACCAAATTACAGCGCCAGGGGTACCTGAAATCGTGGCACGGCAGTAAGTTTTTCGAAATTTCTTATGGGCACATCGGGATGTTTGAACCTATCAGCCACAACTGAGGTCATACGAATCACATTTTAGTCGTTAATTGATAGACATGGGGTAATAAAATGTGAAGTGATGCAGATATTTTACATCCCAATTCTAAGTCTTGTGAAGCTGCTGTGAACTTTGCACCATGCCTACCTACCTAGTACATAGAATGTAAATAATGAAAATTGATCTAAGAATAGATCCATCTACAGCTTTAGACATAAAATCAGTGATACTAAAAGTGCACTACAAATCACTTATGCTTTAGGTGCCCGTATTTGGGCCGACCCGATAGCTTGGTACTTAGGTACCTCCATATGAGTGTTGCTGCTTCACCAGCCACCGCTCAGACCAACCTGAATTTCAATAAGCCACATCTTTGAAGAAATACAGAAGTACATGAGCCACAGCAGCATCTGCACACTTCCCACAAATTGAAATTTAATTGGTTCGGCTAGCGAAAAGCTACCTCCAACCCTCAGCTTCCCACATCGGTGTCTCTTCAATTTTCAATTTCGCAAAGTCTCACAATACCACGACCGAACTTTTCGACCAACATCCAGACAATCATCCAGTAAGCCAACCCAGCACAGAAAATCCACTACGACCTCACAGAAAAATCTAACCATACCGCCCTATTCAGAAATGTCGTCGAAAGGAAAGAAGCCCGCCACCAAGTCGGCCATTGAGCAGGTCGTGTCCCGCGAATACACCATCCACCTCCACAAGCGTGTACGTCTATTCCGCAACAGAATCGGATCCTTTTCGGCGCATTATCCATATTAGAGGAGAGACAAAATGCTGATGGAATTAATAGCTGCATGGTGTTACCTTCAAGAAGCGCGCTCCCCGTGCTATCAAGGAGATCAAGGCTTTTGCGCAGAAGGCTATGGTACGAATAACCCGGATTATCTTCGAACTACCTCCCACATCCACATTCACATCCACATTCGCACTCACAGTTCCGATCTTTCAAATAACTCCCACCTTCAAAATCCACCCACGAGCACTCTAAATTGATCCAGACTTGGCTAACTTAATCATAGCAAACCTCTGACGTCCGCCTCGACCCTCAACTGAACAAGAAGGTGTGGGAGCAAGGTGTCAAGGGTGTCCCCTACCGACTACGCGTCCGAATCAGCCGACGACGAAACGACGAGGAGGATGCGAAGGAGAAACTCTACAGCTACGTCCAGGCCGTCAACGTCAAGAACCCTAAGGGCCTCGTGACGGTGGTTGTCGAAGAGTAAGGGAAAGCAATGCAAAGGGAAAAGCAATGTTTCGTTGAGATACCGGCTGGGTTCGAGAAGGGCATGGTTTCGGAGTTCCTTCTGGCTTCATTACATTAAGATTCAGTGATTGATGAATCAAGAACCGTGAACGACATATGTTTGGTCTGTTCACCCCATTTGCTACTTGCTACGACGTGATTTGAACATGCGTTTACGAGGTCCATCCCCAGCATCATTCATTACATCTTGAGAAGTCAATCATGGCAATGCCGCTAGCGAAGTGGGTGATAATGCTATCGTGTTCTCATTGAACTATGCAAGGAATTGCTATCCCCAGCCGTAAAACAACCTGTAAATGCACCGCGTACAAGGCGCCGGGACAGTAGCGGTCTAACTCGACCAACCATGCAAAAACTGACTCCGATTCTCCACACCGAGAGATCCCAAATGCCCACTCGGACATATGATAAAGGGTATAATGGACAATTTAGTCATCATCGACATCACGGTGACGGCCGAGAACCTTCTTCTTGAACTCCTCCGCGTCCTTGTCCCACAGCTCCGCTGCCTCGCCGTTCAATGGGGAAGCGCTACGAATAAGTTAGTAAAGTCATGTCTTACCTAAATCCAACGCATAGAAACTTACTTGTTCGGCTCTCCGAGCAGACTCTGAAGACTAAGGAGAACAGTCTGGATGTTGTACGCAGCAGTCCACTTGTCTTTCAAGATATCTAGGCAGATACGGCCGGAGAAGTCCACGTTGGGGTGGTAGATGGGAGTCTTAAAGAGCACGGTCGGGGGAGCGTAGGGATAGTTGGATGGGAAGGAGAAGGAGAGCTTGAAGGTAAGTCCGGCATAGGGAGTGTCATCTGGTCCCTCGATCGTTGCGGACCACGACATCAGGTTTCCATCGGCCGACGGGAAGGCTGAAACGCCGGGGGCGGGCGAGGTCATCAATTGCATGAGCTCCGTCTGCAATCTACATGTTACTATCGTTAGCGAGATGCATCGTATAACGGATACAGCTTTCTAGTAATTTCCCAACCGTACCTCTTGGTTACACTCTGTGCATCGGGACCTCTGCGAGTGCTGCCGAGCTTAGCAGCTTGGACGCTCTCGGGTGCTGTGTTCTGGTTTTCGGTAGGGTATTCCATCTTTGCTAATGATTGATCTTCGTCGTCGGTAATGAAATTGCCCGAATTCTAATCCAGGGAAGTCGAAGGACGAAGTAAATGCAATAAAGACTGAGTCAAGCTACCAGTGGCTGCTGGATTCGGTGTCCCGTAGTTAGACAAATTGTACAAGGAGAAAAGAAAGACGAAGCTGGAATGCAGTGTCTGTTAGCGATGAAAGGTTCTCGATCGATGCACCAGACCCAATTAATAACCATCAATTAGAGGTAGAAAGAGATTCGAGGTTGAGGAATGTTGTACGAACCTCTTTGGTCGATATATATCGAAGTGCTTAGGAATTGAAAAGTCGGGTTAGATATTGTGGTAATAGGGAAAACAATTGAAGAAAAGGGTACGGTAGGATCGTTTTTTCAAATTGTAAACAACAACTCTGACGTCCCGCCCGATTAGCACTCCTATGGCAACCGCGATGATGGGGTCCATCCAGCTCCCATCCATTGGAAACCCCCAGTCTTTAGCGCCTTCTCACCTAATCTGGCGGGTCTGAGGCGGTTGTGACTCCCCCCCAGTTGGTCAGTGCCAGTGCCGATAAGCCACTTAAAAGACTCACACCACAGCTGCACCGCAACGCAAGAAACTTAAACAGTTAATTATGGGTCCATGAATACCCTAAAAAGAAACCGGTCGTAGCCAATAAACTTACCGGTTCGCGAAACAATCTCAAACCGAAAAACACTTAAACACATCTATCCCAATTCTAGTTTAATTGGTATTTTGACGCGGTAAGACGCGTTCACAAGCCATCATGGTGAGTCCCTTCTGATATTTGACCATTTTGAATATTTTCATCTCTATTGGTCGCAGTCTCTGCCGGCTTAGACGTCTACATCGGCGCCTAATCCCTATTTTCGATTATATCCGATGTTCCATGTTCCTTGTCCGCTTACAAACCGAGTTCATCTTGGCGAATCAACTTATATGAATTCTCATGTTATACAATTATGAGTGAGCACTTCGAGAAGGTTTACTAACAAGATGATGCAGTCTCAACTAGACCCAGTACCGAGTAATCTTCCCTTCCGATTCATATCCAAATCAATCGGACGCGGAGCATATGCATCGTAAGTCACTGTCGCTTTCCATGGCCGGTATCCACTTATATTGCATACTAACGGATACTACAGCGTCAGAAAAGCCGTACCCCTGGATTCAAACACACCAGTCTTTGCTGTTAAGTTGATTCATAAAGGCTATGCAATGGAACATGGCCACATCTCAGCGAAGCAGATTGCCATGGAGGTTTCCCTACATTCTCACGTTGGTCAGCACCCCAACGTGATTGAGTGGTTTGCTACAGATGAAGACCGCGTCTGGAGATGGATAGCAATGGAGTATGCCGAGGGTGGTGATCTCTTCGACAAGATTGAGGCCGATGTAGGCGTCAGCGAGGATATCGCTCAGGTCTATTTCCACCAGCTCATCAGCGGAGTAAGCTTCATTCATTCAAAGGGTGTCGCTCATCGAGATCTCAAGCCGGAGAATATCCTCATGTCGGATAACGGCAACTTGAAAATTGCGGATTTCGGCATGGCTACAATGTTCGAATACAGAGGTCAAAAGAAGCAAAGTGTTACCATGTGCGGCAGCCCTCCTTACGTTGCTCCCGAAGTCTTGGTATGTGGCCGGCAGGAGAGGAAGTCTGGTATCGAACTCGTGAAGTATTCTCCCGAGTTAGTCGATATATGGTCGTGTGGCGTCATCCTGTTCGTATTACTCGTGGGAAACACGCCGTGGGATGAGCCAACAAAGGCGAGTTGGGAGTTCATAGAGTATAAGAAGACGAATGGCCGAAGTTCAGACGATCTATGGAAAAGGGTACCAGCAGAGGCACTATCGCTACTCAGAGGCATGATAAACATCGAGCCGAAGAAGCGATTTTCCTTCGCCCAAATACGCCAACACCCTTGGTTCACCCGCCACAACGAATTCCTAGCTGCAGACGGTCAGATCACCGACCCCATAAATCTAGCAACGAGGATGTTAGAGAACCTACGTATAGACTTTAGTCAGCAACCTCCTTCATCTCAGCGCGGATCACAGTCTTCGGCCGATGCCATGGACATAGACAATGGTCTTACCAAGATGGCATCCACCCAGCCAGAAGCGCCAATTAACGACGTCCTATTCGACTGGGAAAGACCTGCCCTACGTACATTAGCCGTATCTTCAACCCAGCCTATGTCTCGAGCGGACGCAACACTGCCACCTTCGGCAACTCAGTCCACAAACTTCTTTGACGCCTTGGCCGAAGAACCCTCCATGAGCCAGTTCTCTCAGACACCCGGAGTACCGATGACTCTCACTCAGCGTGCACAGCGATTCAAGGACATCGTCCCTGCGCATTCGTTCACACGCTTCTTCTCACCCATGCCGCCGCAGCTACTCGTGCAAATGCTCTGTGATGCATTGCACAACCTTAACGTGCCGCTGCCATCCCAGGCTCCGCACATCGGCCAGGGCGACCATGTGTCCGCGCTCAAGGTCAGGACCACGGACGACAGGAAGCAGAGTTTACACGGCGAGATTCTTATTGATAAGTACTTCCTCCCCGAGTCGCAGGAGCTTCTCGAGGTGCGTTTCGTCAAGCTGAAGGGTGATCCCCTCGAGTGGAGACGATTCTTCAAGAAGGTCGTGCTGCTGTGCAAGGAAGGTGTGTACAAACCGGAGGCTTAGAGAGACCACCCGGTTGGCCCGGTTGACCCGCTTGCCGGACGAATGGAATTTAAGGATTCCCCACTCGTCGTAAGGGGGAGTGACGAAGACGAACCTAGGTTCATACCCTAGATGGAGGTACGGCGTTGCTTAATGAATTAAGCGTAGGGTTAGGGAAATTTGCATGGCGGCCACTGCGTTAGGGGATCTGCTTCATGACACATTTAGCTATGGGAAGAACGATGCCTGGCATGACTGGGCGTGGTATCATACGACTGCATTTTCGTAGCTGAATGAATATAAAACGAATGAACTAAACTATCGTTATGTGTTGCTATGTAGAGTTAGGGTGCTAGAATCGTACTCCGTGAAGCAGAAGATTCTCTACTAGCCCCCAAAGCCTTCTTTGTCAGATCGAGGAATTGTAGAACTAGCCCATAATTCTATGAAGTCTCATATCTTCTTCAATCACTAAGTAGGTACGCAATCCATTTCGATAATACGAATAAATTCATTGCTTTCTTAATATGTACCCACTAGAAAAATGCCCCTTTTATCATGAGAGCAATGCCATCAATGTCAGTTTCGGAATTTAGAACATCACGTAACATCCTAAAACCAATTTTGTGTCATTCGTTCATTCGTTCATTATTCCGAATGCATGGTTTATTACTGACTCATATGTGAAAGACTTGAGCCCATGCGGATGGAAAGGAACCGATTCTAAGTAATTGCAAAGCCACCCATTTCCCCTTTCCATTGTCCTTTTCCATGTCCCTTTGAAGTGAGAGCGAAAGCTCGCCCACGTATGCTCATGGCCATATTATTCCACCCCACGTACCATCCCGGACCCTCCTCATAGCCCTGCTTCCATATTAAGAAGCCATCAGAATCCCCAGTCATTACCGTACCTAAGTCACCCCCCTTAACTCCCCTCTCCTTTCCATTCCCACCATACCACCCTCCCCCACTGAAACGAATCCAACTCAGCCACCTTCACGTTTCGGAGCCTCAGAGAACCCATCCATCCCCTCATACGCCTTGGCGCAAGCAGGGGGCTCGAAAGGCTCATCACCAACAGTCGGCACGAACTCGCAGCGCTGCTTGCACCACCAGGGCCTCACATCGCAGGGGTCGACGCGGGAAGCCTTCGCGTCGGCCAGCTGCGCGCGCGTGTACACGCGCGCCGGCTGCTCCCACGCCTCGCACACGGCCACGAGCTCGATCGGGTCGCTTGGCTCGTCTTTGTTAAGCGGGTGAGACGCTCGCGCGTTGAACTGCGCGATCAGGTCGAAGAGGTTGGGTTCCTCGACCGTGGTGGTGGTGGCGTTGTCACGCTGGTGGTGGTGGGTGTGGTGCTTGCTTGGGTGTCCGTAGAGGCCGAGCTCGGGGTTGTACGGGTACGAGCCCTGGCGCGCGAGCGTCTCGGCGACGGTGAGGGGCGATTCGTTGAGGAGTTGGATCGGGATGTAGATTGGCATGCGCTCGGGGTTGCGCAGAAATGAGGCCAGGCTGGCGATGTGGTAGACGGGCTAGAGGGTGTTGGTGTTAGAAAATGCGGTTTGGATATGACCTGAAATTGCGTTGGGATGTTGAGGAGAGGGTTCTAAGACGAGGACTTACCTTTTTGGGCGGGACCTCGAATCGGAAGATCGTGGTTTGCTTGTAGGTGACCCCGACCAGCAGCAAGGAGAAGAAGGAGAAGACGCATGAGGGCTTCATCGTGACGATTTTTCGAGGTTGGACGGTTGGATAAAATGTAACGTGAGGGAATGTGATTATTGACAATATTTAGTGAGTAATAATGGTAACCTTCGACGGAAGAGAAATAAAGGTGTAGAAATACTATTTTGATTATTTTTCTGAAGGGTTGAGTGATGATGTGACTACGGGACCCTTCTGGAGAAGGAAAGAGAAGGTTAAAGTATTCAATCCAAATTCAGCGGGTGCAGTTTAAGTGGATGATTCGTCAATCGTTGATCCAGGTTGTCGGCGTTGAGTCATAACTGAAAAGGCATGCCGTCGCTCCGGGAGACGACATGTCTTCTTACGCCTGTTGCCGAGTATACCATATCACGAACTTCAGCGTAACCTTCCAGTATACATGGGTCTGTCGACGGCGGGATCTACTTCAATGAACCCCTATCTTCGAAAGGTACCAGTTTTCCAGCAGAGACGTCGTTTTGAAGTGGTTGCCGTCGGACCAATCTCCCGTCGATATATTCACCGATATGTGATATCCAGCACAAAACATGATCAGCTATCGTGAAAGCCCCTTTACATTTATATTACTTACCTCTATAAAATGTTCATCTAATATACTAGCAACATCCACGAAGCATATAATATCACCCTAATGCTCTTAGTATTCTAAGAAACTTAGAGTATCATTGTAATCATGCCAAGGGACGAAATTCTGAGCTTCGGAAATACTCACACACTTCTTTCTAAACTTAAGCACGAAGTAGATCTTACTTTGAGAAACCTCCATGCGGAACAAATCCACACTCATGACTTCCTACTGATCCTGTATCCCTGGCATATAGATGGCTAGCGTTATTGCATATGAATGATGCCTAGATACCTCGTATGGGAACCTCACGGACTGGAAGTTTTTGAGTCTGAGAATGGCATTTTCTATGCCGTGTGCAAGCTATAGAATAAACCGTGTGTGGACAAGGCAACAGAGTTGGTACTTCACTGAGTCAAAGATCAGTATCAGTAATTAATGCCATAACCAGAGGCGTTAGAAGTCTGGTTAATGAGAATTCGGCCTACAGTTTTGTTTGTGGGAGATGAGAGTAGTGGTTGGTCCTAGAACTTAATATACAAAGAGTATTAGACTACCGAGGTAGAGGCTGTATACATTTCTTAGTAACTGCCTAGTCACATAATTGAAGTATAAATGAACTGGGGCAGGAACTCCTACATATAGGGAGATACGTGTAGTGGAATGATCCAAATCCAGGCGGTCATCTCCAAGGCTCTTTGAGAAAGACTTTTGACACCTAGGTAATTAGCCTCCAGGTGCCTTGTAAATCACCACCCTTCATAGCCGCGTATATTGACCCGTAGTGGGGTTGAACATTCCTATGCAGCGCTTTAGTACGTATGTCCTGATAGGCAGATGTTCCAACGACGTCCCCTTTCCATACATATCCTTTTTCAAGCATATATGCTTAATGAGTCTATATAAAATGATATGATAGGCCTAGTCGTGTTCGTACTTCTATTGACATCCTAGCCAAGTAAACCAATAGATCAGCTCTCAACTTATAATTCTCCCATATACACAACAATAGCCGATAAGACATTTTAAGAATGGATTCCGATCTCAGGTACGCATGTTGTCTTTTCACCAGATGTATCAAAAATGATACAAAAAGGTTGAAAAGATTAAGCATAATTCTTTTACTTCAAGATTACAGTGTTAACCCACTTGAAATAGAAGTTCGAGTGCGTCATGGGAGTCTCCCCCTGAGGATGACCCCAATGATATGCCAGATATAAAGCATTGGTACGCACATGTAAATGAGTCAATAACAGGCGATATTATCTGGAGGGAAGATCCGCCTGTCGGTTACACGCGCGAACAATATCAGCCAGCTGCAAGCGATGCCGACAAGTGGTCCATCATACATTACCATCGAGCAGACCTAACTACAGATCGCATTGACATTGTGGACTTCGAATTAAAGTTGTTTCTCGGCGATGTTCTATCTGATTATACTGACGTTTCTGTCGAGACCTCTTTGCAGTTGCGCCCTCCTTTCCTCCCGATTCTACATTGTTGGGAGAACTTTTTATCAATTGAGCGAATGGTATATGGCAGACACGGGGACCCGCTCGTCGGTTATCTAAAGAAAGTCTTGGCCAAAGAGTTGGAAGGGTCATTCAAAGCTTTGCGTGATCTTAAAAACGATGGATATATCGAATTCAAAAATATCCTAGTTCCGTTGATACCGGGCGAGGTTATTCTACGGTCTGACAATGGCTTTCTAACAGCTGCAATCCTCGGAGATGCGCATGTTGTAACTGATCCGATGAGAAAAGAATATTGCTCCCTAGAAGTTTGGTTATTCACTTGGGATGGGTCCAACTTTGGATTCAAACAAAGGAATTGGAGCATCGATGCATTTGATGGATCACATCGACTTGTGGATCTTGAAGTTTATCCTCTAAAATTCCATCCGAATCAAGAGGAAATACAGCGAATCCTGATTAAAAGAGGAAGATCCTTCGAGAGTCTGTGTGGACAGCATATCATGAAATACGACGGCTATGTATATCCAGAAACAGTAGCAGTGAGTCGAGCGATAATGGCGCAAAGTGATCATCTAACCAAGTACAGTTGTCGGAGCGAATCATCATCGACGCAAAGGCATATTACAAAATACAGAAGCGGTCAGTTCCGGTATTGAGAGCGGATGCAACCGGAAGATCAGAGATTCTTTCAACTACCTCATGTTCTAATAGGAGCCAACATCAAGATGCCCTCACTGAAAAACAGTGCCTTCTGGCTCCGCCATATGTTAAGGGCTTTGCTCTTAGCAGAAAAGAATTCTTCAACTTCTATGTCGACAACATCAGCCCTGTTGTGTGGAATGATCGTCTCCTTGGAAATCTCATCATAGAGGAGCAGAATAAAGAAATGCTGCTTGCTCTTGTCGCACACTCTGCAGAAATGAGGGGCGGCGTATTTAGCGACTCCCCGGAAGGGAAAGGTAAGCCGGATCTTGCTATCTGTCCATGAAACTCATCTCCTTCTCTTTCTTGTTCTTTTGCCTAGGCTTGATATCATTTGATCGTCCCCCCAGTCCTTAATTTGATGCTAGCCGTGGAGATTATACTAACGATGATCCCAATTAGGAAAAGGAATGGTAATACTCCTTGCTGGGCCTCCTGGCGTGGGAAAAACGTTGACAGTTGAGTCAAGTAAGAGATTCCCGTGCGATATAAATTTTATAGTTATACTAATAATGGATTCAGTTGCGGAAGAACTCAAAAGGCCTTTATATAAAATCAGCCCCGGGGACCTTGGAATTGTAGCCAAAGACGTGGAACACGCTTTGAAAGTTGCTTTTGCTCGATGCTCTCACTGGAATGCAGTGGTGCTCATCGACGAAGCTGACATATTCTTAGAGAGAAGATCGAGCAATGATTTGGCCAGAAACGAGCTAGTTACAAGTAAGCTGTTACGGTATAGATCTGATGTAATCAGGGCTAATTCTTTTTTGTAGTCTTCCTGGCGATGTTAGAGAATTACCAAGGAACGCTGGTCCTTACTACCAATAGGACGAAAACCATAGATTCAGCTTTTCAGTCCCGAATCGACATAATTCTGACTCTGGAAAATTTAAATCGAGATGCTCGACGGAAGATCTGGTCAAACTTCATTAGCACACTCCCACCAGACTCTGTGGACCTGAGTTTGAGTGATGTCGATAGTCTATCAAGATGGTTGATCAATGGCAGACAGATCAAGAGTGCCTTTAAGACTGCTCGAATCATTGCTATCAAGCGACAGATGCCGCTGAGATTGAGCCACCTTGAGATCGTTTTCAACGTACAGAAAAAGGGGTCCAGGTTAATTGATAATCAGGAAGGGCGATGGGAGGTGGTGAAAGACTAAGCATCACATAGTAGTCAAGATGGATCTGGTCGGGGGAAAGGGGTTCTTTTGCAGTTCCTGGTACTTCCATAGCTGCATTGGCTGCTTTGTAGAGCACAATTTAAGCTAGGGATCATAGTATGATGGAGGGATTATGTTAGGCTAACCTCCTAAGTTGCTAAGAATCAGACTGCGGATAGGATGAACTGAGGACTGCCCTTAATAAAGCCTGTGAGGATTGATAACTTGTTGCAGAGATTCTAAGATTTGAGTCTATATGACACGCTTACACGAGTGGTTGTTTATTTAAAAATCTTAGTTTGTATTCAACTTTGTCAGTAAAAAGGAGCTGATTAGTCAGCGCATTGACCCACAGGTATGCTATCGATAACGATTGACAAGCTGCCCGAGCTCTAAATTCTTCGACTTGGACCGATACGTCATGCAATAGCTTCATTTCCAACTTTCACATTCTTAAGCTGTTCTCCATTTTCTTTGTCTAAAGACTTTTAGACGTCCTCCTTGGTAAGTCTTTCAATTGCTCTAGTACCACCTTTCTCGTATACATGTTGAATGAAACTTTACACCCCAAGGGAGCGTCGCGTAAAAGTTCAAATACTTGCAGTTTCAATTTGATGTAAACATTTCTATTTCCATTGGGAGCTGACACTCAGCTTCACGAAATAAGACTAACTTAATCCACTAAGCACCTATTACCAATGCAGATGAGAGCTTCTGTAAAGAAATAGGCAATTGAGGGCAGTTATCAAAAGACTTAGGCTTTGAACTCGTTATTTTGGAACACATCACCTAATATCCATACGCCGATTCATCGACTCAATATGGCAACTAAAGGGGAGTCAGTGCGCGGAACTCCGCCTCGATCGTCGATGCGCTTCATTTCTGTCGATAACGTTCTACAATATGCATCCGAAATTCCATCCGGCCAGCCACGCGTTCCTCCGCAGCGTGGTCCGCGTAGCATTCCTGGCGTGCGGCGACTGAGTGGAAGGGGACTTCCTAATCTTGCATCACGTACAGGCCAACAGAACATGCCTTCGCGGACTACACGGATTAGCGAGAAACTAGTCCTGTTACCCGAGACGACCGATGATGCGGAAGCGGAGGATGAAGAAGCCGAGTCTGTTCTTCGCGAGGATGAGACGAGACCGCTTAAAGACGAGGAATTGGATGTTTTACGGAAAAGAGGCGGCCTCCGCGGGAAGAGCTACGCCGAACGACTGCCGAAGTTTGAGAGAACTGAGAAACTGTCGAGGCTTACAGCATACTGTACAGCACAGTCCTATAAGATGAAATCAACCTCGGAATTCCTGCGGAAAAAACACGACGCAAAAACCAAGCTCTACGACGATTGCCTCTACACTGTCTACCACATCCCCTTACTCCCCGGCTTGGATGGCTGTCGCGTCAGGAGCCGACCAATACTCAAGACACCCGGTACGGGCAAGACGGTTCTTGATCTCGAGATTGAGCGGAGCGAACAGAGAGATGAACACATGGGATATTACGACGAGTATGCATATGGTGAACGGGGTGAAAGCCCTAGCCAAGAAAATGGGGGAGGATATCATCCCTCACCTGACGAAAGAGGCCGGGATATGGAGAGTCATCATTCTGAACAAGACCATTCATCCCTAAGTCCGATCAACAGGTTAGCGCCCGATGCTAAACAGTTTGCTGAGATGTTTGTCTTTTCATACGGTGTGGTGGTTTTCTGGAACTTTACCGAAGCACAGGAAAAGGCTATCCTGGCCGATATCACTTTTGCAGAAACCGAAGCTGGATCGTCGTTAGTCACACGTCCTCTCGACCAAAGCGATGTTGAGACCGAGGAATTCCATTTTGAGTATAACGCGGATGTGAAACGGCCTAGGATTTTCAATGATATGATCACTCTTCTTCCACGGTCAGACCACATGGTCAAACTCACAATTAGCCATGCTATCGCGCAGAGCACGAAGTTGTGTTTCTTCGAGGAAAGAATGTCGGAGACTATGGTGAACGCGCAACACGTACCCAAACGCCTTGCTCTTACAGGAGAGCTTAACATGACGAGGACCGAGATCGTAATGATACTTGGCCGCTTGTTTAAGAGCCGCGTTGAAATCAATCTCTGTGAGTAAACAGACCTAGGATCTTATCGTATAAAAGCTAATAAGTTGTAATAGCATCGAATATCCTCGACGTTCCCAATTTCTTCTGGGACTCTGAGCCTACGCTTCATCCACTCTATGTCGCTATTCGCGAATATTTGGAAATCGATCTGCGCACGAAGGTGCTCAATGAACGATGCCGTGTTTTTCTTGATCTTGCCGAGATTCTCTCGGATTCGGTCGCTGACTCGAAGATGAGCGCTATCACATGGATCATAATCGTTCTTATTATTATCAGCATATGCGTGACCGTAACCGAGGTCGCTTTGCGGTTCGGTATCTTGACGAAAGAACGGGGTAGCGGTAATATTATTATTGCCCCCAATAACACCATCGAACCCGGATGGATTGCTGTTAGATCCAACGCCACCCTCGAGGAATTGAGATCATGGGGCGTGACTTTAAGCGAAGAGGAAAAAACTGCCGTATGCGGCGCGGAATACGTTGGAACAACCTTCGCGGGCATATGAATTTTCTCTTCAGTCATACTTAACATTTCCTTACAGCATATGCATTATTGGGAGTTTGGGCGGGAAATTGGCGCGTTGAATTATGAATTCGATACCCTTTAAACATGTCGTTTAGCGCACATATCATCTAGGGTTGAGAGGATGTCACTGCCCCATTTTTATGTGTATTAATAACTTATTGAGCAACGGGGACCTGAATCTTACACAGCGCCATATTGGGTCATCATTCTATTGATTGTTTATCTGATATAAGTATTATCATAACTCGTCCAAAGTCATTAACTACTAATTCGATAGGTCAAGCGTCATTCCTCATGGTATTCTTAGCACGTCGTCGACGTTCACAACCTGTCCCGTAGCGATAGACCTATTCGCAGCAATTCCAGTCAGAATGGATAGAGCGCCATCAACATGGCTCGCCGCCCGCATGTACTCGTCGGTCGTAGGCTCGCCAAACAAGTCGTTTAGAAGTACCGTGTCCCCACCGCCGTGGGCACCCACACCATCAGTAATTGCAATCTCCTGCGGCTTTTCAAACAACTTCCGCAGGGTAATTGTCCGCTTTTCCAACGAACCTTCGGCCGCCTGGTCGCCGCCCGAGTTTACATAGCTGTTCTCCACAACCTCCATCTCCAGCCTTCCCCCGGTCCCATTGAAACTGACGCGGAACCCCTCCCACGGCGCGTATGCCGTTAACGAGTACGTCAGCACAGCGCCATTACGATATCGCACGAGCAGGTTCATCGTATCCTCGATACTGATTCCGTCTCCGAACACGCTCTGGTCCCGGTAATACGCGTCCTCGTGCTCGGCATCGAGATACATGGCCTTTAGCTGCGGATGGTCCTCCAAGTGCAGCGCAAACGGATCATCCCTCGCGTTCGGCGCGCCGTTGGCGCGCGCGTATATGGCGGAGGGTGGGACGCCGCGCAGCTCCGCGTTCTCGCGCCCGTAGAACTTGAGGTCGCCCTGCGCGTACACGGTCGCCGGGCGCGTCCGCAGCCAGAAGTTCACGAGGTCGAAGTGGTGCGTGCTCTTGTGCACGAGCAGGCCGCCGCTGTTCCGCTTGTCGCGGTGCCAGCGCCGGAAGTAGTCGGCGCCGTGCGACGTGTTCAGCATCCACTCGAAGTGCACGCTGGTCACCTTCCCAATCGCGCCCGCGCGCAGCAGCTCGTAGACCTTGGTGTTGTGCGGCGCGTACCGGTAGTTGAAGGTCACGCGCACGCGCTTCCCCGGGTTCCGCGACACGGCGTCGAAGATGGACTGGCACCGCGGCGCGTCGATCGTCATGGGCTTTTCGGTCACGACGTTCACGCCTAGGTCCAGCGCCTTGACGATGTAGATGTTGTGCGTGCGGTCGATGGTCGTGACGATCACCTCGTCGGGCCGCGTCTCGCGCACCATCTTCTCGAAGTCGGAGGCCGCGTACGCGGGTACGGGTTCGTGGCCGAGGCTAGCGAGCTTGCTGTTCGCGTAGGCGAGCCGCGTCTGGTTCGTGTCGCAGAGCCCGACGATGCACGAGGTGGCGGCGTAGTCCCGCGCGATCGCCGTGTAGAAGAATATGGCGCGGCCGCCGGTGCCGACGATGGCGTACTTCTTGCGCCCTGCGCGGACGGGGATTGTTGAGTCGGCCATCTTGGTGGGCTTGGGGTGCTGGAGATGGCTCGTGCGGGAGGGCTTTTCAGACTTTGGCACACGCAAGCTCGTTCTTGACAAGAGCTGTGCCCCCGAAGCGATAGTTGCGACGACGTACGCCTTTTTTTATGTCAGGACAGTAATCTCGGAGGTTTCTTCTTTATTTCACGAATCTGAATCGTATCCAAAGCTTAGGAGTATTCTGAGCGGGCCGCTATCGGGAGAATACCTCGCGAGGAGGAGTTGGAGAAGATTGGAGAAGCCCTCTACCCTTACGGCAAAAGAGCTTATACTGAAGCTTGTCTTCCTCTCATTTGAGAACTAGCGTCTATTCGGTTTTGTTTAAGAAGAGACTTGAGCGAAGACCTCGCTTACAAGTCTATTGGCAGACCAGAAAGGGGCTAATGGAGAACTTCTAGTCTCTTTCTAGGTATAATGCTATCGTCGGGACGCGTCTTCCTATTCAGCGAAATACTTGCCGGGGGGGATTGATGGGGTTCAGGGAATAGCGGGGGATAATTCGTCAGTTTCGACCCCTTTTTAGCCGTGTCTGGGGTCGTCTCCACCTCCGCTATTCCCCAGCTGCGGGGACTCCAGGTCTGGGGTTGAACTAGGCGATACACGACGTCGTCCTAGGCCAATTCCATGCCATTGGTCCCCATAAAGTCGGTTTAGCGAAGCCTCCTAATCCAACCACATCCTTGATTATCATTTATCCTCGTCCGGTTAAATGACCAGACGTTACTGGTGACCGCTAGGGCTTCGCCGTTCCTATACGCCCAAGTCATCTAAGCATGGACGAATTATGGAGGTTAACCTTTGACACTTCCTCACCCATGGTCTATCCTACGTCCAAATAAGCATAGGTACCAATGAGTCGTAATTTTCCACCAATGAGCGTCCGTACCAACTTCAATAAATCATTCCACGGTCGTTATAGATCTAAGTTGCTCTGTCTAGATCGGAACGCCGAATCCGAATCAAACCGCCTTGTGTATCACATGATAAACGGTTCCTTTATTCAAGATCCCACACTCTCACTCACGTAGATCCGAAATGGTAGAGTTTGACAGGGTGATGGCCCGGTTTCTGGTCCTGCTAGGAATGTTATGTTAACTACGTAGATCTGATCTTGGGGATAGGACTACGTAATCCCGCGAGAAAATCAAATGTCTGGTAGCTATTCCGGGTCACGCTTACGCGCTTAGCTTGACGATGTTCCCTCGACATGGATCTCCGCATCTCCAGCTTGCTACCTACCCAGATGTCTGGGGCCATTTTTTATCTACGGGGTTATATTTAACCTTCCCTCTATTCTTTGACGTGTCTGCCACTAGTGTTGAAAACTGCCAAATAGCCACCTGTTATTCTTTAGGTCTCCCACCACCCTTCTTCTATTCTCTCTGTCGTTGATTAGGTCGGTTCTTGGTGCAAGCGCAGGAATATGGCGGAAAACAGACTTCAACAGGCCTCGTCGGCAGCTAATACCGCTGATACGATAACTCCCGTCGAAGACGCTAACCACCAAGCCCACATCGTCAACTCGCGAGCAGATAAGGCAGCGCAGTTCATCGCCGAGCATGGAGAGGTCACATTCAACTACGAGGAGGAACGTAAAGTTATTCGGCGCATCGATATACGAATTCTACCTCTAATCCTCGGTGCCTACTTCTTCCAACAACTGGACAAGTCGTCGCTCTCATACGTTTCGATCTTTGGCATCATGGACGATGCCCATCTTAAGTCTATCGAATATTCGTGGCTAGGGTCTATCCTGTACATCGCGCAGCTCATCTTCCAGCCGCTTGCGGCTTTCCTTCTCGTGAAACTGCCCACGGGTAAAGTCATTGGGACGGCTGTTGTATGCTGGGTATGTAGTTACACCCCAGGAATTCTGGATTAGGAGAAAGGCCTGAAGTTCTTATTGTAATTAGACTAACATTCCGTTACTTCACAGGGTGCTTGCGCGGCAATTATGGCGTCTTGCACTAACTTCAAATCACTCCTGGCACTGCGCTTCCTCCTAGGCTCATTCGAAGCCATGATCGCCCCGTCATTGCTGGCAGTGACGCAGATGTGGTGGCGGCGCTCCGAACAGACCTTACGAGCTTCGTACTGGAACGCCATGAATGGCTTGACCTTCATCGTCGGTAGTTTGGTGACATACGGACTCGGCCACATCACAAGCGACAAGATCTACAGATACCAGACTATCTTCATCTTCTGTGGTGCTTGTACCGTTATTTTCGGCGTTATTTTCTTGATTTTCATGCCTGACTCTCCTATGGAGGCTAAATATTTGAATGAGCGCGAGCGAATTATTGCCGTAGAACGTCTTCGTGCGAACCAGATGGGCGTCGCGAGTCGCCAGTGGAGATGGGACCATGTTAGGGAGACGTTCACGGACTTCAAGACGCTGCTGTGGTTTATCCTCATCGTCGCAATCTCGATTGCCAGTGGTGGTATTAGCACCTTTGGGAACCTCATCCTGAAGGATTTCGGCTACACCAATTTCAACGCTATTCTGTTCAGCATGCCTACGGGAGCCATTCAGATCGTCATGATTATCGGTTCGGCTTGGGTTGCTACAAAGATAGGGAGGAAAGGCATCGTCATTACGGGGATTTCTTGCCTTCCTACCATTGGAACCGTCCTCATGCTGACGGTACCCCGCAACGAGAAAAACAAAGGGGTTCTTCTGCTGGGCTACTATCTGGTCCAGTGCTTAGGAGCGATTACGCCGATGGTTTACGCGTGGTCCGCTCAGAACACGGGCGGTGACACTAAGAAGAAAACCAGTTCGGCTATGATGTTCATGGGAATGTGCACGGGTCAGCCATGTCCTCAAAGGCAATTACTTGTATAATGGACTAACTCGTTATTAGGAAACATCATCGGCCCTCTCCTATACAATACGAAAGATGCACCGCTATACCGCCCTGGTCTGATCGCAAACTTGGTCATGTTCGTCACTGTCGGTGTGCTTGGAATGTCAGTTATCACTACTCACCCCCATTCCACTCCCCACCTTCAAATCCCTTTAACCATCGATGTACTAACAATCGCTCTTAGTCTCATTCCCATGTACCTCACGGTCTTAAACAGATGGCACGCTAAAAAGCGAGAAGAACTCGGGAAACAAGCGAATGTGGTCGACGAGTCGATGGTAAGGAGAAAGGATATGGAGGACAGCAAGGCGGTCGAAATCGAGCAGAATGAGCAAGCTGCAACCAACATTGAGGATGATAACGGTCTTAATGATCTTCCGGATCTTAAGAACGAGGATTTTATCTACGTATGTTAGCGACGATACGTAGGCTCAATCTACTTCGCCGATAATACATTTTAGAATGTTTCCATGAAACGTGTCCATGCGATTGATTTATGATGTTAGGTTTGGTGTTGTGAAAGGCCATAGTAATATCTTAGTCATGGCAGGTTAGCCCAGTACCTTCAGGAGTGACCCCTTTTCATTTAGTGGGTCCATATCACGTGGCCACCCTCAGCTCGACACATTTGTGTACAATCTTTCAATTTAGGCACTACACTTAGCAAGCAGTTATATCTAGTAGCTACGAGAAGTGCATGATCAAACTTGGTAAATATAAAAAGGTGCGCTTCTGTTGTAGTTTCTACAAAAAAAAAGACAAGGTGACCAAGTCCTTTGTTTTTACCTTGAATACATGCATGGTGTAACCTTAAGAAAGAAAGAAAGAAATAATAGAACAAACTCTTCAAGGCCCGGCCTAGGATCTGTTGATCGGCTCCTAGCTACTGCGCCCCCGCTTTTGGGTATTTCTTTGCCACCCTTTTTCAAGGTCCTGAAGGATGTGCAATCTTCAGGAATCGAACCCTAGACCACCCATTGCAGGGGGCCGTTAGAACAGGAACGATGAGGTGTCTGTGACACGTCACCACTTGACCATGAGATATGTTAAGGCCAGTGGTCATTGCCGCCGATGGAAATTAGTGACTGTATTGTGCTATTTAAGCTTCAATCTGGTATGTGCTGCCTGACGAACTGACCACCCAATGAACATGACACGCGACGCGTGACGCGCATTACTTTCTATACGTACTGTCTTATACTATGTACTTAGTTAGGCATTCCAAAGCCTTCCACAACAAAGAAATGGTTCTAACGTGGTACTCCTAACCCCTTTCAAAAGAGGAGCTTAGTTCCTTTGTCCGAGAGAACAATCCGTTGTTACCTATTACAAACCTCTTTGCCAAGTTGATTCCAAGTATAGCCCAAAAAGATGGCGATGTTAAATAAACATAGTCAACTTCCTAATCACATTCAGATGAAGATGATTGTGATTCATTTAGCCTCCCCGAATAACAATTCTTTACAGCATACCGGGTGGCAGGCACCACACCTTCAACACAATCTCTTCGATTCTTGACCGAATACCACTCGAAAATCGGTCTCCTTATAGAGCATACACGCCACTGCGTACCTTGAAACCTACCTAATATCACATCTTATCATCGCGTAAAACAAATTTATACCCAGCAACCGACTTCACAGGACAGCAGCCATGTGCAACTACTGCGAAATCCTCACCTACAACTGCGGCCACGAAACCGTCACTACAAAACCCATCCCCTCAAGCTTCTGCCTCTTCCGGCACCAAGGGATCTGCACGCGGGAGCTCGGCCGCTTCCGCATCCTCGAAGAGTACATCGACGACTGGTGTCCGCACTGCTCGCCAACAGCGCAGCACATGCGCCGGCGACGCGACGCGACCGGCAACTTCCGGACGCCGTTCGCGAGCCCGCTAGAGCTGCAGCAGCAGCAGCAGACGCGGTCCAAGCTGGGAACCGCGCAGTACGTTCCGGCGCGGGCTCCGGGGGAAAACCGGCTGCGCCAGCTCAACGCCATCGCCGGCCGCGCCATTCAGAACCAGATCCAGCGCCCGGATTCGTATAACACGCCCTTTGTCGTGTGGGTCCTGAGGTACATCGCCTCGCTGCCGGCGTGGCTGGACCGCGCGGCGCTGGCGGCGGCGCTGAGGCCCTGGTTCGCGGAGTTGTTGGACGAGCAGGCGCAGGTTTGCGTGAGGCCCGCGCTGAGGGCGATGCAGTGCGAGGAGTACTTGGATGATGTTATGGTTTGGATGGGTTGTTGATGGGGATATGTACCTACATACCTGGGTTAGGTGCCAGGTGCCTATCATACGTCGGGAGTGTTTATAATATTTACCTCCTGCCTACATATAGAATATATGTGGGAGGTTAGGGGGGAAAAGGGGGTGGGTCTTGTATATAGGGGCTAAGTGAGTACCTACCTGCCTAGCACCTACGATGATGGAAGAAGGGGCATGTCAATATCCATGTTTTATTGTTTACATAAGCAACATACCCCTACGCGTTATGGATTTAATTAATATCAATTACTTGTTATAAATTCGCCACGGTGAAGTTGTGCATGTGTAGAGTTAGTGGAAAAGAAGTCAGCATTGGATCAGTTTCTTTGAAGCCACAACTATTTTGAATGAGTCAATGGGCATTTTAATTGTCAAGTTATGAAGGTCAATGTAGTTAGTTATAATATTGTATGAATGATACCCGGAAACATCTCACTCAAGGCACAAAGAACCATTGTAAGAGTACTCCTTTGGCCATCCCGAACGAGCGAATTCCGCATGCAGTCATGGGCTTCTGATGATTTGATACTCCAAGACAAAGAAACTACAAAATTTAAGGGGAATATTGAACAGCACATATCACGCTTTAGATTGTGGCATTCGGGATGCGTTATCATCATCTAGATCTCTCATCTTCTGCTCTAAATTGATTTTCTTGCGTATACTAATCTGTTCTCCTTACCTACCAGCCCCACAAGGTTCTAAAGATGCCGCCAAAGAGAAAAGGAAAAGGAAAAGTAAAAGGCCCGGCCGTAGAGGTGCTGCTACCTCGCACGAATGTTCTTGCCGTGGACCAAGATGAACCTGACCAGATAAATCATCCATTTCGTTGGCCCAATTCTCTTGCGAATAACTCAGGCACCACGCATTTGCCTGACGATTGGAGATATAGCCGAAACATAAGGAAAGCGGTGGATGCGCTCAATCTACTTCGTAGGTTGGCCCGTCTCTAAATTTTCTAGTGAATACTGTTACTAACAGAAAGCCCTACAGAGGCTACAAGGCGCCAGTGGGTAACCGCTGATTGCCTCGAGTGTGCTCTTTCTAATTACCTCACGTACCCACCAGACTATGTGAGAGACGATATTACCATCTTATGGCCGGGCGCCGATGGTCATTTTGCCCAAGATGATGTCACTTGGAGGGATTGGCTAACTACGGGAGTCGACTGGGATAGGAATGTCGCAATTGGTCATCCGAATAGACTTCCTGCGCCGCTCCAGTGGATTAATACCCGCCCGTATGTTTTCTGGGTGGTGGATGCTGGACGAGTAATAAGTGGTCAGTGGGTGACGATCATCCTGCATTTTGAGTCAGGCGTAGACCCAGGCACGGGGAGGCCACCGGATAGGTACACCCACCTCGAGTCTTGTGCCATCGTGGACCCAGACCCGGATGGTGTGAGGAAACCCCAGGTTTATCAGAGGCTGGTAGAAATTCTTGACCAGTGCGGTATTCAACCTTCCGATAATTTCAACGAGGAGACAGTAGAACTATGGACTCCGTTGGCAAATCCGATACAATATGACGGCGATGCTACCAAGACACAGGACAACTTTAGCACAGGCCTGCGCTGCTTCCACCTGGTTAAACAGATGATAGACCGCTTGACCGATCTGTACTGTAGCGACCCCCGGAGCCACAACGCAAGGGAGTTCTGGAGGCCTATCAGTGGTTGGTTTAACCCGGATGCCGTGCGGGCTGAAATGATCGGAAACGTAGCCCAAGAAATCAACTACCATATGGAACACAAAACCCGCATTGCCATAGAACCTACCAACGGACTGAATTACGGGCCAAACGCAATTACCATTACAGACATAGCACCTGTACAGGACGATACGGATATGTTTGTACCAGAGAGCAAGGATTTAAACGGATGGCCTATAATCTGGATGCGGCCGGGTCTCGCTGTACCTGTGGTGAACGCAGGTGATGATGCTGCTTTTGGTCGCGCTGATGATGGAGACGACGGAGACGATGGAGACGAGGACGGGGATGGGGATGGAGGCGATGGGGGAGGCGATGGGGGAGACGATGGCGGAGACGGCGGAGACGGGGATGATGGAGATGGAGGAGATGGAGATGGTGGAGATGGAGGAGATGGAGATGGTGGTGATGGTGGTGATGGTGGTGATGGTGGTGATGGTGGTGATGGTGGAGATGGTGACGGAGAAGACGGAGATGAAGACGGAGATGAAGAAGAAGATGAAGACGAAGAAGAGGGAGATGGTAGCGGCGCTGGAGGAAAAAAGGGTAAAGGAGGAAAAGGAGGAGGGAAAAGAGGCGGTGGCGATGGGAAAGGAGGAGGAAGACGAGGAGGAGGTGGTGGAGGTGGTGGTGGTGGCAGTGGCGTCAGCAGAGGACCCCGTATGGGAACTGGATCTTTCAGCTCAAGGGTTGTAAATAGAATCCGACCAGGTCCGAGTAGACCAGGTGGGGCAGCAGGTGGAGGGAAAGGGGGTGGAAAGGTAGGAGGTGATGGAGGTGATGGAGGTGATATAAGCGCAAAGGGGAAAGGTGGAAGAGTGAAAACGAGAAATTCTGCGTCGCTGCCGTCAGACTCAGAACACAATGAAGTTGTAAAAGGGGGGAAAAGATCTATCTCTCCATTGTTTTCGGAAGAAGAGAGAGTGATAAAAAGGCCTAGGAGGAATAAGACTTAAAGAGAATGTGAAAGGTGGTCGAGTTTCGACCTTGAAGTCAACTTGACCTCTCACCCTATATAGTCACATATGCCAGTGGTGTATTTATACTCGATGTATCTATTTGTAGATGATAACTATGCTATTCTTTGTATCTTGGCTCATATACCTAATCAGCTATATGTCTTAATTATGTATGTTTACCGATACCGGAAGTTGGAGTGTTTAACTATGTTAACTTTAAAGACACCTATGTTCTGCTACTACTTCTCAACTCGATCCTTCCTGTGGATACAAAATTGGGGTTGAGTTATTTAAAGCTTAATGTGAGTTTGTTATATCCATTGTTAGGTATGCCAAGTACCTAAGATTCCGCACGAACTTTGCTCCTGGGAACAGCAATGAGTCTTCGGTCTCCACCTTCTGCAGGGTGCTACTCTTGTATGCGTTTGTGCCTTCTTGAGAACAGTGTCATCCCAACTGTGGCGTGATCCAAAAGCGCTTGGTACACAAATAGAGAAGCTACCTACCTGGATTAATCGATAGGTACCAGTCATCTGTGCCTGCTTCTCACATAAATTCGCTCATAGAGAGAGTAGGGAAGTTGCTTTCTAAAATTCTATAATTATTGTCTTATGGGCCATGTTCTGTTCGCTCATTTTTCCATTCGACCTACGCATATCTCCTGTGTTTTCGTAAATCTTTTCTACCACCTCACACTTGGTTCCAACCCGACCAAGAACCATCGAATTCTAGATCTTCGAATAGCTCAACCGCGGCGCGAATAACCCATTCCCAAGTCAAGCACCCGATCTCAAAGTTCACTATGAAAGCCGTGACCTCCCTTCTAGTTTGTGCTGTTATCGCCGGAGTGCCGGCAATGGTAACCTGCTTTTCCCGCCCGCATTGATGTCGTGGCTAAGGCTAATCGATTGCATGAAGGATATGACCAATGCCTCCACCACTTCATTTAGCCTTCCGGATGGATACACTGCTGTTCCCCTTTTTATGAAGGGGTCTATTGAACCCGATGGGGAAGTGATGACTTTCAACGGCACAGTCAACGTAAGTAGGCATTATATTGGGATAGGAACACCAAGCTCATCTCATACATCTTCTAGGACATCATGTCACAGATTCAGACTATCAAACATGACTTCAAGTGGGATGACTTCCAACCTGTTACACCAATTCCTAGAAAACGCATGTCAAAGCGGACCAAGGTAAGTAATTCAGAAACGTATCGTAGTGTCCCGTATTGACACGTTGAATAGTCGCATATTATTTGCAAGATTCCCAACTACTTGTCTGGCTCAAGAGCCAACCTCCTTTACGGGTATGACTACCTGAAGAAAATCCACCAACCTTGTGAAGTAGGTGGGGGCCCTGGCAAGTGTGCTATGCTTTGGTGTCTCTCTGGTACATCTATTTGGATGTGCAACGACAACACCGATACGATCATCCGAGACTGCGGTGACATGGCCTCCTACGCCCTAGATATCATTGGTGATATGGATTGCATCACAATGTGGTCCGGAAGTAATGCGCTCGTGCAAGGTCAAGGTAAGAATGAGACACAATTACCTATTAACTACATTTAGATATGCGCTAAAACGCCAAAGAATTCGATACGGATGGCTTTAACATAATTGCTGGAGGAGGAGGGTGTTCCCGGTAGGAACCCCGTTTGCTGGAGAAGTGATGAACTAGCATACTGGTTATTGTGAATGGAAGTGAATGATCTCACTATTCATTTTATATGATAATATGCTCGTCGACGCTATCTTACCTGAGTGTATTATGAGTCAAGGGTCAGATAATTGTTAGCGAAGAGGCTGGGTGGGATGGAAAAGGGGGGAGAGTGGACGGTGTATACTGTCGCCAGATTGAGACCATTGTTATTGACCCGCCAACTTTGGTTCATAGCATCTAAGGATAATATATTTATCTAGTTTTCAAGAACATTCATTATGACATTATTTCTTCGGTTGTGTCTGGTCGCTTTCAAGGAGATACAACTATGTAAAAACTCGAGATGTCTCTTTTGATACCGCATTGCGCTACCTTGTCTAGGTATAAGCTTTATCGAGGCTCAAATGAAAGAATATAGACCTTTAGGTATAGTAAAATGGTCCGACGATATTGTAGATACATCGAAATGTTGGCTTTGATCACATGATTTTATGTGTTGGAATAATGGGTGGCTAAAATCAGGGGGATGGACAGTTACGCCCCATACCTATGGCGTATAATCCTGTATTATCTGCGTACTACTGATTGTAGGAGTTCTTCATTCTAATCCAAAGAATATGACACTCATAACCTGCGTCTATCTCAACATTATGAATCTCAGTTAGGGGTTTATATGGCGCATTTCGAGCCACAGCTTCCTCGTAACTTCGGAAAGCTTCCCCTTGAGAACTTGGTAAGGCATGTGATGAGTCTTGTTCATTCCTATAAGATGGATGTATATAGGAATAAGATGTAATATTTTAATGAGTGCCTGACTTGATACGTGTTTGATCGTAGATGATATTGTGGAGCCGTGTTGCTGATAGTACCTAGGTAGGTATATAATGGCACAACGTGTTGAGTCATAACTGTGTGATCTTATATATATTGTCCTTAGCAGACAAACCGAACTTGTCTTTAAGTGCTAAGGTAAAAAGAACTGCATTGTGTCCGAACGAAGTGTATCCTCACCTGTTCTAGGAGCCTCATCTGAAGATGGCCGCTCGTGATTGGTATCGTTGACAACTATGCAACACTAATTAGGAAATCGGCAAGTCGAGTGGGGTGACTGGATTAGTATATGTGCAGAAATAGTAGGACGATAGTTACACGGGGGCGATGGCAGTCATAGATAGTGGAGGCAGGTACACAAGATCGACCAAGACGCATTTACCAGCTCTGTATGGAGAAACCAATAGTCCTCAAACGGACACCGGAGATAATCCTCAACGCTGACGACAGGTTCTCTGACCATGTGGAATGTCGCGGTTCGTCCACGCTAGGCAGGCTATGCTAGCGCATGCGGTGGGACGCCGCTGCGCGCAAGTAGCCTCTACGGAAGGGTAGCGGCGCAAGATGCGGCTCGGTGCGCCGCAGAGGTGCGACGCTAGCTGGTGACTTAATATACGACGGCAGGCGAGGCGCGACGACGTAACGTTCCAGAAGCCTTTTAATCCTTCCACGCCCGCTTTTCGGCTTCGATCTGGCTCGGACTCAGTCTCAGTCGGCCCGCCCTTTAGGATAGGGACAGCTGAGATGTAACTGGGTCTGCCGACATTACGCTTTCTACGTGCGTAATCGATGAATACGCCCTAGATTAGTGACCATTTCCGACGGAGGTGATTTGCCGAGACAAGAAGGTAAATATTCCTTGAGATGTTTCTTGAAGGGGTTGAGTTTACATCAGCAAATTCAAGTCAGCAATAAGTAGATTGATGATGAGTTTTAAGCCGCAGATTATGTAATAGAATTATTGGTAATCAGGAGCACGTGATCTCACCGTGTGGTAAATCAGGCTGCAATGGAAGGCACTGTACGCGTCTCACGAGCTTTGGCTCTTTAACTTTCGCTGCCTCACTTGAGGGTTCATCATCGGATGACTCTTTTAAAATCAGATTCATATTACATTCTCTGTGGACCGTGGATTGCTTTTTGTAACATTCAGTCTCTAAATTGTTCCGGAAATGGAACCGGGCTTGAAATGGCATCCGTTGCCAGCATTTCCACATCTCCCGCTTCTCATGATTTCACCGCGTTTCGCTTCTTCGTCATACACTCTTTACGTCACCGACCTTGCCAGCATATGGGTAGAGAGCCTTGACCGAAGGGGTATACTCTTGCGAAGTTTACAAGAGAATACGAGCATCGACTTAAGCGACGGCGATCCCAATCAATGGGCTGTCTTCCTCTCCAAGCTCAACACAGCCTTCGATCCTATGCAACAAGGACATCATAGCACCAGTCTCAATATATCCGCATCGTCTCCAGATAGCAGGGATAAGGGTAGTTTCGCTCTCCATGTCACATGTGTACTCCCGGAGCCATTCAAGCCGCTCAAGTGGCCTATCTACTTAACAAAATGCCCTCCTGCCAGCATCTCCTCGGAGCTTGTCTTACCTCTGATCCAAACACATCGTGTACGTACGTTAGAGATGCAGGATCTCATAACGCGTCTCAAGGAAAAGGATGCTGTCATCGCAAAGCTAGTTGACAAATTGGAGGCCAATCAAACCGGATTGGAGCATGTCTTTAATTCATTATCTGGAAAGCGAAAACCTCCTCGCGCATTGGCTGAGGAAAAGGTCAAAGGTCTCGCCCCGTTTAACGAAACCGAATGGAAGTCGAGAGCCAATGCAAGTCAACGGCTTCCCCGGGACGTATCGTCTCTGATCCACGAAGCTTTTGCGGAGACTGAATTGCAACGTGGAATAGACACCGAGATCTCCCCTTCCGAACGGCTCAATGACTGGTGGACTAAGCTTGGCTCTCACGAGATTGCCGCTATCAAGCCCCAGAAAGAGTTACCGAAGAGAGCCCAAGACGAGCCTGCGCAGGATGCCAAGGCAGCCAAGGAGAAGGATGATGACGACTTCCAAGTTCAGACTCTTCCACCTCATCTACAGTCACGTAGGCGAGTACTTGGTTTCTCAACCCCAACCGAAGATATCACGGGTGGCGATGATACCCATCCTGCCCCATCACAGGACAAACCACGTTCCCCAATTGGCGCCGTCGGTGGAAAGAGTAAGGTCACGACTAATTCCCTGAGCCAATCTTCTCATACAGTCCACGCAGACGGCGACGAAACTCCATCCGATTCTGACACAGAACCTGTACAACCACGGTCTCAAGCACGATCAAACACTCGCTTAGGAACCATCAGGAAATCTAAGGGGTCTTCGTCTCCTCTAACAAAATCTCCTTCAGCTAAACCCTCGCCTCCTCTGCCACCGCCTAGGGATGACGATGAAACAGCATCCGGCTCTGACTCTGGAGATAATGACCAGGGACCACCCGTAGTCCGGCCCTCTTCACCATCACCTGCCCCGGCTCCGCGAAGGAAGGTTGGACTAGGGCGAATAGGTGGCAAATCCAAATCCCGAGTAACCCCTGAGCCGTCTGAAGAACCGAACGTGACAGCTTCCAAAGCGGAGGGCCCCGAAGTCGTTTCAAGCCCGGCGAAATCCGCTGGGCGAAAGATTGGAACCATTGGAAAGAAGCCTGCCACGGATGCAAAACGACAACGATCGGGATCGCCATCTGTAGCAACAGTAGTAGAGCCCGAGACTGAGGAGCAGAGGACAGAACGCAGACGAGCCGAGCTAGCTAAGGAGCTTGAACGCAAGGCGGCAGCCCCAACGAAGAAGAAAAGAAGGTTTTGATTCATATTTAGGGATCAAACTCTTGGCGTTCGTATTGATACCCATGTTGTCGTTACTCGAGATTGAATGCCACACCTTGCGGCTTCTCAGGCATAATTTGAAGCTATTCTTCGCTATTTACCTAACCAAATATTTCACTGATACGACCCTATATCCCGAGGGATAGATAGAAATTACACGTACATTTGCTGTCGCTTATTATAACTTTTCTGGGTCCAGTCAAACGAGAACCCTTACAGTAGTCAACACCATTAGGGGACTCTTCGTATTGCAACCAACTACCATCAGAGGAAAACGCCACAGCACTCTCTAAGATTGAGATTCCATTTTATCGGTTGTGAAAATTTCAAGAATCTAACCTGGCAAACTGGAAACGTTGGGATCTGAAATCAACAGTGTCAGAATGAGATTGGCATAGGACGATTTACCACCCCTTCACTGACCCGAGCAACGCTCTCCCACGTTACGCCATATACCAAACGTAATGTCGGGTAGATGTTCATCATAACACGTGAATATCTACGCAGGACTGCCAAGATACTACAATATGAAAGTAGGCGTAGCAACAATAAACAGCCAATGCCATATGAGCATTACGCATTCTAAAGAAATAGGATTCGGCTTGCGCAGGCAAGGGAACAGCACGGTCTATACCAGACGGGAGCATCTAGTTTAGTCATTGCCAAGATGTCAAAGGGGCCCCTAGTTTCTCCAATGGTGTCGTCAATTGCCGTGCCCTAGTTCGCCAGATTTTCAAGTCGTGTACCTAGATTACCGTTACCCCGTACTGCCCTGTACGATGTTCAGGCTTCATGTCACAGCACCTTTCAGGTGTTATACTAGGGACAGACAAGGCGACTCAGCAGATAACCCATATCCAATGAAACGCGCGCCGGAGAGAGAGCCATGGTAGCTAACACAAGACGTCACGTCCCCTCTTGCGATATCGAAAGAGAGGAAAAAGACCAACGTCAGCAGCGCCCGACCAACCAGAGCCGGTACGTAGTGACAGTTAGTGCAGGAACTTCAGGCCCTGCGCAACCTCTCAACGCCGTGTAACGGGTCCGGCCCTTCTTAGAGGGTGATCTCGAAGTGCCAAATGGGGAATACGAACGATCTACCGTAAGGAATCGTCCTCTTTCTTCCTAGCCAGTCGAACCCGATGCAGATTCCTGGACCCCCCATGCACGTTGGCAGTCTTCCGATCTTCCTACGCGCGCTTAAGTAGGTAGGTAGGTAGGTATATGACAACATCGCAGCAGCTACTACACACGCATACATACATACACACAGACGCACACAAGGAGTTAAGATAGATTTATCGGGGATTTATTAAACCCCGGTAGGCAATTCTGGGAGTTGGGAATCGAGATTGGCCAGGTACCTAAAACACTAAGTATAGTACCTAGATACGCAGGAAAATCTGCACGGCGCATCCATAGTACGAGAGAGGGGAGGATTTAGGAACGTAGGTAGGTAGGTACTATGATAGAGCCAACATCCAGACCCAGCCGTCGTTACACAGCCTAGTCTTCTTGAATAACGACACCCGTACGTATCTCTGTGGTCCTGTGGAGACCGCTGATAAGTATGTACATACATAGGTAGCTGGAGGTACGTGGTACAGAACACTGCCCCTGACCGCTGGAATTCGCTCCGCTCCCGCTGGTCTCTTACGCCCCGAAACGTGGAGAGACTGTTCTTCTCGCTACGCCCCTCTCTCTCTTTCTCTCCGCCTATCTGGCTGTGCGTAGGTGTATAGTTAGGGTGTGTGAAAACTAGAGTGTACACATACACGGGCGCCATATCGATCGGTTGATCTGTGGGTAGGTAGGTAGTAGCGGGCTTTTCCCAATGTATGTCTTACTATAGTGCTAGGGCAAGGTATGTTCGGAACATTTCGGTAGCCATCTAGCCTAGGCGGTTACGCATACCTACGCACATACCTTTCTCCAGGGTGTTCGACGTGTCTATAGGTTAGATAGGCTAGATTGCTTACCTACCTATGTACTACTACCACTACGAAAGGAAGAAATGAAGAAAGGCGACGCCCGCCTGGCCTAGGCGCTGCTGCTCCTGCACCGCCTTTCCACATTGGAGCGCCGGGACCGAGTATGAATTGGAGTAGGTAAGCAAAGTCCAGTCATCATGTTAGGGTGGAATGGGTTGGGATGGGACGGGATGGGGATGAGGATCTGTCAAAATCGCGCACGGGCTGGATCGTTACTTACCTGTCGCGAGACATGCCAGACCCCGTGATCGATGGACGATGCGCTACCCGCCCCGAAAGGCGAAATTGGGGGCGTTTTGAGAGCCGAAAACCAAGAACCGCTCCGCAACCAACAGGCCCCCCCGTCGTCATCGTCATCGGGCTGTGATATGTAGGTATGTATCTGATTAGCGTAGTACCTACTCTAGTGAGCAGACATGTATGTATATCCATCTAGTATGCCAGCCTGTCGGTGGACGAACATGTAACGTTGGGCACTAACTAGCGTAGCTTAGTCTAGCCGTTGACATAAAACGGGCTCTAATGAGTAAATTGCCCTAGGCTAGGCTGAGGTCACCTACCTAGGTAGTTTAAACGTTCGACCAGGAAGGCGCCTTTGGCACTTGGCGTATTAGTTCATAGTAGGTAGGCAAGATAGGCAGATCAGGTACTATGTAGGCTAGCAGCTTGGTGGGTCGGTATCCTTTGCCGACGGCGCACAGGGACCGTCCCTGGTGTAATAGCGAACGCTGGTCGTATCCCAGCTTTTCAGGTAGGCAAAGGCCTAGGAATTCTTGGACTGTTAGAGGGCGGCCTACCGCTCTCCCCTTAACTTCCTCTGTACCGGTACGTGGAACATTGAAACAGAGCAGGGTAAGATACGTGCGTATCTTCCTTGTGGGTAACGATATCGAACCTATAGAGGAATCCTCCAACTATGATCGGCTTGTCTATGATGAATTTATCTCCGAGGTTAGTACTGTTAGGAAGGTGCTACGAGCGTCACCACGTGGGTTTCTTAGGTCGTCGACGTGGTTTAGCAAGGGGCAAGCATTTTCACTACCAGGTACCTAGTTGCTAGTGCTAGGCCAGGTACCTTAGTTGAGGGATCCAACTACCGTTTCTAATACATGGGGGGGTTGCTGACCGCCAGCCAGGGGGCCTTCCTTTTTCAGGGACGTGGCTAGTCGGTCGGGCGCTAAAGAGCAGCGCGAGACCCCTAGAAAACCCTCTGCGCAAATCCCGAAGCCCCCAGAGCTGGGAGATCTGCCTCGAGGGGGGGCTGAGGTGCGCTATATCTGTGACACTAGGTACAGAATCTACCTGACTGCCGGGTAGGACTTTTCGAGGCTAGGCCATGCGTGGGTAGGAAGTTTAGCTCCTTGATGACTTAATCTACCTACATCATGGAATGAGAACTGGGAAAACATCTTTCTACGCTAACTAGCACTTGAAGCTATCTACATTTCCCCTCTCCTAGTGACTTAACTATGAGGCTAACTGACGAGGGGCACTAGGCGATGAAGGCGAAGAGGCCAGTAGATGTCCTAGGTTAAACCCATCCATGTTCTTGGGCAAATGTAGCCGAGGCTGATATGTACGCCATAGCAAGGATCCGCTACTGCCAAAATTTCTCTCGTTGCACGGCAGAATTTTATAATATTAAGCGGAGAGAATGGGGAAAGGACCCCACTGACAGTACCTATTTTTGAGGCTGCTACGAGGAAAGGGGGAGAGGAAGGAAGGGCGCAGAGTGCCGGGCGGATATGGGACGACAGGCGATGGCTCGACGTGCCAGTAACGGTCGCGCGTCAACCGCCCGCGGCGCCGGGTCAGAGAATTAATTACAGTTAGACGGCGGATAGAGCACCTTGTCGAGGGCAGCTGAAGGTCTCGTATAGGTAGAGAGCTAAGCGGTTAGGCGATTACTGTCACAATCACGATTACATAGTTACCTCTTCTACACAATAAGCATTGTCAATTACACTATCTTCGAGTGTGATTCGTCTTTTGTTATGTAACATAATGCGAATAATGGCAATAACTATCAGATTAAGTAACCACCACGGTGGGAGTATGAGGACTGATCCGCAAATTCAAGCACTATATACAGTATTAAATACTGAGTTCTAGATATTAATTTCAACGATAAATCGGCGATTAGACGGAAATCATCCTTGGTTACTAAAGCTACGATCGTTGTACGGCTTTTGGGGGTGAAAATCTACCTTCTTTGCCCCTGGCCCCTGAAATGCTTTGAGTGGAGAAAACAGTGACTAGTTCGTCTTCTCTCTGAAACCACATTATGTTGAGAAGGCTGAACAGTAACTTTTAGCGTCCTAAGCGCTATGGCCTGCCCTAATTAGTTAATTACATTGTTAGTTAGGTCCATATCCGGGTGACTTGATACAGATACAGAACGAAAATTTCGGTGGATATTAAAAGTGGGATGTTAGTACTGGTACATTCCGGTAACGACGATAATATCGACTGATTCTTGAGGTTTATACCATCTTTAATCTCCATGATAGTATTTTATAGCTCGTGTTTCAGATATTGGAGTTTTCTGTCATCTACTGTGCAAACATTGCGCACGGTTGGGGAATTAGGGCACACCGCAGAAAATGATAGCCCTAAGTAAATTTCGTGTCATGTAATTTACTAGCGTGGGGAGGAGGCTATCGTCTATTGACACTCTCATAGGATAGACGGGCTGATTAGTCTCAGTTTATGTTATGGAGCCAAGAGGCGTTATCACCCGCCGGTATGGGAAACTTGCAATCAGGTCCCTAGCACCTATCTCTACTCCGAGGACTTACGGACGTATGATTCATGATTAAATGTAAGCAGTGTGTATTAATCCCCTCATGATTCTACTATAGGTTGGATTATATTAGGTTATGTACGAAATATCTCTCGTCCAGAAAATCGGGTCGCTACGTTGAAAGACATAGACAAGTGGAGCTCACTGCTCCATCATGGTTTGGAGTTTGGACGATGTGTGAACATGGGGCAAGAGGCACATTAGATTCTTGACGCGCCTATAGGGAGGATAGTACCATACACTTCTATCAGTTGACCTTTACTTAGTACTTCTTCCGACCCTGGGAGAAGCGCTTGCCGCGGTTTCCGTTGCCGCGTGATGGGCAAACAAATCGCTTAAGCGCTCGCCAGCAGCCTTCACGGCTACGGCTAAGGTGTCTCATAAACCGCTTACTGCCGAAAGGGCCCATCCGCTACAGAAAGAGAGGGAGACTAAAGAACCAAAAAAAGTGATTTATTACAGATGCTGCATTATAGACAACGGGCCGACTCTTTAGGCCAAGTCACCTGTAGCTTTGGATATAGGCTTCAAGTATTGGCTATTCTAGTCTGTATAGAGTACGCTAGTGACGTATCCCTTGATGCTCGGTTATCCCTACATGCGTTACCTACATGCCACTGGTTCGTCGTACTAAAGCCAGGCATGGGCCTTGTTACAAATAAACAGGCATTTATGGCTCGAAATAGGTACATAGCCAAAATATGAAGATGATAGAACTCAAGGACTGGATATTCCGATAGTCAAGTCCAGTCAGGGGCTAAGGTGATATCATTGCTTTTTCAATTCCTAAGGTAAGTATTAGGCGACCAAAGGTTTAAATCGTCGAACATAACCGACCTGTAACAAGACCATTATAAAGAATGTCATAACACGATAATTCAAGCGAACTAGATATCGTTTTGATTCGTGAGACTTGAGACGGGTCACGACAGCTGTCATCGAGAGAGAAAGCTTGACACTAATAATCATAGCATTCACGCCACTCAAATAATACCACATTAAAGAGGCTCTGCGTAGGACATGTGTATGTATCCGTGCTATGTACGTGTGTCAGTGATGCCGGATGCGGGTAAGGTTGGCAGTGACACACGGGGTGCTTGTGGCTCCGAACCCAAAGATGGAAATAATCGTGTGGTTTCTATGGCTGGAATCGTTTAATCCTATATACAATTGTTGAACCACCATCCACGTTCAGGAAAAGTCATCGTGCACCAGAACACATTGCAACGCAAGACTACGTGTACGTGGACTGTCTAGCTATGTTATGCGATCTGTTGATCTCAATGCGCTACGCTGGCGCTATTTCACGGCTTCTAGCAGTGTTACAACGTTTCTTTGTGTTCGAGCGACCCGAGATCGTCGCCATCTCGCTACCTCCGTGGTAAGACACGATAGACGAAAAGAATCAACGAACAGTGACAGCAGAAGCAAGAGTAGTATTCCTACAGAACGCGTATTAGGTAAATTAATTAGTTAAAACTTGTAATAAAATTGAATAATGATACGACGACAGAAAATGCTAGGTATTCTCACATAAGAGAGAATTATTAGTAGAAGGTAAGCAGAATAGAAAACTGTGAAGAGGTCGTACCGTGCTTAATGTAAGATCAATAACATGTTTAAAATAATGTTTAAAAAGAGTAATAGAAACTCAGACAACCCGGCCACTTGGTTCGAAAAAAACAAAATCCCCGTCGGCGTGGCATAATCGTCCTATGGATGACACGGGACGTACGGATTCGTCAATCGGTCAACTGTCACTTACCCTAATCGAGATTTTCTCAACTTGATCAAGATAACGCAAGCGACCATATGAGTTTCTTTTAAGCATTATGCCTATCGGGATATTACCGTGTCGATTTATTAGGACAGGACCACATCGGAAGTGTGGAAGGGCTTCCGAAAATTAGGGGGCTGATGCTTTTAGGCGCGTCGCAACTAGCCCCCGGGTCTAGAGTCTGAGTTGAGAGGAATCACATAAATAATATAAACATTAAGTAAGACCTAGATCTATTTCCAACTCCGAGTCCCCAACAAGATAACTCGTCATATTTACTTAGATATCCCGCGGCGGATGACCCGTCCGGGATAAGAGTTCCATGTTCCCCTTTTAGACATCATATGCAAAGTATGCGCCGGGTTTATATGAACCTGCGGGCGACAAGTGATGATCAACATATGCGGTGCGAGTTTCCGTCGACCCCGTCTCATGCAGGCGAGATGAAGCGCTGCGCTGCATGTTCGGTTCTATCCTCCAAATATGCGACCACGGCATTAATTACGTACATAAGTATGATATATTTTAGTCATGAATGGAAAATAAGTTGGGAGTTTCTCGTAGGATACACGAAGTAGACGTTATGATCTATCAATACAACTCACGGGTGAGCGGAACTCCCTACTGGAAGAAGTCGGCGAACTACCAAACTCTTAAACTTCGTACGTTAGGAAGTGATGAGAGAATTGCATGGTCGGCGACCACCTCTGCGCCTTCAAGGCCGGCGAGTCAGCCTTCGGCGAGGAGAAATAAAAGATCATACTAACAGCAAAGTCGAAGCCATGGCTTTCTTATATGGAGCTGTACGACCTAACTTACTTGCCAACTGCTCTCTTTACCCCATTCTCGCGCAGCGCGGTTAAGATCCACTAGGAGGTATTGGGCCATACGGTTTAACACGAGATAATTCTACAATAAGCTCCGACATTGAATACGACACCTACCTAGGTGAGTTATACGCTATTATATGTGTCTACCCAAATGCGCAAAGCCCATCGAATAAGCTTCCCCATCACCCGCGCGCAAAGCAGACACGAGGCAACACTTCGTCTAACGCGACCACGTAGAATTATATAGGTACGTAAGTAAGGTCAATAGTAGTATTATTAGAAAGAAAAAAGGCATTGTTATCTGTGACATGGCCTGAAAAGGGTTGTTGGGGCGTTTCCTCTTTTTTAGCGTACACAACTCCCTACCTAGCTGTCTTAGTACCTTTCGTGGCCCACGAACTAAACTCCCACCAGTTGTCTACGTGTCTCAGAAGGCCAGCAGGTCTGTGTGGGGGAGAAAGGAACGGAGCTCAACCCTAATCCACTCTGGGGAAGAGGGGAAGGGGGAAGGCTGTGAGGAGACGGATTGGTGATACGACCGAGTTCCTAATGAGTAGCCCTTCGTTTCTTCAAGAGATTACGTCGAGGACGGCGCTAGGTTAGTCGAGACAGGACAATGGGGGGAAGAGGGCCATGGCCGCGACTGGCCCTGGGGCTAGGGATGACCCCTGAAGAGAGGTTCGAATGTGGCATGCGTCGCATGGGGACGCAAGTATTACAAACCAAGTGCTAGACGCGAGCGAGCTCCTCTTCTCAGTTTAGCAGGCCTTTGGGGTAGAGAAAAAGGGCCTTAAGCACGTAAGTTGACGTTGTTGTATAATGAAGTGAGAGACCGGATAAGCTGTTCAAGAGCTCGGTGTGATGGTTAGATTCGCAACCTTCGGGTGGTGGTTCGGGGGGTTGAACACCTAGAACACGCAAAGATGGGCGAACAAGAGGAAGGGGACGCATGGCTGTTCGTTACACATACGCAGGACATGCGTCCATATATGTACAGTAGAGAAATTAAGGGTTCCACTTCGCTATGCAGCACCACATGTCAGCGTTCGAGTTCCGAATGCCTTCGTGCGTAGCCCCGTCAGTATGATACGTAGTGTCTGTATCCAGAGACTTATGATGACGACGATGATATTCCTATTTCTCGCCAGATATTGGTATTACTCCACCGAAGCTAGTCGATGAGATGGGCAGCGATATGATCACCACGCAGCCATGGCACCACCAATTTGAGGCATTTTCTTTTGTTAGTAACCGGATCCCATCTCGTCTACTACTATGTAAGTTAGTACCATGGGCCTAATTTTCCCCATCCATCAAGCTATGATCACCTCTCGCCCCTCTTTTCACGTCATATCCTGCGAGGATCATAGAGCTTGGATAGGACCAAAGTCTCGGGCTCTGTGTTATACTGTGCTTCGTTGGGGATTTATTCATGTGTCACAGTACTGTGTAGTGTAAAAGTAAAGAGACTGAATGCCTTGTGCTCTTCGATACTACGTAGTATACTCAGGGTACAATCTATCTACGCCCTGTGCCGCAGACTCATCGTCGTAGTAACTTTGATCCTGTCAGAATTACCTTAGTCACTTGCCGTTGACTCAATCTACCGTAGACGTTGCACAGGACACATCTTGGTGGACCATTGTGGAGATGGTCTGTCATAAGGATTTAATTATACGGTCTATCTGAGCTCTCAATTGCAAGGCTTGTCCAATTGGTCGCAGTCCAGCGCGCGGCCATCAGTTCAAGTGGAGTTTGTACGCTGCTGCAAATGAGGCAGTAGAGAAGCATCTCGTGGGATATTAGGGGGGTAGGGGCTTGTCCCTGTATGCCCAGCCCAGTCAGGACTAGAAGCCCACATTCTTTCAAATTCTGTGACAAGATTCTGCAACTCTAAACGCCATCACAAGACCTTCTTAGCAACTTTGAATTTTCTATTAGATGCTTGAGTATCTATTAACCATACAGCGCCCACTCACAACAAAGAGCGTAGAAGCTTAAAAAAATTTGTCAGACACACGTCCTGTTTTCGTCAGGGCACCCCCTTTCTCCGCACAAGGAACAGACACGCGACGGAAGGCTAGACAAGCACGCGAGCGTGAATCAGTGAAGAATGAAAACCGTTCCTTGCCGTTGTTCCTTGGATAAGCACTAGTAGCCCTGTGGTCAGAAGCTTGTCTCAGTCCCCTTTTTATTTTCTTATTTCGTTTTTCTGGGGACGCCAAATAGGAAGTTTGATTCTCAAGTGTTTTCATTTGCCGAATTGTCTTGTCCCTCTGGGCTCCCAGGTATGCCAAGAGTGTAACAAGCTTTGAATGACTTCTAATCATGCGTTTTTTTCTTCTTGTTCATGTTGCTCGTAGCATGAGTATGAATGTGTCTGTCTATCTATCTGAAGTAGTAGTTAATAATAAACTTTTGTAAATGTCTATGTATCGGCAAGTATCGTGAAATATTCCCATTTTACATTGAAATGAAGTAATCACTAATGATTCCTAAACCAGCACAACTTATATTTGGTCTAGAACTGCATACATGCTTCACATCCTATCTCCAATGGAGAAACAAAGATAACTCGAGCTTCTACTCTCTACCCTCTAGCTAAGTACCCCACAAATCCTTCCCATGCATACTGCATACATACCTGCAGGTAAACAGCCAAGTTAAGTAGCATTAGACCTGTAAGCCATCACCCTCCATCCTATCCCATCCTCCAATACCCACTCCCTCCGGAGCCGAATGCTCGCAGTTAGCGCAGACTACCCCAAGCAGCTCATGTAACTCGACCGTTCTAGTTAGCCCCATCCAGATTTCCACTCTTGCTCCTCTCAAATCCAAGATTAACAGAACACCGGCTCAACAAGATCTCCCCCTCCCCTGCCAGCCACTCACCTACCCTGCTCCCTCCAGCTTTGCCGCCCCTGTAACCCGGTCATGCCACTGTACGTACATTGATCCCCGTAGTTAATTCTAATAATCCCCGGCCATCGACCTTGAATCCCCATCTAGGTAGTTCATTCAGTTTAGTCCATTCGGTTCACCCATTTACCAAATCACATCACGCTCAATCCCCTAACCTAATAAATTTACATAAATAGGACATCAATAGATATGTAAAGATACGTACCGTAAAACTCTGTATGTACACATGTAAACCGTAAACCTTAGCGGGACCCGCCCCTGCCACTCTGCCAATGCCACTGCCACTGCCAAAAAAGATAAAACCAACGCAACGCCGCCGATCAGCCAGAGCGACCCGACCCGACACTCCGGTTCGCGGGCGGAGCCCCTTAGCCTAATCAGGGCGACAAGCTAGCCATCTGACCAATCACGAATCGACCTTTGCATCTAGCGGCGCTACGGCACTCCAAGAACGAGCTAGTCCAGGAGGGTATGTAGGCGCACAAGGAAAAAGAGCGACCTCGTCAAATTTAGAAAGGAAAAAAAAATACTCGTGGAGGTAGTTTGAAATTTTACTTGTTGGAGTACCTATCTAACTAGACTAAACTAGTGTAGCCTGCCCACCTGGGTATTGTAGGGTATAGGAGGTAGGTAGCTAACTAGGTATCTAAGTATAGGAGGTAAGTTGTAGGTAGGGTAGGGTAGAGTAATACAGCGATACAGAACGAACGAGCGCACCACCTCGTGCTGTCTTCCACGAAATTCCTCCTTCCGTACCCAAGGTCGGTGAGCCGCCCTGCTCTGTCTGCCCTGCAAATCCGAATACGCACTATTTTCAGGTACATTCAGGTATCACCCATCCCGCCTGTCTTCTCGTGAACCGATCGTGGGCCATGGGCCCCCCTTGTCCCTGGCACGATGATCACCCCCAACCATGACTTCCTGTAGAAAGAAAAAAGCAACGCGCATAAAGGACGAATCTAGCATGTAGTTTTCGCGTCCCAGATTTCCTGCCCCCAACACCGCAACGCTCTTCTATCCCGTTACACTTCTTTTTTTTCTCGAATTGAATCGCTTCCTCCGACCCGGTATCTCATGCCCTCATGCAAATCGATAAATCATCAAAGGTAAAAAGCAACGCAGTACTGGAAAGCGGGAAATAGTGCGAGAAGAGGTATTTTCGGAAATAGGCGACGGTAAATAGACGCGGAAGAAGTATAGGAACATGTAGCCATGAAGCCCATAGTTGGTGAAAAAAAGTCTAGAGGAATAAAAATCAAGATATGAATATTGACGCTTGAAAATCATCGCTAAGTGTAATTCTTTTGCCGAAAACCCTAATTCGCGGGGAATAATACTATCTCCATCATGAAATGGAGAATCTTCATGCTAGACGCCGAGTATAATAATAAATTCCGCCGTAGTACCGATTATGTCCACCATCTTATAAGTGTGTCGAGTCAGGCCCTTTTACTCCTTGATAAAGAATTCGTGGTATGATTCGTTCGTTCAGGTCCTCCAATTCATTGACCATATATCTAGGTCTATGCGAGGCAAGGACTGCCGAGCTATAGGCCATCGATAGAATAGGTCGAATTGTTCTATCGTCTCGATTCGTAGATATAGAGATTGCTCTCGCCGGGTACTCGTGTCGCCGATTCTAATCATGTCGGCAATGATTTATGTATTATCAGTAATATCCATCGCTTCTTAGCCATTGCTAAGTTCATGCTCTTTTCCCTCTCCATTTTCTTCTGTTGTATGGGAAACGACCCTTGATGATATTCAGTGAAAATTGCTTTTTCTTTTTTTTCTTGTCCAAGATAAAGGTTCAACGTTGTCGCTAATATCACTTGTTCTGCTTTTCATTCCCATTTTTTTTTTCTGGAATCGCTGTCGAAGTCTCATGCCGAAATTATAGAATAGATCCAAAAAGGTAACTTGAACTATCCTTACGTGGCGTCGCTAGGGCTGGTATTGACTACCAGCCGTTGGATCATTCCAGTAGGAAAAGGCGAGCCTACTGCGATTTTCTTCGTGATCTTCGAAGAGTCCATTTAAGTCTTGTGGAATCGCCGTTGCCATACCTTGGCTACCGTGTATTGGTATTGCGCCATGGTGTCCTTGATAGATGCCCGATACATCTTCTAAGGAGTACATGTGATGTTGTGTGCTTTGGGTATAATGAGGTATTGCTGACCCGAAGGCATACCCGTGGCTTGCGTCGGGGGTCGGCAACGTTGTAGACTGCATTGGGTTGGTCGCCAACATCATACCTTCGTGACCAGGGTTAGGTGTTGCGAAATGTTCGCTTCTTGGGGCGCCAGGAAGCGGGTAATGGAGGAGACGATGATCGTAACCAATTGCCTGCATGGGGTCGTGCAAGTTGTTACCACTACTGCTGGCGTCGGGAAATGCCGGGCCATGGCTGTTTCGGGTCATCATTGCCCTCTTCGTTGCCGCGTTCCTTTTAGAATTGCTAGCAGCTACGCCACCCCTGCGGCCGGAGTTTACTCGTCCTGATGCGCTTTGGCGCGTTCTGGTACGAGTACCTGCGCCAGTTTGGCGACTAGACGCCGTTTTGCTACGATACCTTGTTGTGCTTTGTACGCCGTTGATAGCCCAATCTTCCAAGAACCATTCTGGTAGCTGCTTTTTCGAATCTCCCGAATCGTTCACAGAGTCACCTTGGCCCGGCTTGCGTTCGCGTTTGACAAATGCCTTTTTTTAGAAATAATCAGTTAGTCTCTTAGCTAACTAGAAATTCCCAGACTTTAAAAGTCTCCTAAAGAGCAATTAGACGTATCAGTTTAAACTCACCTGGTTCATGGACAAATTGTGACGGATGCTATTCATCCAGCCACGAGTATCCCCCTTCTCGCCTTTTTCAGGATTGTCATTTCTAGCCTTTTCCGTATTGTCACGGAACCATTGGTATAACTGTTGCAGTGACATCGAGTGTGTCGGGGTACTCAAGAAGGCTCTCCATATCAATTGTGCGTATGGTTCCTCTACCTTCTTCCCTGCTGTACTCGTGCATCCCTGTTTCGGTTTCTCTGCCTCGCCCTCAGCGACCGCAGCTTGACTCTCTGACTCAGCTAGCTCAGATGCAGTGGACGGCAATTCTTGCTGAGCCATGACATCCACGTTCATGTCGGTGCGCGGATAGCTCTGACTCTCATAACCGGCCTGCGTGAAGTATTGCTGGCCGTACTGTGGTTGAGTGTAAGAAGGGTAATTGTAGGTGGGCATTTGGAAATGATGTTCTTCCTGAGCGGGCCAAGTACCCGGGCTGGCTGCTGACGAATGTGTTGAGTAAGGCTGGGTCCTACAAGAAACACTTGCAGGTGAACCGTGGAATGAATAATTGTCCACGTCTTCTTCACAGGTCGTAGAAGGTGGTGTAGGCCATACACCCTGTGACGAAGAGCTGGCCGAATTCACTTGAGGGTACTGATACGCTGGGATAGATGTGTTTACCGTGCTGGGAAATAAAGTTGATGACGGTTGTTGCGACTGGGCCTGCTGGCCTAGCTCGGCGAGTTGAGATGTTGGTGAGGGAATATAGAAAGATTCACCAGTCTTAGGAAGGTCTGGTGACCCGCCCGTTGATTGCGTCGCGCGGTTTCGAATTGGGATTGCAACCGCGTCGCAAGAAGGCGAGCAAATGACGGGCAAGCCGTCAGTGAAGCTTTGCTGCATTCCGGGAGGGTTAAAGTCCGTTAACAGGTAGAGTCAAACCTGGGGCTATGTTGTCGCAATGATCGCAATGAGTCAAGATGTGAATCGAAACTAGAGCGAGAGGTAATAGCGCGTTATGAGTAAAGCTTGAAGGTTGTCATAGAATGACTCAAACTCCAGGGAAGAGTATAGAATGCGAGTAGAGAAAATATTGTAAGCAGAGAAGAAAGAAGAGGATGAGGGAGAAAGCTCAGGTCTAGGTCTGTTAAGGCCAGTTGCTGGTATATGTTAGCTTGTTATCAACAGCCTTAGCAGATTTGTAGGAAGAAGAGAGGATTTGTGATGGTAAGATATTGAGGATGTAGCAGGATGTATGTACATATGAAGTAGGTAAGGTAAAGGTAAAAGGTAAAGATGAAGGTGAAGGAGATGTTGAATATGTAGTTTTGAGGATTGTAAGGAAGGTGAGGGAAAGTAAAGAAGTATTTAGGAAGCTTGGTAAGGATCTTGTTAAGAGGCTTGGGCTCTTACAAGCTCAGGATTTAGAAGTCAGAGAGACAGGGTATGTACTGTGAGGTGATCTGGGGCTTGTGCTCTCATCAACTTGAGATTAAGAATAATGGGGAAAGATCTGGACCCTAGCACTTACCTTGAGAGCTACAGAATAATTTAGTCGATTCTAGGTAGTGGCACCTGCCTGCTTCGATGTCGAGCTTGGACGTTAGGATGGGAGGTGCGGTACTCAAGTAGCTAGGTACGTATAGGTAAATAAGTAAGTATCGAAGTACCAGAGTTGTATGCAGGCAAGGACATGGATCTATGATGTATAGTCCCAAGGTTGGTCATATGGAACCTGGAACCCAATGTTAAATAGAAAAGGGCAGAGGGAGGAGTTGAAGAGGAAAAATAGCCCTGGACGTGAGACGCCTCGTCGAAATGGGAAAGAGTGTACGTACCGATGAGCATGTTGACAGGGAAGTTTAGAGCTTGAGAAGTCCCAGTTAAGTTAGCCGGTAGGTATTGCACGGTATACCATGTGCAAAAAGCACTGATCGCTAGTGGGGCCAGAACTGTGCAAGTAAAAAAATTGTCGTCTCGTGTGCGGGTGTTAATAATAAAAATACCTCTTGCTACTGCCATGTAATTAGTCTGGTTGGGATGAGGAAGTAACAGACCTGAAGCAACCTTACTCGCACAGCACACGATGACCCTATCGATGTATAGTATGTAAGCAGATGACGAGACTAAAACTCTAGCATTTCTTGACGGCACTTTGAGTTAGTTACCTCAACTGCCAACGCATTAGTTGCCTCTTTCCTCTCTTATCCCCTCAGCTACTACCCAGTGCCTCTTTACAATTTCTCTTCTCTATTAGGTTTCTAGCACTGAGAGTTCTATCCTTACTATCCTTGACTATCCTTTTCCTTCCTTTTCTTATTCTTTCTCTTCAGAGTTTTCGCTCTAAGTTTTTAATTGATAATTCTAAACTGGATACATGACTTCAAAAGTCTGTCTGCACGTATTCCAAACATCCCCCCTATTAGTAGTATTATACAATTGTATGTACATGTGTATATTATTTATATGTGTGTATGCGTCAGCACATGTAATATGTGTGTGTGCGTACTCTGTATGTGTGCGTGCTCCTTGTATATGTAGCTTCATGCACGCCAACTGCATGCCGCATGTTTCTCCTTGTGCAAACGAGGTCGCGTTTCGTGTGCCTATGGTAGGTGCTCTTCACAGCAGCGCAGGGCTATCGGGCAATTGTTGCTTGTAACAGGCATTGACCACAAATCTACGTAATGTTCTTGGATATAATAAATATGATGTTACTCATTGGCGACTTCCCCAACCCTCTAACGAAGCATTAGGAAGGTGAAGTACAATGGAGGACTCAACTGCCCTTTGACCTACGAATAAATTTGCGTAATTTGATTGAGAGCTGAACAAGCCTATTATTTAGCGATGCAAGTCACCATGAAGCTACGGTGTGCGGCATAGGGGCGGGATTAGGGCACTCTTCCCGCCTACGGTTACTTGCATCGTGAGTGGGATTTTGGCAGATTCGCCAAAATGTGACCAATCATTGCCTCAGTACAGTATTCTGTTACGGGATCACCTATCGTAGCCTTACTAGATAGGACATGAAACTGTCCCGATGAAGCGCCCCTGAGCATTTCCATCGCATGCATATCATCGACGTGTCTTCTAGAATCTCGATCGAAGCCTTAGATCTGCATGGGTCCCTGTAAGTTCCTGAAGTTTTCGCGCTGAAGACATAACGGAAACTTATACATAGAAATAGCCACCACGAGGTTCAAATATAGGGCCTAAAGGTAGAGGGATTTCAGTGCAGGGGCTTTCTGCTCAACGGACTAGAATAGGGCGTACCCTGAGAAGTAGACCAATTTTGCAGAACAAGATTAAAACGGATTGTCACTATTATGAACGTGCCTTTAATTCCATCATCTGCATACTTTCTACTGATCCCAGTCTTCCAGAAACCAGCTAGATCAGGGAGGTAAGGCAGCTCTCCGAGTGTTGTGTCACTCAGATCAGGACAAGTCCTTGATTCGCCGCCACGTTTCGCTAGATAATAGCGCCCTGTAAGCCGTCTGTTGATGTCATTACTAGTCTTATGCCTAGCCAGCATTTCCAACAGCTCGAAATCAAGACAGAGAAGATCTCTTGTACGAAGCCCAAGGGTAGTCGTCTTCGTGTTTGTCGTGGAAAATGTGGTATCCCACGGATAATAAGTAGCCGTCTACTTCCGGTAATAAATCTATTCGTGGCGTGTTAGTAATTATCATATTGTTGGAATGGGAATTATGCTCACCTTTTTGAATTGGAAATGGAGTTGAAGGATTCCCTGTAGATATAGAGATTAGCTGAGACATCCTTGGGGGTATTTCAAGAACAGGAGGGGTTAGCATTGGACGCGAGTCCGGAAAAGGAAGTCCAAATATTCGCGTAGGCCAGTCATTGTTTTTTTGTGGTTGTCAAAATAAGATTCAACGGTAAACGCTACGGTTTGCCATTCCTAGGTCGCGTCTTTTCCCACGATCGGGTAATTCCTTGGCCACGTGGAATAGACTACACGTTTGAACCTAATATACCAAAGAAAATGGGGGAAAAAAGAAAGAAAAGAAAAGAAAGGGAAAAAGGAAGAGGTACATGCCTTGTCAAAGCTGCTTTTAAAGCCACGGTCCTTTTTGGCGCTGTAATCCCATTCCCGATCGACAATCCGGAAAGCAATATCCTCGTATGGTGGCCCGGCAATGAATCGAATCAAGCAAGTATCCTCTTCTCCAGCGGGCGCAAAGGATTCGCCTCGTCTCCTTCCGTGCTCGCGAATGATCTTAAAGGTGGGCGCCTTCGTCTTGTCAATCAGGTCAGGATAGAAGATGTTGAATTTATATCCCTGAACCACCTTTGGCGGAGGGTTATCATGATCGTAATGTGTTTGATTGTACTTGTTCCATTCGTAGCCCATTTGCACACGGTTGAAATACCGCGGCTTACGAGGCCGGTACTTGTCTGCCCACTGTGGTTTTGTAGTGCTCGAAACAGACTCTTCAGCAGTGAATATCTCCTCGTTCTCACTGACTCCGCGAGCAACCTCTCGTTCGTATAAAGCTTTCGTAGCTTGCGAGAAGTCTTCATTTCCGCCGGTAGCGAACCGAGCAGTACCAGGAGGTGGTGCGCTGGTCGAGCTGCTGGCTAGAGAAATAGCTGTTGCACTGTGCTTCAATTTGGAATTTGAATTCGCCGAGGTGTCCTTAGGATCGGAGCGCGCAACACTTCCAAGCGATTCAGACTCGGCAAGCGCCTTTGCCTTTTCCGGATCGCGCTCTTTCAGAAGCTGGACTCTTCTCTCTCTGATCGCCTCATATATGATCTTAAGTTTAGCTTTTGCTTTGAAGATCTGCAAGCTCTTGAGTAGCTGTTCCCAGTAATCAGTATCCATGACCTCGTCGGAACGCAGTTTGGCCTGTATCTGGCCCTCCAATTTCTCCAACTGCTGTAGATTCTTTGGGCCCAGTATCTTGTCCACATCCGCAATGACTGAGCTAACTGCGCGTTGCTCGGGACCCATAGGCTTAAGTCGTTGTCTTCTATCTGCGCAGATTGTCCGCAGTGCCTTCCAATAGTCCCTATTCATCGCATTTGTCTCTAGCGTGTGGTATGGTGTGATATCTGCCTCGAGCTCGACAAGCTCTGATTCTTTTAGCCCATTAATAACGGTGTCGGGTTGGGGTACGTCAATGTCGACGTCGGCGTCGTCATCGTCGAAGACATCTCGGTCAGTGTCAACGTATCGCAGGTTGAATGCTAAGAGATCGATAGGTTTGGCTCGCCCTTCACGAACTCGGATATCGGCCTTCTTCTTGGCTTGCTTCAAAACGAACTTGTCCTCATCTGCGACAAACTGTCTGGATTGCTCATCCTGGCTCAGCCAATTTTGTGTAGTAGAATTCGATGGTTTAGGTTGCGTCGGTCGCGAGGGCTTCGTGATCCTGGAGCTGGGATCTCGTCTAGGAGATGTGATATCGCGGCGAGGGGGTGACTTACGGCCATATATCATAGCACGTCGCCCGGGATCCATCTTTCAGATCCAACCTATCAGATAGGTTGCGCTAGGTAGGATGATGGTAAGTCTGGGGTGATTTATGTGAGTGAAGGTAAATCACAAATCGCGAAAGATTTCGAGATGACCAAAACTAGAGAAGGGGATGTGGGGCAAAATTCAAAGGACCCATTTTTATTCGTTGTCTAGTTCTATATTAGTCATCATATTCCACCTAATTAACCTACGAAGTACCCCGGTATGTATTTATGCACCTTTACCATCATCCAAGCTTGAGCAACAATTACAATCACAGCACTTTACTTATGAAGAAAGTTCTAGATAATTTAATATCTGAACAGTTTAATATGAACTATTAGGAATCCTGCACGACCTAACACCCAAAAATGATGAACTACGTTACGCAAAGCATCACCGATGCTCTTAGGTCCGTGATCGGGCCATGCCGGACACCCGTCCAAAGAGCGTGATGGAGAATAAGAAGGAAACATAACTTATAGCTATCATATATAATTGAAATAGGCGCTACGAATCGCTGACTTACATTACTAGAGCATACCATCCACTATGTAGGGAATTTCATGCACGTCTCGAATATCACTATAGCTTCGTCGAGGTGCTTGGATTTAGTGCCCTAATAAGCAAAGCATCCTGACGGTGGTACTCCTATTATATGGGTATCAATAGGTTGTTATATATATATATATATATATATATATATCTGAGTCCGATCATCTTGTTAACCTGATCATCGACAATGTCTTTTTTTTTGAGGAGGAGGAGGATATGTGTGTATGTTGCATTTGCTTGGACTGTCAGACATACCAAGCGAACTGAAGCATTCAACTGCTTTCTACATAGTGTGCTTCATGATAATAGTTGGAGGTTATATCTAGGAGATCTAAGGAGACCTATTGGTGGCTAACCTTGAAGCGGTTTCGAAAAAGCTCTTCATAAAGAACCAGGCATTGATAATCACGCATTCCTACCTCGAACAGCAGAGCCTATATCGAACTCCTCATTGTTATTAAATTTCTTACTAACGACATAACCAACCCATTGGCCCCCCACCACAGCATCGATAGATGAGTACCTATATAAGAAGGCCTATTAACGACGCAGACCTATTTCACGAGGAAGCCCTGATGGTGTTTCGCGAGGGACTTCTAAACGCTTTCGGTTGTGGATACGGTACACATACCGGATGCGCGCTCTGTCTATCTTATCCTCTACTCCAAGGTCAGCCACCAATAGGGCATCTCCTACGAGCCAAACTCGATCCTAACTGTTCTCTAACAGACCAGATCTCTGACAGCTCTTTTCGGTCACGGGGTTCAGAAAGGTTCGAAAGTGAATATAATCACCATTATCTACCTACTAGCTAGGAAGCGTCTCACTACTGTCATTTACTCTATGACACAAGTATGAACCAAGAGCTCATCCCCTCCTGGCCCATCTACATAAAGGGCTGATATACTATACACTAATGCCCCAGGCAGTCCCCAGGGAATAGTCACTTGAAGATTTCCAAGCGAAAAAAGACCTCGAGATCATCAAGTGCATCCAAAGTCTAAAATAGTCACCAAATCCCACCTTGGCGCCCTCGTGTATATCTCTGAACAATCCCAAAATTTAGGGCTTATCCCGTTCGAGACCGGCCTTGTACATCTTCAGAGCACGCTCCCTACTCTCCTTATGATCTACGATCGGCTCCGGATAGCCAACTTTCTTTGCCTGTGCCGCAGCGCCTCTATTATACGGGTCGTGGATAGCTTTGCCCTTGACATCGGCGAGCTCGGGTATCCACTTCCTGATGTAAACCCCGTCCGGGTCGAACTTCTCGCTCTGGAGCAGCGGGTTGAAGATCCGAAAGTACGGTTGAGGGTCTACGCCGACAGATGCGCTGAAGCCCCAGCCGCCGTTGTTGGACGCGAAGTCGCCGTCGATCAGATGCTCCATAAAGAATCTCTCTCCCATGCGCCAGTCGAGTAGGAGGTCCTTGCAAAGAAACGATGCAACGATCATGCGACACCGGTTGTGCATCCACCCCATACTTCGAAGCTGTCTCATCGCAGCGTCAACGATTGGGAAGCCTGTTTTCCCATTGCACCACGCATCGAAGTGCGCTGAGTTGTACGACCATTCAATGTTTGAATACTCGGGCTTGAACGGTTTATTCATACTATGATTCGTTAGCATGGGAGGTGTTTGTAATGGATCTAAGGCTTACCAGATGTAAGGCCAATGAACCAAAACGTGTTTATAGAAATCACGCCAGGCGACTTCGCTTATCCAACCTTGAATTCCTTCGACGCCGGCGTCGAGCTTCTTCGTCTTGTTTCTATCTCTTGCGGTCCGCACTGCTGTCCGAGCACTCAGAGTGCCAGCTGCTAGGTGGACCGATATCGACGATGTTGCTGCTTCGGACGGGAAGTTACGTTTCTTACTATACTGAGCAATTTTCTCTTCGCAGAATCTATCAAGTCGATCCATAGCTTCGCGTTCCCCGGCAGGCCAAGTGGCATGGCATCTTTTCTCATCTTCTTCAGAGAGCCTCTTATTTTCCGGGCTGTCGGGTATCTCACTGTCGAATAGGGCAGCCACTTTCTCTCTAGCGGCGGGCGTGTTCTTTGACGGGGAATCGAATGGGCTAAGGAGCTCTTGATTTGAGTGCACATGCGCTACCCAGGCCCTGAACCACGGCGAATATACAGAGTACTGCTTCCCAGCACCAGTATGTAAGGCGCCTGGCGGAACTATGCATGAATCGTGTAAGGGAATCATGACCAAACCCTTTTCTGCACACATTCTCACCATTTTCGCCTCCCTCCTTAGTTCATCAACCTCATACTCAATACTAGTATATAAATGACTTGCTCCCCATTCTTCCATAAACTCCAGGATGCGCTCAGGTATATCTCTCCTCTTTCCAATCGTTTCCACATAAAGAGGGATATCCAAGGCTTCGAGATCCTCTTTCAAAACTCGCAGTGTGCGTATCACGTAATCAACACGTATTGGAGCCGTCAAATGCGCCTCGAAATCTTCCGGGCTTACTATGTAAATGCTTATTAAGGGAACGCCAGCTTCCGTCGCCTTCTGGCTCGCTTCCCATAATGCTCGGTTATCTGTCGTCCGCAAGTCTGTTTTAAACCAATGTATCACGGCCTCTTTCACCTTTACATTACGGCGTGCAGATGCGGTTCTCTCCAAAGCGGCTTCGAGTTGCTCGATGGGACGAGAAATTCCATTGTCATTGTAGGCCTGAGCACGGGCGTTGCTCATTTCCGGAGGGTAATACTTGCGCAGGACAATACCGTGTTCCTCAGCCTCAGCTGCAAACCGATGGGGGTTGCGTAAAAGGTCTGGAGAACCTTTCCCTAGTTTAGCTCTTTTGGTAGATGTTCCGTCAATGTCGTCATCGCTCATAACTTTCTGTTTCGTAGTTCTTTTCTGCGGCATTACGACGGGATGTTTTCCAGAGGTTTGTGGTAGAAACAATGAGAAACTCGCTCGATTCGGGATTGTAAAACTAGTATGGAAGATAGGGCGGAGCGATTGGCAAGGAATACGACCAAAGACGGGATAAGACATGAATTGCGTTAGAATTAGGATCAAGACAAAAAATAATAAAATAAAGAACTTACGCGGAAGTCTTGGTTTTGGATAATTTCTTTTTCTACATCACACCTAGCTAATTACCTAATCTAACAAGCTCGATATGTCTTGCGTCACTTTGCCATCAAGATCGATCTTAGTCGAGCTAATCGAGCTGAATTCCGGAACAGGAAGGGGGAGGGGAGATCCTGGGTAGCTAGTGGGGATCATCAGCCCTATTCAGCCGCAAATGTAACCTAAGGAAGCCTAAATTAACGACAAAGGTCCACTTTAGCTTCTAAAAGCACCCATGTAAATACCTGTCAGCGCCTAAGAACGTACTCCTCCAGAACTAATAGAGGAAAAACTCATGAAATGTATGGGATTTGTTGTTATTTCAATCATTATGGCACCTATTTGACGAATCTTTAGGATTCTCACCACGATTGAGGTTTGACGGGGTGCAGGTGTTTCCTGAGAGATCATAATAGAAAAGCAAGGTCACCCTACTTGCGATCGAACCTCAGTTCATTCGGTTCTCCTCAAAGTCTTCACTTCCCAATTTCCTTTTTTTCAAGGAAAATTCCCTATCAGTCTAAGTCCATCGCCTGGCCTCCTTTCATCAGATCTTCCTTAGCCAAGTCCTCCTCAAGCGCCTCTCCAACATCGGACATGTTCATATCAGAGTCGTCGGACATGTCCATATCAGAATGATCGGACATGTCCATGTAGGTATTATCTGACGGGTCGATATTGGAAGAGGAGGTCGCGATAGGGCTTGCAATGGCCTCTTCGTTCTCATCCTCCTTGCCCTCTTTTCCCTTCTCGTAATCTTCATCATCCGAGTCGTCCTTAGCGCCCTCAGGCAATGCAAAGAACAGATGGTCGACGTCCCACCAATCATCTCCCACAACCTCCAGGAACGTGTCGATGCTCTTTGCCGTAGCGCGGTGCTCGCTGATATCGAAAGGGGGGCGAGGGTTCTTGTGCCACTCGTGGCGGGACTTGGCGAGAGCGCAACAGAGGTGAATAAAGGGCATGGTATGGATCGGCGCTGCCCAGGGGGTATGTCGCTTAAGGGTCATGATTACAGCAATCGCACCACCCCATCCCTCTTGACACTGAATAATATGCGTCTGAAGAGCGGTAGTGAACATGTCGGCTAGAGCTTGGTCGACGGCATCTCGGTTCTGCTTTTTTGACACACTGTGGATTGTCTTGATGATTTCATGACGTTTCAGTGCAGACAAAATCTGACGATCTCTTTGCAATCGGACAAGGAGGTTTCCTTCGGGGTATCGCATTCCTGCGCGGGGCAAAAAGCCCATGAGACAATTCATAGATGGATCCATTATTAACAGGAGAAGAGATGAAGGTAGATGACACTAAGGTCATAGTACTGATTAAGGTGGTTGTGAAGAAAATCGTGTACTGACAAGATTTTCAGGGAGGGAAAAATATTCCAGGTTAATGGCGAATGTAATCAGTGGATGAGTTTTTTAAGATCCCGAGTCGTAGGTCAAAGTGGATTAAAAGGCGTTTAGCACAAAAAAGGAACAAGAAAAATAAATACGTTAAGAATTACTCGGGGTATCTCCAACATAGTGGTCGCTGCCTGGTTATGCATTTACTGAGGTACGACACCTTAGGGACTAGACATATAAGGGTAAATAAATGTTCTCTCACCAACGTCCCTCATTGCGAGGGACACTGTGGTCTAATGGTAAAGACACCTGACTCCAAAGATTAGGATTCACCGAAACCCCGGGTTCGATTCCAATGCTGCGCTACTCTTAGAAGATTTTAGGAGATGTCGGTTGTCCGTGCTGGCACCCCCGTTTGTGAAGTAGGAGTGATTAGTCACTCAGAATGGTCCAGCAACGCCTTCACGCACGACTAACGGTTCTGGGGGATTGTGGGCTCTGGGGGATGGTTCGAATCCAATGGCTTAGTACGAGGTCCTATGAAGGGAGTTGTTTTTTTTTACTACCTGCTACTACGGTCAACCACATCCTAACCTGGCCCCGGATTTTGAAAACTCGATATCCTTTGCCTACCGAGTGAGTTGCGGGTTATAAATTCAGAACAGTTTTCCTTTCCGTTGATGTTAAACCCTCTTTACTGTATTTCTCCTAGGTACTTAGAACTGGGTAATTTACTTAAAATTAATAAATGTTACCTCACCTTAGCAACGAAGTCGCACCCTCAACCCAAGATACATACAAAGCTAGCTCGGCACACGTAAATGTCGACTATAAATGATCTCTATACGTGCAAGGGCAGTATCCTCAGGAAATCTTTATATAAAGAGTTTTGTGAGATTACCATGCGTCTAGTTGCTAAACAAGTCACAAACAAGGTTATTTATCTAAATATTATGACTATCATAATTGGGTCATTCCAGTAATTGTCACTACCGATTTATGCTGAATTTCCTTATGCGAGGGCATCCGGTGAACCGACCCAAAGGCTCACAAGTCATGTTTGTCATATAGTAGGTAAGTAAATGAATACAAGTAATAGTAAGCAGTAGGTAGCGTTGAAGATCATGTGTCAAGGGCCTATTTTGTTGGGAAACTGGTAGCGAAGGGTCTAATAGGATCGGGGTTCGCCTAATAGAGACTTGTTGGCAGCTGGTCATAAACTATAGTAGACAATATACCATGATCTTATGTGTGTGGGTGATGGTGATTCAAAGCTCCTCGTGTAGAAATGTCGTTATTACCTCGTGTTATCGCCATTGTTCTTGATACAGTTTCCGGTCTTCTGTCAGGTTGGGGCGGCAAGTCAACGTGAGAGGTAGTAGGTAGGTAGCAAATGGGTAGAATAGTGACTAAAGTATCGCGCAACCCTCCTTAAATCTAGGGGAGGCGAAGCCTCCCTTATATATCTGCGGCCTAGCCGCTAGCTAGCCCCTGTCTCCACTTATGCCCCTGACATCTTCGGATATTTTAGCAATTATCCTACGATGTTGAAACTCTTCTTGAACTAAGAGACATGTACGGACTACACCGGGTCTTCCATAATTTTATTCCAGTTAGAAATGTCACGGACTCTACCGATATCACCTAGTATTAGATCAACATTATTTAGGGATGAGTGAAGGAAATTGACGCCTTTGAAGGACTTTTGCTGAACGACCTAGGTATCGCCCTACTAGAGTGCTGTCAGACTGCCTTTTTGGGGTAATGGCTATGTCCGCTTCTTCTAAGTTCACAATTATCCAGTCTAGTGAAAGGTCCCAGGGTTCCACGCCGTTGATGAATTGGTGGATGACTGTGGCTTTCTTACCGGTGATGGGTCTTGTGGTTCATAAGAGGGCTGGGGCACATCTTTTTCGTAGCACAGGAGTCATCTATAAGGTAGACGCGACTTCTTTACTAGGTGATGCCTTGTTAAGTATAATGCTTTCGTGACTAATTGCGCCGATTTAAAGACTAGATAAGGTAGAAGTAATAACCTCGGTGGGGTGTGGAGATACATGCGGGTATCGCTCGCCACCCTTCAAGAATATGCAAACACTAGATATGAGTACTAGAATGTCAAAGGTGGTATCACTTGCATTGCAGCATATTTACGAACTTAGAGGAAGGAAAGGATGTTTGACCCGTATCTGTGCCATAATGAACATCTCGAGCATCACAGCTTTTTCAAGGCCATTATCAATCTTCGGCACGGAGACTATCGTAGTAGCCCCAGAATCCTCGCCCATAGAATCACTCGAAGGTGGACGCGAGAAGACTTCGCCAGCCGGAATACGAGTTGGTCGCACATTACTAGAGGATATGTAGTTCAGGTAGCGGAAGGGAATCAATCGTTCGTATTTCGTTCCGAAACGTAGAAGCAGCGGTTTCATTTAACCGGCTCTATATGCAGTATCAAAAGCAATCCCATGCCGACCATACTGTCATGAATTCCCCTTGAACACCAATCCCGATCTAAACCGTGTCAGAAGAAGAGAGATTGATCATGTTCAAGGTAGACGACTTACCACCATCATGATTAAGGAACTTATCGAACGGGGCTCCAGACGCTCTTCAGGAGACCGTCGCGCTGGGCCAATCGGTTTAGAGCATCGTCGCTCTCGCCCATCGCTCGCACGAATCCGCAGAGGGCGTAGACGTGGTTCTCTCCCTGAATTTGTCGGCCATTCTCGTCAACCTTGGCGATGGAGATCTGGACGGAAGCGTGATCCTTGGCCTTGATGATGCGGTTGGTGGCGCTGCACTTGCGGGGGACGTAACTAGAGGATGAGAGAACTTCAATCAGCAGAATTCTTGAGCTTAGCCAGAGAATGGAAATTTAATATTTCTTACAGGTCCACAATCTCTCCCTTGTCGTTTTCCATCTTGGCAAACTGTCGACTTTGTCGTTTGAAATTGTCTTTGTGGTGATGGTGCTGGTGGTTGTAGAGCCGCAGACGGGTGGACGTGTCTTGTGGATGAGGTGAAGTGAATTGAAATTGGCCCAAGAAATTTTGACCCCTCGAAAAGAGTAAAGAGAAAAATGTGGTTTGGTGGGCGCAGGTCGTGGGGCGTGGGGCTTGTGCTCGGGTGTTAGTCACGTGAGACCAAGTCACATGCTTTCGAGTTGATTTCGTGGGTAAGCACAATAATCTTGGCACTGGACAAATCTGCCGATTACCGTTGATAACCGCGCGACGCGAATTACCTAATCCAAAGATAAACATCGTCATTGATCATTTAACTTCGACATCTCATTCTGTAAATACCTACCTACCTAAGTATCTATGTACAACGTATCCAACATGTGCATGCCTTGACAAATAAAAAACATTCGGCCAAGGTATTCACAATCGTGTCAATCAATAAGACCCTAGGTTGCGCTTGGCGCATACCAATTGCCTTGCGACTCAGATTCGCCATGTCTACAGCCGACGTCTTCCTGTCGTCTCCCGCCGGCCCTGCCAGATTGGACTCTGGCGCCATGTCCTCTTCTCCTGGCTTGCCTTCTCTTAATGAGATATTCGCCGATGGCTCTAAAAAGCCGCCTTTACAAAGCGGGAGCTATGTAGCACCAATACCCATTGATGCCCGAACTACGTTTACAAGTGCTGCAAGCCTATTGCGAGAAGCCCCCGAGATCGATTTAGAAACAGAGGAAATCACTATCTCACCACCGCGGAAGTCTAGTCTCAGTAAAGCGCGGAAGAAAAAGGCCCCAACACCGGTAACTACTAGTATACCAGCTGAGGCACCTATTCTAATCGAGTCATCACCAGCGGAAAAGCCGTGGCAGAAGTTCAAAAGCAAGAAGCCGGTCGCACAGGATAGGCAATCATCCACGTCGAAGGGCCGGGTTGCAAAGCCAACCACCAAAGGCAAGTCAAAAGGGAAAGTCGAGACTGTTTCTAGGCACTTCGCTACTAAGGAGAGTGTTGCGAGCGGCACGGAAGATAAATCGGATAATGATCCAAAAGCATACAAGCTAGGAAACCAGATTGCAAATGACCCTTGCTGCTCAGAACCAGCGCTTAGGCGACGAAGTGATTGGACACCACCACCAGTCGATAGCCCAATTATCGGATCTCAGTCAGATAGTCGAGAATTACCTTCACCAATTGATCGTGCGATGGGATCAAGGGATGTATTTCAATCCCTTCAGGATGAATATGGACACAAAACTACCCAGTCGACCTCGGCATCGGACAAGTCACAGCAGGTAGATATCATGAAGAAGCGCAAACAGATTGAGCTCGTCTCTATCAGCAGCGAAATTGGGCAGCGTCCAAGGGAAGCCTCCCCGCCTAAGAAAGTTGTAACGAAAAAGAAAACCAGGACGATCACCGAACTGGCAACTGCCCCGTACATGATGCAAATTGAACCCGAACTAGACCTTACAGGGCCAGCGACTAAAGAGTCCCTACTGAACTACTTCGACGAAGACGGTGCTGTCAAGGCTCTGGTCGAACACCAAACTGCTGTCATGTCCCAGAAGAAAGATAAGGTTAAAGAACCTAAGGCATCTGCAAAACCAAAACGCAAGAAGAAGTCCGGCACAGCGAATAACCCGATTCTCCTATCTCCTAGCTCTGCGCTGAAGCAATCTTATAACCAGGACTTCGTTTTCGGGACGTCGAGTCAGTTGGTGGCGGAAGAATCGCCAACCACCCTTAGAAACCTTCAACTAGCAATACAGGCCTCAAATCAAATCCACTCCGATCCGTTCGCCGAGTCTGATAGCCAGGGACTTTGGCATGCTGGCGCAAGAGATACTGATGGCGAATTAATGAAGATAGATGATGTAGAGCTCGTCGAGGATTTGTCTTCACTCCCACGACTTCGAAGGCAATCGCTACAACATCATGAAGAATTCACCGATATCAACGATATTTTAAAGTCGCCGGAGATCGGCAATCCAGAAAAACAAGTGCCGCAACCGAATTCCAGCATCTCTCAATCACAGGCTATCTCCAGTGCCCAGCCTCCCCAAACCGGTAACCAAGAGCATACGGAGCCACAGACTACGGCCGAGGCTTCTGATCCAAGACCAAATTATGAATCTTATACCGACGCGCAGCTTTCCAAGCAAATCGCCTCGTACGGGTTCAAGCCGGTGAAGAAACGTCAAGCCATGATCGCACTTCTCGACCAATGTTGGAGTAGTAAAAGCTCCGGAGCTTCAATTCCTCAGTCTAGACCGATATCTACGACGACCGCCACAGCCGCACCTAAGAAGAGGCAAAAGAAGACCATCGACCCGGATCCGGAGCCGGCAAATCCGCCGAAGCGACGCGGCCGTCCAAGGAAGACTTCAACAACGGAAACGTCCTCGACGGCTAAGGCTTCAGCGCCAAAACCTACCACCCCGAAGAAAGCTCGCGGCCGTTCTAAAAAGGGGGCTCTGAAACCCGTAGAGATCGCGGACTCAGACGGAGACGAAGACTCGGACGACGAGTCTTCGTCTTCGCGCATGTCCTCGCCGGATAGAGACCACCTCTTCTCCTCGCCGCCGGCAGTCGACCTGTCCCTCTCCGAAGACGCGGAAATGTCGCTCACGCTGTCGCCGACGGACGGGCAGACCGACTTGTTCAAGCACATCACGCGCGCGGTGACGTCGGCGCCCAGGTCCAAGGACCCCGCCAACCCGTCCTGGCACGAGAAGATGCTGCTGTACGATCCGATCGTGCTGGAGGACTTGGCGGCTTGGCTGAACGCGGGAGCGCTGGGCGGGGTCGGGTACGATGGAGAGGTCAGCCCGGAAGATGTGAAGAAGTGGTGTGAGTCGAAGAGTGTGATTTGTCTGTGGAGACAGAATCTTAGGGGTAGGGAGAGGAAGAGGTATTAAGTGGAGATGGTGCGGATGTGGAGTTAAAGGGGTAAAGGGATGGCAGTTGATACTTCCGCCCGGATCGTTCAAGACTCAGGAGCGGGTGTCTAGAAAGGGGCATAGGTACATACTGCCTACCCCTCGAGTACATGAATATTATTAGGCCACTTCTGGGTCTATGTCAACAATGAATTAAGAATGATGAAACTTAAACGCTTGAGCAATGGACCGGGGATTGTCTTTAGACTTGGTCTTGCTTTCAAATGGGGCTAATTTCTTTCGGTGTTACTAGGCAAACTTCTGCACACGAGTGAGTATATCATATTCCACAAGGCATAACGGGAGCTTAATATTCATCGAGTTGCTAATTACCTTATAGAGCCTTTATTCCAATTTATATGGCATTTTTTCTATCTTACATATTCTCTTATTCTAATTTAGATCTTGGTATTTAATTTAGCTTTCTAGTAACGACATGGCGTTCATGCGAAGTACAAACGATAATGCTTACGAGATTAGTCGCAAATAAACGAGAGTCTCATTTCCGCCGGGCGATTTGAGGTGAATGAAGGTTGGGAGACAGACATGGCGTCGTCTTCCCAGTCTCCTGCGCCCGCGCCTGCGTCGCTGCATATGTCCATCGCCATATCCGGGTCAGTGTCGTTATCCACGTCCATCGTCATATCTGTGTCTGTCTCCTTATCAATGTCCATGTTAGTATGTTCTAAAGCAGCTGGATAGAAGGCAAGACCTAGGTTATCCGACTCTCGAGGTGTTGTAGTAACTGTACCTTGGACGTTACCTTCAGGGTTCTCGGACCTTTGAGCATTTTTTAACTCTTCTCTTTCTTGCTTAAGACGAAGCCTACCCAACCTAGCGATTTTCCTGCCTCTTTCACGTGCATTAGTTAGGTGCTTAAGGCAGTACGCTTTACTTTCTGAAGCCCGCGGCTGATTACAACATGTACAAAGGCCCTTCGCCCGCCGACTCTCACGAAGTTTACGGTTCTGGAGGGCTTTGTGTTCTAGGTGTCGCTTGCACATCGTTGCATCTTCGACAGGTAGCTCTTGACAAGCCGTAAAAGAGCATACGCTGAACCCATTAGAGGCGGTATATCGGTAAGATTTGTTGGCTTCATTTCTACGTTTTGCGTGTTTAGGACATCTGAGTATGCCGGGAGCACTTGGTTCGTTGCAACGTCCTTCCATACACACACCTCCCTCTCTAGCCCTTTGGGTTCTGATAACGTAGTTTTCCCGAGCCCGCTCAGCATGATAGAGGCATATTTTTCGATTTTCCGGAACCGGGTTATAGCATCCTTCTGTAGAGCACACAATTCCCGGATTTTCCAAGTGTGCCTCGCATTTTATTTCGTTTTCGAAACGCGGTTCATAACATTCCGTGTAGCAGCATAACCGTAATCTTCTTTTTCGTTTACGTTCTGCAATAGCGTCCTCCAACTCTTTCTCATGATAAGCACATCTGAAACTGTCAAGAGCAGGTGGGTTTTCGCAAAGGCTCCGTATGCAAACGTGCAATGCAGGCTCCGAAGGCGTTGCTTGTAGTATTGAAGGATCCATGTTTTTCATAAATTGCGGTTGAATCGAACTTTGAAAAGCTCAACTCCAGTTCCTTTGTTAATCTATTGTGCAATCTGTTCTATGGCGAGCTTGTGTATAGATACCCATATATATTCATTACGGACCTTCCATTGTTTCCTAATTCTTTGTTTAAACAGCAGGAATCTTTGTAAACAAGGATGTTGTTAGGCATGTACCTTTTCCGTTGATTATCATGGACATTGTTCAACGTCTTCTTGATGGTGTCTAGCGTGTCAATAGTAACAAATCTATACCTACCTACCTAGTAATTTATTTACAGGGGCATTTTGAGGGTTGATTATATGGATGGAAGCGTGTGTAAATGGGGTGTAAGTACGTAATGAAGAACACGAACTGAATTATAATACTGGAAACCCCCGCCCCCGCCTTTGAGTTCTTTCAATTGCGCCCGCCGTGCACACTTAGCACTAAATCCGCACATCTTCGGTCATGAGATTATCCTCCTAAATTGCCTTCCCCAATGGTAAAACTTTCAGTAAAGTTTATTCTCATTTGTTATTTTCATTTCTTTTTTTTATTGTTGAATCCTCTTTTTGATGAAGACCTACAGTTAACGTTCAGGAGTGTTGTGATAATTAGGGGCTGATTAGGTAATCATAGAAGGTACTAGGTAGGCGTAGGCAAGGATTCTCTAGGCGTTAGGCGTATTTTCTGGACCTCGGCAATATCACATCCTCGCGAATTGGTGGTCTCCTCCTTTCACGCTCGTAATGTAACTGGATGCTCAAACTATGACACGGAGATGTCTTTAGGTTCTCCATATCAGTATAATTTAGCAACAAGGAATATTGCACTCTTCCAGACTAATTTTCTCTTAACCAGAGATGTTTTTCGATTGATCGGAAGTTGCCGATCTGTCTCATCTCACTCAGCCCCAGCTGTCCCAGGAGCACCGGTGCGGGTGTGCGAAGGACTAAGGCTTATTAGTATCTGTTCTAAAAGACCGAACAGGGCTTCAAGCTATAATACTCAGTATCCCGCAATGTCGAGGAAGACACATACATTATCAGATTCAAGAAAAGACAAGAAACCCCAAGCCCCGCGACCGAGCACAAGCGTCGTTCTCTTGTCACCCGAGAACCAAGTTTTATTGCTGCATAGGGTACAAACCTCATCCTCCTTTCCCTCCGCCCACGTCTTTCCGGGCGGGAACCTTTCCGATTTCCATGATGGATCTATTCCCGGTCCAGATGATGTCAAGCGACATGAGGACTCGCTCCCTTACAGACTCGGCGCGATCCGAGAGACATTTGAAGAGAGCGGCATATTAATTGCCCGTGAAGGAGATGCAGATGGGAATCATTTAAATGTTTCTAGTGCCGAGTGCGACCAAGCGCGTAAAGAAATTTACAAAAATGAAGTTCGCTTCGTCGAATGGCTGCGGAGTATAGGGGGAGTTGCGGATACAGGTACTAATCATCAACCACAAACACGAATGTCCCATCTCTATGTTTAGTAAACTAACTAGAAGACAGATAATCTTATTCCTTTCACCAGATGGATAACGCCTAATAATCAACCCCGACGATATACTACTCAGATGTATCTTTACATGCTCCCTCTCTCTATTAGCGACGATCCGGTCATATCGGCTGCGCAATCTGAGGCCATAATTCCAACACCTGACGGCGGCGTCGAGATCACCGCAGCACGCTTTGACTATGCTAGCTCGTGGCTAGAGAAGCAGCGAAAAGGCGAGATTGTCCTATTCCCACCCCAGTGCTTTCTACTCCATCTGCTTGCGCAATTCTTAGTTGGGCCACCTCCAGGATCGCTAAGTCCCTCCGAACTAACGGATTACTACCGTTCTCAGAGGGAGAAGCTCAGAGGTTTTCTCGCGACAGTACCGACTGCGAGCGAGCCGAAGGCCGTGAAGCATTCTACTGCCCAAATCCCTTGGGGGGATAAAGCGATCAGCCCTCATGTGTTAGGCATACGGAAAAGTGACAAGAGATCCATATTAGGACTTGAAAAGCCTGGTCCTGAGCTGAAAGAGACTGATCGGGGCGGTGATTGGGAGAGGGTTGTGCTCGTAAAGTTTGACAAGGGCGTAGCGAGGGAGGTTGAGGTCAGAAGTAGGGAAGAAGTGCTTGCGGAAGAGAGGCGACTAGAGAATTCAGCCAAGGAGACGAAACTGTAATTGAGGCATTTTCGTAGCTACTGATACCTTTGGGACCTGTAATGCCCATTGTTGTGAGTGGATACTTGATCGATATGTAACCTCTGATACGGGGTCACGTCACGATACACATACTACTAGTTAGATACCCGCAAGATGTGGAAAATCGTAATTTTTACAGCCAGTGTTATATGTAACTCTGCGATTATGCCTGATGATGAGCTGTGAACTGGAGTATATGTCTAGGTAAGCCCTAGCAAGGTTGATTGTAGAGGCTTGTTACTCAGATACTGCGCCACCTTGCAAACACCTTCAAGTTGAATGGGAACAGGCTAAGCCCTCCGAACTTATAAACGAAACAAAAACCTAGCCAATGTCCAATTTGAACATCAAGCTTTACTAGAGATCTTCCCTTAGTCGCGACCTTGAACTACGCCAAGGTCCTTGACTAACATAAAACTGCTTGTATCCGAGGGTATCTAGCCCTTTTCCACACACAGTACACGATCTCTATATACACTGTACCACAGCGACCGCCGGTAACCGTAAGCGAGCAGAACTTCGCCGGATCCGTTTTTCGGCTCACTCACCATCGATTTAAGTAACAGCAAAGCAAAGCCGACAGCATCCCGATTCATTCCCGAAAACTTATAGTCATGGCAACGAATTCACCTCCGTATCACGTGCGGGTCGGTGTAGCGGCTCTGGTCCGCGACTCGGAGGGGAAGTTCGTCTTCGGGAAGCGGAAGGGCAGCCACGGCGCCGGTACGTGCCTTCCTCCTTAACCCGTGCACCTCCGAACTACCAAGTACTTCGTTATCTATCGCATAATACATGATCAATCGCACTTACGTTGATAGAATATGTATGCGTGAATAATGACATACTAATCGTGATGAAAATAGGCTCGTGGCAGTTCCCTGGCGGACACCTAGAGATGGGCGAATCGCTATTCGCGTGCGCGGAGCGAGAGACGCTCGAGGAGACGGGCTTGAAGGTCATTGCAGAAAAGGTGATCACCGTGACGAACGACGTGTTCGACCCGGAGACCAAGCACTACATCACCGTGTTCGTTATGTGTCGAAGAGTGAACGAGAATGATCAGCCAGAGGTACGTAATATCACGCAACTCCATGTAGTTGGATGATTCTTCCGTAAACTAGTACGGTCGACTAATGGAAACAGACCGTGGAGCCGGAGAAGTGCGAGGGTTGGCATTGGATAGGCTGGGATCAGATACGCCAGTGGTGTGAGCACCATGATGATGAGGCTACGCCGGAGTGGGCACAAAATAAGTGCTTCTTGCCTATCAGAGACCTGGTGAAGGATAATCCACACATAAATCTCTCTGCCCCCTGAGTATTGATGGATGCAGAAGTTGGAGTGGTGAAATTAAGTGATTATCAGAGAAGAGCCTATAGTTAACTAGGTAGCCAGACTCATGATTATGGCATTTAAATAGATACGCTTGATGTTTTTCTAAATGTCCTGAATCTTGTATCATATTAGGCCTTGGTTTGCGTCCCTGACTGCCTGTAAGACCTATTAAGAGGTGACGACTCGTACGTTTATTTCTGACTATAGACTACTCTCGATCTTCGCCAATTCAGCTGTCTCAGCCGCAATAGCCTTCTTGGCTGCATCGGTAGGCTCGATGTATGGTCGCCGCGGCTTTAACTTCTTAACTGCACCCTCAATGCCCGCCGCTCTTGCTGTGTGAATTGCAACCCCATATTTCGTTGCAGCAATGCCGGCCTTAGTAGCTTGCTCAGCCAATGCAGTCTTTTGTTGCAGCGCTAAAGCCTCTTGATATTTCCCTTCTTTGTACAGCTTGTAGACGTGTGAGATAGTCTTAGGGAATACGTTGCCAAAGCCGGCAATACATCCTGCAGAGCCCACGCTGAGACCGCCAATCAAGAAGTCGGACTGTCCCCCGAAAGTTGCGAAACGCTCCGACGGGAGTTCTGCGGCAAGTCGTGTGACCTTGGCTACGGAGCCGCAGGTTAGCTTCACGCCAACAATATTGCTGTACGTTTTTGCCAGTTTAGAAATAGTTGCAGAGTCTAGATCAACGCCGTTGCAAACGCCCGGGAAGTTGTATATCACCACGGGAAGGGGACTCTTGGTAGCGACGTCCGCGTAGAAGTTCTCGATTACGGCGGGAGTAGTGAGTTTACCGAAGTAGGCTGGGGGTAGAACTAGAACGTAGTTGGCGCCGGCCTCGGCAGCATCGGCGATGAACTCCAGGACCTGACGAGTAGAATGACCGCCGGTGCCCGCCATGATTGGATAATCCGGCCCCACTGCTTTACGGGCGGTTGCAAGTAGCGTCTTCCGCTCCTCGCGGGTCAGAAGAAACGTCTCGGCATTGGTTCCCAAGATGACAAGCCCGGTAAGGCCAGACTTGGAGAGGTAGGAGTAGTAGGTTGCTTGAGATTCAGTATCTAGGGTATCAGTCTCGGGGTTAAAAAAGCTAACGGCTGGGGCCCAAACGCCGCTTGGGGGGACCTTGGGAAAAGACATTGCAATCTATATTCCAATATGTAATATTCCTTATTGAACAACGTCTAATTCTTCTTCTTCTTCTTACACACATAGTTAGACGAATGAGGTTGATGGCTTCTATAATATACATAGGAGATCGGGTAGCCCCACGATAGACCGCGTGGGGTCGTCGGCTGCGTCGCTTCGGTATATTGGAGCCGAGGGGACGTCTGTTGACCATAAAGTTCCGTCCTCGGCGTGATTCCTGGGGAAACCAATAGGAATACTGATTCCAAGTTCCCACTATAACCCGCGAAGACGAAGCTTGCGCTCCTATAGTAGTCTTATTTCCCGAATCCTAGTGGGCTTAGTCTGGCCATCCATAGAGTGACACGATGAAAAAGACAAGAGCGTCGGTTGACATAAGTCACTGAACTTTAGTATTTTCTGTCTTTTGTAACCTTGAGATTATAAGTCAATCTGGCAATCTCTCACACCTTGCTCAAAGTGTTAACTTGGTAACATCGGTATTAATACTTGTTGGCCCTGGGTGGATATGAACAGAGCATAGAAAGGTATGTTAGAAAGACCCCAAAAAGTAGGTATTGCTCGGAAATTCTTATCGAACATCTCTTTAGGATGTATGGTTCCTATCGCTTCATTTTGAAACACTGGCAACATTGGTCATTAGTCGACAGCAACAATAAGTTTAAGACGAATACGTTTGGGAAGAGAAAAGTGGAATGCGGAATGCGGAATGCGGAACGGAACCTTGGTTCGATGAGGTAATTTGTCTCGGGTAATATTCGGCAATTACAACAAACCACCCCGCTTATGCAAATGCACATTTCTTGCATATCAAGATCGGTCCCGTACCTAATGCAGGCGCGAGTCATGCGCATCTCGTCGAACGCTGTACAATGTACATCCTTAGTCTCTACCTCTACCTCTAACTTCTACCTCCATACCACGCCAATGATCCCCTCTTAGCACTTACAACAGGAAGACTACGCGTCGCAGTCACCTATGGGCTGATTTGAGTTGTCGCGATCATCTCTCTACGAGAATCATGAAGCTACTGACTTCAAGAGCTGCAGTGGCCAAGCGGCGCCATCGACGACATGTATAACCAACATAGGATCATGAGGAGGCTACTCGGCCGACAGAACGTCGATGCCCCGAACGATGGAAATCTCGGTGTCACCAGTTCGCCGGCTGCCCAATCCTACCGACCTAGTGCTTCTCAAGACGCGCTATATCCCTCCGCCGTACCCGTAGCTTGTCTCGATAGGTCTGCTGACGGTCAGACTGCCGTCCTAGGAGGTCGCCACATCCTTAAGACTATCCATTTCGATGGCCTGCGTATAAAGGAGGGTGTCGATATACGTTCCGTCATTACCGCCCAGTTTGCGAACAAGACCAACGCCGCCAGTGTGGCGTCAGACCAATTATCGATCAAAGACGTGAAGCTAGCATCGAACCATGGGAACGACCTAACCGCCTTCACTGCATGCGCAAATGGGAAGATCTTTATGTACGATATAAGCCGCTTGGGATTGGGAGCTGGACTTGAGTTTATTCAAACCAGGGAAGATTCGCGACAGGTGAACACCCTCGATTTCAATCCCCATAGGGGAACATGGTTGTTATCAGGTGGCCAGGATGGGACCGTGCGCTGTTTCGATGTGAAGGCCCCGATAGCAGGACGGACTGGCCCGACGTTCCGGACTTTTCAAGCTTTCCGCTGCAATGCCGACGGAATTAGCGACGTGAAATGGTCGCCCAAGGACGGCATGGTTTTCGCCTGCGCCACAGACTCCGGTGTCGTGTTAAAATGGGATATCCGGAAGTCCACAGCTCCTCTTTTAAAGATCAATGCCCATGATACTCAGAAAGGAGCCTCCTCGATTTCATGGCACGCTGACGGTGATCACCTGATTAGTGCTGGATTGGACAGCAAATGCTATGTCTGGGACTTGTCTAAGAATGCTGAGAAGAGACAGAAGCCAAAATACACCATCAATGCTCCGGCTCCCGTAACAACCGTGGCGTGGCGACCTGGCCTCTGGTCAGCCACTGCGCAAGGACGTCGAGCTGCCCAGGTTGCCGTCACGTACGACGAAGGCGGGCACGTCAAGAAGTACGGTATCAGCTCAGTGCATGTTTGGGACCTAGCACGTCCAACAATGCCATACAAGGAGATAGACATATTTGAGAATTCACCAAATGCTCTGCTCTGGCACGACCAAGACTTGTTATGGACTGCGGGCCCCGATGGTTTCGCTCAATGCGACGTCGCATTCGCCCCTAAAGTCATAGACCGCCAGCCACTTTCGAGTGTAGCTTTCTCCGCTCGAGGAGAAGCGTTAATGTTTCTCGAAGAAAGGGTACACGTACCTCGACCGCGTCCGACGCTCCTAGCACACCAAGGACTACCTAGTTCGTCATATAGCTCTAGCCCCACTGGCCAGGTGCTTAGTATCAGTCGTAGCGACTCTGAAGAAGACGTGGTCGGAAGTTTCCTTGGCACAAGACGACGTCCAGCCGACAAGCGTCGAGCAGCCGCCAGACCAGCCAATTCCTTGAGTACAACCCCCCCTTCTGGCCCTGGCGTGGAGGACCAAGTCATTCCTTTAGACCAAGCAATGAAAGTAACCGGGCCCTTTAGACCACATCAGGTCATGGCGATTGGTCAAATTCCCGCGGCCCCAAAATTGCATTTATACCGCTATCTATCCAGACATTATCTGGAGATTCTTGAGCGGGATCTTCCATATGATGAAGGGGCAAAGCCGTTGAATGAAAGGGTAACTGGAATCATCGAACAGTATGCTCGCGCTTCTGAAAGTGTCAGCCAATTTCGACTAGCACAGACATGGCGTATATTGTCTTACGCTATTAACCTGCTTCTAACTCGAAGGTCTCAATATCATTTAGAGCAACGCTTGGTTCGCCGTGATAAGCCAAATCTAACCATGAACGAAGTTGCTCGCGATACTAGGTCGGCACTCTCCAAAGCAGCGATGTCACCACGTTTGAAAATTGATGGGGAAGAAACACCGAGGAAGCCGCCCTCCATAGCATCTCTTGAAAATCGACCAACCCTTGCGAAATCATTACTTGCCGAAGAGATGGATAGCGAATCCAACGTGCCTACACCACTAGCTCGACCGGTTAAGGAGGATACTGGCGACTACTTTCCGCATACCAGCGGGAGGACGTTAACTCCTGTCTTTGAGATCGGAAGTTTCAATTTACCACCCGGTGTACTGCCAGAGCACTTGAGTCCACGGAAACGACTTAACTCCACCGCCCTTTCGACGATAAGTCAAGAGAGCCAGAGATCAAGTACTGAAGGATACGATTTCTATGATTTGGAGGCTGTTGCAAATATCCCAAGAGCGATAGACGTCCCAAGGAAAAAGGAACCGATAATCGACTACCGGGGACCAGATTCTCCAAATAGACGAAAACCCATAACAAGGCAGGATTCGGAAGAAAGTTACGGTCAAATCTTTTCTATATCGGATTCTAGCAGACAAACGTCCATTCTTACCGGTTCGTCTAGCGAAAGTGCTCGTCAATTGGCTAGGAGGATAGAACTCAACAGGGGCGATTCGGGAGGGATAGAGACAGAATATGGGAGTAGAATTAGGGGTAAATTGATTTTGGAGTCACCAGAAAATACTCCAAGATACCCCATCCGACAGCGAGTGGAACGGCAGGATTCGGATACTTTAACGGAAGAATTAAGAATAACTCAGGCGTCTACCGATACCATGGATAGCGATCCACTGGAGCAAATCAATGAACACCCTTCTATGGAATACTTGGCTCCAGAAACAGGTTTGCCGTCAAAACTAGCCCAGGAATACTCTGCTATAGACCAACCCGAAGACCACCCGTCGCCAGATATTACAGAGACCGATTATCTCCCTTGGGAAGACGACCCTCCCTATCCACATCCACTGGCGGGAAAAGATAACACGAGAACACCCATTCCTCCCATCAACCCCTACGACGTCCTATCGAGAGCCTTGTCTTTCGAGTCTAAGCACTCCGCCCTAAACGCCTCTGCCATCGTCCTACTCCTCAAGCCTCTCGTCCCGGACGACGTAATAGACTCTTACCAAGCAGCCGCCATCCTCCGTCAACACCACAACCGGCTCATGAGCATGAAACTATTCGTCGAAGCAGCTCTATTACGTAATCTATGCGTTCGCGGCTGGCCAGACGGCCTGGAGCTCTGGGGCGACAATTACACGGCAGTGTTCGCTCCGGCGCAGGATCGGGTCTCGGCGGCTTTCGTGTGCGCACAATGCCATAAACCGCGTGAAATCGATAGGTCGAAAGTGGATGGTCCGGGTATATGGAAGTGCGAGCGCTGCCGTGCTGTTATGGCGCCGTGTGCCGTGTGCGGGCACAGGGATGCGACGGCGGACGCGGTGCCGGTCAGAGAAGGCCTAACGACGGCGGCGGCTGATGAGCCGATCTTATCGACGTGGTGGTACTGCCCCGGCTGCTCTCACGGAGGACACGCGAATTGTCTCCAAGACTGGCACGCGCCTGTCGCGCCAAGGGAGGGTATTTCCGCGTCCGCCCCCATCTCGCCGATCTTCCCCATCGACCCCCCCTTTCCCGAGACCGAAAGCGACGGCTGCTGCCCCTTCGACGGATGCGGCCACGCGTGTCTGCCGGGCAAGTGGCGCAACGAGAGCAGCACGGCGCGGATGGAGGAGCTCGGCCGCGTCGTCCGCGAACACACCCGCGGGAGCGTGTCTAGCGTCGCCTCGGGCCTCAAAAGGGGCGCCGCGGCTGGTGGAAAAGAAAGGAAAGGCAGCACGGCTACTACCGCGTCGTCTATTGGTACGACGCCCGTCAACGCGATCAGGGGAGACGCTATCGAGGTCCCGCAGAGCAAGGCCGTGGAAAGCGTAAGAGAAGCGCTGTCTGCTGCGGATATCGGCGGTGGCGGCGGTTCCGCGAGCGCGGGGAGCGCGAGTGCTGGGAGTAATAGCGCCGGAGGAGGTGGCGGCGCTGGTGGCTTGCTGTCGAGTATACTGAGCTCGAGTCCCGGACGCGCGGCCACGAGTGCGGTTGTGGGGAGCGGGTCTGAGAGGAGGAAGAGCGTTAAATTTGCGGGGACGCCGGGGAGTGGGGAGAGGCGGTAGAGTGGAGGAGCGGAGGAGGGAAGTGAGTATATAAGCATCGAGAGTGTGAGTTATTACGTACGGGTTCGATCCGGGGGGGTATGGAGTACGTCGAGTCTGCATTGTTAAGGCGGCATTGCATTGCATTGTATTACATTAGCATTACCTAGGTTGCATGGGAAGAACGAAGGGAGGTTGTGGTTTGGTGTGTTTGTATGTTTAGTACTTTCGTGGTCTTTTTATACCCTGGGGACGGTAGATGACGGCGAGCGAGTACGAGCTCGCGGATGTCGTCTGGATAAGTGGTTGGTTGGTTGGGTGCTTATTGGCTGGCTTGTACGATTAGTAGAACAGAGAGGAGAGTCAGATATGTATGTTTATCTATGATGGCTGCTTAGACGAGCGTGGCTCGGGTTAATGAATGGAAATGGAAAGCTATCCAAGTTCTCTGGATTTGCTTTCAACACCAAAAAGTGCACACACGACATATCTTGCAGAAGAAAGGGTTGCGGAAAATAGTAATTTCAATTATCATCCTCATCTACGCCAGCTCATCTCAGCCTCCTCATTTTGACTCTCCTCTCTAAGGGGTATCTCTTTCAACTCAACTACGGGACGTACTACGTGTCTTCAAGTATCCTTGCTTGCTCTCATCTCAACATCTCAGCTTACCTCTCTTTAAGCAATGCCCCATCACTTAATGACTCAACCTCTCAAGCATGCGCACCGACATTCTCCCTCAATCCCTTCGTCCTGAGCGTAAGTTTCGTATCGCCCTCGTCAAACGGGAGTCCTATACCCCCAGCACTCGCTAGACTCGACGGCCCATCAACGATGCCGTTTCCATTCCCATTAATCTCGCCTTCGCTTTTCCCCTCTCTCCCCCTCTCCCTACTCGCACTACGACCAGCCCCAGGCCCAAAACTAACTCCAGGACTAAGCAGGCCTCCAACCCCGGCCCCAGTCCCAGTAACCTTCCCCATCAACGTATCCCTCTGCCTGCCGCCCTGGGCCTCGCTATCCGCGCTGCCGGGCCTACTCCTACTCCCCGCCGTACTTATACTCGCGCCATCATCCGCCACGCCCTTGCCCTTCAACCTCCCGGCCCACAACCCCCTAACACCACCCCTCTTCCGCTCGGGAACCTCGTCGCGGCCCGCGCTGCAGACGTACAGGAGGTACTTCAGGTTCGGCAGGGTATGTCTAATATCCACGACCTTCAAGCCAGCCGCCACGCACAGGGCCTCGATATCCTTATTCAGGAGGAACCAGGCGTAATCGAAGCGGTACTGCGCCGTGGCGCCGCCCCTTAGGAAGAGCGGGAACTCGCGCTGCGAGTCGGGCAGCAGCGAGATGTCGTCGCGCACGCTGCTGCGCGAGCCGAACGGCGCGACGGCGTACGGCAGCGGCACCGAGAGGTAGAACTGCAGCGCGTGCGCGAGCTGCGCGACGTAGCCGAGCGCCGCCGACAGCGAGTCCTCCGTCGACGACGACGACGTCGGGTCGTAGTCCGTGTTGGGCAGCGGCACGCCGCAGATGTGGAAGGAGAGCGCGGCGCCCGACGGCGCCGGCGCGATCGGGAAGATGTGCGCCAGGTCCTCGCATATGCGGCGCCGCTGGCCGTGGATGGCCTCCCGCGCCGACGCTAGCAGCGCCCGCGACGCCGGCAGCTTGGACTGCGCGTGCCTGACGTCCTCGCTCGCCTTGGCTTGCGCGGCGCGGCCCTCCTGGATGGCGGTGCGGCGGGCCGCGATCGAGGCTTGCAAGTCCGCGCGCCGGGTTTGTGCGGCCCGGAGGGTGCGGGTCTGGGCGGTGACGTATTTCGCGGCGAGAGAGGCGGATTCTTGGGCCTGGGGGACGGCGTCAGGGGGCGTGCGTTCGAGGATCGAGTTAATCTGCGCGGTTAGGGCTTCTCGGGTCGCTAGGGCGTCTTGGATGGAGTTGTCGAGGTTGGAAAGCTTCATCAGCGCGTTGTACGAGGAGGTTGGTAGGGCAGGTGATTGTTTGGGCTCGGGCCGTTTGCTCGAGAGCTCGAAGGAGTAAATGCCATCGATAAGGTGAAATACGAGACAATTAGGTGGGAATTGGTAGTTTTGTAAACTCCCGAGATAGTTCAAGGAGCGAAGATCGACATTTTCGGTGAGTAGTAAGCTCCAGGAAAGCTGTCTCTTGGCCCATATCTTTATTACGAATTGGGATTTTCTCGTGATGGACGGCCCGGCTTGGGATAGATCAAAGAAGCGGAAGTTGAAGTTGATAGCTCGCTCACCCACTTCGCTGATGTATACCGGATCTTCCTTAGCCCCCTCGCAATGCAGCGAGAAGAACACGTCGGCGGCTCTACCCTCGACGGTGTACTCTAGCTGCTTCTGGCGCGTGATAGGGTTCGCTCCAGCCAGGGTAGTGGTGCTACGGCGGCGTGCATTGGCTTTCGTCGTATGCAGCAAGCTCTCGGAGGAATGGGCATGGTGAAGCAGCTGTGGCGGCGATGGGCCATCGTGTAGAGCTTGGGATTTGGTGGAAGGGAGGTCGGCCTCAAGATCGTCGGCAGCTCTGCCGTAGGGCCGGGTAAAGCTCAGGTTTCGAAGGTAGATTCCTTGGAGATGCCGCAGGCGCCTATTCTGTGGCAGCATTATGACGACTGGGATAGTTGCAGTATTTGTGCTGCTGCGTGGGCAGCGAGCGCACGGGGAAAGCTCATGGGTGGATAGATGAAGGTGGGAAGTTGGTTATTTGGCGATGACGAATTGGTGCCGCGGAACAATCGAGCTAAGGTTTAGTACAACATTCGAACTTCAGAACAGCTGTCATGTGACTAGACTAGCGCATATACTACCAGAGATTACTAGAGCTGTATCATCCTAAGAATTTAGACCTTATCAATTACTATTCTGAACTTCATAGCACTTCTTGCTACAACAGCAGTAGAAAACAGATTTCGCGCACGAACTACGTAGAAACTAGAGAGATTACCTAAGGTGCTTGCTAAATCAACAGAACCTAGGTATTTTTCAACGGGTGGACATGGGAGCATAAGCCGCAGGACACACTAAAGGCTACTAATCCTAAATAAGTAATATTAAAACGGGTACTAAAGCTGCACACGAAAGGAAGCATAAACCGCAAAGAACGCTAAGAGCCACTAACCTAAATGGGCATAGTAGTTATTTCCTAATCGGGACAGAAACCCTAGAAAAGGTGGAAGTTGATAAAAAAGGTGATACATAATAACCTGAGTAAAACTCAGGCACACAACCTATCCCTTTAGGTGGCATAAGACTACGGTCTCCACAAAACCGGTAACTGCCCTACATCGGCGATAGTGCAGGCCCTTTTAGCCTGTACAGAGTAAGCGTTGAAGCTCTCATAGTGATCTTCAGAGGCATCTAACCAACTACCTACGTAGAAGTAAGCTTTTATGGGTGCCAGTGGAACTCAGGGGTTGCTGGAGGTACAACTACTAATCGTGGCTGAGCTGTAGTCTTATGCCAACTACCTACACTAAAGGGATACATAATATAATACTATCTAACTAACCTAACCTGAAACCTGGCTCGAAGAACTGAACCTGAAATGAATGAAGTGAACTGAATAAAACTCAGGTACATTTATAAGCCGATTTCCTTGTCTTCGCGGTAGAGATCACATCACCCCTGTCGCTTCCTTAACGGGTTGTATTTTAGCGCCAGCCTTATGAGTCGTATTCCAAAATTCCCTCACTCCAATATCAAAATCAGACGCACTCTTGCGGCTCGGCGCGTTATCCAAAGCCAATATATATGAAATTGTGTGACACACCTTCGTACGCCCCTCTACTAGGTACCTGAAGAAGGCTGGATTATAGTGTGAAGATCACACCGCTATCTTGCCCAACCACCTCTCTAGATCGGCCATAACACCCTCTCCAAGGGTCACATCGAGGACACAGTCCTGCCAGCTACCTCCAACGCATAGTTTTTCGCCCGCGGCTGTCATGGGCGAGATCATCAAGGCCGCGGCAGGGACCTCTGCGCTCAAGGCAAACTGTGCGCGGCGGACCCCCCACTGGGTCTGCTCGCCTTTCGAGGCTGTTGCCCCGGTTTCAGAGGCCGAGCCGCCACCCAGCACGCCAAGTCCAGTAATCATCCAGGAAGCCTCCCGCGGCATGCGTGTGGCCTTCTTCTGCTGAGCTCTCCAGTCCTTGACAAATTTCAATGTTCCCACCACGTCATTCTTGAGTCCTAGCTCCAGCTTTTTCACTATCTCCCCTCGAACCTTGACAGCCGCGTCCCAGATCAGGCTCGTGAGCCCGTTCGACAATGAGACCTCCCCGGCTTCATGGGATGACGAAACAGCGAGACGGACCTTGGCCACCAGCTCCGGGTTAAATGAATGATGCAGCTGCGTCACAAAATTGCCCATGGTTCGCTCCGGCTCCAGCCAGGGGTAGCCGGGTGGTGCCAAAGGCACGAATCGTCGAATGTTTATGGTCGTCGCAGCCTGAAATCCGGGTGCAACTCTCCTTTCTAGACGCGAGGCGAGGGAGACAAGCACCAGGCCGTGAAAAAGGCCCGTCAGCGTCGTACGGTGACGACCACATGCTTCCAACACCCTGGAGAGGACAGTATTCTCGATGGTAAAGGCTCGAAACTGCGTCTTATAAGGTAATGGAGTGATGGGAGCCCAATGAGCTAGGATCGGGCTTTTGCGCAACATTCGCGGCGTATTGTCTTCTAACAGTGCCTTAGCGAGATACTTTATCTCTAGTGGAAGTCCCATAATTTGCTCGATAGGCGGAGGCAGTTTTGTAGGGGTGGCAGGAAGTGTTAGAGTGTTCGCATCCAGGTCCTGGTGTTCGTTGCTCCCACCTCTAGCATTAAGAAATTGGATCAAGGTTTGGTGGAAGATTTTGCCGCTCATGCCATCGCAATGTGGGTGATTCCAAGTAAACAAAATCTCGAGAAAATCGGTTCCGTCTTGATACAAGACCACTATCTTCCAACCTGGTTGTTTGTCAAGGTCGGGGAAAGTGGCGTCAAGCTGAGACGTAGTCAGTTCTTGCAATGTAGCCTCGAAATCCGCCGAAGCGTCGAGGAACTGCCACTTGACGTGCTGACGCAGGTCGAGGCTGTCTAGCTTAACAAAGATAGGCTGAGCAGAGTCTGCATTGGCAATGCCAACTTGCAAAACGGGATGCTTAAGGACATTGTCGGCGATAGAAGCCTGAACAACCTCTACAAGTCTCGTTCGTTGAGCTAGGCCTCTTAGCGTTGGAGGTATCACATAGCGGCAAGCCACAGATGTGCCGCGATACTGATTCAAAATGTACAATGCCAGCTGATAGCTCTCGCTATATTTTCCATCAGTATTAACACTATTACTAGGATGCGAGAGCACAAACTTGTTCCCGAGTTTTCGGAGGAGCTTAGGATCCTCGACGACTTGGCCCGAATTCTTCGACTTGTGCATGGTGGTTAGTGATGCATAGAACTATTGCCAACAAGCGGACCTAGACTAGGAAGTAGGAAAGATCACACAGGGTGGTGGGAATCTGTAGTCGAGGAGACAAAGCATTAATATCTTATCCAATGAATGTTGGGCCTCTAAATACGAAGCAGATGTCACCAAGCAACTGCAATGGCGGCAAAAGGGAAACTTGAGTCTGCATGCAAGGGTGGCTGGTACCTACCTCGCATAAGGCGTTGGCAAATGTTGGCAGCCGGCGAAGTAATCCTGCGGGGTCACCTTAGATCCATCAATTCACCCCCCTAGGACACACACAGGTAGGATTTTAGGGCAACAGCCGCAAAGACTACTTGGGCGATATTTGGACTCCTGGATCTGAGACGTCGTGCGGTATTATCTGAATCCTGGTCCGCCCCCTCCACTTTGTGTAACTCGACAGCCGTCAGGTCTGTCGGTTGACGGGAGATGGGATAGAAGTGAGGCCCCTCTTGTTCCTGGGTCCTTTATTGTCGTCTTCCGTATATAGGTAGCAGTTGGACCGCACGAACACAATTGTTTCGTAGTTAACCTCGCGACAACAGCGTCTCCTAACTCACCTCTTCGCCATGTCAAACCTGACTGACATACTCGAAGGTCCAGCCCTAGACCCTCCACCTGGCGAGGTTTCCGATTTTGCCAATCCAGGGGGCAGTCACTCACTTGGTTATGGCATCGTCATACTTACGGGCGTCTTAGCCTCTTTAACTGTCTTTATACGTCTCGTTACTAGACATTCTCTTAGAAATATTCAAATCGAAGATGCCTTTCTAATTATCGCTCTTGTATGTGACTTACCCCTCACTCGTGATACCAAATAGCTATTGACAAGGTTACTCGCAAAGGGTCTATTCGCGGGACTGGAATATGTGAATTATGCTGGCTCCATATCCCCCGGCGTTAAAGTCCATCAATGGAATGTCCAGTTTAAATACCTCGAACGTTGGCAATATGTTAGTAGTATTTTCGAGCACTTCAAGTTTATCTTCCTATGTGCTTACTCTCGACAGCTTCTTCATCTCGCTTCCATATTTTACGGCCTCACCGTCATGTTCCTCAAACTCGCCATCCTCGTTGATTGGCTGCACATCTTCGTACCCTTGGGCCAAAGAAATGCTATATTCTGGACTATCCACACCTTGATCTGGTGCAATATCATCTACTACGTTTCGGGGACATTTATCGAGATTTTCCGCTGCACGCCACGACAGAAGTTCTGGGACCCGTTGTTTGAGGACGGTTCATGCCCCGTGAACATCGAAGCTAATAATTTCTCATCAGGAATCCTTAACCTCATCTCCAACCTAGCTATTCTCGCCGTTCCGCAGTGGGTTATCTGGAATCTGCAAATGACAACCGCCAAAAGGGCAGGCATTTCGTTCCTTTTTCTCATCGGCATTTTGTTAGTCTCCCAAATCCATAATTCTCTATTCACAACCAGTTATACTAATATCAGTGCCCGCGAGAAGCGCCATAGCCTGCGGAGTAGCTCGTATAATATATCTGTCAAAGGTTCTAGATGCCAATGATGCAACATACTACTTGAGTCTAGTCGGACTCTGGGGGCTAGGCGAGGTGGCTGCCGGTTTCATGATCATGGGTATTCCAGCTCTACCTAGAGCCACAAAAATGATCCCCTTTTCTGAATCGGTCGCCTTGCTGCTCCGGCCGTGGACAAAAAGAGAGGTGTCTAGTATCCATGAACGGTCCAACCTGCCACACTGGCGAAGGCCCTTTTCTCGAAAACGCCGGGGCCTATGGGACATTACCGATCTTGAGTCTCGCGATCTCATTACTATGAATAGCATGAATCCGGGAGATAGCTCTTCAGCAAACAACGTCACAAATGAGGTGCTTATGGTTTTAGGGACGGACAAGGACCTAGTCGTGACAAGCCCGCATCGGGTACCAGGTGAATGCTAGGATGGTGTAGGATGACTTGACAACCGGTGATGTAGTTACCTCCTTAAAGCATGTTTAGGTACCTACCTATGCTTGATACGTATCTACGCAGGTACTTATCTACGATAACGCTCTTTTGTTATGTATCATAAAATGAGATTCTCTAAGTGAAATAATACGAACTTCGGGAATTGGCTAGATACGATTTATAGAGGATCACGATAACTACCAGCCTCTAGGGCCAACAGAGGTGGAAATCTCAGCTAGGGGTTGGGGTGTCAACTTCCGCGATATCTTCATCGCTCTTGGTCGCCTAGAGGAAAACGACTTTGGAACTGACTGTGCTGGTGTTGTCACGAGAGTGGGATCCCAGTGCCAGGATATACGGCGAGGTGATCGTGTGTGCATGTGCACGAGCGGCTGCATGAAGGCATATCCACGTGCTGACCAGCTCGCTGTTGCCCGCATTCCAGATTCCGTTTCTTTCGAAACAGCCTGTGCGATCATTGGTCCATCTATTACGGCCTGGTACTCCTTGATCGAAGTTGGCCGGTTGCAAAAGGGTGAGAGGGTACTCATCCATGCCGCATCTGGGGCTACCGGACAGCTTGCTATCCAGGTCGCAAAGATGGTTGGCGCAGAAATATTTGCAACGGTTGGCTTTGACCATAAAAAGCAACTGCTCAAGGATGTATATGGGATCCCAGACGACCATATTCTCTATAGTAGGAATACCAGCTTTGCTAAGGGCATCATGAGAATGACCAACGGCACCGGGGTAGATGTTGTACTAAATTCCTTGGTGGGCGACAGTTTACGTGCTTCGTGGGAATGTGTCGCGCCATATGGTCGATTTGTCGAGATCGGAAAAGTGGATATCTACGCCAACACTTCGTTGCCCATGGGCTGTTTTGCGAAGAACGTTTCTTTCTCGGCTGTTGACTTGCGTCACATTATGCTTTCTAGGCCAGAGGCCGCCCGAAAACTATTGCTCAAAGCAATGGAACTGGCCCAAAAAGGAAGCGTATATAGCCCTGAACCATTGCATTTATACGACGTATGCGCTGTCGAAGAAGCTTTCCGATATTTCCAAAGTGGCAAAAACACGGGACGGACTGTCATCAAAATTGACGGAGATGTTAATGTCCAAGTATGTTTACCAGGCTGAGACGGTATCAAAGAAGAAAGCTAATTGCAAATTTTAGAAGCATATAATTCATCGAAGAACGTGGCAGTTTGATAATAAGGCGACTTACATGGTTGTTGGGGGGTTGGGTGGAGTTGGAAGGCTGCTGCTCAAATGGATGGTCTCCCGGGGAGCGAAGTATCTCATCGTTCCTTCACGATCAGGCATCGCATCTCAAACAGCGGCGAATTTGGTAGACGAACTGACTCAGAAGGGTGTAACCATCGCCACTCCAGCATGCGATGTGTCATTAGAGAAGTCGTTTTCTAAGATGCTCGCACAATACAGCAGTACTTTCGCCCCTATTCGGGGTTGCATTAATGCAGCAATGGCTCTCCATGTAAGTACTGACATTCGAGCATCTACTACTAGAGTCGCTGACAAATCGAAGGACTCGACGTTCGACAAGATGAGATACGCGCAGTGGGAGGGTACCGTACGCTCAAAGGCCCGGACGTCGTGGGTTCTATCAACTTTGCTCCCCAAGGACCTTGAATTTTTCATCTCCCTCTCATCGACGACAGGGGTAGCTGGAAACATCGGCGCACCCAACTATGCAGCTGGATGTACCTTCCAGGATTCCCTAGCAGAATATCGTGCTCAGAGGTACAGCGGCAAATCACTGTCGATTGACCTAGGCGTGATGAGCAAAGTCGGTATTGTGGCTGAGACAGCTTCCCTGCGGAGAGTGTTCAGCAAGTCCCATGGCCATGCCCAAGTTGATGATGAAGATCTCCTTGCATTGTTGGATGTGTGCTGCGACCCTGCACAGGGCCTTTCCCGAAGCCAAGTCGTAATGGGCCTTCCCACGCCGGCTGAGCTGGTCTCTCGCGGCCTCGAAGTAGTGGAAGCGTTGAAACAACCATTACTAGCACACTTCAGCCAGTCCCGCAGTCTGTCGGCTGATGCTCGTGAACCAGGGAGCCAAATGCGCCCAAGAGCCTTATTTCAGAAGGCTAAGACGGACGAGGAGAGGACGACAATTGTTGTGCAGTGTATGACGCAGAAGATGGCACAGGCGCTGTCGATCGACCCCGACGAAGTAGAGATAGATAAGCCACTTCATGTGTTCGGTGTCGACTCTCTCGTCGCCGTAGAGCTTCGAAATTGGATGAGAAATGAGTTTGCGGCACACATTCCTGTCTTTGAGATCACTGGAGGAAAGACAATCGAGCTTATTGGAGAGCTGGTATGCAAAGCCAGTGAGATCAGAAGGGTTGCATGATGGGCATGTACCGAAATTCGAAGTTAAGATGGGTACTCCGGTATCACTAGGTATAGTTAAATCATTGATTAAATGTGAAGCTCATTGCAATTCCAACTCTGCTCCCTCTTGTCCGCGCTGCTAGGTACCGAGGTGCTGCCCGAAGCACAGGGATTCACCAAGATGAACCGAGCAAGCACCATAAACGATTGAGATATTTTCTTTTACTTGCGAGAGCGAGATTGACATGAACTTTGAGCTTCGCAATACATGGCAATGAAGGGAAATTCCGATCATTATTTCCAAAGCTTGCGCAAAACGCCACTCTTCGATATCTTCTATGCTCGGTAGACCTATTTTCGGGGTTCTTCATTGGTGGTAAAATCAGCATGTCCACCAGGGCAGCTCCAAAAACTATTGAACAAGTCCGAGAGTTGATTAAGTAAGCACTTTAGGTAATCTCTCAAGGGCCTGGTTCGTGCGCGATATTTGTTTCCCACTGTCATGTGACATCCTTAGACCAGATAACACTCTTTGTTGAACCTTAAGTTACCTTAGAACTTAGAAGATACAACATCAATTCCACCACTTATAGCAGTCTTCTTGCTACACCCACCGTCGAATCATGACCAAGACCCACACCTCACCTTGAAACCCTCTTTCCCTGAGCCCTGAACCTGATTACTGCGTAATACTGCATATCAACTGCCCGGCCCTGGTCAATATAGTCCCACTGTTCCTGTACCTGCAGCCAATCAACAGCCACGCTGTTCTGGAGATAGTGGGCAGTGTCACAGGGAATATTATACTTAGAGGAGGATACCTATGTACAGGTACGTAGTAGAAGCTGAATCTAAGAGCGGGGATCTTAAATACCCTAAACAGTGTGCACCGCACCTTCCCAGCAAGTACACTCCATCTGTCACACAGGTTTAGTGCCGGACTTTAAGGAATTACTGCGATAGGAAAATTGTTAACAAAGAGTTTGCGGGGCGACCACGTTTGATAATTGGGGTGTACGAACTATAACATATATACTGCAAGAGCCCGGAATCAGAAACGTGTACCTATTCATTCGGGTAGCGAATACCAGCATATTCTAAGATAATATGCGTGACGACGGATTTGGGAGTTGCAGTTTAATCACCAACCAACATGCATGAAGGCTGTAGATGAATAGGCGGCAGTTGCTATGAGGCAGTGCACTCCAATGTTTATATACATAAGAAACTAGAGCCTCGTTGCTTTCCCTTTCTAAATCTCCCCCCACGATGGTATCCATACCTCAAACAACCTGTCTATGTCACTAAAATCTCATACCATCAACGGATAACCATGGCTGAGGCCCTTGGAGTTGCGGCTAGTGGTATCGCCATTGCGCAGATCAGTGCCCAAGTTGGTGGTGCCGTCTTCAAGCTTAAACAGCTCTGGAACGAGGTGAAGGACGTACCCGACGATATCGCCGACCTAATTGAACAGCTTGATTGCCTATCTCCAGTTGTGTGGGAAGTTGAGAACAATTTCAACCAAGGTAGCTTGCCATCAATTTTCTGGGATCAACTGGCTTCCAATTCAGCCACCACCTACTGCCGCAAGGCTCTCCAGAACCTGACTACCATGGCCGACGAACTAAACCTACAAATCGACAATGCCAGGAAAGGTCATAGGAAGATAACAGCGTTCAAAGTCCTGCTAAAGAAGGATTCGCTTAAGAGGCTGGAGAGGCGCCTTGAAAACGCCATTAGGATGTTAACTCTGGCTCAGCAGTCCTATCTCGTGTTAGTAATGTTACAAGCGTCTTAAGCTGGGTCGAACTAAACTTCATTCAGTGCTCTCACACGCGTGCAACCAGATATAATCGTTGCAAGGTTTACTACTCATAAACTCAACGAAAACCGAACTCAAATCCAGTCAGATTCTGAACCCACGACCGAGCCGGGAAAAGGGGAGATCCTCACTCGGCGTCAAAAGTGGCCGCATCGAAATGGTACCGCTGCTCAACCGCGTTGCGATCGCCTTTCAAAATCCACCAAACCAGGAATCTTTGGTCATATCTCAGTGAATCGTTTCGTCTCAGGATACGGAATTCTACTCCAACCTCCAACGTGGCTCTCATGGCGATCATGGGAACTTCATAGCATCAGAGCACACGGCGATTGGCAGTGGAATCTACGCTCTTATTACATTATTCCCATGCATCATAGAGCATTAGATGTGTTAGGGAATGGATCTCCACGGGATGTACAGAAACTCTTTGATACAAGGTTATTATCTCCTTATGCCGGGGATCAATGGGGATTTACGCCCCTTCATGTAAGAAAACCATTGAAACTGAGTACATACTATTTTTGCTTACATGATGCGTAATATCCTTAGCGAGCGATGAATTATGGCAATTTTCAAGTTGTCAGGTACCTCTTAGAAGATGTCGGTATGAATCCTTTGGATCGTGATAATCGGGGACGGTAGGTTGGAAGAGTATCTTCATTCTCTAGTCAGAATTATTGCTAATCTATTCTCTATCTGTATATGCAGCTATCCAGCAGATATGCTGTCATTATGGCAGCCCAAGGAAAAGTTTACCGAACTACTATCCGACAAAATGCTCGCGAAAAAGTCTCTAATATTTTCCCGCTTGAACTACCTTGAATATGACGATAACGAAGAGATACAAATATCGCATACAGAATGCAACTGCTGCGTCAGGGCCAAAAGCGTAGAACTATACAAAATGCTTCTTCCATATCAATGTCCATCGCATGCGAATACATCGCTCAGGTCACGGATAAATGCAGCTGGTCTAACTCTAACCGAATCTATCTACGAAGACAGCTTCAGTCCCGAAGTGGTCAAACTGATTCTAGAGCCAGAATGGAGTACCAATCCTCAAGCGATATATTCCAATACACCCAATCCGCTGATAAGATCAATTGCTTTTAAGATGGGTGAGGGTCATTTTGACCGGCATGCACAAGACTGGTTCACATTTGCAATCGACGTGGTCAGACTTACTCCGGACCTTCACACAACCTACCTACACGAAGATCCATTTCTTTATAATGTATTTTTGGTACCAGGAAATACGGCATTAATGTCCTTGGCCACTGGTCTCTTCTGGTATATTGCGCGTCGTGTTCCATGGTGTTATTTTCCCGCAGAGTTTGCCGAAGTGTTGATTAGCTGGCTTGAAGTGCTGAAACGGGCGGGCATCGACCTAGATGTGTATGGTTACCGTGAACACGAGATATTCGTCAAAAACGATCAGCATTTTTTTGATCTCAGGTCTTACTTTCAGCCGTCTTTCTCTGCATTTTATTTAGTGGATTTCAAGTTTGGCCCAGAACCGGAAGATTGGGAGTTCTATTGGGCCGAACCTACTGACGAATTTGCTGGAGACTTTTGGGACTTGATCGAGAATCCGCCGCTGCATATTCCGGGGTCCTGGGTGGATTAATGGTTCACGATTGTGTTCCCAGAACGAGTTGCAGGCTTGCTTGTAAAGCAGGCGAGCTATACCTACCTGGTATCGGGGAGATGTTGGGACCATGATGATAACGATCTTCTTGTTGTTGAATTTTCTAGTATTATGAGATATAATCATGTTCATGATATAAATGGACCACATGGTTTGCTCTGAAATAGGTACTCAACATCCTATCACGTTTCTCCAATCCGTGCCTTTCCCTTAAGTAGAGGAGAGGTTATACTCGATCACTTATTGCGAAACATCGTAATGATGACCTATTATAACCACCCCAGGGTTACCCACAACCCGAGGCCAACACTCAAGACGACTGTCGATAGTCTTTGTCATCATGAGAACCTACACAATTCCTCTTGCGAACCTTAGGCGGTCTCAACTCCCTCGAATTCGTCTCGGACCGGACCCGTCGCTTTAACCTCGTGCTTAGGTTCTAAAGTCTTAGCTAACTCGTGTTCCCACTACTAGACACATACGTAAAATAGAAAGGTTATAGAGGGAAAAGGGGGGCGTACGTACGCTCTGCGCAGGTGCTCCGCCTGCTCTTCCGGGGACAGGCTGTCTTCCCAATCCGGAGACCCGATCATGCCGACTAGCTCTCGGAGCTGCTCGGCCGCTGACGAGCTTCCGCGGCCCGTTGATGGGGTTGGGTTCGGGCTTGAGCTGAGGTGGAGGGAGGATATCTCTGATAGCTGTAGATTGCCGTTGGCTTTCGGTGAGGTACGAGGCGCGGGTTCCCGGCCGATGTGGAGCGAGGAATCGTTCCGTTCGATTCCTAGAGCTCTTTGCTCGTGGGCTTGCGGGTCGCACCGGTATCTTATGAGAGGTGATAGTTCATCTTGTAGACCTGGAGGGGCATGTTTCTGCATTGCAATAAGAGCATCATGGCTCAAGGGACATAAGATGCTGGGTACCTCGGTCTCCACAACGGCTTCATAGGATCTTTGAGATTGCGGCTGTTGGAGATTTGAGTTTGGTTCTGGGAAGGTTTGCGGTGTATCTGAAAAGGAGGGAATAGCACACGAATACCTATCGGCGATGGCAATTAGACGGGCTTCGAGTCGCGAGTTTGAATGGTTACTACGAAGGGTATGTCTCACAGCGCTTGCCCATCGTCGCTCAGGCTTATGACGGTATCACCAGGGGAATGGTCCCGAAAGCATCGATCACTTTCCACAACAATAGGCCTATCTTCTCCAATACCCTCGTACTCGATGTCATCGAACTCGGCCATCCCCACGTGTGATATGATAAACGATGTATAACATAGGATTGTGGTTGAAACACAACATCAAAATACCACAGGTAGACCTGGTTTCAGTACCCCTTTTAATATACCTCGCATTCACCTGAGATAATGAGGGGTAACCCTCGAACGGTAGTGCGGCTCAAAGTCTCTAGTAGCACACAAGCCGCCATGGAGAATTTTGAGCCGCAACAGTAAGACCGCGACCCAGCCTACAAGGGGGGGAGAAAAGGCTTTCGCTAACCAGACGCCTCACTACTCCCCTCCCCCCTTGAAGAACCCAGCGGTCTGGGTATCGAGGCGGGCCAAGTCCCGAGCGTGGCAGATCAGAAAGGGAAAAAAGGATGAGGAGCAAGGGACGGCGCGAGACAGGGGGGTGCGTACCGTCTAGTCGGTTGCGTGCCCCGGTCGCACTGCATAGGATATTTGCTGCGCGGGCAGGGGGGACCCCGGCAACCCAATGGCAGCGCCGCGCTTCGGCAGGAACTGCTGGCGAACGTGGGGCGTGCGCGCGGGAACCGACCAGTTGGGAACGGGGCATCATGGCAGACCCGACGGCCTGGGTTCGCGCGGCCGCCCTCTGCCAGCAATCTTACGATTCCGCGGGGCGTCTTCCGCGCGTCGCATCGAGCGCGGTTTCGCAGCCGGTTCAGATGGCGCAAAGAGCGGTGACACCGCAGCGGCCGGTTATTAGACCGCGGTGCTTTAGCGAGGGGCACGGGGTGGGAAAGAAAATTCCCACCCTCTCTTTCTTCGATGATACATTACACCACCACTGCTACGGCAGTCTACTCCATTTGTCCGTGGTAACGTGCAGAGATATGCGCGGTTGACAGAAGGGATGCATGAACAGGTTTCACAGTTGGAGTTACGCAACTATTACCATAACCTACCATATGTCGTATGATAGTAGGTTGTCGATGACAGCCTTTCTTCCCTTAATAAAAATAGGCAATAGTGGGTGCCTATCAAGAAAAAAATGTTTCGTCTTATGCTGATAAGTTGTCCCAGGTGTACGGTAGACGCGGGACGAAAGTCGTCAGGGACAAGATGCGGTGTCGCGGCACACCCCAATAGACGAAGCAGAAATAAGCCCCTTTTTTCTTCCCGTATACCGGCAGCTGGGTAACTCTCGTCCCGAGTCCATGGACCGGGGTAGTTATCTGCAGTGTGACATTGTTTCCGCACGCCTGCATAACGTAGCCTTGGGAGAGGGGAGAGGGGGACGATACGTGTATGGCAATGCAGACTGCAGGTCTACCAGGGGTGGATGGTCCGGCATTAGACCGTTGGTAGCCTTATGAACCTCCCTGTCTACCTATGGGTGACTTGAGTGCCTAATAAAAATGTGCATTTTGAGGAACTTTTATCAAGTGACGGTAGTTCCCCCGGTCGCCTGTTTGACCGCCGGTATTTCGTATGCCGCTAATGCCAGTGTTCCATCGTTGCATGGCACTTCAGAAGCCATGATTTGTCATGAATCCCCCCTCTTCAGACCAAAAATAGGACAAGAATGATCATAGCTGGTCCTAATTGTTGCATGTTCTGCAAGACAACCAACATGCATTATCACCAGCAAGACTACTTACCGACTTCCCGGGTCACCAGTCGCTCGTGTCTACCTTGGTTACGACCGGCCAGCAATTCATACCCAGATTCCACCCTAGGAGGTGTAGCCACACACGTCGCATCGATTGGCGGAATACATAGTGTGCAACTCTGGTTTACCTAGGTAGACAGGTTTGCTCAGGGCTAGCCAGGCCGGTCAAACAAACAGGAAATCGGAGAGGCAGTAATATGAACAAGCCAATAACCCATGTGTCCGGCCAAGAAGTAATAGAGACTCCTACCCTATCATGTATGCGGATTTCAAAACAGGTGATTACAAAAGTTCCCGCGATGCAGTAGCAGCAGGGCAGCATTAGGTGTGTATAATGCCCAGACATCTAGTATAGTGGATGTATTTATGTACATCCAATGTGTATGGAGACTGAATAAACTTTAGTATCCAAGTATCTTTTCTCCTTTCTCCGCGGTTTCTGTTTTCTGGACAAACCCGGCAGTTAGAGTTAAGCTTAACCTACACCCTTGAACCCTATGAGAAGATGTTGCCATATCTTCTTGATCATGATTGAGTTTATGACTAAGAATAAAGTATAAATAGTCTTCCATTGTTTACTTCAGTGGCGTAGACGTCGAAATCTATCGTTGAATCCTGCAGAGAGTCCAAGCTCAATTGCTTCTTCAAGGACCTCGGATACCCTTACCTATGACAAGAATTTTCTCAATCGCAGCAACTAGCAACCCTATGTTCGGTGTCAATTACAAGAATGGCTATAAGTGGTTCCACAGATGCATCCATATCAATAGGACATGACTTATCGCGACCTAGGCCTTGGTAAATATTTGGCTATCACCGCATGCCTCTTGAACAATGGCCCCCATGACGTGGATTCTTAATGTATATGCACACTGCTACACACTCTAGAGTTTCCATATGACAAGTTTTAAGTATATGGCTGAATATGCATGTTGCTTATAGAATTGGCGTGCGCCTTCCGCACGCATTATTCGGAACACATGATCCTGAGCTTCCTCGTCGTTCTTTCCCCCAAAAAGTCAAATCACTAATCCGACTACTTCAACTGAGTTTCGGTCGACCAAAATACGTTCAACACTTCGGATAGGAAATTCCTGTAACATTTTCTCTCAAATTCTGATTAACCTAATTCCTGACTCCTACTCATGAGTAAGGACTTAATTGACCTAACATATTTCAATCTCTTTTCTATCCCTTAATCACTTGGCCGGAAAAGCGATAATTAGTACACCCTAGAGTCACCTAAGAGCTATGTTGTAACCCCACGAATTACAAACCACACTGAATCCTCAGCTCCGGCGAAAGACTTCATGTCTAGAAAAGTTATGTCTCATTCCAATCACCTAACACTGCCCATATAAACTTATTCACCTGTTTAAACCTGAAGCCCCCTAAGTTTGCACCAGGAATTACGCATATCCATCAACGTATTCAGGCTCTGTTTATATACTGTTATCGTCTCGATATGGCAAGGTGGAGATAGATGGCAGCTTTTGCCTCGGAGCTACATTAGCGGCCTCAAGGGGACGGCCAAAAGAGGCGCTTAACTTGAGCCCCAACTATAACTCACCCGTCAAACTGTGAATTTTCCAGCTCTAATGAGCGAATTTGGGTCGCCTACATCGATGAACGATAGCAGAATTCTCAAACCGTTCACAAGCCTTGGAGGTAAAATGAGTGATTCAGAGCCTGGACTTCATTATAGAGTTTCCCTAGTCAGAAGGGCTTCGGAGATGGTCCTCAATTATTTTTGTATATCAACCGAGATTCTGGGGGTCCAAGAAGTTCCTGTTTTTTTCTTTCCCCAGGAGTACATACAGACAAGTATAAACACTGTCAGGTCCTCCATAGCCAAGGGCTACATAAGCTTAATCCCAGTCACGCTTCAAAACTTCCCCTTTCTACAATCAGCACTTCTGCTTCACTCAAATTTACCAACTTTCCAATCCTTGGATAACTAGCGCTAAGCTTTCTGATTATCATCGTCACGAGGCCTATATACCGATACCAGGGCTCCTCGAATTACTCAAAACTCAGCCATTACATTCGTGGTCTCTACAAAAGCCAGTGGAGAACACTCAACAACTTCAAGGAAGGCTTTGGCCATAAACCAAGTTTACGTATATTCGCCTTTTCTTTACACAACTTTAACGAAAGTCAACGCGTTATCCCCCAAAGGGAAATGGATTCTCCTTGCCTGGTCTCAATAGAACTCGGCCATGAGCCCATGCCCGAATGGTACATCCCTCAGCGGCCATCCCGATGGCTTCCGAGCCACATTGGTCGGAGGGCAACGATGACCGCTCGGCGATGGGAGGGGATACTATTTACCCCCTCTAGTCTAGATCGACTCTGCGACATGCCTTGTTGCGACGACTTGGATAGCCGGCTGATCAGCGTGGCCAACGATTGGATCCGTACTCTCAAGAAGCTCATCAACCTGGAACTACAGCGCCGCAGTCACAAAGTCGATGGATATTGCGAGCCGTACCAATTTTCCAGGCTCCACGCGATGGTCTATCAACTACATGACCGTATTTATAGATATTCGCGCGGTGTACCTCAGATCCGCCAAACTCCTAAGCACCACCAGACAACATATCCCGGTCGCCCGGAGAGCGACGTTGCTCAGGCGCGCCAAACTATTGCCAAATTGCTGCAAATGGATTTCGGCACGTGGATCGAGGACATCATAATGGGAGGCTGGCTGCATGCCTACCCGGGGGCCACGTTCACTGACTTTGAGTTCAACCCGGTTACTGGAGTCCTTGATTGGACGGATCACGATGCGCTGAACGATGGTTTATTTCCTTGTAACTCGCTGGTACTAGACATGATCTTTCAAGATCAAAAACCGACTGAAGAGGATTTGGAAGGCGAGGACGAGATTGAGCCTCGCTCCGTCTTTTCGTGGGTATTGGGAGTCCCCGACGACGTGAACTTCTCCCATGATGGCGTTATGGGGGGAAAGGGGTTCGTGCTATGCATCGATAACGCCCCAGATATTACTAGCGACATGAATGTCTCGATACGATTAGACTTCAGCGCTAATAACACCATCATGAGTAGCCACCGCTTTGATAATATACCCGTCAGTCAATTCACTGCTCAGCGGACGATATATCATGAGTCCCCTCAATCGACGCCATCAGCTACTGATGAGGATGAAGAGACGGAATCGGAAGATGATGGACAGACGGAGTCGTACGAGGAGTAGTCCTGACGATAATAAATACCTCGGCGACGTTATCGTCGAACTTTACTCGCCGCGTGTTTCTGGGTATAAACGATACTGAATTTGTAATAGGTTGATATATGGAGGACGATTACCTGATGAATAGAATGGGTGGGCGGATGATGAGGACAGAGTGATTCTGATTATGCTTGGGGACAATAACTTGTTAGACTGCATACATACGGGATCATGGTACGCGATATGATGATTGGACTAGGCAGTCTCGTCGAGATTTATAAAAGTCTAGGTGGGGTTGAGGCGGACCTTTGTATGAGCAGTGCAAACTAACATAGGTGTTAGCGATGTATTGATATACCAGCGTCACGGATCTTCTCAGACACAATTGTTGCATCGTGACACGCAAACGTGTAGTCTTGTTGTAAATGCTGTGTGTAGCGGTAGCGCCAAGTCCTAAACGTAAAGCGGGTGGAGAGTAAAGCCACATGATTCACCATGCGACGTTGTGTAACTAGGCTTTTCTCTATTAGTAAGAAATTGCCTGGATATTTTTAAACTGATACTAATATTGATGCCGTCTCCGAGTACGACTACTACGGGTGCGACTCCGCTTGGCTTGTTCTACAAAACATTCCATATTGGATGACCGAATTTCGTTGAGCTTAAACGCTCAGCCCCGCGATGATAACTAACCTAGAAGTTAGGGCGCTCGAACTTGCACGGACCTCTTAAGGACTTTTCATTCTTCAGCGTTGGAGAAGCGCTGATATGTCTCGGTAAACTCAAGAGTTAACCCAGGGCAAAGCAGGGCGAGAGACATGCCAAGGCAGATGCGTATTTGACAGCGTTGATCGGTGCACAGCCACTCGGCATCTTGATATCTTGGCCGGGATTATATCGCGTTCCTACCTAAAGCTTGTCTGCCTTGTCGACATGATCTTGAGACATCCGGAGCAAATCAGGATCGGCTGCTTGATTTGAAATACAGCAAACGGATGCCTGATGAGGCTTGAGGCTAGAAGCCCTAGAAGGATTCCACAGCCACGACATCATCACGATGCCGTACCTAGTTTGTAGTTGCGCCAATCGGAGTGTCGGGTCGTCGCATCTTTGCGATGTGAAGGTATAGATACATCGATACGTTGATTTTGGAAAATTAACCGTCGCCATTGTCATCAAGAGTGCACAAGTAGTATTGAATGTATCGCCGCATCGCATAGGTTGATTCCCCCGGTCCCGGAACTAGGTGTAAAAATGGAAAAAAAAAATCTACCCGAATTACCTGCATTATAATCTTCTAATGGATTGCTTGCACCGTCTTATTCGACGTAACCCCCTCTGGGGGGGCACCGCGCTTTAACCAGGTAGGTAGCGAAATGGGCAGAGAGTTGCAAGAAATTTCTGAATAAGCAGGTTTTATTAGTAAAAATTATGTTATTTATCTTTAAATGTATAATCCTATAAATATATATAATATTTATCTAAGAGTAAAATATCATGATAAACCCCATAATATATACAATTATAAGGTATCGGATAACATTCGGATCCTTTGCAGCTTTTGGGTAAAAGGATGTTATCTTAAGCTTTCTTGGCCGGTTAGGAAGCGACTTTGGGGTCACGGGACGGAGCGTATAATCCCTACCTTAGTACCTGCGTACCTATACGGCGTATGCTGTGTAGCAGCAATACGTCATCCCCCGCGAATGGGCACCCTATCCATCGGGGTGGATTGAGATTCTCCAAAGGTCCCCACCCTTCACACTCTCTCAAGGATTTCCCATCCATCTTACGTACCTGTTCCGCACATAATATTCCATTATCTACATCCATAGGTAGTACAGCTACACCAAAATGCCTTATATTCTTCATTAGCGTATACAGCTGATGTCCTCTATTCGGTACCTCTTTTGGTCAATTCTTACGATACTAAGTGGTCACCTAGGTACTTAGATTCTCAAGCAAGCCACCCGGAGCAGCCAAAGCCACATGAAATTTAACTCCGATGAGTCGCCTCGCTTCGTATAAAGTCCTAAATAGTGCTTACCACCTGAACTTACACATCTTGTCACCTGGTTTTATAAGTCCTAGAATTAGTATGAAATAGGACATTTCATCGCTCGTTGTTCAAGAGACGTGCTTCCTTATTTTTTTGGCTGATAGGCTTTCGTTTCATCCGCGGTCGCGGTCTTTGTTATTAATTCTTCATCTTCATTTACTCTTTCCCTCTCCCTTGCCTATTATAATCGCCTACCAATCCTCTACTTCAACCCACTTTGAGGCAATCATTTTATCCTATCATGGCCGACACAAACGGTGTCACGAAATCGGATGAAAGTCTGAGCCGACTGCAAGAGAAGAATGATGAGGCACCGCCACAATACAGTGTGAGAAACAGCCAACCGCCGTCTAGTCAACTCTTAAGTGAACCCGCCAATGGGTTGAATTCAGCCTTCGAGTCTCTTAAGCTTTCATCTAAAATCGAAGAGGTAACTCCAGACACTTGTTTGGCACATCTCAAGTTGCTTGCCGCTTTCCAGGCTTTGAAAGAGGACATCGGTTACACCGACGGTCTGTGGGGATTGTACGATAGTCGCGTTCTTTCGGAAAATGATAAGAAAGCCAAGGTTATCGAGAAGAATCTCAAGCTTGAAGATGAGACCGGCAAGCGCTTGGCTGCACTGCGAGAGAAACGATGGGCCCTTTTTGTTGCGAGAGCTGTCGATCGCTATGAGGTATGGTGGAGCAAGCTTTCAAAGAGCCATTTGACCGAGGCCGACATGGAGAGGAACACTGGGAGGTATGACGGGTTTACAACCGAGGGTACACGCCTCCCTTGGGCAGAGAATATCCTACCACCGTTGGGTACGTTTTATCACATTACCCGCACAAGACCTTACTAACACTGCTAGACGTCTTGATGGTGTGGCATGCCCACATGCTCAACCCTAGAGCCTATCTCGAAGATTGTATTCTGCACTGTCTAGGCGGGCTATGGACGGCCGGTATGCCCTGGAAGCTCGTCAACAGAGCTATCGATACAAGCTTCAACTACAACGTCTCCAAGGACTGCAAAAAGGCATGGGAGCACATCATAGGCCTTAAGTGGGACAACGTGGACGACCCACTTGTCAAAACCCTCAAGTGTCCAACTTGTTCTAAGATCCACGAGATCCCGTGGACCACGTGCGATCTTCCTGAAGATTATGATGGCCGCGATCCCGGTCTACTCGGAGAAGGTTATGGAGATGGTAATTTTACCCTTAAGTGTTCGTGCCGCAAGACTATCACGCGGGAATTCCTCGAAGTTGCCAAGTTTGTGAAGGATGTCAAGGACCTTCTCTCCCATGATCGGCCTATGCCTGGCACGATACTGGATACCAACACGGGTTTACCGAAGACAATCCCCAGGTCCATCACACTCAAAGACCGGTACGAGCGCACATTTCCAAATCGGCTGATCAAGAAGCATCTGCGCAGCAAGTTGCTACAATTGATCGATCCCGAGACATTGCCGACGCGGTCGATGAACAACGTCCGTGTCCTCATCGAAAACGCTATCCAAGACGACAAAGTTGTCAAGGAAGTCGAGAACGTCATCGCATTTAAGGATACATTAAAGAGTTACCGACTCGGGGCAGGTGCTCGAAGACATACAAGAAAAATGATGTCACGATACTGGGGAAACTCCTCGCTCTTTGCTCTCGAGCTCGGCGGTGCGGTTATGCGCCAGGGAATATTTGTAGAGAAGATGAACAAGGTATGGCCATTTTATCACCAAAATAGATCCATTGAGACACGTATGTGCGCGACTAACAATATTCACAGATTGACTGGCTCCATAGCCCGGCAGCCCGGGACACGATGACACGCTTAATCCAGAAATACGAGCGTTTCGTGAGGCTCATGTCGTTTCACCCGCGACAAATCGTCGTTCCAACTCTAGACGTTGATTTGGCTTGGCATACGCACCAGCTCACTCCTTCCGCATACACTCGATGGATGTTAGGGAAGACTCATCAGCTAATCGACCACGATGACAAAATCGACGAGGACAAGTTATCTACCGCCTTCGAGTGGACGAGTAAAACGTACCAAGAAACCTTCGGTGAGGTTTACTCGGAATGTACGTGTTGGTACTGCGAATCTATCCGGGTCTCGCACGTTTCGACTATGGGCAGTATACTCAAGGTGTCGAAGAACGAGAAAAGTACGTCGCCCTAGCGCCTATCATCCACATCCCTTTTCTATCCCCTCCCCCTTTTCCCTTCGCCCTATATAATAAAAAAACGACACTAACAAACCACGCAGTCTCCGAATCCTTCCACGCATCCGGGCGCGCCTCGCTCTGCCCGCCGGACAACAGCGCGCACATATCAGCGCACAACAGCGTGCGCTTCCAGGACGCGGACGAGCGGCGCCACGCGGTCAACCAGCGCATGCACGCGGCGCACCAGGAGCACTTGGACAAGAACTACGAGCGCGCGCAGAAGCGCGCGAAGAGGAAGGGCCGCGAGCTGCCACCGAGGGACGAGTACTACTACAGCTACTGGGGCTACCCCTACATGCTGTACGGCCCGTACGTCTACCCCGTCTACTTCACGCCCGCGTGCTACCCGTACGGCGACCCCGGCGCGGCGATGGCCGGACAGGGGTGCCAGGGCGCGTGCGTGGCGGGCGCGTGCGGGCAGGGGGCCGGCGGGTGCGGGGGGAGTGGGGGGTGTGGTGGGGGTGGGGCTGGTGCTGCTGTGAGTTTTTTTTCTTTTACTTTTTTTTTACTCCTTCTTTCGAGTTCGTAGATTTCGGGGAGGGGGGGGTAGGAAAATGCTAATTTGTGCTATAGTGCGGCGCATCGGGCCCGGCTTGCGGCAGCGGACTCGGAGGCGGGTGTGGAGGTGGTGGAGGTGGTGGTTGTGGTGGTGGCGGCGGCGGAGGGGTAAGTTGTTTGATTCTCATTCCCCGTTCCCGTTTTATGTATGGGTTACGATTGGTTATGCTGACGTTTTATATCGCAGTGCGGAGGTGGTGGTGGCGGCTGTTAGGAGCGCTGGTTGATGTAGACGTCGTCTCTGTGGGCTTTACTCTTGGGGGCTCTTGGATCGGATGCTTGAGATAACCTAGATGGTGGCTAGGGAAGCTCGTGTTGAGATTGTTGGTATTAATGGATATTAGAATGGCTATTGGTATTATTGCTAGTGTTGGTGTTGGTATTGGTATTGGTTACGTATGATAGGGGGTTTAGATGGTTGGATTGCGTTAGAAGTGAGCAAGAGTAAGAAGATCAGAAGGATATACCCCTGTCCTTTACCATTCTTAAGACTATGATGCGATTGCCAGCCAAGCTTCTCTAAAGTGATTTCATCACGAGATAAATAAATGCAGAAATATTTACTATATTCTTGAATAGGTTTACTCACCTGAATCTGTTTCTTACTGAGAATAAAGTCGGTTTTTCTTCGTCCCCTAGCGATTCATGCAACACCTACTTCTAATTTGAAAAAGCTTATAAAACGTTAGTGTCTAGTTACCGTATTCATTTATGTTCATGATGTTTACTATCTCAATGCATTGCACGGACCATCCTAAGCACGCTAAAGCCAGTTTATATCTTTTGATTGCGTGACCCTTACAGCACCCGTACTCCCCCTTTTCCAAAGCTTAGTCATTCACATTCAGGGCCGATATATTGATTTCATAAAGGGTCAACTATTCTAGGTGCCTTAGAACAGGTCCGGAGACCTGTGTATACTATCTGTTCTATCATCATTAATTTACTCTTCTAGGTACTCAAGAAATTGAATCGGGCAGATCAGGTTAGAACTACGTAGGTAGGTATGAATTTTTTGTTGATTAGCTCGTGGTTTACTGACCAATTAGACTCCCCTTTGACGCTCATTATTACGCAGTACAGGTTGCATCACATTAAGCCACAATGTACTACCACCCAACCCTAGGCATTTTCCTTTCCTTCCTATCCTCTTCTACCGGTCAGTAAAAAAATGTACCTTCTAGCGACTTAGGAGGTTGCAAATCTAGCGATAGCGATATAGCAACCCTCGAGGTCCCGAAAGGGTAATATTCATAGTCGTCAGTTTTGAAATGAAAAGTACATCAGTATGTACAACAGGGCTATCAGAGCCTTGCTTACCTCTCAAATGTGGCAGCACTGCAGCGCTGACAAAACTTGGCAAAATCAAAATCTGATGGCAAAGTCTGACACCACCTCCAATGATCGTTCTGCCCTCATGCATATACCTCGAAACGGTGCAGACATCCCCTGCAATGGGAGTGGCTGGCTTTGGATGGATGGTCAAAATCCGATCAGTGCCACCAGCCTTATTCAATACTTAATTACTTAGCATCAGATTTTGCACAGCTCGATACCTAGTTACTAACATCAGATTTTACACGTGTCTGTCTTATAAAGCGATATGTTTCCGACCAAACTAGATAGTTGGGATGTATGAGATGTTTCCTCTTGAGCCGTCGCATATACCTCACCATGCCTGCCTCATCAACCACTCCACGAATCTCACCGGACGAATGGCTGGAGCGTAAGCATCGGATCCTTGAATTATATTGTGGTCCTAACGGCAAACTCCTTGGCTCTGATGGTGTCATCGAAATGATGAGGAGAGAAGGCTTCATTGCCACGTGAGTCCCCCTTAATATTTAGTTCAGCTACTTATTGAACAAGTTGACTAATACCCTGGAAGGAAAGCTCAATATGAGTTGAAGATTAAAGCATGGGGCGTACGAAAAAATGTGAAGAAGAGCGAATGGCAGAAAGATCAGATTCCCCCAGATATAGCGATCTCAGATACTAGGAAAAAGAGAGCCATGCGACGCTATGCACCCAGAGGACAACGAGCTGAGGAGCTAGGTTGGTGGTACTATCAATATACGTTATTTTCCCATAAAACTAATTGATATTCCATCTATCTAGTCACACACGACGATGGCCATATAGCTCAGGGAAGCACATCAACCCTACCATCGACTGAAGTTGTATCCTTTGAGAATTTTGCAAATGAAGAGAACCTATCAGCCGCCGAGCTTGATAACAGAGCCATCAACATGATTCTCTATGCGGAGACCGAAGGCGTTAACCCTGATCAGAACCTGCTACCTTATGGCTTGACAGCGCAGCAAGAGAACCATCCGCCCTTGAGAGCATATCAGCCCCTTGATAGTGGCTCTCTCTCTAGCCAAGTACCAACACGCAACCCTCTGGTATCTTCTCCGCGATCGTTCGACGCGATGCTTGCATGTTTAGATCAATCTCATATCAACAATCTTCTCAGGCCGTGCTATCTAGGGCTCAATTCGGAAAACCATCTACCTTCCATCAAGATTGCAGATCAACTCATAAAAGGTAGTTTTTCCACGGGCGTCGTCAAATACCGTACCCAGAAGGGAATTTCATTGAAGCTAACCTTATTTGTCTTTGATAGATATCTTTAGCGAAACCTCTGCTACTTCTGCTCACGGCATCGTACTGAATATTAATCCATTCATGCTAGCCTCGCAATTCTTGGCTGATATCAACGAATTCATCCCGACGACCAGGAGCTCAAACGCCAATGCGGAATGCTCTCCCGTTAACATTCGGCCAGCGCTTGGAAATTTCCTCTCCATGGAACCCTTCGTCGGAGAAGAGAGCAGCCAGATTGGCACGCTGAAGAATGAAGTCATCCCTATAGCTCGACTTCACTCTAGGCTGATCGGATCAATCATCAATAGGGCTACAGACCCTAGTCCTGTACCAGCTGCTGGTATCATAAAATTTCTAACCACACGCGGAGCCATGCCGTCATGGTTATTCCAATTTCTGACGTCCGGACCGACTCCTATGACCAAATCACTTGCTAAGAATCTCTTCCAAAAGGCATTAGAGGCCGATCATGTTGACCTCATCATGTTCTTGCTTGATTGCGGAGCATTGGAGGATGTACATGAGATGGTGTGTCTCCACAACGGAGAAAGATACACACCCCTTCAACTAGCTGCAATGAAGCAATCCCTTAGAGTTGTCAAATGGCTAATTGAGAAGGGAGTCGACGTAAACAAGGTTTCTTCAAGCAACTCTGACTGTCGCTGTAATGCATTATGGATGCTGATTCAATACAATAATACCTCAAAATCAACACTTGCCGACAAATTCTTGCTTCTTGTTGATGCTTTCTTAGAGAAGAACGCTACGGTATCGGTACATTCTATCCTAACTGCAGCCCGAACCTTTACTGACCCTCGTCTTGCAATTCGACTCATTAAGAAGTCTGCGTTCCAAGCTCCTCAAAGCCTCATGTCGGACATGGACACCCTTGAATATATCATTAAGTACCTTAGGGAGGAGGATGCGACAAGTATGATCAAACTCTTAACAGAACAGTGTCACAGAATAGGCGGCGACATATTATTGTTTCATCTTTCTTCCAACTTCAACAAAGTCTTGAATGAAGCCGTGGTGCGGGGATACAAAGGGGTGGTGGAAGCCCTGTTCCCATATACTTCATCACCAAATGAAATACTCCAAACAGCAACAGCAACCAGCAACCAAGAGATTATCGATTTTATTCTTCGGAAGAACCCAGAATTGAAAGGCGCAAAGGATGATATAATCGCCGCTCTTAGGTCTGGAGACCAATACTGTCTTCACTCTTTAGAAGAAAGGGGGGTACTGAAACGTCTCCAAAGCGGTCCTGAGCTCAGGGCAACATTTCAAGTAGCTCTCAAAGTAGGGAACTTAGAATATGCAACCAAGATAATGGACCTCGACCCCGGCTTCGAATTTGCAGACGACGACAATTTTGACCTGGCTTCTGCTCTGAGTGTCGCTTTGACTCATGGTTTCGATGATATTGCCTGGAAGCTCTTAGCCATGGGGGCCACTGACAGTTTTCGCTCCGGAGCAACGTACGGCTCGATGTCGCTATTATACGTCGCGATAGACAAGAGAAAACCAGAATTCGTGGAAGCTATCATAGAATCTGGCTTTGGACTCGATATAATCGATGTGTCGGTCGGTGGCAAAGATTCGGTTCTAGAAGCCGCTGTGGAATGGGGCGACGACTCAGTTCTAAACGGTATTTGGGAAGCCCGCTCTTACACAATCCATCCCTCCACAAGCCTTTTGAAACTCGTAATTGAGAAAGGACGTCGGGACTTTTTCTGGAAAATCATAGAATCTTGTATTCCAGAGACCAATTTATGGCACAATAATGCGATAAGAGTTGCGATAGAACTTGAAGATATTCCACTTCTTGAAACATTGGTCGCCCGTGGCGTCAGGATAGATAATGGCGACCTACATGATGACGACCTACTACAGGACGCTATAGAGGATTATCCCTCAATGGTCAATCCGCTCCTGGAGCAATTTCGGAAGGCTTACTCAGAAGGATATGCTGGAGATGGCTATTCCTTTATCACCAGTGTAGTTCGCAAGTATCCGAATATACCTAATTCGCTAGATACGTTCTTTACCGAGGACATCGTAACTGCGGATGTTCTCCTAGGAAAAGGAGAGCGTGAAACACTACTTGAAACGGCGATCGCATATTACGAATCCCCAGATATATCCCTTATCGAGAGGCTACTTACTGCCGGTCGCGACATCAACGGGCGTAGTGACGTCAATAGGCCTGTGTATCTTCACCCATACGGTCCAGTTAATCAAAAGACCACTGCTCTTTTAACAGCCATCAAGGTGGGAAGCATAGCGATCATAAAGCTCCTTATCGAAAATGAAGCCAGGGTGAATGAGCCGGCGCGATTCGGTATACGGTTCACTCCTCTGCAAAAAGCTGCCGAGGTCAATAACCTCGAGATCGTCCGTTTCCTGTTAGACAATGGGGCCGACGTCAACGCTGCACCGGCGAAATTCAACGGAGCCACCGCACTTCAGTTTGCAGCCATCCATGGCAACTGTAAAATGGCGATAACGCTACTACATAGTGGTGCCGACTTGAACATACCCCCGCCGCAGGGGCCTCGTGGGCGCTGGCCCCTGGAGGGCGCGGCTGAGCATGGCCGCCTCGATATGATACAGTTGCTTTGGAACGCTAATTGCGGTCCCTTTAAGGATGAGCAGTGTCGAAAGGGTATGCGGCTCGCGGAACGGAATGGCCACACCGGCTGCAGAGATTTGATCAAAGAATTGATGGCTAGGCCCTCCATCGACTATCACATGGATTTGAGTATGTGGAATGCGGAATAGGGGTTTCGAGGTCAGTAGATTCATCAAATACATTTCCCTTCGGGTTTTCTGAGGGCACGGTGTCGTCCTCTATTGTCTTAATGATTTAAACTAACTATTTCTAGTACAGCTGTCAGATCCCCCTCAGAGGTGATTTAGGTGACGTATAGATTCTTCGTTGTCGTATACCCCGAAGTGGGTTTCCTCCATAATCGGGTAGTCTAGATGATAGGGCGACTAAGAACATAATGAGATAACTATCTGATGCAGAAGCTGTATTGCCTCTTGCTATTAGAGATATAGGTGATGGAAGTACGGAGACGGGTCGGGATGGCGGATTGTCGTACTGGGTGAGGCAGTTTGTCGAGGATGCTAGTAGCTAGGTCATTTCTTTCATTCTACAATTGGCTTTGAATAATGAAGCAGACGTGTCCCTTTGCTAGAAACAAATCGGTGTTTATGCTGTGAATGATACAACCTCCGTAGAAGAAAAGGGGTAAAATGTCGGCCCGTTCCGGACGGAGTCAGCTGGTGAAAAGACCCACCTACATACTAGTGTCATTTAAGTGGTCCGTGCTTGGGATCTTAACGTAATTCACCACGAAAATTTCTCTGGCGAGAACTATTGGAACTTAATATTATCTTAACTTTCTTCCTTGATGATCAACGTTTCCCACGATAGCGCCCAGTTTCATCCATGATGGGATATAGGGGCTATCCATAATTATGCTCTTAAAGGTCTGAATATCTCTTTTTACTTTGTCTCATGTCGCAGCATGACCCTGTCCCAGCCACTCGAAACCTATTACGAGTCTTTCATCCGAATGTTCTTACTACCGTGATGCGTCTTGTGTCGTGGTCTTGAGAGGGCTTGGTGATACGGGGCGGATGATGTTCGCATCGTCCGAAGATAGAAAGCTGCAAGAATGAATATTACGGACCATCATAGTCCACGCTCATCTATGTCGTAACTCATGATACGATATCCCACATGAGCGAGGCTCCTAGAGCTCCTACAAACCGGTATTAATGTTATTTATTTGCGGTCTAGCTCCTACTAGATTCGAGCAACGGTGATCCCCGCCGGCCGAAAGCTGATTTCATTCGTCACATCTTCGTTGGGAAGTTGGACGACGTCACTCCACGTCGATTTCATTCTCGTTCTTGTACCTAAAACCTACATCTTGCATGTGCAAGTGATCTCTCCTTACGAGCTATTTCCCAGATGCTTACATCTACGGAAATCATCTCACTTGTCAATTCTGGTATAATCGTTGATACTATCGCACTACCGCGTAATGCTACGGTATCTACCTCTTTATTTCTCTTACCTACTTAAGCTATCAATAATAACCTAATCAACATAATAAATTTTGATGTACCTAACTCGACCACTCTTCCGAGCTTTGAGAAGTCATCGTGTCAATAGTGTCACATTTCATACCACGTCCAAGATGTCGGCGACTTCCAAATCCAAGTTCTCGCATCTGCCACTAAGCACCAGTGGTCCAATAGAATGTGCAGTATCTGGGACTGTCTTGCTGAACACCCCTTATTTCAACCGTGGCTCAGCACATTCAGCTGAAGAAAGGCGCGAGTTTAATCTCACTGGTCTGCTACCTACCAGTATCCAGACCCTAGAACAGCAAGTGGAGCGTGCATACCAGCAGTACATTTCGAGACAAGATGACTTAGCCAAGAACACCTTCTTGACGTCGCTGAAGGAGCAGAATTTGGTCTTATACTTCAAGGTAAGGCTGTCTTGAGGCTATTATTATTAGTTACTTATTGGAAGCTACGCACGAAGGCTTGGATTCCAATCCTTCCAATCCCCCTTGAGGGATTATGCGCTCTATACTAATATATCGCAGCTTTTGCAAGACCACCTGAAGGAAGTATTTAGTGTTGTTTACACACCAACGGAAGGTGATGCGATTCAGAACTTCTCTCGGCTATTCCGACGACCTGAAGGATGTTTCCTTAACATCAATGATATCGGCAGAGTTCCGCATGATCTAGCCCAATGGGGAAAGCCTGAGGATATAGACTACATTGTCGTATCAGGTATGTCTCTAACTCGAAAACCCAAATTCTGACTTACGCATAGTTCAACGCTTACAAGTCATAGACGGTGAAGAGATCCTTGGTATAGGAGATCAAGGCGCAGGCGGAATCCTAATTTCAGTCGCAAAGCTCGTACTGACTACACTATGCGCTGGAATTCACCCTAACAGAACTCTGCCCGTCGTACTTGATTGTGGAACGGACAATGAGAATCTACTCAACGATGATCTGTATCTCGGCCTACGCCAGAAACGAGAGAGGGGGGAGAAGTACGACAAACTTGTCGACACCTTCGTTCAGTCTGCCCGAAAACTCTTTCCTCGTGCCTATATTCACTTTGAAGATTTCGGGTTGGCGAATGGTGAGTACTACTCGATCGCAGCTCTGAATCGCATGACTAAACCACGAACACAGCACGCCGTATATTGGATCACTATAGACCGGAAATCCCATGCTTCAACGATGATGTCCAAGGCACTGGCTGCGTGTCTTTGGCGGCTATCATGGCCGGACTACACGTAACCAAGCAGAAGCTGCGGGACACCAAGATAGTCATCTTCGGCGCCGGCACCGCTGGTGTCGGTATTGCCGACCAGGTACGTGACGCGATTGCCGCCGAGAAGGGTATCAGCAAGGAAGAAGCGGCAAAACAACTCTGGTGAGCACATCATACCCTTTTTCGTCTATATAAATCGCATCTAACATAACCACAGGTTAATCGACAAGCCTGGCCTCCTAACCACCCAAACTCAACTTGACCATGGCCAACGTACCTACGCCAAAGATGCGTCAGAATGGGACAACAAAGAGCGCTCTCTCCTCTCCGTCATCAAAGAAATCCACCCGAACGTGTTAATCGGGACCTCCACCGTCCCCAAAGCCTTCACCGAAGCCATCGTGAAGGAAATGGCAGCCGGCACCCCGCGCCCCGTCATCCTACCCCTCTCAAACCCAACCCGTCTGCACGAAGCCGTACCATCCGACATCCTAAAGTGGACCGAGGGCCGCGCTCTCGTAGCCACGGGCTCCCCCTTCGACCCCGTAAAAGGGCCCTGGGGCAAGGACGGCGAGGACGTAGAGATCGAGGTCGCGGAGTGCAACAACTCGGTCGTCTTCCCCGGCATCGGGCTCGGCGCCGTGCTCTGCCGCGCCAACAGGGTGACGGATAAGATGCTGGTGGCCGCGGTCCGCGGCGTCGCGGCCCTGAGCCCCGCGCTGAAAGACGACACGGCGCCCCTGCTCCCCGGCGTCGAGGACGTGCGAGCCGTTAGCGTGCGCGTCGCGCGCGAGGTCATACTGGCTGCGGTGGCAGAGGGCGTCGCGACGGAGGAGGGTATCCCGACTGCGGTCGAGGGCGAGGAGGGTTTGGATGAGTGGATTCGCGAGCAGATGTGGGATCCGGTGTATCGGCCCTTGAAGCGCGTTGAGCCGGAGGGCGCGAGTCGGGCCGCGAAGGCGGAGTTGAAGGTTGTGGGGAGTTTGGAGCTTGAGGGTCTGGATGGGAATGGGGATGGGGATGGCGGGAAGAAGTAGTGCTCTTGCTGCGTGTTGATGTGATCATAAACACAGGCGTTTCTTCGTTCCTTACCTTAGCATAGAACGACCTTCATCTTCCGTGGGTACGGTGAGTGTGGGTGGATATGAGGAGGACCTGGTACTAGACCTAGACAGTTGTCTTGAACGGTACAGTCGGTAGATTACCTACCTAGTAGCTATTCTATACATGTGCATTTTAAAATAAATATTGGCTCTCCTTCCGTATGATATAAACGATGAAACGCTGCGCTTGAGGTCATGTTTTCTTGTCCTTTTTACTCCCAAGAGTGTATGGAAATTTGCTACTACCTAGTAGATGGAGAGCATGAACGAAGAACCACCTTGACTTGCTGACCAGTCTCTCGAAGCCCTGAGTAGCCGTACAAGATCAACAACTACCCGTCCTCCTTCGCACTCATATATCCCAAATAAGATATACCTCGTGATAGGTATCCCATTATTTCTCATAATTCTCATAATTTCTGTAACCAATACCTACTTAATCACCTCCCTCCCATCCATATCACACCTCAAGTACCTTAAGTACCTAGATAGATAGATAGATGAACCATGTCAAACAATATACCTACTAGAATACGAAAACCAGGCCTGGCCTGTGTTATAAGCTACTGCTACATTATCCCGCTGACTCCGTTCTCATTCGTTCAAGCATCGATTTGACCATGACCAGCGCAAGACGGGGAACCCGTACATACGTCAAGCCTGAGTAGTTACTCTCTCCTCAGTCACTCGCTTCTCGTATCTATATCCCACTTGACCTCACTCCCATAACCAAACCCCCTAAATCAATCCCGCCCTAGCAGCCTCCCCACCCCCTTCCTGCAACAAAGCCTCCACCTTCTGCTTCCCCTTCCCCAGACCCCCCTCGCCGACGCCCATCCTGCGGGCAACGTACCTCTGCGCCACGACGCCGACGCTCAGGCTCAGCACCTCCTCAACCCACTCCGCGACCCATTCCCTCGGGTCCACGCCGCCGCTCTCCACAATCTCCCTAATCTCGTCCGGCACGTCGCGGCCCTCTTCGGGCACGCGAGGACCAGCATTCCTCTTCTTTTCCCTTCCCTTTTCCTTCTCCTTTTCCTCTTCCTCATCATCACTCTCGTCATCGTCGCTCTCTTCATCATCCTCGTCGTCATCCTCGTCCTCCGCGCTGCCGGGCGTAAGCGGCGTCGGCGCGTCCAGCCATCGGATCCATTTAGCCGGGATATGCTGGCTGACGGTGCTATACACGATATCATGAATAGGATCCAGGACATACACGGCGAAAGCGACAAGCGCATCGTTGGCTGCTCCGCCGTCCGCGACGGCGCTAGCCTCGTCCTTGGCCGCGCTGCTGCCGGCGAACAGGGCCGGGTCGGCGTCGAGCGCGACGGGCTGGACGGCGAGGAAGATGTCGCTGGTGCGGACGGGGTTCTCCTCCGAAACGGGCTCGAGCGCGCGCTTCTGCGCCTCGGACACGCCGCCGCTCGCCGCGAAGTAGTCGTGCGCGTAGCTCTCCGCGCTGACGCGGCACAGCTTCGTGCCCTCGGCCAAGCCCTTGACGGCGCCCAGGTCCCGGCGCGAGTCGACCTGGCGCCACCAGGGGCCGTCGCGCCACCCGGCGGAGCTCGAGGCTCCCTTGTAGAATGCGGCACCGGAGTCGGAGGACCGGCGCGCCGTGTTCTCGTGCCCGCGCTGCACGACGAGCAGGTCCCCGCCTTCGACTTGCGACATCACCCGGCTGAAGACGCCGTAGATGAGCGGGTCGAGCGACGGGTACCCGACGATGTCGTGGGTGATGTGGATTAGGAGGCGCTCGTGCGAGGAGATGGGCGGGGCGAGCGTGTGGAGGATGTTGGCGAAGGTTGGGAGGGCTCGGTGGCGGAGGCCGTCGCCTATGTTTTCATGTCATTTAGCTTGGAGGGGTCTGCCATGTTTAGATAAGAAACCAACCTAGATCTTTAAGAACGCCGACGTTTCCTTTGACTTGTTCGGCCCATTTCTTGGCCTCTTCGTTCTGCTGGATCTCTTTGTACGCGGCCTCGGCCTGCTTCATCGCTGCGTTCGCCGTGGCACTGGCCGTAGCAAATATTCCACCCCACCAGCCGCCTCCGGTGGCAGCGGGTGCGGTCTGTTCTACGGTGCCCTTCTTCTCGGCATCCTGGAGATCGGAACTAGTGGCACTGGGCGTAAAGCTTGCGTGAAGAGAGCGGGTGCTGTCGACGGATTTGCGTGCGACGTTTGCTGGCTTGTCTTCGGAGTGTCGAGGGGCACCCGGCGGAGGGGTAGCTGTGCTGCTTCGCTTACTGGCTATCTTAGTAGCGGCGGTCTCCTTGACACGAGGGGTGTGAGGTCGAGCAGGCTCCTCGCTGCCGAGTTCGTTCTCGAGTTCGGCAAGTTCCTGCTCGAGCTTCTTATCGCCTCGGCGAGGTTTGGGGCCGGCGGGCTTAGATTTACTAGGGGCCTTCTTTCCTTTGTTTTCGTCACCGATCCCCTCGAAGAGCTCGTCGAATCCGTCGTCGTTGGAAGCCTTGGATCGTTTGGCCGCCATCTTGGATAATAATCGTGGTGGGTGAGGGTTATTTTTGGTGGAGAGGGGTTACGATTAAGAAGCAGCAGAAGTGGGAATTACTCGATGGAAATGTTCCGTGTTCAGAAGTAGGTAGACTATGGAGAGAGCTATTGCAATGGTAAGGGAGATGGAGATGCAGACTAGCAGTCGATTATGATTCGCCGTGCCCCTGTAATATGTAGCTAAGGTTAGGCGTCATGTGTGTATGTGTATGTGTATGTATGCAAAGCCGAGGGGAACCAATCGTTTGACCGGATTCGACTGCAACTGGGTTTGTGGATATTCACCGGCAGATGTAACAAACACTATTTCGACAACTAATAAGAGACGAGGGTATTTCGAACTAACCAGTTGGCATTGACAACGCTATGGGAGCCGAATGGGAAGCAAATCAGCAGTGGTTGGGTATCTAGACAGGTCAATATATGATAATGTCATGTGGTGAGCGGTTGACGGTTGACGGTAAAGTGATCCCGGGAAGAGGAACACGGGATCGGAAATCTTTAGTGCAGACGCCTGCAATTTCTAAAACTGTCGTCACTGAACGGAGACCCGAGGGGGGCTAGTGACAGCTGGAAGCACGAGCCAATAGATTATGTCAGTTGCCGGAAAATCAATTAAAACACTTGGTACATGGGTGGACCGTGGGTAGATGTACCAAGTATTCTAAAAATACAGGGGTGCTAAGGTTGCGCTAGCCCGAAAACGGATTTTAAAAGGGCACATCTGTTCGATCGTGTTATCCCATTGGCTAGAGACCTTTTCCTAAAAAGTATAGGCTTGAAGGCTGGTGTCTCCAAATAGGGATTGTAACTGTGGCTTATGCTGCCCCGAACCTTCAGAAATTAGCAGTGTTGTGAGTACCTACGTATTTTTGGGTGACCTCGCAGAAGGGACGGGGACGACAAGATCAGAGTCACTCCAGTCGAAATCGCAAACCTATATATACCCAGCTTTCTAAACTACAAAATTTCTTCTTCCTTTCAACAACGGATCTTGATTTATCGAGCGAGTGCCAAATACTAGGTAAGCATTTTCCAACCGTTTCATTCTATTGTCGCCTGACAGTACCGCATAAAAATCATCCATCCTTTTCATCCACAACACTGCAGCTCCTTTTATCAACCTTTTTTCTCACCACGTCTTCCTCATATAACATACAACCCAAACTATCATCCATTTACCTCAACTAACCAGCAACCTTGCAGCAACTCTCTCGTGTACAATAACTCACAAGATCATCTGAGACTTCTTACGTAGCGCAAGCTATACCATCAGGTTCGTTTTATTTTCCTTGTTATTAATTTTCTTCCCTACCCAAGTAACAAGTAAGTCCCCGACATTTTGACACTTTCTATTTCGACCGTTGTATCCAATATTTCACCCTCTTGTAATGGAATAAATGATCGCGCTATCAACCATCATTCCATTTTCCTACCGCTTGATTTATTTTCATCTCTCGGGTGCGTCGTGATCAATCCCGACTACGCGCTCAAACATAATTCATACTACCCTTACCTATACCCATACCCATACTCATTCATTTCCATACTTGAAGAAAACTTCCCCACTTACATAATCTCCGACAGGAAACTACTTTCACCTACACTTTCATTCACTCACTCTATTTTTACTTCCACATATTTTTCCACCTCTTCTTCTATCTTCCTCTTTGTAGAATCCTATCATGGATTCTTCAAGCAATCGCGGCCGCGGCCGAAAACGCCCTACTTCACATATTTCACCACCTCCTTCCTCCCCTCCCCAGAAGGCAGCTCAGGAACTACCTGACCTACCATCTGTCTCCGACGCCTCTGGCCCGTCGGCTCTCTTACCCTTATCCCTCGAAACCCCGAGTCCATCTGCCCCGCTCTCCACGCGGATGCGCACTCGCCAGGCCGAGGGTACTAACACTTCACCCGTGGGTCGCTCCCTACGAAAGCGACCTCGTGTGGACTACACATTCGAGCAGCAAGATGCCGAGAACAGTCTCAAACTTTCCTCGAGCTCTCCTCGCTCATTTAAGCGTCGTCGTACCGATGTTGTTTCGAATGAGAACGAGTTAGACGATGATTCGGAAGCTCGCTCAGAAGCACGCTCTAAGAGACGTGCCTCCGAACAGCCCCAGTCGTCCTTCACTCGTAAGCGTATCGCGGGTAAAGGGCCAGTGGACCAGCAGACCTTTGCGCCAGCCCACCACGATGATGTCGAAGTACAGGACACCATCGAAGTTGGTGGACACCATAGTGAAGAGTCTGATGAGTCGCTCATCCGAAGAGCCAGTTCAGGTTCTTCAAGTCACGACAACAAGGCGGCTCCTGGATCAGCCTCATCCGAATCTGCTGATAACCGACTTTCGCAGTCCAAGCAGTCGCCATCTGCTCCCAGGGTGTCCCTTCTCTCTCGACCCCTACCCCTACCCCCCTATGAACCACTCCCGCGTGAGAACGTATCAAAGAGACTCCGAGACAGAGTCCAGGTGAATATATCTGGAGAGATGAGCGAGGATACAGAGCCTACTGGACAACAGCCACTTGATATGGATAATGATCAGAATGACCTAGATTCTTTGAGTCACCTCACCCCTTACATACGGGGTTCTTACACCTTTTACCCACAATACCCCGAGGATGACGCAGAACCTGAAGCTGATCTTGATCGTGACTCTTGTCAGGTGGATGCAGATGTTGATCTCAACGCGGACGCTGACCCTAGTCTGGAACTTGATCGCACAGCAGCCACCAACGGCCAGAGCAGTGCTGAAGACATAGCTGTCGAGGACAAGGTAGATGGTCCCGTGGAGCAGACGCCGGCCGATACTGCGGCAAACTCACCGTCTGGTGAGGTAGAAGCAACCCCTGCCCAGGCGCCACAGAAGAAGCGGTACAGATTCAACCAAATACGGCCGGCGTCCGAATATACGGACCTATTCAAGGACATCAAGTCCTTATCTACAGCAGAACTTTACCGCCGAATTGAGGTCGCCAACGAGGCCATGGTTGCATGGCAGGAGGAATTTCGTGAGCTTAAAAAAATCACGGATGATTACGACAACTCAGTCCGATATAAGAGGGAAGAGGAATCCTTCCAACGACGTTCAAACATGATGGCCAGTAGAAACCCATCCTACAACCCAATCGCCAAGGACTTCGTCGTTAAAGGGGAGAGAGCGCAAGATAATACAGATCCCCTAGTGAAGTATATGCGTCAGCAAGACAAAATACAGGCGGACGCGTGGGGCTTCGAGTACGATCCCCGCCCCGACAAGATTGGTAATCAGAACCCCATTGCACAGCGAACTGGGGCCGGCCGCCAGGGACGACTTAGAGAACGACCCAAGCAAACCGCCAAGGCAGCAGAGTTGGACGAGCCCATTGTCTTGCCAGGAAAGAGAATCAGAAAAGCTCCAGAGAGATTTGCGGGAGATGAAGTTATTAGCAGGGGGTCTACCCCGGTGCCTACCCAGCGACGAGGACGTCGCCATAATTTAGCGCCAGAGAATGGCGAACAGAATCCACCCCAGCCCCAGTCACAGGCTCAGCAACTACCTCTATCACAACCCCAGCCTCAGTCGAAGGCCAAGGGACAGTCTCAATTACCTCAATCATCTCAACCTGAGCCCCAGCCACAGGCTCTAACTTCATCTTTCTCTTCATCCCAGACACATGCCGAGGTCCAAGACCCGAGTGTCTCTACACAAGATCATATACCTGCACCCGCACATGCCGAGAAGGACGTTCCGAAGAAGAAGGGAAAGGGTGGCCGCCCTCGAAAGAATCCCATTCCGGAACCTGTAGCAGAAGCCGAACCTACTACGGCAGCTACGATAGAATCTATGATAGAATCTCAGTCGCGGCCAGAACCGAAACCTGAGCCGGACCAATCCCGCGCCCTAGAGACGCGTAAGTCGCCAAGTCAACGAAAAATCACTAAGGTAGTTTTGAAGACTCAAGGAAGACCAGGCGTCATCCCACATCGCGATGCAGAGTCCGAGCCCGAGTCATCGAACCCATCGACGAAGCGAGAGAGAGATGACGAAGAAGTCGCGGAAGAGCAAAGCACTCGCAAACGTCGACGTAGAGCACCTCCGTCAGCTCCTAACTCTATTGTTACCCTTACCCTTGCCCCTCCCCCAGCCCCGGCTGCACCGGTTATAGAAGATAATGTCACCAATGGTACAGAGCCAGAGACTCACGTGAAATCGACACGTCGAAGAATCACGAAGAAGACAGATACATCTCACGAACCTCCGAACACTACGACCAATACATCCTTTACGGCTCCAGTCGAAGAACCTCGTCCCCGAACTGCCTCGTCTACCGCAACCGTTGATACTACGGCATCTACCAACAATTATCAGCTCCGCGAGAAGCGTCAGAGGAAGTTCACTAACGATATTATTGATGACGACTTCATTGAAGAGCCTAAGCGCAAGCGTGCTCGACGAGCGTCAAAGAAACCACAAGTCAAGAAGGAAAATATTTTACCTGCCCCGGAGCCTTCTCCCGTAAAGCAACCTGAACCAGAGGTGCCTGCCCTACCAAAGCCTCCCACCAGAATCAGAATTAAGGGAATGCCTAACCCTTTACCGAACCCTACTTTGACACCGGCGTCCAGCACGCCTTCGTTAGCCCCCTCTACGAACTTGGCGCCGGCTAACTTAAACAACCTTATTAACGGCAATAGTAACGGCAATGGTAATGTCGTTGGCAACGGAACCTCAAGGTTTGACGCTGCTGACACAGAGTCCAGGGCAGAGCCCCCGAAGGACTACAGTACGATGACCAAATCAGAAAAGATGTCAGCATCGATGAAAGGTATGTCAAATAGCACGCTTGCCACACATACCACCACCAACCCGTCCCAACCCTCACCATTAAATATCAAGTCACAATATAGCTAACCAAGAATATCTAACAGCTCGATGGGCATCTGGGTCGATGGGCAATGCCGTGCTCAAACGCCGCGCGACGCTTGCAGCTAAGAAGCAGAGTGCGAAACCGTCCGAAGTGACAAATGCCGCAGCACCGGACCAAGCTCCAACTTCTGGATCTACGCATCAACCAGAGTCTGATGAAGATATCGATGACGACCATGAATCGGTTACAATGTCGCCGAGCGATGGATCATCTTAGCCATTGCGCTCGTCTGTCTCATCCTTGGATGAGTACACTATGATAACAAAAAATAAAAAAATAAAAACACAAAAAAAGCAAAAAAAATAAAAAAGAAAAATAAAAACACAAAAAAAGCAAAAAAATAAAAAAGAAAAATAAAAAAATAAACCACCAAGGAAACAAAAGGGGGGCGGCGGGTTGGGGGGGAGGGAGGGTGGGAACCCAACCACGCATGACGGGCAATGTAGAGTGGGTGGGATGTCTAAGAAAACTCAGTTGACTCCCACCCACTCACAACTAGGGGGGCGGGGAGGGAGGGAGGGCCGTCGTGGGCGGCGGGATGTCCAGTTAAAACTCACCTGGCTCCCGCTCGCCCATGAACAGAGAGGGTGGAGGGATGCTTGGAAGCCACTCATCCAACTCCCTCTTACCCTCTCTAACGCCCCCCTAATGGTGGCGACGCGGATGGAATAGGCTTCCAGACCGCGTCGTATGGATGGAGGGATCCATCCATGCGCACGCCATCATCGTGGGTGGATGGCCGGGCGGTTAGATACTTGGACTAACCCCTATCCCATCCACCCACGAAAACGAGAGGGTGGGTAAGTTGTTTGGACGCCATTCAACCAACACTTACCCACCCTTTCTATGGGCGGAGAGATGGCTAGGCGAAACACGCCTAGCTCTCTCCAGGGCTGTTGCAGGCGGTCGGGTGTCTAGGCCAAACTCAACTAGCACCCGTCCATCTGCGGACCTAGAGAGGGTGGAGGGCTGTTGGATACTTGGACCAACACCCCTCAACATAAATATCCACCCTCTCTCAACCCACTCGGGGGATCGAGCGAGTGGGATTACGGGTTGGGCGGGGTGGAGGTAAAATGGGTGAAGGAAATAGGGGCATAGGAAGGGGTTTCGCGAAACCCCAAGCATGGACATAGGGGGGAGGCAGCATTGTACATTTGCACATACCAAAAGTGGCATTTGCTTTCAGCACAGGAGTTCGGGAAAATTGGGCGGTAACGGGGTTCACGGTCAAACATATTGCATAGGGGGTAGACGGGTGGGTGGGGAGTTCGGATACTTGGACCAACTCCCATCCACCCTCGCCAAAACCATACGGCGGGCATTGATATCATTTTGCATGGGTTGGGAGTTATGAATTGGCGGTTATAGAGGTTCAATACCTAGGGTAGAAGAATATTACCCTTCAACACATACATATACTCGCGTGCTCGTGATATGATTAATTATCTAAGTATTGAAGGTAGTAGATGTAAGCACAGAAGCCAGCAAGGCTGCCCCTAACGCTGAATCTGCAAAATGTGGTGTATTTCGGCTGTCTTGGCAATTGTAGCAAGGGATCAACCGATAGGTACACTTCCAGGACTCTATGATATTCCCATAGCTAATTCAGCCCGATCCCGGTCCATTGATAACTACCACGTCCAAGACGCGAATTGTGGAGTATTTGACCTCCTTTATACGTATTGACGAATCAGATAAATCATAGATATTTTAGTCCTACGAAGACCTACCTAGGCGATCTCGGTCGTCCGTCTCTTAGAAGCAGATAGAAAAAGTCGAGTGTGTCTCTAAATATTGTAGAGAATTCAAGAGATGTTGACTAAGTGAGCCTAGAATGGAGTTAATAAAATTAGGAGTAAAGAGTTGGTCTGATTTGAATCTGACAAGGGCGGGTTGGGTGATATTCGGATGATTGGTCCCCCCCCTGTCCTCAGTATCAACTTCATACATGCGCTATGAAGAGAAGTTTCAATTACTCCGCTCTTCTCAGGTTAAAGCCCCTTCTGGGATGAACATCATGGGGTTACAAGCCCACTGGTATCGTCTAGAGGTAATGAGGTATACCACTTTCAGCTGTAAACGATGGGTGCACATACAGGCGTACCATTGGAAAATTCATTAGTTGTCAAATCTAAGGTCAATCGGAAAAGTCACGTTCAAAATCATAACAAGCAAAACTTGGGGACTGAACGTTTCATTCGTCCAGGATGCTGTTCTTTTGGTATGTCTCCTTTACGCCCCGTAGCCGAAATGCAAAGTGACCAGTCCTCCAGCCGGACACGCGATAGATATCTGCGTCATTCCTTCCTCCGCCTGTCATGAAAGTGGCTGGCCGTGTCGATGTCTTCCAATCGTGATGACTCGTCAATAAGGTAGGTTGTGTCAATCCGCCTCTCACAAATGCTCCCGAAACGCTCTCAATTTACATCACAACACCGGAGTTGCTGGCAATACGCTGTGTACGTGTCAGAACATGCAGATATATGGTAATGGGGCGAGGACACTTACGGGCCATAATTCAGCAGCCTCCTTGCCGACGGGTCCAGTGATGGCAGAGCCCTTCATCTCACCCTTGGGGTTGACGATCTAGAGAATGATACGTTAGCAAATTGTATCACGGCTGTATATGAAATCAACATGTAACGAGCCCGTATCCTAGCTTTCCAGCCTTGTCATACAAAGATCCCATCCTATAGTCTCCATAGGCACCTTTCCTAGTCGAGCGATCGCATATCGGAGCACATGTAGGTAAATAAGAGACTTACAACACCAGCGTTGTCCTCGAAGTATAGGAAGACACCGTCGGTTCGCTTCCAGGGCTTGGACTGTCGGACAATAACGGCGGGGTGGACCTTCTTTCGGAGCTCGGGCTTTCCCTTCTTGACGGTGGCCATGACCATGTCACCGACACCACCAGCAGGCAGTCTGTTGAGGCGGGCACCGATACCCTTGACGGAGATGATGTAGAGGTTTCGGGCGCCGGAGTTGTCAGCGCAGTTCATGATGGCACCGCTATTCAATGTATTAGCGACGGAAACCGATTCGAAGGGGACTCCTGCACTTACACAGGCAGACCGAGGGTCATCTTCAGCTTGCCACCGGGGGCACCACGCCTGTAAAACAAATCATTAGCGAAATTGTTTCAAAACCTCATCATTTCCTGCGATATCCTATCGTCCACCAGTTGTGGCTCCTGCAAAGCAATACCGACCACCGAAGCTTGGAGATTAAGATTCAACCTTGATGCCGCCTTGCGATTGTAATTTCCACCACTCGAAGTTTCTAGTATGCCTCCTCATACGCCACAAAACAGTTCTTTTGTCAGTACCATTTTCCTCTCACATTTTCCCCCGCCAAAATTGAATTTCCACCTCTTGCCGTGCCCCTCCAAGCTTCCGGTGGGAATCGCATAATTCGAGATCGAACGGATATGAATTCAACTTACGAAATCTTGGCCATTGCGACTGATTTATTCGGATTTCTGTAAAATCGGGAGTGGTGTTGGACGAAGTTGTCGAGGTGGTCGTTATCACAGAAAAGCGAAAAAAAAGTTCGAGAGTTCAATGGCTCCAAATTTCTTAGTGGTGGTGGAGGGTACTGCAAACCGCGAAATGTGCGGCTTCCTAAGTAAAAAAAACCCTAGGGGCCCACAAATTGTAGAAGCGATTTCCGTAAAGAGGAACAGTATCACGTGATGATTAGATTTGCTGTATCTTCGTACACTCTAGTATGGTCTGTGCACTTCATGCCGTTTCTTTCATCGTCCGCCGTCCAACGTCCGACCAAACATCTAAGTCGAATGCTCTATTTGCTAGCATCACCTTCTTATTCATTGAGGCCAGCAGAGATAACTGCGTTTTGCATTAACCACTAGTCGGATCATTTCTATACGTTAACATGGCACTTGTTTAATATTATTGTAGATTTGGTAATCGTTCTACTAGCAACAATCCTCATAGGACTAGTGGTCGTCTCTCTCGGACCAAGGCTTTAAGGCCTCAAGAAGCTTCAAGTGGACATCGGGCTCTCCAGAAGCCTTCAGCGCCCCCGCAATGGCATCCTCGCTAATTCTTCCCATGAAGAGAAGCCATCCACCCCATATGAAGTCGGCAAAACCAACAGTCTTTCCCTCGAAGAAGGGGCCTTCAGGGTTCTCCTTCAATAACGCGGTGACCTTCTGCACGTATGGTGCGGCAGCTTCCCATGCCGGTGCACCGCCCTCTTGCGCGAAGTCTTCCATCTTCTTTCCGACTGCCTTCTCACGCGTCGTGCGGAAGTAGTCCTGGCTAGCTTCGTTCAATATGTTGAAGAGCACTCCCGGGATGAAGACAGGGCTGGTGGGCTTCCTCAAGTTGGTAAGCTGCTCGAAGACCTTTGCTATGTAAGGCGAATCTAGATGTAGGCTCGGCTCGGGGTACCTCGCCTCGAGCTCTTTGGCAATCTCCAGCGATTCCATTACCCATTTACCATCAGGCAAAATGACGGCTGGGATCGTGTAAAGATCCGCTTTCGGAAGGCTATGGTTATTGTCAGGGAGCGCTGACTGATATGCTCATGATGAGTTGACTCACTGGTCCTGAAACTTGGGCTTGATATCCGGATATTCGATCTGCCATTGTGAGCTAATGACTTTGAATGCTCGAAATCGTGATACCAGAATATTTAGGAACTTACCCATTCCGTCTTATAGGGGAGACCCTTGTAGTTCAAGGCAAGCCGAGCTGTCCCCCTCAGTTAGACGTTGTTTCTCTTCTTCACATGGTAACATACGTACTCTTCCACGGGTTCGGCGACCACGCTTTGTTAGGTGGTTTAGAGGGCAAGTCAAAGAGTGCAATTTCCTGGTTAGACATTGTAGGCGTGTTCGATGATCGATGGCTATGTATGAGAGGCCTTTGAGGATATGGAATATCTAGGTGGGTTACAGGATAGTTAAAGAAGCTCTTGACAGGTGGGGTAATTACATCGACATTTATCTTTCTCGAGACATTATGACTAAACACAACGAGGCACATACAAGGTAGCCCTATGCACCTCGGACTTGGTGGACCGCGCGATTAACATGATCCCATATGTAGATATAGCGGAAATTTACTAGAGGAGCTGCTCTATGCGCCCTTCGACTTACAAGTTGGGTAAAGAGGATTCCATCATCGCACACTCACCCCGCCATGCCATACTTAAGGACCAATAATTCAACGTTGCACTTTTACCACTATCATGCATTGAAGAAGTCATTCATTGGTCAATCTTCCGAGCTTATTAATTATAGCTGGTCTCGGGTCAAAAATTATACGTCAAATGAGATGATGTGTATTTCATGGAATTAGGTAGCTTGCATACTTGCGGAGTAGATCACTGCTGAGCCTCCAAACTAAAAGCGCCTAGATTTGCTACTAGTTCTCTTTGATTTGTCCAGTCTTGTTTCCCCGCACCTTAGGAGGGTCTCTGTACAAGTAATATATACTATTATTAGCGACCAATTGTCCAACCCGCAAGACACACGGAACATAGTCTTCAGGCACTTTGGCGGAGTGGTTAACGCGATGCCCTGCTATGAGCTAATGAATTAGCAATGGTATAGGCATTCCCTTCGGGGGCGTGTGTTCGAATCACACAGGTGTCGGTTTTCTTTTTCTTCTTTCACATGATTGGTTATTTAGATGATGCCGTCTTCACAAGATGAATATTTTTTTTTCGAAGTCCTTCTTTCGTTCGACCTTCTATTTCTCGCCACTATCACGGAACGCCATTTTCCAATTAACGTATCAGATGAAGCTTTCACTGTAGAACCTATGATCCCATTCTCTTGCAGCTTCCTACAATGCATTGAAGACAACTCTGGAATATGATAATATAATTATGTTTAGTTATGCTTCCGAGTAATCAACAAAACTCTTCTTATAGTCTCCGAAGTCACATAAGCTAATGGATGGCGACAAACAAGCCTCTTAAAAATAATAAGCTGGCTTCAACTGCCTTTGATTTGTTCACGCTTTGGTGATAACTTACACATTGATAGCCAATAGGAAAGCAGGACCATGCAAATCAATTAGCCAATTAGACAAGAATCCCTCTCAGTTCTAAAGCTTGACGGTTGACCATGCACCATGTCAATGCTCACAATTGGCACTAACACCAAAACATACTAGTGGAAGGCGTTATCGATAAGGGTGGGCTGCAGATCCGACCCAAATCCCTTAAGCTCAGAATTCTGGTAGATCCCCGATTTCTTCCTACCTTGTTCTCATCCAACCTTACCGTCTCAGTCCACCTCTTTCGTCAATTTGTGAACAACAATGACGCACGCACCGGTGGATATCTGGAATGGCAACGGCAATGCCTTGGGAGCTTCGTCTCCCAAAAAGGTCGCCTATTTCTACGATTCCGATATTGGTAACTTTGCATACGTATCGGGCCACCCAATGAAGCCTCATCGCATTCGGTTGGCGCATTCCTTGATCATGAACTATGGCGTCTACAAGAAAATGGAGATTTACGTGAGTGCTTCCGATACCATCTAAATCTGCGAATGGGATAACTGATGACTTCTAGCGCGCCAAACCAGCTACGCGACTGGAGATGACACAATTCCATACCGACGAATACATCGACTTCCTACAGCGCGTCACACCCGAGAATATGGATAATTTCGTGCGCGAACAAGGCAAGTACAACGTCGGAGATGATTGTCCAGTGTTCGACGGCCTATTCGAATTCTGTGGGATCAGTGCCGGTGGCAGTATGGAGGGTGCTGCACGTCTCAATCGCCAGAAGTGTGACATCGCCGTCAATTGGGCTGGCGGACTTCATCACGCGAAGAAATCAGAAGCAAGTGGTTTCTGTTATGTGAATGGTAGGTTTTTTTTATCTCTCACTCGCGTAACAACTCTAACATCGCATTTACTCCAGATATTGTCCTTGGCATATTGGAGCTTCTAAGATTCAATAAGCGTGTGCTCTACATCGATATCGATGTCCACCACGGTGACGGCGTGGAGGAAGCCTTTTACACCACGGACCGAGTCATGACCGTTTCCTTCCACAAGTACGGCGAGTATTTCCCAGGAACAGGCGAACTTAGGGATATTGGTATTGGTCAGGGACGATACTACGCCACAAATTTCCCCCTTCGAGATGGTATCGACGACGCCTCGTATAAGTCGATCTTCGAGCCCGTTATCTCTAGTGTCATGGAATATTACAACCCGGAAGCAGTTGTTCTTCAGTGCGGTGGTGACAGCCTGTCGGGTGACCGTCTAGGTTGTTTCAACCTGAGTATGGACGGCCACTCCAACTGTGTGAAGTTCGTCAAGAGCTTCAACCGTCCAACTCTCGTCCTCGGAGGTGGTGGTTATACCATGCGCAACGTCGCCCGCACCTGGGCCTTCGAAACTGGCTTACTGGTCGATGCGCATATGGACCGAACGTTACCATTTAATGAATATTACGATGTAAGATTACATCCATATCCCTATGCTAATTATGACCCTAACTTTGATACTAGTACTACGGTCCCGATTACACCCTTGACGTCCGATCGTCAAACATGGAGAACGCGAACAGTCCCGAGTATCTAGAAAAAATCAAGAATCAATTGATTGAGAACCTTCGACGTACGGCACACGCCCCGTCTGTGCAAATGCAAGACGTCCCTCGTCACTCGATGGGCGCAATGTCCGACGAGGAAGAAGCCGAACTTGACGATCTTGATGAAGACGAGAACAAGGATGTTCGAATGACGCAGCGTCAATGGGAACAGCGCATAGAACGCGACAATGAATATGAAGAGAGCGATAATGAGGAGCTCGACAGAGCCAATGGAGTTCATCGCAATGGCAGCGCTCGACGTACATTCCTCGACTACCGAAATTCGGATGCCGAGGTCGACAGCGGTGTTGCAACCCCAGCCAATGGTACCGTTGAAAGTGTCATCAAGTCTAAGGAGACGGATGATATTGTAATGGAGGATGTGGATAAGGCGCCAGATCCTGAAGCTGATGCCGCGGTTGCTCCAAAACCAGACGAGAAAGAGGTCAAAGAGGACGTTCGAGCCACGAGCACATCCGAGCAGGAAGATGCCCCCAAGGAAGCACAAGGATCTGCAAAATCGGACAAAGATGGTAGTGAGAGCGAGAAGACAGCTGCTGCCGAAGATGCCAGCTCAGGAGGTAAGGCCGAGCCGGCCGAGGAATCCGATGAGGTTATGCAGGACACGACCGAGAACAAGAAATCGCCGGTCGCAGAGGTCGAGAAGTCATCCACAGCTACGTCAGATGCCAAGAATCCATCACCAGAGAAGGTCGATCAGGATGGTGATGTTGATATGGATGGGCCTGCCCCTGCGCCAGAGCCTGCGCAAGATGAAGTCAAAAGCGAGCATTCGACAGAGGCCCCCACCAAGCCGGCAGACGCAGCTCCTAAGGATACAGCAAGTCCTTAGAACGGCATAACCTCATGATACCCACATGTTTTGCAGTTTTTTGCTTTTATTGCCCTTGTTAGGAAAAAGGAGGCCACGGTATTGGCTGAACGTAATCCTGTACGCAGACAGAATTTTGTAGTTTCCTTTTCAGATGTACCATAGCCAAGCAATGGCGTTCCGGGCTCGGCAGCATCGTCGGTGGGCAGAAGACGCTTGTCATTTTGAGGAACACGGTGCTTAGGTGCTTCTAGCTTTTGTCATTAATCAATGCTATATTCAATACCTTCTTGGGTTTTTCGTAATGTGAACTTGGCTAGTGATTTGTTTGTAGTGCTGTACAGAGTGGGAGATGTCTCCGTCGCCCCAGAAATAAATTCAAGTGCCTTGTATAGTTCTTGTAATCGCGAGTGCTGCCGGCAAGCAAGCTACCTCTTATCTAGGAAGATTTAAGGTATAATCAATAAAATGTAGTAAGAGTCAATCAATATTCACGGATTACATGAAATTCCATTCGTCACGGGTATCTTATTTCTTTTGTATTCAATACCAGCAGAAGTCCCTTGAGAATCGCGTTTATATAAACAAATATACTTAGAAATACATGATATTTTTTGAATATAATATGGATTCTGACTCGTTGTGAGCTATAATACACGATATTACTACACTGCCAGATATATCTATGTACTTATATACCACTTCTCTATGATTTATACAGGTTCTAAAGTCCAAGTAACGTTCTTGCAAATAAAGTGTTAACCGTGTCATACCAAATACTGAAATCAGGTAGCTTCTTGGAAAGATGATAAAGTCAAGTAGCTGGAAAGGCAGAAAAGGGTAACATGCATTAATCGATGAATGTCGAAATAATATCCATGTCATACCTTCTCCTATTTGAAAGTCCTCAGTCAAATCACGATGACGTTGCTTGAGAGCACCTCTCCTGGCTCTTGATGCGTTACTATCGTATCACTTGATTTCGGAGATTTCTCGGTATGGGTTCTCTGCATGCTGGAAACGGGTGTTCAGAATGGTCATTATGAATATATATACACGTCCAAGACGAGGCGAGAGTCAATAGAATATATCATGAGCATTCATAGATACTTCTTATTAAGACAGTTGTTGTAAAAGCACCGAGAAATCATCTTGGAAATCAATGGTCACGACCTTGAAATAAAATTTCCTTATTCGGCAAGTAGGTACTTAGTTACGATCGCAGGTACCCGCGTTAAGTTGTGGGGGGTTGTGGCTGGTGCGGGACCCCACATGAACCAACGGCGGGACGGGGCATTTCTGCAAGGCTAATAATCGAGGCTGAAAATAAGCCCCACTTACAAATCCATGGACGTCCGTTGAAATTCTCTAGTCACGTGTTAACCAGTAAGATAGCTCTGTTATCGATTAGGAACTACAAGGAAGCTGTTGCTTAGGTAATTGGGTTATGCAGGCAGATCCGGGCCTCGTCAACATTTAGCACCTGCAGTTTACAACTTGAAGCTTCAATCTAAAGATCGCCTTTCCAACATAATACATCAATCAACGTCGATATCACTGCGCGTACCTACCTTTCCAGCCGCCTCTTATTTTTCTACCACTTTCACCATCTACCTATTTAGACTGCGACTCCGCGCAGTTTTATTAACCTATCCTAATTGTCTACGTAGTAGCGCAACAGATCAATATGGACCGGTTGAACAGAATGCTTGCCGGTGCCAGCGGCATGGGACTCGGCGCCGCTCCAGGAACGGTGAGAACTCTTGCATTTGCTGAATCCTCCGATACTTCAGCTTGTGCAAAGCTACCATGTCGACACGAGCTAACAGTGCTTCAATAGGATAACCAAAACCTAATCGACAACTCCGAAACCGTTTACATCTCTTCTCTTGCGCTACTCAAGATGCTGCGGCACGGTCGAGCGGGTGTTCCTATGGAAGTGATGGGTCTGATGCTGGGAGAGTTCGTCGATGACTTCACCGTACGAGTCGTGGACGTTTTCGCTATGCCTCAGAGCGGTACCGGTGTCAGTGTCGAAGCTGTCGACCCGGTATTTCAGCAGAAGATGATGGACATGTTGACGCAAACGGGACGGTGAGTTAACTAGCATATCTTTACTTTGTGTCTTTACTAATAACTGCTTCGTAGACCTGAGTCGGTCGTTGGATGGTACCACTCTCACCCCGGATTCGGATGCTGGTTGTCGTCCGTCGATATCAATACCCAACAGAGTTTCGAACAACTTACGCCGAGAGCCGTTGCCGTCGTCGTGGACCCCATACAGTCGGTTAAGGGCAAGGTTGTCATCGATGCGTTCCGACTCATCAACCCGCAGTCCTTGATGCTTGGACAAGAGCCAAGACAGAGCACTTCGAATTTGGGCCACCTCAATAAGCCTTCCATCCAAGCGCTTATCCATGGCCTAAACCGACATTATTATTCTATCGGCATCAACTACCGAAAGACCGCTCTAGAGGAGAACATGCTCATGAACTTACACAAGCACGTCTGGACCGAGGCTTTGCAGATGGAGGACTTCAGACATGAGGGCGATCACAACAAGGAACGTTTCCAGAGATTGGTGACGTTGGCTGACGGCTACGAGAAGCGGGTTAAGGAGGAGACAGAATTGACCAAGGAACAGCTGAAGACGCGTTACGTCGGCAAGCTCGATCCCAAGAAGCACCTGGAGGATGTCGGCCAACAACTCATCGAGGACAACATTGTATCTGTTTCGAGACAGATGATCGACAAGGAGGCGACGATGCCTAAAAAGGAAGCAGCTGCTAATGGCCAGGCGAATGGCGATCGCATGGACGAGGACGAGGAGCTGTAGGTCCGCATATCCGAGGCCGATTTAATTGATTCCGAGGATTCAGTCATCAGCAGTGTATCATAGGCGTTGGAAGGGCTAGCGGACCCGGTTTAGAAAGCTCCGGCAATGAAAGGATTGCTTTACGGCTCGATTCCGCGAATATGCTTGTGAGGTACATCGTGCAGCAGGGATCTTCTGCACGTCAATACCATCATTGATTCATATTATCCTTATCTTTCTGCATAACATAATGATTCAATGTGTGTTTTGTCTCTGCTGACCTGGTTGTCTAGGACCGTCATACCCAACATCAATGCTTTATCATATAAAGGACATTGTTGCTAACAATGACAATGTACTGACTATAAAGATACTAGTTCTTCCACGGGACCGTTCCATTACAAGCCCATTGAATCATGATAAACAATAAATATTGTGTTACTGAACAAAGGCTGTTATATCTACTTATATATTTCCCTGACTGCCTTTCTCGTACTTAGGATATGCCAGTCATCTCGGAAAGCGCAACCGAGATAATTGATACGCAAGTTGAGCGCTCTTCTTTGATAGTAAGTACTCTCTCGTCATGTCGTCTTCTGATTCCAATAAGTCAACCGGGTGGCCAAGCTGGCTGAAGGCTTGCGTTGTGTGCCTTCCGAAGAAATCTGAGAGGCCGACTTACCCCGAGTTCCACGCCGTTTCATACAACAATGCTCAGTCGGGACCGGAGCCCTACATGATGGGAGCTCTCCCTGAGAGAATCGTACGCTCTGATAGGACTGCTAGAGTTGAGTATGGCCGAAACGGCCAGGTTTCAACCAAGGCCCAGCGCCCTCAACATCTCTCAGCGAACCAGAGCCAGGGCACGCTAGCCAGGCCTGGAACAGCCTCATCCGCTAACACAACAGGCCAACGCTTCCCCGTTAATTCTGGTAATGTATACGGTAATGGAAATGCTGATCCCCGGGACCGCTGGTCTAAGGCTTACCTCACGCCGCACCAGCTCTCGGAATTGCTGGACAACATCCACGCTACGCTCGCACACATCCCCTACGCGATCTGCGGGCTCGCCGCGCTCAACGACTACGGATACTTCGCTCGGAGGTTGAACGCCGTGAGCCTGGTATGCCCGACCTACGCGAAAGACAACGTTCACGGGTGGCTCAGGACCAAGGGCTACGACACGTACGACGACTACTTCGGGATCCCGGTCGGCGAGCGCGGGTACGGCGGCGAAGGGGCGACGGTTTATCGGGTGCGCGTTAAGTGGGTCAACGACGAAGGGTTCGCGAAGCTCGAGAGGGTCAAGTCGAGCACGAGCGACGCGTGGGTGCTCGGCCTCACGGACCAGATCGACTATGCCGCGATGGGGTTCATGCACCAACTCGGCCAAGTCGAGGAGCTGAAGGCGAATGCGAAGAAGCAGGAGGAGGGCCCGACGCAGGCACAGGCGGTAGCGAGGGCCGAGTCAAGGCTTCGCATGGCGGCGCAGGATATCCTCTGGTGTCTAGACAAGGCGGCGCGAACGCGCCACCGCCTCGACCCGGAGGCCCTCCCCACGCTGCTCGGCGAGGAGTGCTGGACCGCGTTCACGACGCGGTTCGAGCGCGCGAGGACGGAGATGGCGCGCGCGGGCATCGACGTCGCGGCCGTGCTGCGCCGCCACAGGGACGCGAGGGAGGTCCGCGACCACGAGGATATGCTGCGCCGGTTCGGCTTGGGACAGGAGCGGCTGGTTACGAGACAGCCGACCCCGTTCGAGGGCATGCGGACCTTGGCTAATGCGCGCAGCGTGTATAGTCTGGCTCAGACCCGCGAGTCGGCGGTGCCGGAGAGCCCGTTGCCGCCCCTGCCGCCGCTGCCTGTGCCTGAGCTGGCGTATTTGGCTCGGAAGCCGTTGCCGGCTGCGCCGGGTGGTGATAAGGGGAAGAAGGAAAAGGATAAGGATGGGATTTTTGCGGGACTGATGCTGAAGAGGGCGGGTAGTGCGAGGGAGAGGGAGCAGAGGGAGTGGAGGGAGAAGTTTCCGAAAATTGGTAAGCCCGTGGCTAGCGGGCGGAACTTGACGACTGCGAGGAGTCGCAGTGTGAGGTCCCCGCCGCGGGATCCCGCGCTTGTCCAGCTGCCGAGAGAGTCGGCGGAGATTGAGAGGCCGAATCCGGGGTGGATTTAAGGCTTGAGATGTCCTCTGGCTGTAAGTCGAAGGAGATAGGGAATAGGGGATGAAGAGGTGCCTTCCTGAGTAAGTCTCCTATGTAAGTTTCTTTTCATTTTCATTTACAATGGCGATATGTTGTGTACACCAGTAGAAACTTTGAGAATCTAGTACCCAGGTAGGTATTTTTATTATATTAGCTTTCCCCCAAACTCGAAATAACGTGAATATTATTGACATATACGATATAACTTGACAGGCATCGACACGTGGAAAGTATGCGGTAAGATTTAAACCCTCTCCTTTTGGCCGCCTAACATTGATGATTCGGTAGATGTTTCTGTATTATTCATTCGGCTAGGTGGAGTCTGGTTCAAGATGAATTAGGAGTAAGTCTCTTCCCAACGGAGCCCGCGCTCAAGAGTTAACATGACGATTCCAAACTGCTACTCTTAATTCCTCGCTTTTCGGATTCCAAACATTTAACTAATGTTTAACTCTTTTATTTACGGAGTCCTGCGCCGTTGCTGCGCCTTAAACTAATCTCAGACAGTCGCTCAGCCATCTATAGGCACAGCAAGTATGAATCCGGAATACCTCACGCAGATCATACTTCTGAAATCTTCGTATTACTCTCTTGTTCAGATGTAGTCGAAACAGCTGCAACCTTAATTCAGCTATGACAAAGCACAGCGGTTGGAATCTTTCCACGTAAGCAAGCCAAGCTAAAAGCCAACGTCGTTTTACGCCATTATGACGATGAAACGGCCGCTAGATTTAACCTCCCGTAGGACGTTCTGGCTGTGGAAGATCCCGCCAAGGTATCCCCGTGCGGCGCGGTTGACACTTACAGCACCCACGGAGGGCATGGACAATTGCCATATGTGGCGCTTAGACATCGTAACCTACCTAACCAACTACCTATACAAAGATTATTAACAGTATATCTAGTTGCCGTATTTATATCAGAAAACGTATAGAATAGTATTCAAAACTAGGTAAGTCAAACTGCTTAGGTAGAGATGGCGTCGACGATGTGCTCATAGAAATGGCCGAATCATTTGACAAATGGAGCCTCAATTTCCCTTCCTGGGACCCTGCATGAACCCCGACGAGATGGACCGAGGTGGGCCAATATGCCGGTCTCCCTTCCCGGAAATTTTCAATAGAGAATCTACCTCATACTATCTCATCCCATCTCTATTCCTCTCTATAGTTCGCATACCCCCTTTTTCTCTACGAAGGGGGTTGTCCGGAAGTCTATCTCGTATCAAATCAGTCATTGGCATCCGCCTAACCGGACACAAGCAGAACTCGTGCATAGGGGGGAAGCATTGAGAATGGCATGACTAACATAACTATCCGCACCATTTCTCTTGACGTGTCCTAGCTGAACGCTGTACGGTTTGCTATATAGCACACGATTCCCGCACAGCTTGCCGCCCGGTCCGCCACGATCCATCTATCGTGTTCTAACTCACCGGTTTAGTTCTCAGCCCATCCGATGGTTCCTTGGCATTTCTTCAGCGGGGATCGTCGCACGACCTATGCCAATGCGGCGTTCATTTACCCTGACAAGGGGGGACGTTGGGTCCATTCAACGTTGGGGCTGAATGAATCCTCGCCTTCGCCCTCGTTATTATTATTAATGAAGTGACAAACAAGATGCCGTGCGAACCACACACACAATATATACGGGTAATCTACCCCGGACCCCCCACGGTTGCACCGGATTCTCGTCTACAAGCACTACCTCTTTAGGTTACACGTATCGCGAGCTCAACTAGCAAAGCACCTCGATCCACGCATCATGGAATTCCCACATGATGGCGAGTCTGTCTATTATCGATATCAAGCTGCGTACGTCCGTAGCTGGTCGGGAGACTTGTTGTATTGCACGGGGCCTGGTGTCAACCGAATCCAGGGGAACTGGGACTTGATCAGCGTTGTCTTAGACACTCAGAGTCCTACACCGCCGACCCAGCCGTACTTTCATCATGTCAAGCTTAATGGGGATTTCCAAGGCCAAGAATTCCATGAGTTGCGTCAGGCTTCGACATCGACCTTTACTGGAATAATCCTCAGCGATGTGGCCGACCATGCAAATGCCAAGCAAGATTTCGAGACATTCTTCTGTCAGCTGCTCCTTCGTGAGGCCAACTTCGCTATCACCCATCAATCTACGAGTCTTAATCCGGTATCTTTGGATCGATACGATCAAGCCACAGAAGAAATCGTGTCTCTCTTCGACAGGTTTCTTCGGTATCAGGGTGAAAACGACAAGTGGATCGAATCTGGGCGAGCTTACTTCGCGGAGCGCGTCCGTCACTTTACTTCTCAGGGGAGACGGATCGAGCTTTGCCTGCCTGCTTTTCCGTGCAAGTCATCTAATATAGATAAGGTGACGGGGAAAGACCCCGATCGTGGAGAACTACTCGCCTTGGAGCGCCTACATAGCTTTGTAGAAGCTGTCGAGAAGATTTATGATGTAGGCGCAAAACTTTGGATTATTAGCGATGGACATGTTTTCAGCGACTGTAGTGAGTTTCCCTCTGATAATTCTACATACTAGACAGCACCCACTAATAATGGAAAGTTGGTGTCGACGATGAGGATGTAGATTTATACGGTTTGAAACTGATCAAGATGAACCGCGCCATTGGTCTTCGAAGAGGAAATCCGGATCGGGTTGGCTTTAAATCTCTTGTCGATCTCTTTGAGTTGGACGGGAGGTACAAACACAAACTAGCGAGGCTTTCCAAACTTGATATTCCCACTATCGACCATCACGTCGAAACGCGGGTGACTACAGAAGCGGAACTTTGCCGGCGTATCCTTATGGCTGGGTGTCAATCGCAGAGGTCTGGGCTCCGAGCTCGGATCGAGTCGCAAGATGCTGCTATCCTGGCTCTATATCGCGGGTTCTCGCGATTTATGCTCGAAGATCTGGAACATCATCCATTCACGCGAACCATGAGCCGCTCGAAGCAGAAGAAGCTTTCTGCCAAAGTGGCATTTGAGATGATCATGGTGAGCCCCTTATCTCCACCGACTTAAGTTATTCATACCGAAGTGGTACAAATGGCGAGGTCCGCTGACCATATTTGCCGCTACAGAGAAATCAGGCGTATTCTAATCTTGTGGAACTCCTCTTCCCAAATCACATTCGGTTATCGATCCACGCGTAAGTTACTCAAGCGTGTCCCGAGACATCCTGGTGCAAACATGTACCTAATATAACTAACCATGCTTACCTATCAGACACAACAATGCCGGCCCCAAGTTCGGCATCCAACTATTTGACCCAGCCGTCGTTCGGGCCGTGGAGTCACTCTCGCCTAACAGCAACCCCATGACCTCCCGCGACCTGCTACACATCCCTACCCCGTGGCATAACTCGGTGGTCAAGGTCGTTGGTAGTAAGGTGCTCTGCGTCACCAAGGCTAAGGTAGTACGAGATGCCCTAGCCGATGGCGGAATGACGGGTAGCTTGCTTGGACAAGAAAACCAGATCGATTCCATCCCGGCAGTATATTACACCGTATGCGCCACCGCTACGAAGCGAGAGGCGGCAGAGCAACAGGAAGAACATAAAGAACCCCAGAAGACTATTCCAAAGATAACTATTACATCAAATAGGGACAGCAGAGCGTCGTGAGTAACTGAGAACCACCTTCTACTCAGATGCCTAAATACTAACTTGATTCTCAAGACTGACGATCGCCCCCGTCCGATATTTCGCGGCTAGTTCAGCCCCTCTGACGTGCGAAATCGATTGCGTTCTTGTGTAAACAGGCCAAGGGGGTATCGTCGTACCTACATCCATAAAAATAGGGGAAGGATTTTGGGAACCGGCTGGTCAGGTGCAATAAAATCGTTTAATCGCCACGGGCACTTGGTAGCGGAGTGCCTTCGGGGACTTGATGGTATTTTCAATTTTTGGGCGTTCTTAAGCTTCTTTTCTTTTGCTAGGCGAATAATAATCTCCAGTTGATATTTGCCAGTGTCGTTGACATATGTGGATATGATATCCCTGAGTGGCCTAGTATGAACATTGAACCGGTGTAAGTATAATAAAGGTAAATAGGTAAGGTTCCGGTATCCATTATACAATATGATTGAGACGATAAGGGGCAAGGAGAGAACGAGACCTTCGCGTACACAGGTGCTTGTAAAGGAAGGGGCTTCACGGAATATTCTTGGTAGGGGATCCGTGGACGGTTGTGGCGATTTTATACAGGAAGGAACAGTAGGCCCTAGCGGTGGATACTGTTGCTTCTTTGACGTTGGATACAATATGCTCAAATGTGCTCCTATTTCGGGGCAAAGTATCTTTAGCAAACATTTGTGTGGTAAGGTACCACTGATCTGGAACTGCTCACAGTCAGAATCGTACCACAGCCCATCTAACGAGGTAACACAAGGATACAGATGTAAAGCACACAAGGACAGCTGTTTGCTTCAACAGTCGGCTCGAAAAATTCATTCGGCTAGGAAGTTACGGCAGTAGACGGTGGACGGTATTTCGCACCTGCCTAGGCATACCCAATGTGCCTACCTGCTGAACGAATAGGCATTTCTGGGTAAGTACTATCCAACTGTCAACTGTATCAACTGTACACGCCTAGCAACCGTTTTATCAGTGCGGTTGCCCCGTGACAAACTTCGGTGAATCTTTTCTTCCCTCGTCGCCGACCCGGCTACGAAAAACTTCCTGTGTTGTCTTCTACCTGCACGCGTGGTGCACAAACGTAAACCTTTCTTCCAATTACAACATCCAAACCACGATTCTCATCACATCAAACTTCTCTTTCGCGACGCAACGTTTGCCCATCATGGATATGGGAGATATGCCCGGTATGACATCGTCATCTTCGATGATGATGGACATGCCCACTTCAACTTCTACTGCTGCTCCCGCAGCCACCTCTATGAGCATGGGCGGAATGGATATGGGAGGCATGGGCATGGGCGGCCACAGCTGCAAGATCTCGGTAAGTATCGTCCTATTATCCATTCGTTCTAATCATCATCCGCAAATCGCAAACAATTATCCTCTATTAATGATAGGATGAAATTGTTGCGACTAATTTTGATAAATGCTAACCGACACCAATAGATGCTCTGGAACTGGAACACGGTCGACGCGTGCTTCCTCTCGTCTTCATGGCACATTAAGTCCAAGGGCATGTTCGCCGGATCTTGCATCGGCGTGATCCTTCTTGCCATCACCCTCGAGGGTCTTCGCCGCTCCGTCAAGGAGTATGACCGCTTCCTCGTTCGCAAGAACGCCAACGGCCCTGTCGCCGTGACCCGTGCCGATTCACCTAAGATCGATCCTCCCACCACCGCCGCCTCGGGCCCTTCGTCGGCTGCTCCCGCTGCAGCTGCGGCTGGTTACCGACCCAAGGTGTGGGAGCAGGCCATTCGTGCGCTTCTCCACACGGCCCAGTTCGTAGTGGCCTACTTCCTCATGCTGTATGTGCTCCCCTCTCTGTAACCATTTATTTCTTTGCGCTTCTACACAACAAACAGACGGGACATAATATGACTAACCACATTGACAGGCTTGCCATGTACTACAATGGCTACTTCATCATCTGCATCTTCATCGGTGCGTACATTGGCAGCTTCATCTTCCAGTATGAGAAGCTTGGCAGGTAAGTTTTCTCACAGACCTTTGTGTCTTTTTTTTTCATTTTCTGCCACATCCAACTAATAACAATAACAGTGGACAGCAGACCAGTGCTGCCGGTGAAGCCACAGTTTGCTGTGGTTAAGCCTATCCCTCCCCATCTCTGCGAGCATCGCCGACCTTAGCAATTTGTCGATAAACTGCTATGGACTGGTGTTTTACCCTTATTCACAAACCCGCATGTAGGGTTCCAGGGTTATTGACACCATGCTACGAGGCACATTTTGCCTGATGATAAGGATCATAGGATCATCATAATTCCCCTTTCCCCATCATATGAATTCGTACAATAAAGATTTGTACTTGCCCCCCATAATTGGTCTTAATTATTGTAAATGTGAATGAATGTGTTCTTCGGTACATTTCGTAATTTCATGATCATTCCTACGCTATGAGTTTACTAACCTATCGTTTGCTCTGTATATCAATACCAACTACTGTATAGACGTATTAATTAATGCCTTAGTGAATCTAATACTAGTAGTCTGTGGACTACTTATGTGATATGAACTCGCCGGTCCATAAACGACGTACGTACGTATGTTTAGGAAGGCTTATCATAATCCACAGCCTATTTTGCCAATCTCGTTGTCATCGTCTGCATTCACAAATCTGGATACTACAAAAGAAAAATTGTTATCAGGTATCTGGTACTCTCTATAGTAAATCTTACTCAATAAACCTGGGCTATGGATAATGGGCATATGGAATAAATGCAACAAGGAAAATCATTTCGAGAAGACCGCCATATCACATGGAGCCAGAGCTACCAGGAAATCTAACCAATAATATGTGTAGCATCCAATTCATTAGATATCTAATTATCCAGGCCGAAGAGCAAGTCCTATGGGGAAAAGGAGGCTAATATGAATATGGGATTATTCCTTTTGTCCTGGATTCTATTGCATCTTCTTTCGGTTAGTACACTATTATTACTCTAGACCTTCCAGGAATAAGCAGGTGCAACTATCGTGACGGCTGGTGCAAGAGTGGCATTTGAATACAAAGTTACCTAAGTACTATGTATCCTTATTTACATATTTCTTTGTTTTTCTAGTGTGGTCGACAGCTGCTCTCGAGATCCTAGACCTATTTAGGGTGCCTAAGGGCTATGGTGTATGTAGTTGCAAGTTGTAAATGGAAGTAGCTGCCAATTTTCATGACCCACCTCCTAAATCTATGTATACGGCAGGCCCTGAATTTCCAACGACCGAATCAGCAGGCAACAAGTTCGCGTCCACTCCATGATAAAAGCACCCGTCGAACACTTCGACTTCACAAAATTATTTCTCCCGTTAACAACAACCGAAATTGAGAACACCTCATCATCAGAACTCTCAACCGTTCATAAAGATGGAAACAAATTCACGTCGTTCGTGGTTTGTTGAAGATGTATGTAATTTATTATTTAATCATTGTATATTACAAACACTAATTAATTTTGCAGTGGAACGCACCGCCGATGGCACCAAACAAGAAGTCCAAAGGGCTTAAAAGGTTCTTGACGCAACCCTACCAGAGGGTGAAGAACTGGGTTCAGTCTTTATTTAATCGAAAGGACGACAGCGAGATTGAAGATTCTATCAATATCTCTAATGTTGATAGCTTCTTGCATCAACCCAGTGCCCATGGCGCCGGCGTGCAGGAAGGCACCATCCCTATTGCCGAGCCGGGTGAACCAGCACAATCACCCCACTTCGCACCCAGTGGGAGCACCCTGGTTCAGGAAGGTATCGAATCCCCATTCCTAACACCTCCCGTCGGGAGAGTGGACAATACAGTCAACCCGTTCGCTGACCCGCAGTGACGGGAAGCGCCAAGGGATGGAAAATTATTTCGTTAGCATTATACCACCCCGAGCCCACGAGATTTAGTAGGGGGTAGGAGGGGTCGACCAAAGTCCCTTGGCCCATCCCCTTTCCGGGGTTGGAGCGTCGACCAGCTTTGCGCGATGACAACGCTCTGCTTGACGGGTATTTCGATGAAGGGGCTTGAACCCTTCGTAACACAGGGGTGGCCAACTAGCCTGCATGATAAAGTATGTAGACATAAAGTCTTGCCCTTACGCTTATACGATGGCTAATTTTCTAAGAAACACTGTGCTGCCCCTCGAGAATTGATCTAGCGACTTTGGGTCTGGAGTGGCTAGTACAGTTAATATACTTACAGGCGCTCTACGATAGCAACATTATTGCCGGGCGAATCATTCCCGAATATAGGCAAGGAGACAAAGGTCGACTGTCTCAGTATTATGGCCCTGATTAAAGATCTCCACGATTTGCGATTCAGAGCCCCGACACGCAGAGACGGCCTACAACCAAAGTGCCTTCTGATTACCCACTTATAGGAGCACTATGGGTACTTGAGCGGACTATCCAGGATGTCCTAGGATCCGGAGAAGCCAACACTTGGCCAGGTGGTGTGTACGGACGTATATGCGGGAGGGATTCGTTGGGAGGGCCCGGGTACTAGGGAATTGATTTTTTCTACGTTTACCTTTCATGCTTTCCTTTCTAACATTCATACTGAAAGGGCTTGAACATTGAAAGTGACATACACATTCGTAGATGTAGCAAGCGGTACGTTAAGGTGCATGGTAAAAGTAAGAGTTGCAAGCAATGTCGTCACCCGGGTCTACTCCGGCAAGATGATCTTAGTCAGCAGCTTTCATTACATAATTTACCCCATGCTGCACCGCAGATGTATCAACGTCAATCGGTTAGACTCTCGGTACGTACCGCGTGTGGCTAATGGGTCTTAGCTCATCCAGATATCTTTTTTTTGTTCCACTTTCTGCAGGAACGGAACGAACTATTTCACAACATTCTGTACAAAAACACTTCATCACTCGATAACTTCCAGGATGGCGCCAACCAAAGACAGCTTCCTTGACCTAGAAAGACAACGAAAGAAGTTAGAGGAAAATGTCGAAAAGCTTTCCAAGGCCCTTGAATATTGGAAACAATCACAGGAAGAGTACGAGTCGCTGCGCAAGGCTGTTCAGTCGCTACCGTCATCGGCCAGCCGAGTAGAACTTACAAATACACGGGACCAATTTGAAGGCAAAATTTTGGACAAAAAGGAACTGGACGTTATATTCGGTCCCAATGTCGCCAAGAGTGCCGAGCAAGTTGTCAGCTTACTCACGAACCGGGTGGACTACGTCTCTAAAAATGTAGGCACACTAACGAAACAACTCGAGGATGCGCAGAACAAGCTCGCCGCCGTAACGGTTGTCACAAACCCCGACGCCACTGACGAAGAAGGGCTGCCGATTACCGAGATCATGGAAGAGTTGGATGACGATGACAATGTGATATCCTACACCCTACGCACTCCTGGGGACAATCGACCGCAGATTCTAGAGACATTGAGGAAAGCTGGTATCATAGACTTTGGACCTTCCACCAACGAAAACGTCCTACCTGAAATCTCGGAAGAGACTCAGCAGGACGAGTCACAGCCCCCAGCAGATGATCAAAGTCAATCAGTCCACCAGTCCAAGCAACCCCAGGATGTCGAGCCGCCAACCGTCGCAGCCCAGCCGGCCGAACAAACTGACAAGTCACCTGTCAAAGAACAACCAAAACCAAAGCCTAAGTCTAAGAAAAAGAGCGTGGCATTTGCCGAGGATACTAAGCCCGAGGAAGAACAGACGCAATCGGATACTGCTAAGAGGCTAGAAGAAATTCTCCAGAAGGCAAGGGACCAGCAGAGCATAATATCAAATCCCGTCTTCCCTGCCGACGAATCACCAGAGGACGCAGAACTGAGAGAAGATATGATCCGCTATAATAAGGAGACTATGGAATACGAGATGGCCCCTATCGTTGCTGAATTGCAACTAGAAGAGGGGTCTTCTACAGATGACACAGGTGACTATAGCGACGACGACGATGACGATGAGGAAGATGAATTTGGTCGGACAAAGGTCCATGTCGATGATGACTGGAAACGATATATGCTGGAACTTAAAGAGAAGCTGTCCGGTTATGAGTTTAAGAAGGATGTGGCGGTAGATGATGATGATGATCTGGTCGAAGGCATTGGTCGTATAACCATCAAACACGAAGGTCAAGATACGCCCAATGTTGGGAGTGAACCAGTAGTCAACTCTATCGGGGAGGATTCAGCGCCAGTGAAAGACGTTAAGAAGAGCGTCAAATTCGCCGAGAGTGTGGACATCGCGGAGGCCCCAGCTCCAAAGCAAACACGGCCAAAACAGACAAAGCAGTCCGAAGTGGACCCTATTTCTGACGTTGTTATGGAGCGCAACGGCGGAACGCCTCAACCAAGAGTAGCTTCATCTAAGAAGACATCTCGATTCCGCAAGGCGAGAAACACCGAACCTGCGATAGTGAAGGCGCCCGTGGCCCTAGATGGCACCCCTATCGCACCGGATAGACCCAACATCAATATTAAACCTATTCCCTCAGGCCCTGAGGGTCAGACTGTGGCAAAGTCTGTATTAGAACACGAGCCATCTTCAGAGGTGAAAGAGCCGGATGAATTCGATGCCAACCTCCTACACAACCAAGCTACGGAAGAGTATCATAAGATGCGGAATAGGCTCGTCCATCGCAACGGTGGCTTTATGAAGGAAGATGAGAGCCCGATCCAACCGCTAGATGAAGAAGAGGGCGGACCAAAGCGGGTGAGCCGTTTTAAAGCGGCTAGGCTAGGAAAGCCTTGAAGGGGGTTAAGAATTCGCAACTGGTTTTTGATCCTAGGATTAAGTGAATCCGACTTGCGCTTATTATGCGACTAAGGATTGCCTACGGCCGGAGATTTACGACTTTGATATTGATGCTGCGGACTTGACGAACTCACCAATGTCTCATAAATGTCTAAACCGGCGGTTCACTTGGCACCTAGGTACTTAGCATCCATGCATTACTCAATCAGGGGGTCAGTCTTCAAAACTCGCCACCAATAATTTACAAGAGAATGCTTCTAACGTAAGTCGGCTTTTCGCAACGTGCCTGTCGTAAGTGTCTTTTCGCTATTTTATTTCTTTCATCTAAGATAACACCATGAATATGTGTGACGGAACGCTCTTAATCTGACAATTGATGCGTAGCGGTGATCCATCTGCTATGTCATTACTAGCGATTCCAAGATCGAAACTCAGCTGGGCTCTCTGAAGCCTTTACCTTTGGCATCTTATGCCCCCGTGGTATTGGCTATTCGTTTCACCCTGCACATTTTATTCCGTTTATCCCCATCCGCAAATCCGCATATACAGATGATGTACGTATGTAGCTAATGAGATGATGGTCGATAAGCGTATTCCTTCTAAGTGCCTCTCTTCCGTGACTTAGATTTCAACCATCGCTAGCGACACCTCCCCGAATATCGGAATTTTTGACATTTACTGTTTTTGCTTCCTTTTCTTACTCCCAGCCTCGGTAAAAACCCTACTGCACCTTAGCGTTGCTAAAGTCGAGCTCGGGGTGCTGCTCCTGGAACTTCTTGAGGATGTCGGCCTTCTTCTGGTCGTCGGAGGTGGGCAGGCCCTGCTCCTTCTGGCGCTGGTCGTACATCATCTTCTCGACCATGCCGCGGGTCTCGCCGTCGAGGTCGCTCAGCTTCGAGTTCTCGGGCTGGATCTTGGTGACGTCGATCTTGGGGGCCGCCGTCACCACGTGCGCCCACCACTCCATCTTGTTCACCTTGTCCAGGTGGATCTCGATCGTCTTCGTGCCGTCGGGCGAGGAGACTAGCGTCCAGGTCGAGTCTTCGGTGTGCACCGCGTGCGGGAGGTCGCCCTGTTTTGGTGGTGGCTGGTTAATGTCTTCCGTTCTTTCAATATTCCACTTCCTTATGTATCCTCGATGTGAGGGTAGGTGTATCTACATCGATGATGGGATCTTGGCCCTTGATGCCGGCCTTCAGCTTCAGCTTCTTGATGTCCACGACGATATCCCGGCCCTTGAGGTTACCGGGGACGGTGATGTTGATGTCGACGTCGCCGATGGTTTGGTTCCACTTGTACGGCAGCGCGGCCTGCTCTTCGGCCTCCTTGGCGCGGGCAGCTGCTTCTTGCTCGGGGGTGGGATCTGATGACGGTTGTTAGAGAGGTAGCTATTCATAGTGACTATAGAGTAGGGTCATGGGTGGACTCAAACCGGTATCAGCCATTATTTTGAGCTTCTTCGTAGTATTTTCTGTCGTGGATTGTCGTTTGGTGTATTAGGAATTAAGTTAGGTAGATGGAAGAATCTATCAGAAATTGGACGAAGATCTGAAGAGCTCATAGCTGATGGAGGGGCAGTCGCTAGTGGGGCAAATCATCCCTGCAACTTCCAAAGCTCCCTGGGAATTCTTGGCCAATCATCTTCTAGGTAATGAATGTGGACATGGTACCTAACGGCGCTGTACCTGCTACCTAGCCCCATTCTTTCTTGTGCTTGTCTTAGGTACCTACCTAGTACTTTAAACAGTTATCAACCTAAATTCCAACGAGAAAGCTCAACTTCCATTCTTCCAATCTTCAACCTTCAACCTTTTTCTCTTTCTAACCGTACATACTATTCAAAGTCTTGCTCGATACTTCACAAGCACATCTATCGCAAGACGATACGGTCAAATCAAATGAGCACCGATTATTCATTCACGCTCTTTTCTTCCACCTAGCCACCGTCTTTACGGCGATCGCTTCTCTACGATCATTACCTCGCAGGACGGGAAGTTGAAAGACGGGTTTCGAACAAACCGAACAACAAACCACTAGAACAACGTAAAAATCAATCAATCGTCATGTCGCGCAAACCGGTGGCAGCCTCAGCCAACCCCGACTCCCACAATGCCGCGCCCGCCGCCATGATCCCGGATGACGTGTGCCCTGTGTGCCGCCGTCAGAAGTACTTCAATCCCGACCTCGAGTTTCTCATCAACCCCGAGTGTTACCACCCAATGTGTCAGCGGTGCGTGGAATTCATCTTCGGCAAAGGGCCGGCGCAATGTCCACACCCCGGCTGCAGCAAGACGCTCCGCCAGCGCGGCTTCCACTCCGCCTTCTTCAAGGACCTCAAGGTCGAGCGAGAGGTGGACGTGCGCCGACGCGTGCAGGCCGTCTTCAACATGACCGAGGACGACTTCGTCTCGCTGCGCGACTACAACGACTACCTGCAGCAGGTGGAGGACCTGACCTTCGACCTGGTCCAGGGCGGCGACGCGGACCGCAAGGCCGCGGAGAAGAAGCTGCTGGCGTACGAGCAGAAGCACCGCGACGAGATCGAGAAGAACAAGCGCCGCGGCCGCGAGGCCGAGTCCATCCGCAAGCAGCGCGACGCCGCGGACGCCGAGGCGGCAAAACAGCGCAGACTGGAAGAGCAGCGCGAGGAGGAGCGCGCCAAGGCCGAAGAAGCCACCATCAACGCCGAGGTCATGGAGGCGCTCGCGCGCGGCGAGCCCGGCACGGCGGCAGACATCCAAGCGCGCATCGTGGCGCAGAAGCGCGCCCGCGTCGCCGAGATCGCCGGCTCGCACTTCCCCTCGCTTCTCAACACATCATCGACCACCACCGCCAGCGCCTCCTCCAAGCTCTCGTCCGCGCGGAACTCGAACCTGCTGTCCATCCGCGGCCTCAAGGACAAGAACGCGCGCGACGAGGACGCCGACTACTACACGCGTCCGTACGACCCCTTCGCGGGCCTCGACCTCGTGCCCACGCGGTACAAGCTGCGGTTCTCGACTTATTCTTCGGCGGCGGCGGTCAACAAGGACGGCGAGTCCGGGTACGCGAACCCGTGGCTCGACCGCGCGCGCACGGCCGACGACCACCGCGTCCCCGGGTACAGCATCAAGGAGTACGTCACGCGCGCCGTGTTCGAGGCGTTCGCGGGCCTGGGCGTGGTCGTCGGCGAGGAGAAGGCGGATGCGGCGAGGGCCGTTGGGACTTCGGGCGCGGAGGTCGCGGCTGCTACGGGTCGGACGGGGGGGATGGATGTTGATATTGGTATGGGTAAGGGGAAGAGGGGTGGGAGGATGGGTGTTGATGATGTTTTTGTCTGAGGGGATGATGGACGGGATGGGGAGGGAAAGGGAAAGGGGGAAGGAAGGATAATACGAAGGAAGAAAAGAGAAGGGAAGCAAAACACGACTGCTAGTGATGGGGATCTCCGTAAGGACGGATGGGTGGATCATGCCTACTACGTATACCCTAAGCAACCAACCTCACGAACCGACAAAACGATGAGGGGATAGGGAGTTCACATTTGGCATTGTTTGAGTTACATTTGCATGGCGACGGCGTTGGGACTTGCACACGTGTTGCAGTCGGACCAAAAGGTCGGTTTCTCGTGCTGGGACAGATAAATTCGGATAAAACCGGAATCCTTTAGGGTGTCATAATGAACATATTGATGCTCTTAATGACTTGATTTTTGCTTCTATGTGCTTCTGTTTCCCTCTATTCCTTTTTATACATCTGGACCTTGTGAAGGGGTTCGTAATTGATAATAGGATTAGAGCTGATTATGTGTGAAGAACCTGAACCTAGAGAATAGGGGCGCGTCGTGCGGAATCTGCCCCTATTATCCATGTCATCTTGCCAGCACACGTGAATGGACCCCTACATTACACCCGTGACAACACACAACACGGCAAACAACACAAGCACAAGCCAAGACATATACGATATCAACGTAGCTAGATATGCTATGTCATTATACAATAGCCTACTATTAAACGTAATTGCCTTTGCAAAGGGTGTCCGTCAAGTTAAGTTTTAAGTCAACGACTTCCTTCTTCTCTCGCTTCTCTTTCCCTTTCCCTTTCCCTTCCTTTCTCTTTGAATAGTACAGGTTTACTTAGTAGCATGAAGATTGATAAACCTCCACCACCGCCTCCACCAATTTCTCTTCTCATCCGCCGTCAAATACCTAGGTGCCTAGGCGGCGAATACACTGCTTCAGTTTCCGGTCGTCCGTCTCCCTCTTACAAAAGATTTTCCTTCCTAAAAAGGTGGTTAAAAGCAAAGCAAAGCAAAGCTGGACCGTTTGCTCGCTCATCTCTGCCCTTGTCTCCCTCTCACTCGCACGCTTTCTGTGGGATATATCACACCTCTTCAGGCTAGAGAATCGGTCTGGTAGGAAAATTCCCCTGTTGGTTACATTTATTGAGCTCGCTCTCCCCCTTCCTCCATTCTGAACAAATCCGGCGCGTGTGGAGGAAAATATCGTCAAATCCAGGGATAACGCCTCGCTCTATGTGAACTTGGATAAGCCGGAAGGTATTTAGTTAGGTAATCTTTGCCTCGATCGTTCTCTTCCACACCTGCCTGATACTATTATACTTCCACGGTCACCTGAAAATAATGCTGCCCTATTGTTGCCAGGGTGTCTGCGTAGCAGGTCGAGGGAACACTGGCATCGTCTCCATATGATCTAAGCCTCCACCGAGCGGCGTCTGCTGAGCATGCTGCCAGCCCATGCCTGTTTGGTGGTTCACGAAGGCGCCTTGCCGGAAAGGATTCGTGCTGCCAGTCGGTTGCGGCATAAGGCCACTGCTCGTCTGCGGCCTCTGTGGCTGAGCTTGTTGAGCCTGAGGGACGTTCTGTGTCTGGCTGAAATTCCTAGCGAATGGATTTGTTCCGGTGGTAGCTGACTGGAGTGGTGCTTGAACCGGGGCTTGGGGAGGTTGCGATTGGAAAGGAGAACTTGAAGGAGGATTTTGGAAGGGTGTGGCGGCTTGAGGGGATGATCTCGCGAAGGGGTTAGTATTTTGTCGAGTTAGGCTAGTAGCATGGGTTTGCGGGCTAGTTGGCGCGCCGAATGAGTTGTTGGTCATCCCGGTTGGATTCGCCATCATCATAGATGCCCTGAAAGGATTTGTAATCTGCTGACCGGGCTGGAGGCCCGTCTGCATGGGAGGCGAGAGAGTTCCAGGTTGGAATGACGCAGTAGAGTCCTGCGGTATAGGGGGGAGGTTGTTTGGCGTGAAAGATGGCTGCGGCTGTGGCGTGAACCCACCAAAACCAGCCCCGGTGAAGTTTGGCTGCATTTGGTTCGGTACCTGCTGTTGCTGAGAGAACGCACCGACGTTCTGCTGTTGGAAAGGGCTATTATTGGGTTGAAATCCAGTTTGCTGAGGAACAAACCCATTGGCTTGAAGCTGGCCGGTCTGCTGCACTGCAAAGCCATCGTTCGAGGGCCAAGGGTTTCCTGTAGGCATTGGTTGATTCACTTGGCCCATCTGAGGTTGGTGCTGGGTATTCGAGTGCATGGCCATAGAAGTCTGGTTCTGCTCTATCGAGTCGAAGAAATCGATGAGATCCGGATCTGGCCCCTTGGTAGGCTGCGGTGGTGCGCCCGAAGTGGATGCGGACGATGCTTTCGCTTTTGCGGTTGTGGATTTGGAATCTGTAGCGCCCTTGTCGGCCTTCGAAGAAAGTCCGCTACCGCCTTTCTTGGCCTCGAGCTCGGCCAGGTACTGTCGTCGGTGGGTTTCGAAATCGGGGTCTTCCAGATATTCTACCAGCTGACGACGAAGGGTAACCGGAGCGTGCTTTAATTTAGGTACCTCAACCCTAGTATGGGGTTCCCACTGCCGAGCTACGGATAGATATTGAACGACATAATCCGTCTGCTTCGTAAAGTTCTGGTAGATTCCCAAAGCTCTTTCCGCATCCACCTTCGACATTTCAAAGAAGTGCCCTGAATACTATTAGCCTGCCATCTATCGAATAGCGGGTATTTGCAAACGTACCTAAAATGTTGATCATGGCTTGGTTCAACACTTGGAATAGCGACAGCAAGTCCAGAACCAGAAGTCTAAAGACGGTGATGGTAATTTCATTCTCGGGGTCTTCGAGAACCTGTCGATGTTAGCGTCAGGGGGGGCTTTTTTACGATGGTAGACTTGGACGACTCACATCGCACTTTAGAAGAGCGGTAAGTTGATGCTGAACGACCTCGGTCTGTCGCAGCAGACCCTTCTCAACTGACAATTTCTCCAACCGTGTTTCTTTGCCCCGAACCCAATCTACTCCCGTCTCCCTGAATGCACGTACCCGTTCTGCTAGGTAGCCGGCATAATGTCGTATGTTTCGGCCTTGGATCTGAGCTGTCATGTATGTTAGAATATTACCTCACAGTCAACGGATGACGTGGACAAGATACTCACCATCAGTAAAGGAGCTGATGGCTAGCGCAGTTCGATGTTTCGCAAGATAGCCTAGTGTCGCATCCGGAGAGCCTTCCCTGATCATCAAATGGATGGTAATCAGGCTCTTGAGTACGACGGTCCATGTTGAATCTCGCAACCGAAACTGCAGCGCTCGAAAGATCTCTCCTACGCCTGCCTCGCTCGAGTGGGTGGCGATAAGGATATGTTCGATATACTTGGTCTTCGGAGGAGCGGCCTAGTTAAAGATGCTAATGTCAGCCTCGAATCCCATCACACTACCACGCCATCTGCCATATGCCATTCACCGCACACCGCACATGATATTCTGATGAAGACTAACCTTTATCTTCGTTGCACCCTTCACCGATTTCTCAAAAGAGCTAGACATGATGCCGGACCTTGTGAACTTGACTGAGTAGGCTGAGGTCAAGCCTCAGCTTCTTCGTTCGTCTTGTAGGGGCGTAACTCGTAACTTTGGCGGGTTGGGTACCGGTGGGCAACGTGGGTTCGTGGGGTTCGTGGTTTACAGGGGGGAAAGAGGAGTTCTCGGAAACACCAAGGAGAATTGGTAGGATTGTTTGTCAGTGTCGGACAAAGGCGACAATCATAATCGGGGGTGCGACGTCACGGTTGATCAACTTCGTGGCCGATGGAATTGAGTGGATTGACGGGATTTCGTGAGCGTGAGCATAGACAGGCGAACAAGCGACGGGCGACAGGCGGATTTGGGGTCGTTACGGCTGTTCCATTTCGAGCAAAAGACGTTTCCATGTAACTACTAATACATTTAATTCTAATTCGCAGATGACTGAAAAGTTTCGAGTTATTTCGTGGATTGCCGGGCTCGATATCTTTCTCGTCCTAATCATTAAAAACCTATGGAAGCGGTAGATGGAAAGTCGAAGTTCCAAGTCCAAGTTTCCCAGCCGCGAGTTGCGAGTTGGGAGTTGTCTGTCGGGATATCGGGCTGCTAATCCAATTTAAGGTTCAGTCCTGTCATCCTTTACCCACTATACTTAGGTACATCTTGGCACATCCTATCCACAGCTCAGGCACGATGCCACTCAGTCACCTCCCGTACCTGAAATTTAGCGACGATAGGAGCGATTCATTTACACGCCGCTACTTGATTCGTAACAATATTCCCCTTGTCTTTTATAGGATATCAATCTAGATCATGGAGCATGAGTTTGATCGAATATCTGCATGAATTATATGTAGTAAATCACATGCGCATCTACCTAATCATTGGTACACAGAGCAAGGTACAAGGTGCCAAGTAGAAGGTCTATACGTACATTAATGTGGTACCATCTGGGTTGATCCTATGGACGTTATGAGGTCATTGCAACTATACTCATAAACAAGTGAAAAAGAAAAATTATGTAGCACTTAGCTAATGATAATACAAATGGATACCTAATCAAACTCTAGTAGGTATTAAATGTGCATAGTGTACTTGTGAATTCGATGAACTGGGCACATTGGGCATATTCATTGCTGGTCTATGAGCAAACATCCCAGGCCATCATACAAGTGAAGAAAGCTCTGTACATGAGAAAGATACCCGTACATAATACATGCCTACTAGCTATGTACGAACAAACATAAGGTCGATAAAAATATACAGGAGAACTAATTAGACAAGGCACCTATCGCAGCTATGTTGGAACAGTTGCAGTTGTGAGAATATAACGGATTCTTTCATATATATACAAGTTACCTAAGCAACCAAGATATTCTCGGAGCGGAACAACAGGATATGTTAGGGCAAATGATAGTAAGGAAAATAAAGCCTTCCACTCTGTCAAATATTCATCAGAGTTGCTATATCGCGTCCGATGTAAACAAGGTCGAGGTGTGTCGAACGCTTATTTCATGATTCCAACCTCACATCACAACAAAACCACTTAAGCCCATAAGGGAGAATTTTGAAGCTCCGCGAGGAGGAACACATCATATGGTACACGCAGCTTTCATCATCTATGAAATTAATGTTAGCAGAATTCATTTAGTCATTTCGTGGCAGATAAGAACTCACTTTTATTTGAAGTGGAAGGATGAAGAGGAAAAGAAAAGAAAAGCTCTAAACTCTGGCGGCACGTTTCTTTTAGGACAAGGATATTTTTTGCGCCGGGAGCGGAACCGCAATTGTCCGCCCTAACTTACGTAATCCCTAATAAGGCCTAGGTACCCCTGCTAGAATTTTGGGTCTTCAACGTTCAAAGTAATAGGTACATAGGTACATCAGAATTTATTCACACTGCCGGTCATATGTTCCTAGAACCTCTTGCTCGAAAAAAATTCATTTGAGGTCTTCGAAGGCTCGACAAGTCAAATGAGAACTCAATGGCCCGGTTACTCTCAAGTATATTACGAAATAATTCTTTAAGATGCATCTGTCGCGTCCCAAGACGGCCACTGCCTCGCCAATGCCGGCCAATTCTTCAACTGGAGCACGCAAGATCCATCGAGACCACCTTCAGGACCACTTCCGATGAGGATAACCGAAAGTTGGGGTCTAGCTCTATAACTAAGACCTTAAACTTTCTAGATGAAAAAGAGGAATATACCATCGAAGACCCGTTTGAGATGTTTGAGAGATCCTGTATGGTACTAAGAGACCAACCGCCTAAAATGACTGAATTTCCGATGGGACAAGATGTCGTACTTTACGGCTATATTGGCAAACGGAAAGACTTGGGTAGTGCCCTCAGCTTTTGTGATTTTCAAGACAAGGATTCTAAAGCCGATTTTCAAATTGTGTCCCAATGGGAGGACCCTGATTCTCGCCAATATTACGCTCACAAATCTCTGAAGGCTATACCGTCTTACAGTCCTGTTATGTTGATGGGAACTGTTCAGGAATCTCAGAAAAAATCCACAGACCCTTTGGTAGAAGCCAAGGGTTTAGAGAAAGTCGATATAAGAATAAAATATATACGATGTCTGAACACCTTTCCTAAGGACGTCGTTGTCTCCAAGGATACTGTGTGGCCAGCCAAAGCACGCCACATGCAGTTACGCTTCGATCCTTTCCTTCGGGATAGGCTGATTTTCCGCGCCTGGATTAAGAGACAGTTAATCCGCATCCTAGCGGCCCGGAAATTCCTCGAAATTGAAACCCCGGTTCTCTTCAAGTCGACCCCAGAAGGCGCTCGCGAATTCCTAGTGCCGACGAGGAAGAAGGGTTACGCGTATGCGCTTCCGCAGAGCCCACAGCAGTATAAGCAGACTCTCATGGCCGGAGGTATCCTGAAATATTATCAATTTGCCAAGTGCTTCCGCGACGAGGATCATCGTGCCGATAGGCAACCAGAATTCACACAGCTAGACTTAGAGATGGGCTTTGTTACCGGGAGAGAAGTTATGAATCTCGTCACGGTCCTGGTGACATCTCTTTTTGTCCAACTTCACCAATCTTGGAGGATAGTAGAAATCAATGGCGTACGACATCCAGTACGCATTGCCCCCGAAGACCACGCAAGCGAGAGAAAGAGGGCGAAGAGGTGGGTTAAACCATTGACTGATCCAGGCGAACTAATCAATCGCTTTCCAAGACCCCAACCTATAACGATTTTGAAATACGCAGATGCAATGAAAAGATATGGAAGTGATAAACCCGACCTACGCATTGATTTTCCTTGGGCGACATGGGTGCGTTTGGCCTCCTTGTAATACAAATGTTTTACATTCTAACATAGACAGATCTACCGAATGGGACAACGGGGGAAGGGTCTTCCCTCACAATTTACTAGAATGATATCGAGATTGCCAGATCCCGTCGTCGAAGCCTTCAGGTTTCGCCTTGATGCTCCTCATAACCCCGACGTGTCCAGACAGTTCATCAAGAATTTTATGGACAGCCTTCCCAACAGCACGCTTAACATAGGCCCTGAGAACACTCCAGGGGTATTTGTTTATGACTCTGCTAAGCCGCTTAATGGCTTATCGGCTTTAGGCTTCGACGGAGTCGAGTTACTCGACAGCATGCAGGAGAAATGGCCCAAATGCATCGATGGAGATATCCTCATATTCCACGCGCGTAAAGATGCTCCTCTACACGGAGGCTGGACCGAGATCGGCAAAATTCGAACAGCGCTCTACTGGACCGCCGTAAATGAGGGCTTGATTCCCAAGAATAACAATTTCCATGTCCTCTGGGTCCACGGCTTTCCGCTCTTTTCGCCGACCGGAGACGACCCGGGGCAAGGCGGCAAGGCGGGGATCTGCTCGACACATCACCCATTCACGGCCCCGCTAAACGACCAGGACTTCAAAAACCTCAAGACGGAACCACTTCATGTTAAGGCCGACCACTACGATCTCGTCATCAACGGAGTCGAAATCGGTGGTGGAAGCCGACGTATACATATCGCCGAGGTTCAAGAATACGTCTTGCGGGACATCCTTAAGATGACGGATGAGGGAATTAGTCAATTCTCACATCTTCTTGATGCCTTGAGAGCCGGATGTCCGCCGCACGCCGGATTCGCGTTCGGGTTCGACCGTCTTATTTCCGTGCTACTCGACGTGCCGTCGGTCAGGGACGTCATCGCGTTCCCCAAGACTAACAAGGGCGAGGATCTTCTGGTCGGCAGCCCGGCGAAGGTTACACCAGAACAGATGAAGACATATCATATATTCGGAGAAGCGGATAAGATACCTGAAGATGAAATAGAGGCGTGATTATAATATCACGTGTGTATATCAGGAATAACATGTACCATAAGGGACTCAATACCACTGATTTCAACCCTAGGATAGAATAAAAGGTAATGAGCGATATGAGTACAAGAACGAGAGACCAATCATTGGAGCTCTTATACCCATCCATTCGAACCGTATATAGCTTCCGAACACACCAAATACTACCAGTCACCCCTTACTACCAAGACGACTAAAAAGACACTCCGTATACCAGACCCATTATTGTGCTTTCTTACTCTCAGACCCTTCAAATACTATAGATCACTTGATAGTCACCAAACCCACATCCGTCTCCCCGTCTACCTCCCCATCAAGCTCCTCGTCTAGATTCCCACTCACCTCCCTCGAATTTTCATCTTTCCCCACTTCCCCATCGACCTCCTTATTCATTTCCCCTGTCTCAACCATATCCACCTCCCCATCCACGCTCACGTCTTCATCCCGATTCCCATCCACAGCGCCAGAGCCGTTCACCTCCACAAACTCCGCAGCAGGCAACCCCTCCTCATCACCCGGCATCTCGTACGTCCCGCTCAGGGGCCTAGCATGGCGCGTGCGCTCGCCGATGATGTTCGAGGTGTCGATTGCTTCCTTGTCGTCGCGCGCTTTTGTCCGCTGCTGTTAGCGCGTATCTCTCTATTCTACGCCTCTAAATTGCCATCGAAGCTGAAGGTAAATAAAGGGGGAGGAAGGGCGTGTAGGTAGGGATAAAGAGGTAGCGAGATTGATAAGGGGCTGAATAGGGAGAGGAAGGAGGGGAAAGGGGTAAAAGAAATAGGTAGGGACAAGGACATACTAAGCGGAAGCTCAACAGTCTCGGCTTTCTTCTCGTCGACCAGTTCCTTCGCGGGAATCTCGCCGTTCTCGTCCCCGGGACGCGGGACGTATTGGGCGTCTGGCACGGCAACAGTGCCTGCGGGGGTGGGAGTGGGGGCTTCGTTGCTGGGGGACGACATATTGACTTCGATGAATATAAAATTGGTTAATAGGGGTTTAACTTGTGTGTTCTCGTTGGCTATTGAGATATAAAAACTTTGAGCTGTTTTGCGAATGAGAAGTCTCCAATATCGAGCGGCTGCCCCGATTCTTATACCCAATGCTCTACCTCCTTCTCCTCGCCTAATGTTGACAACACATCCAACGCCAAACGCCGCTTCGTCATCAACGTCATCGTCGGCCATGGATCACTCGATATCTTGGAACCCTTAGCACCTTCTCCTTCGAGACGATGATATAATTCACGATAGCTACCCCGCTATAGCCTCGCCTATATCCCATCACCTACCACGCATCGTACGCATCACAAACGTACGTGGCGCCGTCACTCCTCCATATTGCTTCTCCCCGTATCTTAATCTCCAACAATGACCTATCGCATCTCCTCGGCTCTATTCCCTATTCACGAAGCTCAGATTATAACCCCCCGCGTGTGACGGGCCCTTCCCTCCAGCATCGCTAATGTGATAGTGGTGACATGAAGTGGCCATGATAACTCATCTGCAAGAGAAACGTGGAAAAAGCAAGCCCCCCCGAAATAGCCACGTGCTTCAGGGACCCGTTGCATCATCTCACGTCTTCTAGACCGGGGTTTGGACCTTTGCTTATTCCCAGCTGCATACTACCTAGGTACTTAGAATTCACGATATACGCACCTTTTATCTTAGTCTCCATGTTAAGGAGATAACAACAACTAAATATCCAACCAAGTTACCCGACCAGAATATAATCATGGTCTCCAACTCCATTGCTTTTCCCAACGCCCATTCATACAGCTAGTAGTCCCATCACAATCACATGCACACATAAACGTCACCAAGACCCAAAAGCAGTAGCCATTGTCGCAATCAACTTGCTATTTCAGCCTGTATAATCCTAATTAAGTAAGGGTATCATTATCCTATCGTATGCTCGCGTAATCACTCGTGTTCGTATCCATTATCCATTCCCTACACGCCCTTTCGCACACATCAGGACTATGACGGGCCGCCACCCCCACCACGCCTAGCCCCGCTTTCCGTGCGCATGCTCTCCTCTAGCGCTCGCCTCAGCTCCTCGTCTTCGTCGGCCGTATCTGCTTGTTTCCCCCTGGTCTTGCGGAATTCTTCCTCCGCCAGGCTCTGCTTCTTGACGTACTCCAACACGATATCCTCCTCCGTCCTCAACGACGAGGCGCGTGCTAACTGCTCCTTGTGTGCCTTCTCGGACTCCTCGATGGCGCGGCGGAGCTCTTCATCATCGGTGACCCCCTGAGTCTGTTCTGCCTGCGAAGCTTCGATTGCCTTCCTTAGCTCTTCTTCGTCGTCTGGGCGTCTACCTTCTACCCCAGAGGCTTGGATGGCTTCCTTATAGTCTTGGTCGTCTTCACCCCCCGCGCTACGTTCCGTTTGCGATCTCTCCAGGGCCCGTTTATAATCCTCGTCCTCGCTACTATCGACATCGTGTCTCTGAACCCCGCTTCCTTGCTGCTCAGCTATGCTCAACTGAACTGCTTGTTCGATTAAGGCTTGATACTCCTCATCAGTAATATTCGTCAGGTCTTCGGGCATCCGGGGTGGTAGTGCTGGCCCAGCCACTGGTTGTTTGATATCATGATTTGGCAATGGGTGTTTGTGATCAACCATAGATATGTATCCAGAATCCTGTGTGGCCTGAGATATGGTCGAGGCAAGTGACGAAAGTGTCGTTGATCTGCTTCGTAATAGTCTGACGCTCGATCGAATCGCTTGTTCTACCCGAGCATCTTCGGACTCATCGCCTCTAGAGGTTTCTCGTACCGCAGTTAGAATTGCTTCCTCAAAGTTATGATCGTCACGTGTACTATTAGTGGCCGGATGCTCTTCAATGAATGTGCCGCCTGTCGCCGCCGCTTCCGCTCGTTTCTTCTTCCATGCTTTCTTCTGCTCCTGCAGTTTCTTCCTTTCCTCGTAAGATAGGTGCCTTGTGTTAAACCACCCCGTTTTTGGTGGTTCGTTGCCGACAATTTGCTCTGTAATGACCGAGCCGTGATTTGATGATGCAGGAGACTCATCCCGGGCCTTTCCTTTCTCCTTCTGCTTCCACAAGTAAAAATCCTTCATATTTTCTTTCTGGGAAATCCAGCGAACTTCTATGTCCTCCCGCTCCTCAGGCGATGAGTTCGCAAAATCATCCTGGCTTTGAGAGATCCGAGACGCAATGATGTACTTCTGGGCACTCTGAGCAAATAGCGTCCGAATTTCGGCATGTACACCCTGCATTGTGTATGCGGGAATGGACCAAATAGCTGTTATGGTTATTAGCATTCATAATCGTATTGCCATAAATTACCATGTGACTTACCAGCCGCAGGTTTGAACACCAACCCTCCGATACCTTTGCTGAACCCCTTTAAGGCTCCCATCGCACCTTCTTTCTCTGCGCCTCTAATAGGTTGCGTCACTAATCCAGTTATCCCGTCGAACATGCCAAAACCGAATTCCTTTCCAGCAATCTTGAGGCCACTGGCAAAATCGGTTACTTTCTCTGCGGGACGAACGGTATCATCGTTATATAAAGTTGGCGCATTTCTGAAGCCTCTCGCAAGTCCTAGACAAAAATTCATAGGAGACTTCATCCCAGTCGCCACGATGTTGTTGATGCTCTTGCCAGCACCGATTGCGCTCTCGAAGTTTTCATTACTCAGGAGATTAGGCGATGCTGCCCCTGATCTATGTGAGGAATCTGTACGGTTACGGCGTAAGATAGACGCTGTCCCAGATGGTGATCGTGAATGCCCTGTTCCTGTCGGGGTGAGAGGGATCGAGGTAGTTGAAATATTGTTCTCGGACCCCGCACCTAATGGGTTATGATGTACGTTAAGCGATTCCGATTTCACCAATGTTGTTGTTGAGTCTGCTGGCCCTTCTGGCTTCAGGCTAGGCGTGCTGTTATTAGCCTCACTTGATGACATTGTTGTTGAATCATCGCCAAGTTTGTCTGAAGACCTTGATTTTGGTGTTGCCGCTTTGAAAAGTTCTCTTGGAAAATCCGCCGCGGACATGGCAATGGTGCCAATGTCTCCTATCAAAGCTGACGTACAAGCTGAGATAGGATCTGTCGGGTGGTCCTCGGTACTGTATTCGTTTGCACGGAACCTAATATGAATAATTAGAAAAGTTGTATGATCACAACCAAGACCTATCAAACCGACTTACAATTTCAGATCCGAGTATCGCAAATACCCGGCATTAACCAGTGTCGCAGCTGCCAACGCGCTGAGGAAAATCTGGGTCCGTCGGAGACGCCACACGGCAACTCGGCTAGGAGCTAGTGCGCATCGAAGTCTGTCAACGTTGAGATGTCTGTGGAAGCTTTGGGCTCCAACATCTGTGCCATTCTCTTCGCGTATTTTCTCTCCTAATTCGCGGGCTCGTGCCTGGGTCTCTGGTTTGGTTGCTACCCGGATAGCTTCGGCTAGTCCTGCAGCAGTGAGGCTCTTATACGGAATGGGATCCGGTCCTGCCCCGGCTCTCGCAACCATAGCGCCCCAAAATGGCTGATCTCCGAAGAACGGGACGACGATAGTAGGTTTACCAGCATTGATACCGGCTGCTGTGGTTCCGGCACCTCCATGATGACAAACAGCGGAGACGTGTTGAAATAGCCAGTCATGGGGAACATTGCCGAGCATGAAAACACCATCTGGTATACCAACCGAGTCTGCTCCCAACCCACCCCATCCCTTTGAGACTAAAGCCCGCACTCCGGTTTCCGCCACTGCGTCAAATATTGTTCTGGTAAGGCCGTTCGGATCATCCACAACAATGGAACCAAAGCCGATGTAGATAGGGGGTGGGCCTGCTGCAAGAAATGCAGCTAATTCAGGATCTGGCGTATAAGACGATGCTAGGTTGAGGAAATAAAACCCAGCAACGTCGATATGCTGTCCCCAGTCATTCGGTTTAGGGATGAGAGCCGGAGACCTGCGAGATATGAGATTTGTACCACTTCGATATATAAGAGTTCATGAACTTACCAGCAGTATGTGTAAGGAATCCGAAGGCGGGTTAATACAGCAGGCGCCCAGAGTATAGATAGTGGCTCAAGATCGAGGATCTTTGTGCGAAACCGGTTAATGACATCTCCAAGTCCCTGCCATGTCATCATCTCAACTAGCGTATAGGAAACGTAGTTTGTGGTGACAGGATCCGTATTTGACGATTGAATATTTGCTAGTGGCTGCGGAAATGCTCTTGTTGGCGACCAAGGCATACTGGTACGAATATTAGTAAGAGACTCCACTCTGAAGTTATAGGTAACACTTACGTGAACATCAGGTGCAGAGGTACCCCCAGCTTCTCAGCTACGTGTATATGTGCAAAACTTGGGGGGTTCGCGATGATCGCATCAGCGATGAATGGCTTATGACCCGTTTCTTCGGGCAAGGGAGCCGGGAGCTCATCGCGTTCGGCATCTACTTTACTTCGGCGGTCGAAGCGTGGGGCCGGGCCGAGGCCATTTCCAGTCTCTATGCAAGATCTCCAACAGCCAAGAACGATCTCTTCAATTCCCTTTCTTCGCTTAGTTATCTCGCCACTCTTCAGCGCATCCATACCAGGCATTAATCCTGGATTTTTTACCATAAAGGCCATAAGCTCGGCAGGGTCGCCGCCGATATTGAAGAATTCCAAGCCATTTTCCTCAACGAATTTCTGGAAGGTGGTATGCGTAGCTACTCGGACACGATGGCCGTACGTATTCTTCAAAACTTGCCCTAGCGCAACAAATGGTTGCACATCGCCTCTCGATCCCACGATCTGTATAACCACGTTTAATCGAGGAGGTGGAGTCTGACCTGGTTGGCCACCTAAACTAGGAGGGATATAGGCAGGTGGGAGAGTTGATGCCGGTTCGGTGCTCTCTCTCAGCTGATTACGCAGAGCGGGAGCTATGAAATCGGCTAAATGCCGACTTGTCTGATTGATATTGATGTTGACTCGGCCGTCATCTATTATCGAATTCTCCAGTTAGCTATAACAACATCGACCAATCCAAGCATCATGACCTACCCGTAACAGCAGCACCAGCGTCAAAACCTGTTTGGTGAAGGGAGAACTGATCATGGAATTCGCTATAGGCTGGGGGGACATCATCTTCTGCTCCTAGCTCGGCCTCCACGGGTATAGGTCCTTCACTCTGAGCCTCATTCATGACGACCTCGGGGGCGTTGCTGAGAGAAATACGACGAGCCTGAGCGGCTTCGTCCGCTTTTGGAGCGCTTTTCTCGTCGATGATCGACATGTTTTATGTCTTTATCTTCAAGACAACATGCGGAAAAAAATGTAGAAGAGTCAAGGTAAATAGTTAGAACAGTTGAGTCTATTGAAGACGATTCTGAAGAGATACTTGTAAAGCTAGGCGCTAGTGGTTGAAAATGAAGAGGGGAATGACGATAGAGGGGTATCACATGAAGTACTACCTAGGTAGGTAGGTAATGAATGAATACTGAGGACTTAGTCAAGTATCACAGGGAAAATAAAGTTGAAGAAGAAAGATGAATAAGTGAAAGTCAACAATTAGAATTTATTGAGCGAAGGGAACAATAATGATGTGGGTTCAAGGTCGTAGGAGGCAGTCGTGGAGCTGTGGTTGCATGAAGTACCTGGTGCAGCAGCTGATGTCAGGTACATGCGTGGGCCTTTCCTACCTTACTTGCAGGTAACCAACAAGCTTGCCCCGTTCAAAGCGATGACGTCTAGGCTGCCACATACGGCTATCATCTATTGGTGGGCAAGTATGTAGGTACCTTTCGTGTCCCGTTTCCTGTTCGAACCCGTAGATATTTTCAATTGATTATTGCTGGCGCCGATTTAAAATGATAACGAATATCGTGTTTCCGTAGCCTCAATTCTCCAGAACTAACTGTTTAGGACCCATAACGTTCACATGGTTACTCTCTTGGTTCTGGCGTAAATCGCACTCGCGACCGTTTTTCGCATTATAGCGAGGGTCTGCATGGAAATACTTAAGGAAAATAGAGATTGATTGCGGGTCTTCGATTGGTTTAATGCGCAACCCGAAGGAGAGTGGGGCTGTGAAGGTCGTGCAAAGGGGATTGGGAGTGGGCGATGCTCACTACAGTTGGGGCTGTACGAAGTTAGGCGTTTTTAATAGGCGTTTTTCGTACCAAAGCGAATGTCCGAATATTTTCGTGAAACTATATAACTACTGGTATATGAAGTGAGGGTATCCAGGTTTAATGGTTCCAAGTCATGAGAGAATAAATACGAAATAGCGAAGACGATTATTATAGTGTTAAGTTTGGACGTGGTCGTTAATTCGGACGTGAAGATAGGATTTAATAGCATTCTTCATAAGATTCATCCTTCAATGTTGAAGACCCGTCCGCTTGATGGGATTACCTACCTAAACATTACTTAAGCACTTTCATTTTTTGTTCATAGGTACTTCCAAACTAGAATTTCTAGCAGGTCTCGGAAAGCTCCTTACACAAGAGGTCGCTCCAGGGCTGTTCCTTGCTTGCGATAGGCAACTGCGATAGAGCCTTTTATATTGGGGAATCCTATAGGGGCGGCAGGCAGAAACATAAGAAAAGCAAGCTAACCTTATACACATTTCGTGTCAGGCGACGATGGATCTCCGAAGTCCCATCCACATATCCCCGAACGGGGATGAGGTTCTATAATCTCATGTTGTGACCAACAGGATTGGACTTGACTAATTCTCATGTTGTTGGAAGAATAAAGAAAATTCCCTTGAGTTTCGTGTTGTACGGGTAGTTACACCAGCGTGTTTAAGTAAATAAGACCGGCTGAGGACGGGTGAGAAGCTTTAAGTCCGCCAAACACCGGCTGAAGGTTGACAATGTCTTTGGCTACGCAACGTACGTTAAGATGAATTATGTTCATTCAGTCCTTTGTCGGATGAAAGACATGCCGCTGGTCCATATCATATCCAAGCTAAAACCTAACGACGATGCTAACGTCGATGAGATGATTGCTATCGCCGATGCCAATGGCGATAGAAAGGGGACATAAATAGGGGTAGTGAAGCCTGGGAATCAGATCACGACTAAAAACCACTGTACTTAGCAAATAGCCAAATCACAATCTAATTTTCGATCAAAATCAGACAAAAACTCACTTACACTAGAGATCAACAATGTCTCCCTTCGGCTTACACACACCCTCAGAAGAGGTCGCCAAAGCCTTCGCAGACCGCATCAAGGGGCGCACATTCCTCATCACAGGAACCAGCGCCAAAGGTATCGGCGCCCAAGCCGCCATAAGCCTCGCCCGCGAATCGCCCGCGCGCCTAATCCTCGTGAGCCGCAGCAAAACGAAGTCCGAGCCCGTGCTCGCGGAAATCGCGCGCGTGAACTCCAGCGTCAAGACCACCTTCGTGATCTGCGAGCTCTCGGACTTCGACTCCGTGCGGGCCGCCGCGGCGCAGATCAACGACGACGCGTCGATCCCGCGCATCGACGCCGTGATCAACAACGCGGGCGTCATGGCCATCAAGGAGTACACGCTCGACAAGCAGGGGTACGAGATGACGCTCTCGTCGAACCACCTCGGCCACTTCCTGCTGACCAACCTGATCATGCCCAAGATCCTCGCCGCGGGGCCCGGGTCGCGCATCGTCAACGTCTCGAGCAAGGGGCACCGCATCAGCGCCTTCCGCTTCGACGACTACAACTTCAGCGGCGGCGCCGACTACGACGGGTGGAGCGCGTACGGGCAGTCGAAGACGGCCAACGTGCTGTTCTCCGTCGACCTCGCGCGGCGGCTGGCCGGGCGCGGGATCCGCGCCTACGCCGTGCATCCGGGCGGGATCTACGGCACGGGTCTAGCCACGCATGTAGAAGACAACATGTGGCCTCAGCTCGACGTCGCTACGATGAAGAACACGGGCCGCTTATTCGGCGCCATAGCCGACGACCTGAAGACGCTGACGGAAGGGGCATCGTCTCTGCTAGCCGCGGCGCTGGACCCGGAGTTTGATGATAAGTCTGGGTCGTTTATTCAAGATTGTCAGGTCTATACCGCGCTTGAGCATGCGACTGATCCGGAGAGTGCGCGTAAGCTGTGGGAGCTTAGTGAGAAGTTGGTTGGCCAGAAATTTGACCTGTAAGAAATGTCATGTGAAATGGTTGGAAGAGAGTATGACATTGGAAAATTGAAACCTGTTATATTTGTATGCTGCGCCGTACCACGAGCTTGATAATCCTAAATTAGCCAATTGGCGTATAACCATCCAGCTCTTTATATTCTCCATCTTTACATCGTTGTCTCTATTCCCCTATGTTGTGCAAAATTGACGTATTAGTAGGGAAAAATTATGAGCAAGATAAACAATTTTCACGGGAATAGCTCAAAATAAGACCATATTTGTTAGAAGGCAATACTTGTTTCTGAAAATCTCAAAATTGCATAGATCGCTTGTCTAATGTCATTTCGGTAGAGGCAAAGGAAATCTTTTGCGTGAGCCTGCCAAGTTTTGATATAGTACAAAGGCCAGCTCGCCAGAAACTGTGTCATGATTCTGGACTGGTAGGTAAAGTTGGGTTAACATCGTTGCTGACGTTCGGATTCATCTGTTTCCATCGATTGCCTGCTCCATGTCCAGTCGAAAGTCGCAGCTATTCGGTGCCGCGCCCTATTCGACGATCACACAGCATCCATATTAATATATTCAACCACCGTCCATCATCCGCCATCGCCATCACCATTTTAGCTTGAGAATCGTCGAGTGATCTTTGCAATAACTATGTAACTTATTAATATTTGTGCTCCTCATGGAAAGAAACATGTTGCATACCGTGCAAAGCGACAACACTGAAGATGAAGACTAGTGAGAGAACAAGAACAACAACGGGGTCGACCTTCAGACCAGGAGATTCGTCGGTGTAGAGTCCTAAATCGAATTAGCATCGCGTTACGACCCAATACACATCTGCCTTTTTCACGTACTCAGCATCGTGCTGCTGCTACCACCCGCACCCGCGGCACGGGTACTACTCGGCCGCGCATTTGCGATCTTCTCTTTCTGGTCGGCAGCAGCTCTTCGTCGGATGGCAGTTCGTGCGCCTCCAGGGGGTGCAGGGGATGAAGGTCGGCCGGTGCTGGCACCAGTAGCGGCCGGCGAGTTGGCGGGAGAAGCAGCTCGAGGAGAAGACTAAAATCATCGTAGATGTCAGCGCGAGTTCTGGCAAAGATTGAGTAGGCCGTCAATGCCAATTCCATGCAGCGCAGCAGTCACCATCTAAGACTTGCTGATTCACCCCTTTTGAGGAATTGCATTGCGACCCGGCGTTTATGAACATACCATTGCGAAAATTAGGTGACGGTCAAAGTATAGACAAAAGCGAAACGACAAAATCTCCCTCTCTGTGGTTGATCAGGATGTAGAAAGGGAATGTAGATGGAAGAATGGAAAGTCGCGTGTGGATTATTGGCGTGGTCAATATTTAGGAGCTGTCTCCAAATAAAATCCGGGGTTCAATTGAGGCCACGATTTTGGAAAGCTCGGACGTTTTCGAGAGCAGGGATTGGATTTTACTTTTTCCGATATTCCGTTTATATCCGTATTTCATTAGGTAATTAAATATCCCTGCACATCAAGTATCTAAGTACCTGTCAACGCGGACAGTTCCGGAATAACTTCAAGCCACGGTCCCTTATCAGATTTCAACCAGCAGTACCTAACACAAGCCACTTTAGAGCAAGCCTCAAAACATGTGAGTGATCGATCAAATCGGACAGGTCCGCAAAACACTCCACCCCCACCTTAACACTCACTTTTTATTCTACGATTTCTCATCACATCACGGAAAAGAGCAGAAATCGGAACCTTGAAGGCTTTCAATGTGGGGACGACATGACGCATCCTGCAACTGACGCGTCGCATATCTTCAAACTACCTAGATACCTAGTCTAAGACATACAGGGCTAGCCAATGAATTGAGCCATTTTCTATATCTTTCCGTGTCTTGGACCTTGGTCTAGGGCAAAACCTGGGAACCTTTCAATGTTCCTGGCAACTGGATGAACAAACTACACGGAAAACCATACGAAATCGGGTTAGAAGAATAAGGACACTCAAAATATCGATTTATACTTATATGTCCGTCCCCTCGGCTATCCATGATTATCTAAGGATCTTATGATCGACTCTTTATAAAAGTCGATTCCCGTCTGCTTATTTCCTTAGAGAGAAGCTTCTTCCATTCCTCCTGTATTATAGTCTCACTACGACCACAACCAAGATGGATCATTTTGACTGGTCGACGCCTTTTCCGGAAGGTGTAATATCCTTTCTCGATACCGACTTGTACAAGTTGACGATGCAATGTGCCGTCTTCAAACACTATCCCGATGTATCTGTTTCATACGCATTTACCAACCGTACTCCCGAGAAAAAGCTGTCGCGCAAAGCTTTCTCCTGGCTCTGTGAGCAGATCAGCAGTGGGTGGCTCTATCATGTACTTAGTCAAAGGCGCTTGAATATTGATCACATTCATAGAGCTCGGCAATATTTCATTATCTGACGATGAACTCCGATTCTTGCAATCGCATTGCAAGTATCTATCAACCCCCTATTTGAACTTTTTAAAAGAGTTCCGGCTCAAGCCACGTGAGCAATTGATCCCAAGTTTCTACCCTATAGGGGCAGACACCGGAGCGGAAGATGAACTGGGCGACATCCACATCGAGGTCCGCGGCAAGTGGGTAGACACTATCCTCTATGAGATCCCGCTTCTCGCCTTGACGTCCGAGGCCTACTTCAAGTTCATGGACAAGGACTGGAACTATGACGGGCAAGAGGATAAGGCATACGGCAAAGGCATGCGACTTCTCGAGGCAGGATGTATATTCTCCGAATTCGGAACCCGTAGACGACGAGATTATCACACACAGGCATTGGTATTCAGGGGCTTGGTGAAGGCCGGCAAGGAAGCCGAAAAGCGCGGCTTGCCTGGTAAACTCTCCGGCACCAGTAACGTTCATCTAGCTATGCGATTCAATCTTGCACCTGTTGGAACTGTTGCTCACGAGTGGTTCATGGGCGTCGCAGCCATCACGAACGACTACTTAGGAGCAACGGAAGAAGCACTACGACGATGGATTGGCTGTTTCGGCGAGGGCGTATTAGGGATCGCATTAACAGACACGTTTGGCACGCCAGAGTTTTTGAGATCGTTTAGTAAACCTGTCAGATATCTTCCGGATACACCAAATCTGCCGGTCTCGGAAGATGGTACCCACCCTACGACTTCATCACAATCCTATGCCGAAGTCTTTAGCGGCGTGCGCCAAGATTCGGGCGACCCGGCCACTTTTGTTAAATTGATGCGCGAGTTCTACGATAAGAATGGGATAGAGGGGAAGAAGACCATCGTTTTTTCCGACTCACTAGATATCGATAAATGTATCGAGTACAAGCGTGTATCTGAGGAGCATGGCTTCCAACCGACTTTTGGCGTTGGCACCTACCTGACTAACGACTTCACTCAAATCACCACCGGGAAGAAATCAGTACCGCTGAATATCGTCATCAAGCTGAGTTCTGCGGCAGGAAACTCCGCTATCAAAATCAGTGATAACATAGGAAAGAACACCGGTGATTCGGCCAAGGTAGCAGAAGTGAAGAAGCTGCTGGGCTATGTAGAGAAGGAATGGGCAGGCGGAGACGAAACATCGAGATGGGGAAAGCCCGACGATGTTCAGCCCTAAAGAGATCACATGGTGGTACTGAGCGATGAATATTCTTAAACGAGTCATTAAGTAGATTGCTAGATACTAGAAGGTTATCTAGACAAATTGGAGGATTTGCCACCCCCATGGGGATACCTGAGTCGCGTTCGCGTTCGCATTCCAGCTGGCCGCGAGAATGGGTGGAGCCCTATAAGCACCTGCCTTGATATTTGCAAATATTTACAATGTAGGTGGTCCAGTCATCAGTCATGATTCAATCGACATAAGATTCCGCTCACTGGTCCGGAAGAGTGTAGGCGGTGGACACACATTTTCACCTTTTTTGGCAACTACCTGAGTATTTAATAAAACAACTACCTACATGACAACGTCAACGAAGCTCGTCTGATTATTCTACTTGAATAATCATTGACGGACACTGACAATCACAAACCTCCTCGCTGAAAACCGCTGGGTGGTTCTACATTCCTTGTCCCTGTTTTTCCCTTCTTTTCCAAACACACACTTCCCGTCACAATGGTTCGGTTCGCATTCCTCATAGCAATGGTGTCTAGCCTGACGTCTATCGTGAACGGCGCATTCAGTTCCTCGTCGAAGAAAAACGTCGTGGTTTATTATGTGAGGATTCAACCCTTTACCTATCACCTTTTCCCTTTCACATTCCTGCTTTTGTTAGTAGGCCTACGCACTAACATGTTTATCTCGAACAGGGTCAAGGGCCTAGTCAAGCTGCGCTAACCACCTACTGCGCGGACTCCAATATCGATATTATCGTGCTTTCTTTCGTGTACCTCTTCCCCGCTCAAGCCAACGGCTTCCCGGGCATCAACTTCGGCAACCAATGCGGCGGCATTGTGTACCCGGGCCCGGGCTACAACGGTGTGAACACTACGGCCAACAACCACCTCTACCAATGCCCTGCCCTTCAACAGGCCCTAAATACATGCCGAAAATCCTACCCCTCGAAGAAAATCCTGCTCTCCCTTGGTGGCGCTACAACCCAGTACCAGCTCACGGGTGCCACTGACGGTACTGCCTTTGCGAACCTTTTGTGGGGCCTTTTCGGCCCGCGCACCACGGCCTGGGTCAACGCCGGCAAGCCGCGCCCCTTCGACTACAACGGCGTCGGATTCACCATCGATGGATTCGACCTTGACATCGAGCACCAGCCGACAGACAACTGGGCCGGATACACGGCGCTGGCAACACAGCTGAAGACCAACTTCGCAACAGTCTCAGGAACTTACTACCTGACGGCGTCGCCGCAATGCATCGTACCAGACGCGAACCTGCAGGGCGTGCTGCTGAAGGGAACCTTCGACATGCTGTTCATCCAGTACTACAACACGCCGCAGTGCAGCGCGGCGGCCTGGGTCAGCGCGAACCCGAACTACAAGTCGGGCGGCTCGTTCAACACTAGCGGTTTCACGTTCGACCAGTGGGTGACCTGGCTCTCGAGCACGCCGAGCAAGAACGCGCGCCTCTTCATCGGGCTGCCGGGTTCGAGCGGCGCCGCCAGCGCCGCGTCCCTCGTCTCGCCGGCGCAGGCGCAGAACCTCGTCGACGCGTACTACTGCCGCACCAACTTCGGCGGCGTCAGCGTCTGGGAGGCCACGTACGCCGCGGCTAACGTGGTCGGCGGCCTCAACTTCTACCAAAATATGAAGAAGGACCTGAATACCTCGTCGACTAATACGAAGCTATCTTGCGTCGTGAGTGCTTTTCTTTTTTTTTTCTTTTTTTCGTTCATCCTCCCTTTTTGTTGAATTTTCTACTTAGCTTTTCCTTTTTCCTTCTCTCCACCCCCCCTCTTTTATTCCCCCTTTTCAAGTTTCTTGGCTTTACGATCTCTGGACTGCTTACGTACGATGGCTTGGCAATCTTAAAGGGGAAATAGCATGCTGACATAAGCCGGACTTATTTTTAGTAGTCTTCGGGATCGACCGGCCCCACTTCCTCCACTCCGAGTTCAACTTCAACGTCAACTTCACCTTCTTCGTCTTCGTCTTCGTCTTCCAAGTCCACTAATTCGAGCTCGATCACGTCCCTCCCCACGTCGGCTAACGGTCTCTGCGGAGCGGGACAGGGGTTTACGTGCGGGACTGGGATGTGTTGCTCTCAGTACGGATATTGTGGGACGGGCAGCGCCTATTGCGGTACGGGATGTCAGCAGGGCTACGGGACGTGCAGTTAAAGCAACAGCAGGCAACTGCTGTTTATTACAAGAAGAGATAGAAATGAGTACCTATGATAAAAAGTTTATGCTTAATGTGTGAGCCAGCTTTCCATCTAATATTGTGTGGGTAATTGTAACAAATGTGACGTGACGCTTGCAAACATAAGAGATTGCCCCTTGAATTAGTAGAAAATGATAGTTATATATAATTAAGTGTTAGTTAGTATCGATAACTTGCTTCAATTCAGACATTCCGAATGAACTTCTATTATCTTCTGGGTGTTATTAATGAGACATGTAGTTGAAAGATAGCCCTTTAAAGTGAGCAAGTGACTTTTGATGTAAGCTGGTTAGGCATATTTCGATTATAGAAACAGGTATCTCAAGGCATCAATGGTGAAAAAGCTCGGTCCGCGGTAGAACTAGGAATTTTATTGACCTACCTAGCTAAGTACCTAACGCCTTCCAACGTATGTATGACCTCCATATTTAGTGGATATTACTGCCTAGCACGCGCCGCAGAGCTCAAGGATACGACGCGTAAGTAGCCGGGGAGCATAGAATTCTATATTTCTATAATATGTACATCCACCCGGCTGTTTTTCACTAGGTAGGTACTATGAAACATTTCAGCTTACCATATAGTTAATAAGGCATGTTATATGATAGAACAATTACAGTAAAAAATGTATCAATACTCTACCGGGAGTAATGTTTTTAGATCATTAGTATTCACTTAATCAATCTGATATCGATTGAAGGGGAAAAAAAAGAGTACTCATCCTGTTTATTGAACTAAGGTCATGGGAGTTCCTGTACGCCTAATGAGCCAAGCCACCTTTCCAAGTCTTCCTCGCCCCAGATACATCCCACCAACGAGGTAGGCATACTGTGACTAGACTACGTAAGGATTGGACTTGGAAGTAATATCCAAGTAAATTGAATCTGCCGCATTGACCACCCGGGTTTGAGTCAGGGTATCAGGAGAGTCTTGTTGCTGAGAAGTGCCACCAGTCGAAATCGAACTCGTAGCCTACACGTCTCCGGGGGAGGAGGCGTGAGTTTGGAAGCGCTTCTAACGCCATTGAGTCATAAGGATCCTAAGGTAACACTTCTCTGCTAGGAAAAGCTAGGCAAATAATTATCTATATACCTTCTTTCGTTCCAAGATAATTTAGCCACGAGGTTCATTTTATCCTGATCGCAACACCATATACGAGTCTGATTAGCTATGTACCTGCCATCTTTATTTTTCGCCTTTAATCACTACTGAATTTGTTGTCCAGACAAATTTTCAAGATCTGCCCTGGATTGATTCATCCTGTCACGAGGCGGAACTAAGAGGCTAGGGAAGAACGACGTTGTTGCGCGAAGAGCTCTAACTAACCCCTTCCAGGGAACGCGGTATACATACATAAACCTTCCTTTGTCTATAGCTAAAGGCTAGCTGCCAACAGGGCGGCCTCGTACAGGCCGACTCCCGATACCTCTGGCTACCAGCTCTCATGGAGGAAGCTTCTGACACATCCATTTTGGTCGCTTTCGCCGACATGTCATCTTGAGCGAGTTTAAATACAATTCTAGAACTAATATCTGTCCATCTGTGACAAATGATTCATAGATACCTATCTATTTGCATGTAATTAGTAATTATAGAATTATTGCAGTACGTGTTACAGCATCACTTTGGCATATCGGTATCCTATAATTTGTTCGCATTCAAAATTTCTTAGAGGAGAGAGTCTTATTAATGAAGCATTGTATCCTTTGGCAGGTGAAATAATTGTCACGTCCTGCCATCTGGTTAACGAGGACGAAATGGGAGTCTAGTAGAGATCCCAGGCTGGCCATCGTCTGTGGCATCCATCATCTCGACGTCTTCATTTCCATCGCTTTCTCCCTGTCCATCACGAATTTCGTAGTTCATCCCTTCGAAATCACCGTTGCTGCCGTCATGACTACCACCATAGCCATCCTGAACGTCCTCCTCTCCATATTCCTCGCAGCCTTCCATCTCCATATCGTCGTCATCAGTATCAACCCCCTCAATATCAGTCTCCTGCTGGCCATGACCCTCAGGACCTCTTTGTCGTCTCGACTCGTCGACTCGTTCCTTGAACCTTGCCATCGTCGCTTCAGCACTGCCTTCGTTGTCAGAATCTACTAACCACTGAGGATAGTAAAGCTGTTTTATCTCTGAATACCGGCCGTACGTTCCATGTAGTGAAGAAACCCATTCATCCATCGCTCGGTGTAACTCATCGTCAACTTTGGTCCTGTACTTATCGGGAATATCCTCTGGTTTGTAGTTGCGCTCACGATAGAACTGCACACTTTCATTGAAGCTGTTTCGAGCGGAAAGAATTCTGTTGCTAAAGTCGTGGAGTTCGGTGCCACTTACCGAGCGAGCCCAGACGAGGTGTGAGCCCACCTCGGCCCAAAACTCACTCGGTTGGAGCTTCCCGCATCTTCCTATTAACTGGCGCGCAACAAAAAATATATTCGTCAAGTACTCTGCCGTAACATCTCTATCCAGTCGCCTTCCAGCCTTTTTCATTGATTTGGTAATGTTGCGGACTTGTTGGCTAGTCACGAAGGGTTTGTCGTACTTGGAGTACCAGTGGAATCCCTCCTCTGGGAGAAACTGGATTAGAAGAGGCTCTCCATGCTTGCGTCTGATTATGAGATAGTAAGCTGCAAGTCCCTGAAATGCGAATGTTTAATAAAATAGGGTCAAAGTCGACGAACCTAGGCATGATGGCGGATTCGTAGTAGGCCAAGATGGTTTGGCGTCTGAATTAATGACAGGGTGACGGAAGGCAATTATTCTGTGCTTAGAATATCTTTTGGGACCATTGCTTTTGCAAGCGTGTTTTATGAGGTGTGTTGATATGACCAGATGATTACGGGAGATTGGGAGATAATAGAGAGGTCAATGGAAAATGGAAGAGCGAATTGTAGAGAAATGAAATGTAGGAGTGGGATTTTCAATGTTGAGAATTGGAAATGTACGAGTGACACCACGAGGTATAGTCACATTTTAAAAGTTCCACAGTGTTAAGTAAGCTTGAGTAAATGGACAAGAGTAGGAAGGAGGTATGGGAAGGAAGACGGACGTAACTTTTAGACAGTGTTCGTGTGTCGAAATCGGGTGGCAGAATCACCCAGGCAACCACAAAGTGTCTATCGTACTGGACAACCTTTTAAATAGCAGTCGTCAGTAATTACATAATGCAGAGAGGGGTTTGATAAGAATTCATTAACCTCAAGTTGGGTATGGTACCCAAGGATTAAAATAGTAGAAGATTAGTATAAGGTTAAAAGTTAGGAATCAACTCCTGAAGTTTGGCGAAATTTTGGCCCTTGTCGGATGTCAAGCCGAATTTTTCTGGGGAGGCCTTCCGCTATACTTTTCCTTTCAGTGAGTGTCGAGTTGCTGGCTTCCCTGTAGGGATAGCGTATGGAACTGCTGTTGCAAAGTAGAGTAGGCCCAAATCCCCCCGTGAGCACTCAACCAAGAGTTTGAGTCGGGGTTTTACACTACCACATATTGCGTGTGGATAAGGATGGTCCTTGGGCGCTAATAACTAAGGTGATGTACTTGAGGGTCTCTCAAACCTCAGTTAGCTACTACCGCTGCCGATTAGCTCGGGTAGCACTGAAGGCAAGACGTAGAAGATAATTCCCTAATTACATGATATGAAGCAATAATACTCCTGCTCTTTGTTGGGGGTATTATAAATGCCCTAGGCATCTTTGGTAAATGGTTATGTATATACTTACTATCTCTTTGGTTGGCATAAGACTACAGCTCCACCACGATTAGTAACTGTACTTCCAGCAACCCCTGAGTTCCACAAAATCTTACTTCTAGTTGGTTTGACGCCTCCGAAGATCACTGTGAGAGCCTCAACGCTCACAGGCTTTAAGGGCCTGCGCTATCGCCGATGTACAGTTACCGGTTTTGTGGAGACTGTAGTCTTATGCCAACCAAAGAGATATGTACCATACTATAGGTCCTTCGAATGTAAACGAATTCATCATCATCATATTGTTGCATGATTCTTAAGGTAAAAAGTCGTAGGGTAGAGCATCGAATTCATTTGTACTATGCCTTATCGAGCCGGGATTCTTTTGTGCAAATGCAATAGCCACATTCGATCCTCATCATGACCATGTGATTTCTCGTCAATAATCCCTGTACCAAACATTTGCTGAACCTGAACCATTGCCTTGACAGGCAGGTATGTAGCACTATTCTGTTTAGAAACGGTAGAGGGTAACTTGCGCAAAAGGGCAAGGTTACTTCTTCTCATCCGTCCTTCACACTAGAATATCTCCATCACTTCTTCCTCTCCCCTAACCGCGGCTGCTGTTACCGATAGCCTTCTTCGCTCTCTGGTGAGCTCCAATAGGGGCCCACTTGACAATGGGCTCGGCCAATCCATCAGGACAGTAGAGGATTCTTGTTGGGGATCGTAATCCATACTCCTGGATGACAGTCGTGATCCACGCGTCCACTGCCTTGTTCGCGATGCTGTGGTCGCGGTTGCGGTATCGCTGCGGGATGTCGCCGATCTCCTTAGAGTCCTCGTGGTAGTTCTTGACGCGATGACGGAACGTAACTCGAGCAGCCATGACTCTAAGCGCGAAGTCGGCGAGGTCGCGTCCTTGAAGGCGGTAGGTCCAGAGTTGATGAGAGCCGACCATGTGCCAGAATTCCGCTGGCTGCATGCCCTCACAATACTCGACCATAGTACATGCCTTGGAAAAGAGCTGGGCGATGTACTCGGCGGTGACGGCCTGCGAAAGGGGTCTTCCCGCTTGACTCATGGCTTCGCAGATGGCCAGGCACTGTTCGTAGGTGGTGAAGGCCTTTTTGTGCATGGTGATCCACTGGAAACCAGCGTCGGGGAGATAAGGGCTCAGAAACTTAGGTGGTTGTGCAGCCATCTAAGGGTAGTTAGATTCAACGTTAGCGAATCGTGATTTTACCTACGTTGAAGCGTTAAGCAAAATGGGACAAAATATAAACATACCTTTACCTGGCTGACGGGCGTCGATAACTAGATTGGTTTTGATAGAAGGATAATTCCACGCGCGACCGAAAAGAACGTGAAGAATTGACGAGTTTCGGTTCTAGTAGATGACGACGAAGTGTCGTCAATTATGGTTTCAATGGTACTTGCGGTGTCGTAGTTAGGTTGTCACGTATCAAACACCGAATTTTTTATCTTGGTGTTTTGGCGTTTGATGTAGCCAAGGTGTCTGGTCGTGATGTGGGAGAAAAAGAATATGGTAGAAAGAATCGACGTAGGGGATATGCAGAGATAAACAAGACAGCGCGTGGACAGCAAAGTTTAAGTGTAGAAGCTGTTTTTGAAAATCAAAAACATGCAGGTGCAGATGGGTAGACGTTGACTCATACTGTGGTCCAAGTTTCGTTCACTGGCACAACCGTCCGGTAAAATGAAGAAAGAACAAAGAATAACGGCACTAACTAACAGTTGTCTTCTTTCATTCTATTGGCTACCTTGATAAATACAGCTGACGCTGTTTCCTATTTACAGTTGGCAGTTTCTTCGGCGGGTGACGAGGGAAGTCTTGTGGTCTGTGGTCTCTTCATGTTCATCCGGCGTTTAGGCCACCACAAATACTGATTCGGCTACTTGATACGGTGTTGATACCGTGTAGTTGATAGGATTAGGCAGAGAAGGGGAGTATCAAGCCGGTTCATATACAATTAGGCATATACATAGGCATACCATCTTCTCTGATATACGTATATATGTTAATACGGTACTGAAACTTCTACGGTATAACAAGTTGGACCGTCAGTGATGGCAAATGTGTTATTAAACTTATCAACTGTGCAATTATATCATTATATCTACTAGTAGATGAGGTTTCCTGTGGGCAGGATATACCATGGTTCAGCACTTATGAACAAGAATACATTGCTGTATGGAAACAGCTTCCATGTGAGTTACGGTTGACTAGGCATTTCGAGGGAAATAATCGGTTATGATAATATCATCAATAAACGATTTTTTACACGAGTGCAGCCAACGATATATCTAGAGAAGTTGACTACCTATCTAATTGGAAATAGGGGCGAAGTCGGGAGATCCGCGTCGATATCGGGTGGCAGGTACGGAACATCGTACCGAGTCATAACTTACAGATTACAGCAACTGCCTGACTTCTTCCCTAGCTCTTACTTCAATTAAAGATCCTACAATCCGATAAATAGTGAAAGCAACCTGTGACTTCCCCGGATACGTAACCCTAGCCCGGCCCCTGAATATCTTCTGGTTGACTCGCATTCTTCTCACCTTATCTCTTTCTCATCAAATTCAACCCATTTCCACATCCCCATACGAAACTTCTTCAACAACATCTTCATTTCGTCAGATCAGATCGGTGGAAAAAACTTGCAAAAGCAAGGTTTATAAGAAGGTAAACTCTATCCTTTCCTTATTTTCATCGATTCCATATCTACAATACATGCAACCCGAGTGCCAAACACTCAATCTTCTCTATCTTTCCTCTATCCTTTTTACCATCGATTAAAACATCAGAAGTAACTTACCTACCCCAGCATCTCGACCTGGTTGAACGACCCCTCCCTAGCCACTGTAGGTTTGTTCTAGTATCTTCCTACCATTACTTCTTGCACTTCTTGTCTTCTTCTCCCCACCAAGTCCTCGACATATCCATTTGATCTTCCCACGTTTCTCAACTTTCCATTCTGCACCTTGACCACCAAAACTAGGACACGCCCATCCTCTCCACCAGATTTGAGCCCTACTAACTTTGTGCTGATCGAAAGGGTTCTACTTATCAGTAAATTCTCCATCAGCATCCAAGCCAACGAGATGTCTAACAAAACCGCTCCCGACGCTGCCAAAGCCAGCGGTAACGGTAGCCAGCCCTCCAAGGCCTGGTCTTCCGAGGAAGCCGTCAAGATGCTCTTACTTATTATGCATCACGAAAACCCTGACCTGGGAGTCAGCGGCTGGAAGGCCATTGGTGAGAAGGCACAGGTCTTGTTTGACGGAAAGTATTCGATGGTCGCCGTTAAGTGAGTTTATTCTATACGCCGAAACTTGATTGTTTCCTAAAATTTACCTCACTATCTCTATTTCAATTTGACTATGCATAGAACGTCTCTAATTTTCGTTCACAGACATCAGTTCCAGCGACTTCGTCGCACTTTCATGGCTGAAATCCCGGCCAATTGGAAGGGAGACTCGGACAATGACGAGAATGAACCTGAGGAGACATCGACCCGGGGAAAGAAGCGTGTGGCCCCCACTGCTGATGAACCCTCCGTCAAAACCCCCAAGGCCAAGAAGCCACGAGTCGCACAGAAGGTTACCAAAGGCAATAAGGGACCTGCCAAGGGACCTGCCAAGGCTGCCACTGCCGACGCCTCTGATGGAGAGGAGCGTAAGACTGTCAAGCCTATGCCTCAGCGTCGTGGTGCCAAGAAGTCTCAGGCCAAGGTTGACGCCGATAAGGAGTCGCGACCTACGCACAGCCGTGCCACCCGCAAGGACTCTCAGAAGATGGTCGCTTTGGAGTCCCAGTCTGATGACAAGACCACTACAGTTGATTCACAGGACAATGTCAACGCTGCGACCAATGACCAAGCCGTCGCTGATGATCCCGTCGCCGATGATCATGTTGCCCCCGATGGCATCATCGCCGACAATGAGGCCAATGATGGTGCTCAAGTTAACACCCCCTAGATCGGTGCTTGGCCATCAACCTAACGAACGCTGTGGAAACTGAAGTCTGGATCGTGCTAGCTGGTATGAATTGTAGGTAATTCCTATGTTACATGATGAATAACTCATAGCATGCTCAGACTGCTAACTCGTAACAGCAAAATCAGGCTTCCCAGTCTGGACGCCGATTATCGCAAAGGCTTTGGTGCACTACATTGTTCATTTGCTGGGAAATGATCGACCTTTGTGGCAGGGAACACGACACAGATGGGTTGCTATTATAAAGCAATATTGCATGAATCTCTGGCATTCTTTCACCATCTCTAGCTAGTTTTGCTTTGCTTTTTCAGATAGCATTGGTGACCATATCACCAAATACACCGGACCAGCCACATTGCTGCCCTATCTCCGTCTATTATTTTTATCCCGAGAATGTGACCTGGCGTGACATAAGGCGACTTCGACTTTCCCTGAACTGGCTATTCGAGGGTGCGCGTTACCAATCACTGCCCACGCTTTGGGCTATGTTCGTTTCCCTCCTTCCGTAACGGGCCTCTAGCTTCGCCACAATCCGTAACGCGATAAATGTCCATTTAGTCATGATTATCAAAGGCCGTCCTATGAAATCTCTGTGCTCCCCCGGACTCTTTCCCATATTTCGTTCACCTCGCGCCCGTCGCTTGCCAGACAAAACATTTATCTCCTCCCGCAGCCCCGGGCCAGAGTAAGCAGCGCAGGTGAGGGATACAGATACAGCTTTCTCAAGAATACATGTGAAAAGTTCGCCACAACGACTCCCAAACTCGGTCCGTGTTTGGTTCGAGCGGCAGCTAGAACTAGCGTCTGCCGAGTAGGGTGGGGATTGGGTCCGGCTTTGTGTGAGGCTCATTGAGATCTATAGGACTAGCAACTAGCTAAGGTAGGATTATAACCCAGGTAAGTCCACCGAACTAGCCAACTAGTATGCCGTAAGGCTTATAAACCGGAGCCTTTTCTATGTCAGACGGATATTCTGGAAGCATTGGAATAACTCTAATTCGACTAGGTGCAGGTTTGCCCCTTGTCGTCTTGATTGCCATGTAGTCATCAACCGATTGCCGCTTACTGTGATGTCGGTTTCTGGGCACCATTTTCACGTGCCCTATTCGCCTTAGATCGAGTGTAGCATGCTTCTAGCTGATTATGGGGAAATAGCTAGGGACCCAGGGGTCATTTTCCTTTAGGCTATCCGTGGGGGTTACATATGTCCTTTCCGATTGTGTTGCATAAACAAGTTAGATACGAAATAAGTTCGAGTGTCTTTGCTAGATTAAGGAGAGTATATCGTCCACCCAGATAGTAGCTCCAGCGTCTTCGGCTACATTTTCGTGCGATGAAGCTGATGAAAATCATGAGGCATTTTACGGCAAAGATTTTTCAATCGCGAGCTTCATAGCAGAGAGATCTTCATCCAATTACGGAGACATCTCGAATATATGGATTATTTACGTAAGGAAATGGACTAGGACCTGACTAGAAGTCCCATATTACTATTTATATACTACAACATCTATGTAACACCACCACAGACAGATGATTCAAGTTTATGTTATGTTTTTATCTTTTCATTATAGAACAAAAACATGGAAATGATACTTGTCACCAACGATCACAATATGATAATACTCTGTTGACGATAAGCCTTATGTAAAGTATCGGTCCGAATTTGTACCATGGCTATAGCCTAGGGTGATGAACTATAGATCTAGAGGCTATCTCCAGGCCCAGTTTTCTAGCCCCTTTTTCAACACTCCTTGTTCGTTCCTAGCTGCTAAACTCAAACATCACAAGAACTCATGATTATGACAATTATAGAAAAGGTTTCCCCAGATTTACCGTGAGAATGAAGTGAAGGGATTTTTGTTCTCATGTGAAACGCAATACCTCAGGTAAATCTTGAACTTTCCCATCTTCATTGTAATTTGTTTGCTAATTGGCGTTTATCATTGAGTTACATTAGCTGGCCAAGCTGTCTATCATCTATATCATCTCTATTATCGTGATATCTGTTTAGCTCGACAGCTTTCTCGATGTGACGCGTAAGTCTTGCATCTTGGCTGCTTCTCGGCCTCTTTTCTCAAACTTTGCTTGTTTCTTAGCCACCTTTCGTCCTTGGCTTTCCTTCTTCTTTTCCTCTCTAGACTTCCAAGGAAGCTCGTTGACGGGTCCCACGAGAGTCTGTCCTAGATAACGAGGATCAAAAGAGTTAGCATCATAGGGAGGCGGTCAAGAAGGTTGTAAGAATACTCGTGGAATGGAATCTCTGAGATTTGAGGACGTGATCTCACATGCGAATTCCGCAACATGGTACATATTTCAAACCTAGGATTTACAAAGAACAAGGATGGGTTATCTGGTATACTTACCGCGCTGAAGGCTAGAACGACATAGACGACAATCGGAAGTGGTTGACAACTTAGCCTCTTCTCTTCGTTTCTTACATTCTCTTCAGGTGGGCTCGCCTTCGCGCGCCGGTTGAAGATAACCATAAGGCTCAGAGATAGTATGATGGAGAGTTGTTGCAGGCCCATTCCAACTAAGTACTAATATCGAGACCAACCTTGACAATATTCGGCCTTGTACTCGGAGAAGCCATTACATAGACAACTTGGACGAGGAAGGTGAAAACATGAGCCCAGACGAAGTATTTGGTGGTGAACTCATGTCTGATCCCGCCGATCCTCTGATCTGGAAGGAAGAACCAGGCTATTTGAGAAAAGGTCATATACTGGATGCATTAAGCTAAGGGGCGTTGGCAAGAATAGAAGCTTGCAGGCCGTCGCGTAGCCAACACTCTGCTGATCCCGGGCGTCTAAAGAGTGAAGGATGAACGCAATCATCTTCCATACAGCACCAATAATCAAGACCCACACACGCACACACATATATACATACTATCATGTTAGCAGAGTCTTAAAAGGGGTATAAACCTCGCGGTAGTTGATGACCTCGACTATCTGCGCCCCGTCAGAAGGACGAATAGCACGGCGGGCGAGGATGGCGAGGGCAAATTGTGGATTGAAATTACAATAGGAGTTGTAGGCGTCGGTCGGCACGTTTTCCGTTCGGTCCCGGGGTGGCTATTATGGAGCCGGACGGCCCGTCGTTGTCCCCGCATCGTCATCGTGTGTCACAAGCTGCACGAGTGATGTTACCAACAGTCGAGATACCATGGCTAGAGCTGTGGCACGTGGGGTCTCCCCAAGCGTCCTCAATCTGCGAACTCGAAATGTCGGGCATGTCTTAGCGAGCGACGCGAGGGGCTAAAAATATTCAGAGACAGTGTTAAATAGCGTCAGCAAACACGAGATGCAATCTTCAACGCAGTGTAGCCTGAAGGTCGACTAGGAAACCAAATAATTTCTCGTAGCCGGATCCAATAGGAGGATCGCGAAGATATGCATTGTAAGATGCAGTTAAGATTGGAATTTCAATCTCTATATTATCTTATATACATAGGTACGCATGTTATGATGGTGAGTTGGTAACTGGCTAGATATATCTGACATTCATCCTCGTCTCAGACCATGTACGCTGCGCGAACACGCGAGGTGAAGCTGAGCTTCTGGAGTCTCCGGGAAGATTTGAAAAATGAGCCTCAACCTATTAGTACTTATAATAGGATGGAATTCCACGTGCGCTTCCATGGATATTTTGATAGAGACTACTCGACAAACTGAGCCCAGACATCGTGGCGATTCTTTCAAAGCTAGACCCTAGCACCCAAGAGCTTACATAGCTATCCGACATCAGAGACACTGAAGCTAGGACGCTACTGAGCAAGGACAGGGCCCGTAAGGCTTGTAGGGCACCCAGGTCGCCTTGCGGCTCAGGCCGGTTCAGGTGCCGCAAAGCTTCGCATAGCACGATAGAAATAACATTGGCTGACGAATTTTACGGCTGCGCCCCCTGTAGGTACCTACTGACGATAAGTTCCTGTTTTACATACAGTACTACTGCAGAAGAATCTCCCCGAACTAACGACCCTTCGTCCCTGCTCCATCCCTGTTTGGTTAAGGCTAATGGTACAACAGTTATTTTAGGTAGTTTTTAGGGAATTATAGGGGATTGATCATTGGACAGACACTAGATACGAGGACCTGAATAACGCTGACAGCCTAGGCCTAGGTGCGAATCCTAGCTTTCTACCTCGGAAGACAAAAGTTCTGTTCGTCGATTAGAAAGAAAAAGTCAGCCTTGAATACCATAATAGTATGTCTTGTGATCATGACTTCGCGAAATCGGGAATTATTACTATTCTTCGGAACCGTATTAAGATGATAAATGGCAGTCAAGACGAAACGTACATGTAGCTGTCACTGGGTATGTGGTGTGTAATAGAGTATGGATATTGCAGAGTGAAAGAAGAAAATCCCACACTACCTACCTAGTAGCAAAGAGGGGTCCCCCCCTTTACGGTTTTTGACCCCTGCCCCCTGCCCTATCGCACAGATTGCGGTAGTACAGGTCCATCCTTGCACAGAGCTTATCCCCTCCAGGGGTTCTTATGGGTTTAGCTCAGTATGGCGTCGTGGTGTGTACGTGGTGGCTCAATGCCAAGCTCTTTATCCCCCCGCCCTGCCCCCCATCAAATCCCAATCGAATCCCAATCAAGTCTAACGAAGTCTGGGCGCCCAGCTTTAACCTGCCTTCTAACCCTTCAACCTGCTCTTCTCGCTTGCGATGCTGTGCGCGCTGTGGCATTTCAAGGATTACCTGTCCCTTTTGTTCACACCAATTTCTCGTTACCTTCTCGTTACAGCTCACTTCGCATTCGTGTCCCGCACTCATGATAAAGTCACAGCATTGCATTGCCGCCGCCGCTGCTGCTACTGGCGAGCAACACCACGAAGATAGTGTTTAACCCCATTTCCCAATTGGTGGTTACCGGGTCAAAACCTTCCGTCGCCTCTGAATCATCTTGCTTAGTCTGCCCCCGCTAGTTCATCAATTCTAAGACCCAGAGAATTATTCGAGAGGTTTGTGTCTGTTTGAGTGTGTACGGATGCTTGTCTGTGAGAGGTCTGAGATGACATGATAGTCCTTGAGGGTGTTCGTGAGAGACCTCGTGGGCTATCCGATTACCTCAACTTCTTCATACGGAACAGCAGAACAACAGAACATCGCCGCCGCCTTGAATTTCCCCTATCTTCACCTAACGTTTCTCGGCTAGCTTCCTCGAAGAGAATCGGGGGTCCGAGATCCACCCACGCCGGGCATGGCACCAAGATATCCGTCTCAAGCTGCAAAACGGCATCATCGCTCGCTCTTGGCCCTTAACAAAACAAGGAGATCGCGATCCATTCCAAAACTGGGAAGTGCCATCCTAAACCGCAAGATTACGTACAGTGATGTATGCGTTTTAGGAAATCGGGGGAATTGGGAAATTGGGAAATATCCTGAGACGAGTTCAAAGTCCGGCGACATAATTACGTCCGGAGCGCGAGCTTCGTGTTCTTCTCGAAGATTAGGCGAGTATCTCCGGCTGATTCTAACTTGTCGCGGTCATGATGCGCTTTCCCTCTTCCCCAGATAGTCCCGCTACCATATCATCCGGTTTTCTCGGAGGGGACCCTGAATTTTCTCCATATACCGACCTTATTACACCCTGATACACTCCGATATGCCCTGATCAAACCCTGCTGCAGATCCGCTTGACGGCTAACACACCATTGTGTGTAGTCATGGCCACCATGGCCACCACTGCCGTTTCGTTATGTGACCAATGTTAGTACGGCATGTACGAACAAGAGCCGACCTTTCCAGACCACTGGAACGCGATCTCCTGTTTCCAATTAGTTGATTAATTGCCTTGACGCTTTGCCGAGAGGGTCTACTATCGAATCCCAAGCTGTTGGGAATCGACTGTTGGCTAGCAGGATGTTTTCTTTATTTAAGACTTCGTGGGCATGGTTCGAACGAGCAAGACCCGTCTCCGCGTTGGAAAACCTGAGGAACCGCGTTTCGGACTGCGGCAACTTGATTGGGTAATGCGCCTTACTCCGCAGATCTTATTGCAAGACGCATAAGACAATTTGTCTCACAGATAGCCGGAAGCCTAGAATGCACAGCTGTCTGGGGATGGGCCATGCGAACGAACTACTGCGAGCGCAACCAGTGTGCATTCATCGTTTTTTTTTTTTTTTTCCTCATATTTTCTTCCTGCTTTTCATCCCATCGACCCCAACCCAGCCAGCCAGTGCTGATGATACTGGGATGGTTTTAGTGTGCCTCTGCTGCATAAGTGTTACTACTGGATTTGTGCTCAACCCGAAGCTGAACTTTTGTTGGATCCAATGACTAGATTCGGCTGCAACCGAGTCGATCATCTCGTTGCAACCTAGCGCCCGTTTCCTTTCAATCTAAGTTATAACTACCGGCGTGCATTTATGGTAGCTACAAAACGTCACTTTCGACCCGCGCCGAGAGTTCGATTTAAGAATATGCTGCTATGCTATATGGCAGTATATGGCCGCGGAAGGCAACTGAGAACGGCGTAGCATTTGGACGCTGGCAATTCTCCTCATAATCTCGAAATTTTATGGACCTAGGGTCGTCCTGGACCTCTTGAATAACGTCAGTGGCTTCCCAGGAAACAATTAGGGGACCACATTGCCGTCGCAGCGGTGGCGCCTTGCCATGGGGACGTGGGCAAGGGCATCTATATTTTCATCCAGCATCCTCCTACGGGTTAGGGTCTTTACATCTTACATTTACCTACATAACCACATAACCACGTATCTACGTACATATCCCCCTGCCTGGCAGATACCTTGATACCTACTTACCTAGGTACGATACCCAGGTACATACCCAGGCCGCTGGCAGTAGTCGCACGGCGGAGGATTTTAGCTCTTACAGGCATGATAGGGGTGCATGGAGCCTCGTCCAATGAGACCGGCAGGCTGATCGACACCCCGGTCCGGCCCCGATACAGTTCTCCGTGGTGCCCGTAGTGCCCTTGGTGCCCGCAACCCATCCATCCTAGACTTGAAGAGGAAGGCATGATCTCCAGGTGGCATATGACGTGCAGAAAGTCTTGTCTCAATTCGATTTGATTTCTTTCGTTTGACAAGACGCCCGGCGGCGCCACGTCCACTGTTAGGTGTGGGCGCTCTCTGCGTGTTATCAGCCCGGGGGCCGATCTGCTATCAGAATGTCTCGTGTCTATCGATCAGGAACAGTAACACGGGATGCCTATACAAGGCAGGTAACCAAATAACCCGATGATATGATAATGCTATAGCCGTCGTGGCTAGGGTCGATCCACATATGGCGCCAGATTCGCAAAATCTTGCGGCAATCCTGCTATTGTGACAATGTTACCATTATTACCATTAGGAAGCTCCTTCGACCTATAACGGCGGTGGGATACGAGTCAGCTGTCGAGTATACCGACTGGAAGACCTAGAACCAATGGGTTTTTACCCAGGAAACGTCGGCTACAGGACACAGAGCAGACACAGACGCAGACACACGCGGGGACACACGGACACAACGCAGGTTATTGAGTTTCCGTAACGGGGTTTTCGTAGCGGCGATGGTAGGATCGACGCCAAGGAAAGGCCATCTGCTGTGCCGCTGATCCAAAGAACCGTTGACCTCGTCACGGAGACGCAAGCAGATTTCCAAAGCGCACACCACTGACTGGCCTGTTTGCTGGGGTGTGTACAATCCCACTCCCCTTGTTTCCTCTCGTTTTTATTCCTCTCTTAAAACTCTTGAGGCGGAGCAAGCCACAATGTTTGATATGTGGTCGTATGTATGTACCTACCTTCCTACCCCTGCGTATGATTGAGCGCACGGAGGGCTGCCCTAATACATCACTTACAGCTGCAGGACATTTAGCACCCGAGCTAATCTTTTGTCTTCTTCCAAGCTTGTCTGGTAGTTCATTAGTCAAGGACTGGAAAGGGTCCTCTTGGCAAGTCACATCTCCCGTGTTCTAGCCTGTAAATCGTACAGGGGCTCTGTCACGCCCGGAGCGAACTTCTCTGGGGTTTTTCGATAACCAGCCCTGGACCCCCTACTGTGTATTTTCGACCAACCCTATCAAGCCGCGTAACAGAGCAGAATAGGCTGGCCACCTACTACCTTACTTATTGCTCTGCAGTCCCAACACAAATCATCCCTGACCCGTGTGGGTTGATCAGCGACTAGGATGCCCGGGCATTTCGTCATGTTCCTAAGTCTTAGTGCTGGCCCGTGAGCTGAACCCTCCTCGAGAGATCAGATACATTACTGGGGGGCAGGCGTCTGTCATCTCGTTACCGGGTTTCGGAGACTTCGAGCAATCGTCTCTAACGCTATTTATTCCCCGTCTTCGCTAGCCTTCTCAGACAAATTGGGACATAAGGAATCCATCAGCACTACTGTCTGATCCTACTGGATCAGTACTGCTCTTAATTACCCTCTAGTGTCGCTTCCAAGTTCAAGAACACGATGCTCTGAGCCTTTACTGTCTCTAGTCAACGAAACACAAGAAGTCTGCGGCCTGTGTTACATTTAATCTCGTCTTCGTTTCGAAAACTTCAACTCACTGTTTTCTCCCATTGTTGCTACCACTACCACTGCTAGCACCAATTCAACATTTACTACCTCTCGCCATGTCAGGGACGGCTTCTCCACGCAGCGGTCGACCGCTAACGACATCGTATGTGGATTTGATGAAGCCTGACGAGGATTGGAGAAATCTGCCCGATGCAGCTGAGAGGAGGAAAATCCAGAACCGCCTCGCCCAGCGAGCGTATCGTGAGTTATCCAAGCAATTGCAGATCTGCCTGTCTACTCAGAGCTAACAAAGCCAAAGGACGGAATATGAGGGATAGGACTAAAGAGGTGGAGAGGTTGAAGAAGCAGCTGCAACAGCTCCAGCAATCCATGAGTGCAGACCCCTCGACTACGCCGCCGCCTGAGCACGAGCTCCCTTCCGGCGGTAGGAGCCCATCCAGCATGGGAGACGCCCACGCTCAGAACGCCGATATGGCAGCATCAGCAACTACGCCCAATGGGACGCGGCGGATGAGCGATTACCTCCAAACTTGGCCTCATGCCGCGGGCTCGGAACAGCTGAGTGGACTCGGACTCACGACGGACGGGGAGAATCCTCTTGGATTCGATACTGCCTCCTATTTTCACCAGGTCCACGGTTCGAATGATGTCGTGACAGATCTGCCTTCTACGGGCCGACGAGCTCGTGCCGTCACAACTAACGTTTCTTCCACACCTATACAGCATCCGCCTCACCTACGCAGCCACAGCATACCCCCAATCTACACATCTACCTGTCCCAGCCCCATGCCGTGGGGACAAGGAGCCGCAGCAGAAAGCCACGACGGGCTTCGAGTATCTACAAAGTAAGCTGAAACCCATAACAATATCTAGGCCATACGAATTTTCTCGATGTAGCTCTAGTTTCCATGTTTTACGTGTATTCTTAGCTAACCCTGGTTGATTACTAGTTTCGGCGTATATAACAGCACGGAGGAGATGTCCATGTACCACCCGGAATCCACATATCAATTAGACGATGGGGTCACACATAGCACCACTGCGTATGCGACTTCGCCAGATTCAGATCTCAACAGCCCCGCGGGCTGGTCACCGCTAGACCGGAAATCGGGTGGTGGCGCACGGCCGAGTAGCTCATCACTAACATCGGCGTTCCTGGCGTCCGCTAATAGCGTCGTGGACGGTATGACAGATATGCAGCACGGGTCCTCGTTCCCCGAGACGACGGCACCATTGCTGCACTTCGCGGTCGCAGGTGGCCACATCGACACGCTGAGACTACTTCTCCAACGTTACGATGTCAATGTCAATAGTCGTGACAATGCCGGTTACACGGCATTGCAACGTGCTGTCATGGCCGGACGTACAGATATGGCAGCCCTGCTTCTCGAGCGCGGGGCCATCGTCGATGGCGACGATAGCTGGACCGTTGAACTTACGGGCCATCACGCCAAGATGGAGACCCAATGACCAAGCCAATGGAACCCACACCCATCTCTTGTTTTTTCGCCAACCTATCATAAATAAATGGACGATCAAGCGGAGTGTACGTTAACGAGCCTTTTCTTACCCTCTCAATCGGGTCTCGAATTCCTCCGCCTACTGTTATGCTGTATCTACTTAATGTAGCAGTCTACGATGGGGTCTATCATATCATATCATATCATGTTCTGTTTTGTTTTGTTATGTTATATGTGTGTGTTGGTTTTTTTCCCTCTCAGGTCTAACCTGTATTGACGATGATGGGTACAGCGCATGGATTGATTGTAGCAACAAGCTTCGGAGCTCTTCTTGGCTTGCACCTGCGCCAATGCGGACTGCTCCGTCAATATTGGGTCCTTTTTATTTTATTTTCTCTTTTAATGGTTCGGCCGGGGTGGGTATAGATATACCACCGCCTGCAAGGTTCAGCAAGGTTACCTTGGAGGGAGTGAGGGGGGAGGGAGCATAGGATTCTGGGATTTGGGGGTTAATGGGAATGGCGTCTTTTGGCTGGTGGGTTCGCTTTTTTACACAACCCTCTATACCCGAGGCATGGGATTCATGGATCATACACGCGTTACACAAAACACTACTTCACACTCGTCGAAGAAAATACCTCCCGAGGACCACAGGCCTCTCTATATGCTAAAACCCCATAGAAAGATATCATGTTTCTTATCCTACGAAATTTAAAACACATGATAAATGTTACTTAGGGGCCATATCGAAATACCTATAAACCTACACATTACCTATTATTCAAGTGAAAGATGAAAGTTACAGCATGTGAATTAGCTATTGCTGCTATTGACGAGAGATCCAGGGTCAGATATATCCCGGCAAGTAGAACAGGGTTACCCCCCTACACTATCTAAATGGGATCTGGCGATTTTCTATAATACCGGACCCCCTTTCTTTTTACGTCTTTCCCTTTTCGCCTTAAGGAATTCCGAGGCTTCTCCAAATCCAGGAACGCGCCGAACGCTCTGCGACTCCATTTCCACTTGCTGTCGGAACAAGAGCTTCACGTGTTTTATAGCACTCCATGTGATGCTATCGAAGTAGCGCGATCGCCATCGCCAAGAAGCTTTGGAATGATTCGTTATCATGGAATTCGCCGCGGCTCAAGGAACTCTGAAAATTGGCATGGAGATTTCCGTTGTTTCGAATCGCTAGCTAGCAAGAAAGAAATATCGCCGGGGACAGAAAAAGAGATGGCAAATTCCATCTACGACGTCCCTCCGGGTCCGGCTTTGGAAAGAGTGGTGGGTCCCCCGAACTTGATTTTTCGGGTTTCGATGACAAAGAGAAAAAAACATGATAGTCACGAAGTTTTGAATTTCACGTCACTAACTTTGGAGGCCTTCTATATTATCGAGTCTGACCGACCCCTGATCGCTAACTAGGATAGGACACTCATAGGAGTCAAGAGCACCGGTCTCCAATGGCCCAGCCTCAGACCGGTCTACCTCTCTCTGTCTTTCCATCCAATACATCACTGCGCATGTTCCATAAGCATAAGCGGAAGAGAGCGGGATAGCTCGGTGCGATGAATCCCGCCGGTTCCTGATCCGCTCATTGCCTGCATACACGCGCATCAAAATATCAAATAATTCGTCAATCGACGGATGGGAACGAATCACAGTTACGGTGGAGACGAATCCGAACAATAACAGCTACGTCCACGGTCACGGCTACTACGCTTCAGTTTTAATTCGGGATGTGTGTGTGCGAAATACCTATCTGCACGTCGTTGATAAAACCCCACTCTCCGCGATGCTTCCATCCTTGCGTCGAGACGGACAGCCTTTTCCCTCTCTTCGAAGATGTGCGAGGTTCTACCTGGAAATGATGATCCCGACAAAAGTGTTGGAGAAACCTGAGGGAGACCAACTTAAAATGAATGTTCGTGAGAACTAAATCCACGGCTACGATCCTACCGCTGGCCGGGGAGCGAATCCTTTAAATAAAGTACCTCTAACGCTCGACGATTATAATTAGGTCTTCTTCCCCCCCTTGTCGCCCTTGTCACCCTCCCTCCCACGACAGGTTTCACGCCAAGTAACGTCAATCTACATACATCTCAAGGTATTGTACACTATCAGGTCAGGATCACCCCCGCGGATCGACGTAGCTGAGGGTATCGCATTGTGGGGTTGATCGTAGAGGGCCGTTGCCGGCCACCCGAAGCTAGCTCGGATGGCTCCGTAGTTCGTGTTGGTTCTCTCTTAATAACCAACCTCCATGATCTCGCTGAAGAGTTTTTTTGCTTGTTGGATATACCAACATCCATCTAAAACACCTGCTGTGAAAGCCGTGCCGGAGCGGCGCAGCGGATATTTCGGGAGCCGATCATTTTACGTTCGGATACCTGTACGCAGCAGCAGCAGCAGCGGAATCAGAGACATTGTTGCTGCCCAACTCTTTGAGCGGAGGTAGACATTAAATAGCTCACCATTTTCGTGGATCTGGGTTGTATGTATGTCTACAGCTGGAGTTGCTAGCTCCGAAACAATAGCTGTGCCCGGCTCGTTCATACCCCGATCAACCATCTGTAACCCTCGTTGCATTTGGAGATTTTCTTTTAGTTTTTTTATTATTATTATTTTTTCTCCCTTCAGCGTCGTAACGCAGATCTGCGGATTAGGGGCAAAGGCAGGCATCAATTCTCGTCAACCAATATTTTTAGAATACGAAGAGCTCTCTGTCTGTCGAAGCCCTCTGTCGGAACAGGTATCCATTACAGGATAACATGAACTTTACTTCCTTACGCGCACACTGTGGATTTTTACCTCGGTGAGCGCCTCGCAATCGGGAAAGGGGGTTAAGGATTCCTTGTCGCGAAGGATTCACCACTGCAAGGTATTAATTAACCTTATAATCCCCCCGCCACGTGGGTGGTCAAGCTAAGCAGCATCGCGCTGTCATAGGAGCGCCCCCTGACGACCCCCTGGGCGAGATTAATCGACCACATGGGAGGGGGCTTTTTTCGACATCTCCAAAGGGCGTTCTCGCCTACTCTCTTGTGTTACCCCCAATTCGAACTTACATGCAGCTGATTTTAGGATTTCCTGCAATATATCGTCAACGGCTGTGATTTATAAGCTGCGATCAGTTATATTACACAGCATTTCAGCACATTCCGCAAAAAGAAGGTGAGGAAAAAAATGGCATATTCAATTGGCATCCTCGTCAACACCAACATTAAGCGACGGTATATAAAAAACCCTATATCAACGGATAGACGTCAAACAAACCCCAAGTTTTCATCTCAGCCTTATAGTAGTAAGTACATGAAAACCACATGGCACAGAAAAATAAACTCGCAGCAAAAGCCCGGAACAGAAGTCGAGATGAAGATTAAACCCAGTCGCGCTCCCGCGCGCGCACTGGGCGATGCCGCGACCCTGCGTCAGGCAGACAGCGAAGAAGAAGAAGAAGAAGCGGAGATCTTTTTTTACCCACTTTCGCAACCTAACCCGCGTCAATATTGGGACCGAATCCTTCGACTTCGCATATGTATTATTATTACATGACAGGACTTGCTTGCGAATTTTTTTCCTTAACGGTAGAAAACAAGCGATATAGTAGTGTATACCTGCATACATAGTCTGACGTCCCCCCGTTATTAATAGGACAGAGAAGCGGTTCAACAATGTCCCCGTCTGAGGCCCTTGCTTTTCGTCCGATCTACACTACTTGTGCTGCAGCGAAAGATTGCTTCCTGTTTATCGTCCAATGGACGGGAAGGCAAATCTGCACAGTTGAGGCTGACTTTTCGTCTATTGCCCGCCAGCGTTCGAGGAGATTCACCGCGCACATGTCTTCGGAGAATCTCGTTCATGACGACGTCTGCATTCGCCAAGAGGAGACTAGGCTAGAATCTCTTCTAGTCATCCAAGGCATAATCCGTTCGCTAGCAGGGCTACCTAGGCTGCTAGGCCATCAAGGCCCCTTTCGCTGCGGAGCTTAAATCTCAGCTTTTAGGACGATCCTTCGAGCCGGGGGGGCCAAGAAGAGTCTAAGAGAAGCCATTGCCTAATCGAGAAGGCAGGATTCGCCGCGATTGCTTCATCTGCCGATAATAGCCCCTATCAATCAAGGAACTTGTGCGAAAAGCCTTCGTCGAAAATGCTGAGGTCGTGACCAGGTTCGTTACCGCCGTTACCGTCGCGGCTTTCAGATGGAAATCTAAGTTTCCCATTTCAGCCCTTGCCTGGAGGGTTCCCCAGATGAACGCGTCATTCTTTGCCGGAAGTCGTTAGGCTATCGAGTAAGGAGTCGTATCTGGGTTAATCACGTTTATGACGGGGTGAATCCATGTGGTTAAGAGGCTGGACGTCGATCGCCCAGCTATAAAGTCTGCTCTTAACCCACGTGGCGCTACAAGTTGACCTTCCTTGAGTATCGTAGCGCAGGTAGATTATGATGCCATATTGACTTGCATAAAGTAAGAGCTAAAGTAGAAAAAGTAGGTTGACAATCAGATATGAGCGAGCGACGAGATCTGAGCATGTGTCAGACTACCTAGATAGGTCTATTACGCGGTGGAATTCTTGTGGTTATGTAAAGCACATCTTCACCGAAAACTATTATAACTTTGCGTTAACACTGGGCTCAATCTAGTTTATAGATTGTTGGTTGTGCCAATCAACGCTTCAAGCCATATTGGGGGCTTCCGATAGTCACCTTACTCAGGGGAGAAGCCCCGAAATCAGTCAATCTGCTGTCGAGCATGTTGTCATACTTCTATGTGAAAGCAAGATAATGAAGTGGAATAGGCTCTAGCAAAGGGACACTAGGGCCAAACTCAAGGGGTCTTTTATGAAATCAAAGAGCTATGAGAAATTATCCATGATGTTTGCGATGAATCTCTCGCCACCAAATATAGATTCAACAATTGTATTGTATTCAATAAATGGCTTATGACCTAGTTTGTTTATCACGGATTATCATATGTTAATACCCATAAGGCTATATAATGTGCATCTTCTGACCAGCCAGATCACATCCCTCTATCCGCATCCAATCTCCTACATCTGTAACGGACTCTCTCAAGAAGTAAGTACGAAGAACTATCAAATTCTATCAAGATGCCAGAATCTTCCAACCAAGGCCAGGGCGAGAGACCTTTCATCTACATCAAGCCAGTTCCCAAGAAGGGTAACTATGCGAACCCGATGGGCAAAGAATTATCTACGTACTACCCAGGGGCACCGAACCCAAGCGGTTATGTAGG